AAATAGAGCTCGAATGGAGGCTCGTATCTATATTGGTCATTCATAGTGTAGAATAAGCACCTCCGAGTCCAACATACATAGATAACATAATTCAAGAGTAGCAGTGCTCAATGTGCCTAGAATCTCATAAATGGCTAACAAGCATATATCTAAAAGCAGATAATGCCAGTTCAACAATACATGTATGAATTGGCACGCAAATCCTTGAAAATAAAAGGTCAAGATTGCTCTCTCTCTGATAAATAAAAAATGCAGAAATCTTCTCAAACGAACTAAGAAGAACCAGATAAATACCTCATTTTTCGCAACTACATCCCTTTTTCTGTCATCAACTGGCTTCAAAGCAAGCTCCAGATAGTCACGGGGTGTTATCCTTCCACTATCCTCAGATAAATCCAGATAGAAGTCCTGAAACCAAGGCAATGTAAATTACCGCAAATGGAAAGCCACATAACATATTCTACTAAATACACCATGTATTCATATGACGATAACAAACAAAATAACCACAACAGAGGAACCATTATCGTAAGAATAACAGGATTACAATAATTATTGTAGTTGATGGCACAAATATTAAAGAAACAAGTTAATTCAAAACCAGTTACCCTTAAGAGCCACACAAAGATTGGAGAGAACTGCCCAATTTCAGAAGCTGTGGTTCCTCCAGAGGCTTTAACACGTATATGTTTAGTCATTTGAGTGACAAGAGAGATACGATCGAGTGAACCTTCATCTATACCACCCATCTAAAAGAAAAGGAAAGTAAATTATGAAGAAGAAACTATAGAGCATATTCAAAGAGGAAGGATCAAAGTCTCAGCAAAAGTTTTCTAACCTGGTTGTAAATAAACATGCTAGATAAGAGAACAGCCAAGGAAAATATCTGTGTGCTGTATGTTTCCTGTCAGATAAAAGTAAGTCATAAGTACTACAATCAGCTTATTAAGTCTTATTGGTTACAGAACCAGTAGAATGGATAATGAAAATTATCATAATTATAAAAGAAGCAGATACTAATATGTTGCTAAGTAAGGGAATGAATGCTAACCGTCTGATCAAAGGCATCTATTCCTTCAGTATCCAATAGTAATAGATTGTATTCAGTTCCATCAAGAGCAGTTCTCTTAAAGGGTGCACTCCATAGCCATAGCCCTTTCGTACATGGGCGATGCGTAGATGCTACTTGAAAACCACCACTCCTTCCAAGAAGCTACAAGAGAGAAATACAAACATAAATATCTTTATTACTTAAAGCAACATTGAACTGGTGGGGAAGCAACAGTAGAGTAAGCTTAGTGGTCAGAGATTCATAGAGAGAGAGAGAGAGAGAGATGATCAGAACAGGTAAATGTTTTAATCATTAGGCCCCACTTTAATATCTTGAAGTTAATCAATGATTCACACCCCAGTTTTGGTTGCAAGAACATGTAAATGAAAATTCGCATCTAACACAACAATATTGCCCATGGAAAATACATGCATCCATGTATTAGAATAGATTACACTTGAACATTGTTGCGGAAAAGATGGTTTAGGTTAACTATGACAATTCCAAGAACCGAGAATTAATCAGAAACAAATACACGGTAGTTCCAGCAGCGAAAACACAAAAACTGAAGTAGGCCTACAATTTCTACACTTCATGCAATTCCTAGTCCTCTACAATTCCCTTCGGAAAGCAGATTCTACAATTCGTACAATCATAAACCCTAGACTTCACAAGCAGAAAACAAACCCCCAGAGAAAGAAGAAAAAAAGAAGAAGTTTCCACTATCATTTCTTCCGAAAATTGAGACAAAAAGGACGATAGTTTTACCTGGTTTAGAATGAAGCTCTTGCCCTGGCGAGCACGGCCACAGACGGCGACTATACCGATAGGTTCCTTCACGAGCTGGAGCATGGATACCGCTTCCTGATCCATCCTAAACTTTCCATTGTCGTCGCAGTAAACGAGTCGTATCGGCCTCGGCGGACCGGTCACCGGCGCCGACGATCGCGACGACGGTGAGGGAGAGAACGACGGGGTGGGAGGTGAAGAATCGGAGGAAGCATCTCTTCCTCTGAAGAACCTCCTCATGCTTTAACGTTGCTCCTGGTTCTTATTTCGCCTTGTGAACTTTGCTTCTCCTGAGAATTCTATTTCACTTCACTGCGAACAGAGAGAGATAGAGCCGAGGGTTTAAAATTTGGGGAGGGAAAGGGGGTCGAGGTTTTTGGGCTTTACAGAGGAGCGAGACGGAGGGCGCGTCAAATTACGATCATGGGACTGTTTGTCATGGCGATGAATCTGGCGATTGAGTTATGAGAAGGGCTTTTTCGTATTTGTAGGTGAAGGTGGACCTCGAAGCGGAACGACAGCGTGTTAATAAAGCTAACTTTGCAGTCGGCTGCTATGCTATTTCCTTTTCCTTTTAAATTGGAAGGCCAGACCGTTACTATTACTTTTTGTTTCGTTTTTCGATACAATTGTAACCCAAGATCTATTCGACCCAAACCAACAAAGCACAGATAGGCCTCGGCCTCGTTATATGGGCTGACAAATTGATTTGTACGAGGCCCACACAAATGTTAAGACCCAGTCTTTATGTCCACTTGTCAATCCATCAACGAAACCAGCCAACTAATTTGGACTGGGCTGGGCTGGGCTGGGTTGGGCTTCTCTTTGTTAGGGGGAAGGTTGGGTGTGGAATTGGGTTACGAATAGGGTCGTGTGCCCGAGTTGATTCGTCATCCAATCTCTATAGGTAGCTGTAATTTTTGCTAAAAGACCTAGAAATTTGGTATTTACACTCATTTTTTCATATAAGCGACATTAAAGGAGGAAGATTTGAATACATAAGATTGGGTACAGGTCAATCACTTGAGTTACAATTTCCTTACTATCTACACCCATATTTTGGTCAGACGATATTTTCCCCATAATCTAATATGTTTGCACAAGTCAACCACCTCAAGTCAACTATTTGTTTTATTTACATGCGATATAAGGGAATTGATCAGACAATTTCATTTGTCGATAATATTAAATCACTTAAGTTGAGCGTATGTTATCTTACCATTCATAACATACCAATCATTCTCCCCAAAAGAGAGCCGTATCCTAATTAACAAAAGAAATAAATGTAACGTGATGAACATTCATGTGATGTCATCGATGTCTCAGGTCATACCAAAGGGATCTAAATTATTCCCTTACGAAAACACAAAACAAAAAAAGGCTGGTATTTGCCCTTCCAGATATGCCATAGGCATTTGGACTTTGGATTGTTATGTTTTTTTCCTGAAGGCCCCTTCCATGGCCCATGTGCTTAATTAACTTTTAAGCATATGTTATTAGAGTAAAATAAACAGAATTAATAAATTAATAAATCTGTAGCAGCCATCATCATGCATCACCCAAAATTCAATTTTAATTATTAATCTTTGATTGATTATCTAAAATGATAGGCTTGAAATGGAAACGTTAACAAAGTCTTGAAATGGTAACCATGGGATGAGAGTATAACACTTGCAGGCAGGTGATTGGTTCACGTCGTGTCTGGTTGTCATTTTGTCATACTACTACTATATATCTGTGTATTTTATTACAAAGTGGATGTATTATCGTCGTCGTCAGATGAGATAGGGTGACTGTAGATGAGTTGTACACAACAACTCTCAAGTCATCACAGGCATCATTATTTTCATGATCCGTAAGTCACAACTATCATTTCCTATCTCATCCATCTATAATGACGGTGCACAAAATTAGATACTAAATTAGATATGCTCTGGTGGCATTTTTAGTATGTGCGATTTGGTTTTTCATAATTATTTTTCGATATGATTTAACCATGTAGTTTTTGTTTTTAACAAATGATAGCATATTCTTTACAAGATGATAATGCATTGATTATGTCAGACAGTTTGACTAAACCAAAATTAACAAGATATCGAATACATTATGATACATATTGTACGAATACTATTTAACAACATTCTTAGCACAATTTGATCATGCGTTAGCATAATTTGATTATTTTGAGTTTGCAATCTTAATTAGGATGCCGATATCAGACTTTCTTCGATCTTACGTGATCATTAATAGAGACACACCAAATTATATTTATTTTAATGTTAAACCACTATGTTATTGTAGTGGTCTTTTGTGTCTAGTTTGTATTGAGTCTTTGTGATTAATGACTTTTTTTGTTGAATTATTAATGCAATCTTAAAATTTGTAATGAATAAAAAAAACAGCATTCTCCGCTCATCTGGCTAAAACCTAACTCGGTATTGATGAAATCCACGTGAAACGAAGAAGAAACCACACCCAATCAAAGAGAGAAAACTAGTAAACAAAAACTCATTGATTTCCATAGTTCACGGTTACAGGTAACTTGAGGTCCAGGTATTAAGCGTGTGGAACCCATAAACCACCCCTACCGCCACACCAATTGTAAACATTTAATTAAAAACTACACCAAATTAATAATTAGTAATAATAAAGCAAAAGGATTTTTTTTAATATTTTACTACATTCGGTATGAAATACCATTTTACTTGGTACTGATTGGTAACTGGCATCATTCGGTATGAAAACACTTTGACAAGACAAGTATTGGGTGTTGTACCAGCCAGCTTTGCTACTCATGAGTCCTGTCTATTGTCATTATATTATTGATTGGAAATAGCAAAATAGTAGATTGACTGCTACTCTTGTCAATTGTCATTGTATTATTAATAGGAGATAGCAAAATAGTAATATATATTACAAGTAAAAAAACAATTTGCCATAATTAACATAAAGTTCACCGAATTATTATTATCTCCAAATAAATCATGTCCTCCGATCCGATGCATAAAAAAGAGAAGGAAGAAATCACATGACACATGATCTGCAATTTTGAAGCCCTACTTACATAAATAATTAATCACTTATTTTTTCCAACAAGTATGTCTCCCATTCTCCAAAGATATATAAGTCAGGAAAATAAATTTAAAAGAAAAATTTAAAATCAAAGCCACAGAGCTCCGGCTTGTTTTAACACGGGCACAAGTTCACCTGAGATATGGGAAGCCATAACTCTCTCCAACCCACCAAACAACTTCCCGCCCACAAACACGGCAGGAAACTGCGGCCAATCCTCCTGCCCTTCCCCGATCAATTTCCGCAATTCAACGACAACGTCGCTCTCGTCGTCCTCGTCGACCTCGAAAACCGTGGGGTTAACACCGTGGCCCAGCAGCAGCCGCTTGACGACGTGGCACATGCAGCAGCCGCGCCGTCCGACAACCGTAACGGCATTCTCTGACACTAGTTTTCGTACGCTAGCCGCCGATCTGCTGACCACGGCGGCAGCTTGCTGATCACGTGCTGACGACACGTGGCCGGGTGGAGTGCCCGGAACCCATGCTCCGTAGGGAATAGCTTGTGACTGCATACTGTTTTTGAGTTTACCTTAATGGATGCGAAAAGGAATTTGAAATGTTTTAGAGAGAGAGAGAGAGAGAGAGAGAGAGGGGGGCGGGCGGCGGTGTAGAAGTGGCGTTCGAGAATGGGCTTTTTATAAATTGGTTTGTGAGGGAGAGAAGCGTAGACTCTATCGTCAACGGCAGTTGCGCAGTGTGCTACGTCAGAGGGTACTGTGGGTGACGTGGTTTTACGTCATCTGCGTTGGTCGACGCTAGACAGATTCCAAGTAGCTATTAGCGATGCCCCCACACGTTCCCATTAATTTTCCCACCCATTTTTGCCGTTGTTTATTTCTTTCACCTTTATATAGATACTCAAAGCCGAAAGCATTGGCCCTACTCTTTTGCTCTCATCTATCTACCCCTTATTATTTTAGTTATTATGGAGTTGAAATCAAATCACTATCCATAGATGGTGAATGATTGATATTCATTTGATGCATTACTAGTTAACAATCCTTTATTTGTGTGTCAAACATTGTTCATCACAAATCATCAATAAAATTGAAATCATTGTTCAAAAGTTTCACATGTCTTATAAAATTAGAATAAAACAGTTATCCTAACTTGTACATATACGAACAGTCATTTATGAATGTAACGAACAGTCATTTATGAATGTATCAAAAATTATTCATCACAAATTATCAACCAAATTAAACTCATTGCTTCGAGAGTTTAAAATTCCCTATAAAAATGTGTAGGTTGGCCTTTAGTTTATCCTAAGTTAGTGCATAAAATATAGCGAAACCTTTTAATTGCAAAATGGGTGAGTGAGTGAGAAGTTTCTTGAAACGATAAAAATCAAAAGTGGGTGAAATGAGTGATGCATATATTTTCACCAAATTAGACATAACATCATCTCATGCTCTCTCTCTCTAGTACAAATGTTGAAAGTAAACAACCCTCCCTTGAATGAGAAAGAAACAATTCCCTCCTATCATCATGCAAGCCAAAGCCATGAGGCTTAGAAAAAGCTAAATAGAAAAGTGAAAGCCATGATTGATATATTGTTTAGTGGAATAAGGGATCTCAAATTCTCAACTAGGCTCATCCCAAATAATCCCAACGCCCGTGTAAAGACAAAGCCGCTTGCGGACGGTGCGTGTGCGACCGCGTACACGTAACAATACGACAACATACCGTGTCGTCACACACCATCACCGGCTGAGCACAGCAATCGCAATCAACGCGCGACACGTGGCGTGGATAAAATGAGGGATCGTATTTATCTACAACCGAACCTATCATTTTCAGTCACGTTGCAAAAACTTTAGCTTCTTTCTCCTCTGCTGACGACTGCATGATGCGGACGTTGTTTTATTTTTTCTTTTTGCGTTAAAAATTCTCTCCACGCCATTTTGAAGCAGTCAAAAGACTCGAAGGTGGGAAATTTAAGTGGCTGTGATGTGAGTCTTAGAAGCTTTACATATACGCATGTTTGAATAGGAGCCATGAGTCACACATGTGATCATCTTATTACGTGGGGTCAACGCTATGATATTTTAGGGCCTGTTCGTTTATGTTTTAAAGGCCCGTTTTTGTTTTTAAAAAACAGAAACAGAGCAAAAACATGTTCGGTAAATAAAAATAGAAAACATCAAAAACGTTTTCATAAAATGAGTTGGACTTCACGTTTACTTCTACAAAACAGAAAAAAGATGTTTTTGTTCTTCCAGAAAACAAACGCTCAAAACAGACTTCTGCTCAATCTCTCTCTCAATTTTCTCTCCCTATCAGAATCGTTCTTCTCTCCTCCTCGCTCACCCTTCTCTTCTTTCCCCCTTTCTTGACCACTCTTCTCTCTGGCTTGGCTCACTCCTCTCTTTGGCAATAGTCTCTCTTCCCCTATTCACCACTAAGGCATTTTGTTCTGTCCGATTGCTCCATCACCACAGACCACAGCTGCTCTTGGAAGATCTTGGTAATTTTCTATATTTTTCCTCTTTCTCTAGCTTTGGGTATTTTGTGCCTTTAGATCTAGGGTTTTTTGTTCATGGCTGTTCTAAAAATAAAAGTTGTATTCTGTAAATTAGGTTTCTTATACATCTAAAAATTACAGGGAAGAAGAAGAAGAAGAAGAAGAGGAGTGACGCATACCTCACATTAACTGAGGTAATTCCTCGTTTTTCTTCTCATTGGTGCTTCATTATTTATTTGGGCAATTTAGCTTTATAATTTTCTCAATTGGGTTCCTTGTTGTGCTTAATTTTGGGATCTTTGATAATGATTTTCATAGTTTTGAGTTGGGTTTTGTATATGGTGGGCAAACCCACGAGTTGATATAATGAAATTATGGCATGATAATTTTTTTGCAAAGGAAGCAAACTCACGAGTTGATATAATGAAATTATGGCATGATAATTGCTTTAAAAAATCGCATGATAATGGATACCAAAGCCCTTGGCTTTATGCCATTATTAATGGAGATATATCTTGTAGTGTATTTTTTTGGGATCTTTGATAATGATTTTCATAGTTTTGAGTTGGGTTTTGTATATGGTGGTCTGTTTTTCAGTTTACTTTTGGAAGGAGCTGAAGCGATAACAGAGCAGAAGAACAACGACAAAAACCTCACATTGACTGAGGTAATTCCTCTGTTTTCTTCTCTTTGGTGTTTCATTATTCATTTGGGCAATTTAGCTTTGTAATGTTCTTAAATGGGTTCTTTTTTGTGCTTAATTTTGGGATCTTTGATAATGGTTTTCAAAATTTTGAGTTGGATTTTGTAATTGCTCATACCTGTAATTGAAATCAGAATAGTGATAAAAGAGGAACTTTTATATGCACTTTTGTGTTTTGTGTTTGTGTATGTGTTAGAGAGAGAAATAGAGCATAATTGAATCAAATTAATGGCCACAAAATATAGCCTAACAATCAACAGACTAATCCCATAAACCAATAATAATTGGCTAGTTCATGTTCCCTATACTCCACGCCAAGTCAGCAAACTCAATTGAGTGGAAACATAATTCACAATTTGATTTAAGGATAGGTAACACCACAATGTTCATATTTTTATGCAAAAAATGTACCACTGGAGCAAGGACAATATATGTTTTCATATTGAATTTTTCTTTGTATTTATTTATTTAAAGGATATGCTTTCTTATTCGTAAATATGTGATTCATATATGTGGTGATGATATGTGCGATGTTCTTAAATGCAATAAATTATTGGATTGTCTTAATTGTTTTTTCTTTACAAGGATATGGCTCCTAAGAATGTTGATGGTGAGGAAAAAGTACAATGGCCTTCCAAACATGAAGAGTTTTTTATACATATATTGCATGATCATGTGAAGAAGGGTGACTTGCAAGCATCAACCTTTAAAACGAAAGTTTGGTCTGAAATAAGCGAGGAGTTGTTAGCAAAATGTGGAAAAAAATGCCCAATTATCCTCCACGTAGGCAACGACGTATCCCCATTGCATGTTGTGTGTTACATAATTTTATCCGAAGAGAAGCACGTCGTGATAGGTTGTTCGAAGAGTTTCAAGTAGAAGACATCATTGTTGAGGGTGAAGATATGGCTACACCAAATTTAGATATGTCTCCGGAAAATATTGCACAAATGACCAACATTAGAGATAAGATTGCACAAGATTTGTGGCGTGATTTCACCCAAGGCTCTTGATTATATTATTGTAATTTTTAATTTTTATTATTATTAATTTTTTCCTTGTGTGTCAATGAACAAGTTTTTGTAATATTTGGTCTAGAAGCCAATGAATGTTTCAATCGACTCATTTAAACTAAGCCAAATGCATAGATATATCACTTTTTCTTAAATCTAACTTAATCCAAGCTCTTTAATTTTAGTAAAATAGATCAAACGAGAAAAACATGTTTGGTGTGCATAATAAAAAAGGTGTTGGACTAATTACATACATAAATGTGTGAAAATGTTAGTTTAAAAAATAAAATAAAATCCTCTTACCGAACGCATATTCACTATTTTTTGTCATTTTCACAAATTACTGCCAGACGCATTTTCACTGTTTTTGTTCTTTGAAAACAGTTTTTAACTAAGCTACCAGACGCGTTTTTGTTCTCTGAAAATGCGTTTTCATTTTCTCGTTTTCATTCTATGAAAACATTCTCTGAAAATGCTCTCTGAAAACGTTACCAGACGGGCCCTTATTTTCTTGTGTTTTTGTTTTTGTTTTTTGGCAAATTATCAACACATATTTGTGACATTTATTTATTCGAACAAATTACATATAATAATGTCACGAAATCTGTCTGAAATTTGTGTAGATGAATTGGTTACTTCTTGAAATTTTAATACAAACGATGGTCTAGATTATTTTATATTAATTTAATATACAAGATATTTTAAATTTGAGTGCAAAGAAGTATTAATGCGATTAAAATTATATGATTATTGTGTAAGATATCATCCAAATTAAAACGCACTCGTATCTAATATTCCGAATCATGTAGAGATTCTAAAAGATAGGTTGATGCATGCCTTTTATGGTTTTTCCTTTGTAGCAAGAATGGGTTTTGTTTTCTTGTTGACAGAAAAAAAAGTGTGCTAAATTAGGTTTACCACATTACTTGGAGATTTGAACAAGAAGAAAAAGGCTAATTGGATTATTGCGTGGAAATGGGCAAGTTTGGTAGAAATAGAAACAGAAACCACGAGTTGGGGTTTACTTTGAAAATTGAGTAAAGGTTGTTAGTTGGTCAATTCGAATAAATTCAAAATCCACGAGAGTACTACTATTTCCAATCTAAAGCCAATCGTTTCTTGCAGGACGAATACTCAAAAAAAACATGTTTACACATGCATGGACATCATACTCAAAATCAAAACCAAGACCAACCAAGAAAGAAGGTTCCATATTTTACTTCAAGAATTTAAGATATATATTAATTTTAAAAAAGGGCATGGGACCATTGAGGAGAGAAAACTAGCCCGCGGTGAAGTTGGAAGACTGGTCCAAAGTAAAGTAGCCGTTATTCCATACCATGTTACACGACTCTTGGAGCCAGCAAGCTTAACATATAGTGATTTGAAATCGATGTCAATAACAAAATGTAGTAACATATCTTATCAAAATACATGCACAAAGATATTTTTATGGGTTCTTTTTTACCCAATTACATCCTTGTAGTATTTTTAGTGGAAGAACTACTTTGGCAAAAGCATGCCTGCAGATTAGATTGACTATATATATAATACTCATGATTTCTGGGTCCATCTAAGATTCCTAATTGGTACATAATAGCACGAAATCATACCAGGAATACTAAAGGCTTATTTGCACTATAAACCTCTGTGCTTAATTTATTTTTTTTACTTTTAAGTCGTTTTAGTATATTGGTCCATAACCAAATTATAATTAATTTATATAAACATTTCCATCAACAACAAATCACAAAGTTAATATGCAAATCACAAAGTTACTTCAAATATATATGCACAATGTCAACCAATTAATTAGACCACTTTCTTGATGTCACCAATCTCCACATCCTGAGTTGGAAAGCCATGGATGAGTGCATAAACCTGAGGGATATTGCATGTTGATCATATCGCACCCTGAAGGGTGAAGGTGATATTTACACGTGTAGTTTAATTTGATAACAAATGTACACAACCGCAACCCCTACATGGTTGTGTCCCACGAGAGAGAGGTCGTTGCATAAGTGCAACGAGCGGTTGCATTCGCGTTTCGCAACATTAAAGTTATGTTGGACCCATGCATGTGCACACGCCAAGTCTGAGGGAAAATAAGTCTCCGTTCTTTTACCTCAACTCAGTGTTGTTTTACTTTTTAAATTCTACAAGAATGTAGGTTTTACTGCTTATATTTGGTTGGTTCATCTCGAACCAAACATTGCTTGATGTCAAACATGTGCTAAGATGTAACTATCCAAGCTCATAAATTTGTTGTTGTGATGTGTGGACTTGATGAAATGAGTATTCCTGAAAATTCCATAGCCGTTCATGCAGACATGCCTTTTAATGGGCTATCAACTTTCGAAGGTGCATTTTTTGGGCCAGTTTTGTTCGCCCCTACCCTCTTCTTTGTCTGAAGATCTTGAAGGCTATTAGAGGTTTAGGGTTATTGATATAAAGGAGAAGCCATGTATCTCGTTGGACTTCATTGGAGTTTAAGGTGTGGCGTTCCTGGTTGAGAAGAAATAGTGTTCAGATGCTCGTTTGAGTGTCGGAAGGAAGCTAGGTGGTATGTTGTTTCTCTTTTGAGCGATGTCTCTTCTTCTCAAAACAGAATTATTTCCTATTTGATGGGTTCTATGATCACACTGGTTGCACGCTGGATTTGCTTTGGGTTTCTAGTCATCTCTGGCTTCTAGTGAGATGAGTTCCATTGTACTTTTTTGGCTCATTGAATCTGGCCTCTGTGTTGATTGTTGAGTCATAGATTTGACTAGATTTCTCCATGTTTAAGGGATATTTTATGTTGTTCAATTCTTTGTAATTGAACTTGATTATCAATGAATTTCCCTCCTTTTTCCTTCGGAAAAAAGACTCCCATCTCTTCATCTTAAAAACATGGCGATAAAATGTTCAAAACAAAAGTCAACATAGTCAAGGCCTAACTTGGGTTGGTACAACTTATAATAAGCTAAAGCTAAACTAGCTAAATGTTTCGGAATGAATATGTATATATAGATTTTCTCCTATACTTACATCCGAACGTTATTATCGTGCAACACCATATATTTTCTACTACCCCTTTCAACGCCATGTATTTTTTACTATCCTTTTCTACTTTCCTTCATGTTTAAAATGGCGTATGTACGATAATAATTTCCGGACGTCCGGACAAGAGAAAAACTATATATATACACACACCTAGGTCTGAAACCAAATTTTATTTCAATCAGCTTGTAGTTTGTTTTACCGAGTTTATGATAACATAATTTTCTAGTACCAACTTTAGGGTTTAGGGTTTATGATATTTTGATGCCTATGGCTAAGCTAGTTCAATGCAACATATTTAGTGTTCATGAATATGACAAATATTTAATACCATTATGAATCTGTCTGAGAGTGTAGTAGTAGTAATCCATTTTGGAAAGGTGGTGTTTTTTTTTGGGTCAAGAAAAGGTGTTGATGTCAGTCAAAGAATCGAGAGAGAGTTTGATCCCGGCACAGAGGCGGCCCATGGGGTGTGCGACGGCATAGGGCCCCCAAAATTTAAGGGCCTCCAAAATTTTCCAAGTCAACCCATTAAATTAACTAAAACATGAAAATAAAAATGAAATATTAAATATCACCCCACAACACCACATGCAAGGCACCAAAACCAAAATTGAATATTAATTATCAACAAATTCTACGACTTAGAGAGTAGAGGCCATAATTTAATTCATTTTCCTCTTCCCAACTCTCACGCTGCAACTCTTCTTTTTATTTATTTATTATGGTTTGAAACTTGTGTTTTTCTTTTCCCAAGTCTCAAGCTGCAAAACCATTTTAATATTCTTTTCTTTTTCAGTAAGTCTTTCTCACTCTCCTCCATCAAAATAAAGTCATTTCTCTTCAGGATCAGTGTACCACCCTCTTCCATCAAATTTTGGATTGTAAAAACCCAAGCTTTAGCCTTTTCCCCAAAATCACAGTTCTTTTCTCCCTCCCTTATTCACATGAGAATTCACCAAGCATTGAAATTTGAAAATCAATTTATTAGCTCTGTGATTTGGAAGAGTGACTAAAGATATATATGGGAAGCTCTTTCCGAATGTGTTCTTCCCGTGTCAGAAATTTTTGTTTTTATATGGATTTTTTTTTCCTACTTGTATATATAGGGCCTTGACATCCATATTTGCACAGGGCCTCCAAAATCAATAGACCGGCTCTGTCCCGGCAAACTGCATGACAGTTGCGGTTTTGCGCCTTCATTTGAGAAGATATGTTTGGCAATTCTATAACTTCGGCCATAACCAAAGTACTTGATACTAGTAACTTGGGCTTACATTGATGCCTCACACACACACCCACCAATGCCCCATGAATGCAAAGTTTACAGTTTTACACCCAAATATTTACTCACCCCACCCAACAAGTCCACAGGGCCACACTACTACACTATACTCAATCTAATGAGCTGGAAATTTCATCAAGCAATAGAATCTTAAACATAATAAACCTAAGTAGCTCGCCACACTACACCATGACTCTTTCAGGATATAAATAGAAAAAACAAATTAGACAAACTAAAAAATGTTATGCGAATGGTAAGTAATGAACTCCAATAATGCAAACTACAAGTCCACATACAACTCACAGATGAATCAACCAAACAGAAAATTGTTTGGAAAATTGGTTTTGATTTACACTTGCCACATGATGTTATTAATTCATAGTTCTATAATAGACGATGAGTTTTGATTTAAGAGTACAGTGGATGCGTATAAATGCGTGGATACTAAACGTAAGGTTCTATTAAACTTGCTATAATTCTTTTAGTGACAGAACATTTTGGTAGTTATTAATTTTGGTTGAGGTTAAATACCGGCCAAGGAAGGAATCGATGGTCACCGCAACTCCCAATTACAGTAGGACATGTTACCACCATGTGCATAATTACTTTCCTTTACCTATCAAGATAATCTTTATGAATTAAATCGTATTCGTATTGGGATTTCTTTCCTAATAATTAGTTGGTTTTTTTCCTGTTTCTTTATGGATGTGTATCTCTCCTATTCCTTCTTGAGTCAGAGTTACATCTATATAAATAGTGTGACCCTGCCTTTATTCTCCTCTCTAGTTTGTATCCAATCCAAGTTTAGTTCTGCAGCCGCGATGAGACCTTGTGATAAAAGTTCCCAATCTCTTGGAGCGCCCTCTCATGGTCATGGTCGTGGTCGTGGTGGTCGCCATCATCAGTCCTCCTCAAAAATATCAAAAATATCAGCACCCGGGAAATCAATATCGAAATTAGTGACGGGTAATATTAATCTTGATGATCTCCCTGAATTTGTATTACTGGAAATTCTATGTCGACTTCCTTCGGAATTTGCGGTTCAATGCATGTGTGTGTCCAAACGTTGGTTCAGTCTCATTTATAATTCTTATTTTTTTCGTCGTGTCCAAAGTGATAAACCCATTACACGCACTGTCATTGTCCCGGATACACAGCACGCAAGGACGACATTCTTTTCTGTGTCGTCGGAGGAGCCTCCTCATGAGCTGGTGTTCAAAACACCACCACGTGAGTTCTCTCTGAGTTTCCTCCCTTGTTTCCAAGCTGATTGTGATTTTTTTAAAGGCGAGCCGTGTGTGGTAGGAACATATAATGACTTAATTTTGTGTTGTGCAACCACGCATTATCAACGTGATTACTACATCTGCAATCCACGCACCAAGCAATGGGAGGCTCTCCCTCGCCCGCCTCGACGCGGACGCCACAAGAGGGTAATGGTTGGATTCATATGCGATCCCAACTACAAGTACAAGAATGATCGAAAGCAAGCAGAAGCAGAAAGATCTAGGAGGACTGTCAATATTCAACTTAATAATAGTATTCTTAATGTTGAGTATAGGTACAAGGTTGTACGAATAATTGATTATCAATGGGAACGTCCCAATCATTCCTCCCGTTTCTACATGGAGATCTTCTCTTCTGAGACTGGTAAATGGAGACAGTCACTTGTTTTCAGCCCGCGGAGGTTTTGTTTTACTCGATTGTCTCCCCACCCTGGGGTTGCTCACAATGGAAGCTTGTATTGGTTTACTGATACTGATCACTTTATGGTTGGGCTGGATCCCTTCACTACTCGTGACCAGATTTATATAAATGACACTGGTAACTATTGCTTTCGTTTCATTGATGAGCCTGAAGACGAATCTCGAACAATGCATTTCCTAGGTGAGTGTGGAGGAGGGTGTCTGCGGATGTGCATGTTGCCTCATTACTGTGATCTTAGTGGTATGAGTGTTTGGGAGTTCGAAGACGACGGTCGTGGTTATGTTGATGGTCAAGTCGACGGGCCTGGAAAATGGTGTTTGGTAGACAAAGTTCGCCTGTTCCAATTAGTCCCGGAAAATCCACTCCTCACTAAGTGGGACCGTGAGTCGTCTACAAAAACGGTTATGGTGCTAGCTTTCGATCCAAATAATAAGGATGTCTTGTTTCTACATTTGTTTGGTCGCATTGTCATGTACAACATCCGTGCAAAAACATTAAAAGAGACCACTTGGACCACTCCATTCACAACTCTCCTGCTCCGTTGTGCTGGGTTATCTGTCTTCCCAGCCTTTCCTTTTGTGCTCCCATGGTGGCCGACACCGATAATTACTAGTAGGGGTTGGCGACAAAGATTCAGCCCTAATCGTTTAATTCCTCACACAGCGAAAGTGCAGCAACATACACCAGTTTCACCAAAGAGGCCAAGGGAAAATGGACGAAAGGAAGCGGTTGCGACTGCCGCTTCTTCTTCTAGGCGGCCCAGTAAACGGTCTAGAAGGTAATTCATTGTAATTTTGTATATATAAGCGGGAGTGGCTGGCCACAATCTGAGTTTGATGTGAGTATATATAATGTAATCCTAGTTAATTAGGCTAAGCTAGTTTAGTACTTATTAAGACTTTGACCTTGTCGTCCTTGTAATGTAAGTAACATGTAGTCTCTTTACTTTGTGCCACTCATGCAACCACATGTGTTGCTTGTACGAAATTGATCGATCAAAAAAATTTAGTACATTTGTTCTAATGTGTTGAAAGTTCACTTCCTATATGTGCGATGAGATACTCTAAACAATATCAAGAGAATCATAAAAACAAATCATCCTCGTCAATCTATGAACATTATAGGCAAGATGAAGAGCAACTTTAATAACTGTGCAACCCCCCATCATGGCCAAAGATGGAACTCAAACTCAAGTGCTTGTTTCTCCTTGTGCCTTTTGGGCCTCCCTTATTTCAAGTGCTACATATTCAGCATCGTCAGACGGACGATCAAAATCCACAGTCGAGAATGAAGCATCATGACCACTTAAAGAAGGTGAAGTGCCTAGAGAAAGTGAAGTTTCAAGAGAAGCATCCAACGAGAGTCGTGCCGAGTGAGGGTGGTTCCTAAGAGCCAGGTTCTTCCTGGCCTTGGCTCTCCATTTTTTCAGCCCTTTAACCACGTTTGCAGTGAAAACTGCTTTTCTCATTGATGTGCCCATCTGTGTGACCAAAGCATAGAGAGGCAGAGTGACATAGCCACAGAGGATTTGCACAATTACACCCATGCCCAGCCTTATCACAATATCCTCTGTTTCATGGTGGAAGCATGATCTTAAGCCAAACTTGTACTGTTTTTTGAAACAATCAATTATATGCAATTAATTAGTAAAGGGAATATACCATTTTCAAACTTCAAACAACATATTGGATTAAAATATGTGCTTACTTACCCAAGTCCATATGAAGAATGCCAGCTGAAAGGAATTCTGCAAGATGCAAACAAATTTAAAAGATTATCTTCTTTTCTTAATTCCATTATTTTATTGGCTTTAAAGTTATGATTGAAGACTCGCCTGAAACAGTATGAAGTGCAAAAGATGGAGAAGCAACTGAGGCCAGTTAAACCAGAAGAAGTGATTGCTGGGCTTCACAAGCAAAGTTCCTCTGACAACATGAGATTTATCATGGCTGTCAAGGCACATCTTAGTTATGATGCCCTGTAGCTTTGTTCCAACCAGTAACAGCATCTGTAGGTGTAGCATAGACGAAGAACAAAGCATATGAAAATTGCAACTCTTTTTTTTCTAATATCTAATCACAGCTTTAATTAAGTATTAAAGTTTATTTTTCTCACCACTAAAGGAATAAAGGGAACCCATAGATAATTGTAAAAACCTGCAGAGGTGCAGCAAATGACAGAGTTAGCCAAATTAAAAGTAATAATTTATAACTGGATTCATTTGATTAATTAAATAGATTCATTCAGGGCATGGTACCATGTGCATTGAAGAATATGACAAATACTGAGAACAACCAAATCCACCAGCTGCAAACAAGTTAAAAAAAAGAAAATGCCAAAGCTTGCTTAGTTGGAGAGATGTGACAGAGAGAAAAGCATCAAGGTCTTATGATCATGAAGAGCCATCTTAATGAAGTTTACCTTATCCCCATAACCACACCAAAATCCTTCTCCATATTCCTTCTTATATATTTTTGAAAGTTAAAATGGCTCCCTTCTGCAAAATGAGCCTACAAACAGCACCCAAAACTTTTTAGATTGAACCAATCAAATGAGTCATTCATGATGTGTTGACAGATTAATACCATTATGAATCCATGCCTGAGAGTGAAGTAATCCGATTTGGAGACAGAATTAAAGAATTGTCTAACAAAGGAAGCCTGCATTTAAAAGACACATCATTAAACTTGCTATATTTCTTGTTTATTAGTTACAGAACAGTATGTTTAATTAAATTTGATTGAGTTTAATTACCGGCCAACGAAGTAATCGATTGTCACTCCAACACTTCAAATGTCGCTTCCCGAATGAGGTTTGATATGTGAGCTGAAACCTCCTTGGATCTACGTGTTATTTGCAGTATGGTGTCAGAAAAATGTGGTTAAAAACTCAAATGGACCCGCAAAGACTTGTATGCAGATATCTATGCCATCCATTTATATCCCTTGAAAGCTTACCGTAAGAAAATTGATACTCCAGTGTTCTGGTTTCAGCCTCCCAAGACTCCCATCTCTTCATCTGGAAAACAAGACAATATAAAATGTTCACCAACAAAAGTCAACATGGTCAAACTCGAGTCAAACTTTCCCTGTTAAAAGCTCAAAAGAAAGAACAAGGAACCACAGATTTCAATAGTTTGTTAGAGTTCACAATTGTGGAATTCCCTCTACAATTTCCCTTCCTCTTTTTGAAGTTACAATGCAACTTGAGTTTTATCTTAATGTTTGCAAAAGTCAAAAGCAGACAACCGAGCTTCACATGCATAACATAGGATTAACTCTTATTTAGGCAGCAGAAATGCAATGGAAACTGCTGAAAAAAGCAAAGAACTAGTGAAATGAATGAGTTACCTTGGCCATACCAAGAGCAAAGGTGAGGACGCAAGATGAAACGTGGAACATAGCAAGCACAAAAATTAAGTATTGCAGCTCATATGCACCTTCCCTCGACATCAAAGAAACTTTTCCCTGGTCAGAGCATTTGGTTTCCTCGACAGCATGACCAAAGGTGGAGCTCTCGCAAGGAAGAAAAGATTCACCAACGCTCTTTGGGATGCATATATTTGCAATTGGCTTTTGGCCCACAGTTAGTAGCAACGATATGAACCCCAACAGCATCAATTCTACATGGTGGAGGGACAAACACAATCTCAGAACAGAAAATAATAATGTAGCATTTCTTATGTAACGTACGTACCCATCATTTTATATTAAGTTAAGCTTAATTCATGTTGTGGACTCTAACCTGATTTGATCTTATCAAGAGCCTGAATGAGAGACTTCCTCTTTAACCTATGAAAATACTGCACAAATATTTCAAGACAAAAACAAATGATCACCTTGCATTGCATGGATGGAAAGATGAAACAGAGTTTTATATTATATAATTATAACTTACCTTGTGTAAGAGATGAAGCAAATACTCGATTATTATGGAGATCACTATCAGAACAAAGACAACAGTGGCCACAGCCCATGTTGGTGTAGCTTCAAGTGTGTTTGCAGTTTCCTCACCTCCAGCCATCTCTGTCTTTGCTTTGTTTCTCTCTGTGTCTCTCTCAAGGGCTGAATTGGGTTGGTACAGTTTATAAGCTAGCTAAATGTTTCAGAAGGAATACATATACACACCTCGGTCCTGGGCCCACTAGATTTCAGAGGGCATGCTAATTGGTCATAGAGTAGGAGCTTTTTCAACATGGGGTGCGCCATGTTTGACTCTTCCTCCACCTTGTACTGCATCAATGACGTGTCTGCACACCTCTCATTCTCTTGCTACAGTGGCCAGTGGTTACTGTTCTGCTAGTTGTTGTATAAAATGACAATATAAACTCTACATCACGTGTGAAAAAATACTAAAAATTATACAGAAGAATTGTATTTTACAGATCCAGGAAGATTTTGTTACACCTAGCTTGATCTAAGCTGAGCTTTTTTTAATTTCTTGGTTTTACATGTGATTTTTTTATATGTTTATTACTCAACACGTTTTTGTGATGCAAATTTGATATTACACAATATGTTGGTTTTTCATGGACATGGTTGTCGGTTTTGACTTTGAGGACCACAAAAGTATTTTTCAATGACACGGGATATCATTACCAATGAACAGCTTTTCTTTGGACCAGAGTTAATCTCATACAACTCTTTGTTTGATAAAACTATTTGTACCATATTTATCGTCATATCATCAACAGGCATTTCTCTTGTGAGAAACGTGATTAACAATGTTGTTGTTTGCTTTGGTTGATGAAGGATCACCTCCCCCGCGCTAATTGATTTGGACAATTTATCACTTTGGTTCAATAAATACGAGAAGAGAATCAAAGGGTCAATGGTGTCACTTTCGTTCTCTATGTTCTAACTTGTGTGTTGTGTTCCAAGAAACTGGTGAACGAATAGAAAGGTGTGGAGACCAATAAGATGGTGAATTAACAAGAAATGGCAGAGATGTCTCTTTCTTTTCTTTATGAGGAGAGGTCCCTATATAAAATATATATGTGTGATTAATGAGTCATTGCATGGACTTTTAGGTCGAGTATCTTGGATTGATGCGACTATCTACTGCATATAGAATATTCCAACATTCAATAATTTAAGACTTTCAGTTCCCATTTCCAGCAAGACATGGCAATGTTACGTGGGAGAATCACAAAGGCAATCTGGGAAAAGCCAAGACAACTGAACCCAGCAATAATTCATAATTTTCTATTGCTGCACATTCTCTAACAATAACTACATCACAAAATTCTTGCTTTAGAAACAACAAAATACGAATATAGCAGGGCACTTTGGAACAGAAGAACAAGCATCATGTATGGAAGAGGAATAATTTAATTAACAATTGCAATTGCGTGGATAGAATTTGCTCAGTTTGGATAGGCCCCTCTTTCCAACAGGGCTATCATATGAGAGGCAATACATAGATTCTACAAACTCTGTTGTTTTCAAAGCTGAATTAACAATACAATCAAAGTCACTTGAGGCGCTTAGTTACAATTTTTACCTCGAAAGTTAAGTTACATAAACGACAGCACACGGATAATCTGAACAAAATCTCAGTTGCCAAGAGACTTCACCCGTACATAGCATAATTATTGACATTATGGTAACATTCCCTGCAAAACAATGTCGACAGAACTAAGAAACTCATAATATAAACTTCAAGGGGTAAAATACTATATATATATGCATTGAAAAACTCATTCTGATTCTCAACAGAAAAAGAGAAATTCAAACAAACAAAAAAGACCTAACAGCTAGATCATCTTCATATTAACTAGGGTTACTTGTATACGACTTTGAATCATATATGTGGCTGCCACAATAAGTTTCATTGGGGTTTACATGGTACCATAGTTTTGACACCACTGCAAGTAGGTTTTGATACTAGGATGCAGACAAAACAAAAAATAGAAAGACTGATAAAAAATAGACAGTTCAGCACTTACTAGTTACTGCCTTTGATCATCTGCAACAAGAATTGTATCATTGCTATCCTTGTAAGCAGCTTTCCATCCTTTCTCCACGCCAGTCAAAAGCCCATTCCTATACATAAACACACCCAACTCACAAATCAGATTATCGTAGCCATCAATCTTAGAGAAGATTAAATGTCCTCTCTACCTAAAGATACGATATTACAGCGTAAATTGAAAAGAGGTTGCATACTTTGGTACAGGTAATTCCAACTGCTGATGTCATCAACGCAGGCTTTGAATGAAACTGCACTCCAGGATTTAATGTAGATGCAGTTGAGGTGGAGTTGCTCTCTCTGTCTGGGACACGTTTTTCCTCAGACAATGAGAAACCAAAGAGTCTACAGCTGCCTTTGTATGGTGAAACTGCATCCGGACTGCCACTAAATGTTGATTGACTTATTACAGGATGATTTGAGATACCATGTTGATTGTAAGAATTCGTGCCTCCATGATCTTCCCTGCTGAAGCTACGTTCACAAAATGAGGATGATGCTTGCTTTCCACCATCTGATTCAGATGCATATGGAGTTCGTTTTATAACTCTCTGTTCCTCCTGGTTATTACCATTGTATACTGAATTGAATTCCAGGCCTGGATTCATTGCTTGCTGGAACATTAACACAGATGATGGTGATGAAACTTGCGCAGATGAGGCAGATGGGTGCACGTGTGCATTATTGCTCTGCATCATGGCAGACCACCCATTTCTAAAGCTTGGCATCTGAAAACCATCATAAATTCCAGGGCCACCATATTCATGAGCCTCGTTATTAGTGGAAGCTCTTCCATATGGTGGGCTTGGAAATATTTCTTGACCTTGCAAGACCTTATGGAATCGGAATGATTCACCAAAGCCTATGCCGGTTGAGGTAATCTCAGAGTCCGCAAGTGACTTTCTGAAACCATTACCTCCAGCAGCAATCCCAGAACCACTAGAACCATGAAAACCCCTCCTTGGTTCAGATGGATGTTGATTCTGACCACCTAAACCACCGAAATGAGTATCAAAACCCAAAATTTCTTGACCTTGCAAGACCTTCTGGAACCTTAAAGATTCCCCAAAGTCTGATGCTCCAATCCCATCTGTAAGGAAAAAAAATGTTACAATCAATAAATTATGTTGCAGAGACTGTCACAATGGAATGTTCTAATCTGAATGCATGACATACTAGGAACTGGAAATTCTGTTTTTGCTGCAGACAAGCCACTCCTGGCCCTCTTCAAACCAGCTGCCATTAAGCTATGGGAACTTGAAACAGAACCAGATGGCTCGATTTCCCATGGGGAAACCCTGCCATGCTTACTTGTGTCTATATCATCCCACCTTACCTGCAAGAGCAAAAGAAAAGTTTGAAACCAATAAATCTAGTGCTAATGGCGTGAACTTATCACCTAGTAAGTTAGTATTGGCATACTACAAAGCAGAGAAAACATCCTTCGTGATATTTCGGTTAATACAACTTTCAAGGCAGTGAAAAATAACTCAACGAATCTTTGCAGCTCTAAAGACTTGACAGCTACAATAAGCAACACCGATGTCTATGTATGAAACATTAAAAACATTCCTTCATTTCTGAATATGATAGGGTTCAAATAATCAAGACCCTGAGTTTCTATCCACAGGGTTATGAGTAAGGTGTTTTGTTCAACAATTACGACAAATTTTGTGACAAATACAAGAGCAGATTTATCCGTTCATAGCATGATTTAGCCAAAAACTGTGCTAAACCCTCAAGACATTTCATGATAAATACAAAGAAGTGTTAGTAATTCATCCTAATTTTAAAATGGTGAAGATGTCATACAATTTTCGTTATATTTTGCCCTCTTGTCCAGTGGCCCAAATGCTTCAACTCTTGTTAAAAAAGGCTTACACCAGATTTGTTCATGAAATGGTTTTGCGAATCTTAAACGTAAAATCAACAAAGTAAACATACAAACAACTTACAAGGTGGGGGATCATTTACCCTTACCATATATAATATTATATATTAGTTTAGAGAACACAAAGTGCGGCAAGAAAGCTGTAATGCATGCTCGTGTAAAAGTTTAAGATACACAAGGTCCAAATGCTTTTGAAGAAAATAAAAAGGATATATATAGAAAGGCTCTGTTAAAAGTACGTACAACTAGACATCTCCATTTTGAACCAGGCCATCTTACAGGATCCAATTCACTAATTCCAGTTATCAGCCCAGTGTATCTGCCAAAAAGACATTTTAATTAAAATTTGACTTTAAATCCTTCAACTATGTCAAATTTAAGGATATGCCAAACCTTCGCTCTGCTGCATCTTCCGTTTCAAAACGCATTTTGAACCGCATTCCAGGTGAAAAGGAATGATCAAGGCACCTCAAAAATTTACGGGAAGGTATTATGAATTCTGATGAGCTGGCTCTACATGATTAATATGGAAAATCATAGGGAGAATAAGATCCAGAAAGACAGATAGGTCTAAAATCATAACTTTCAAGATTACTTTAAGAATATGTTAAATGAATGAGCAGCATATTACCTTGGATTGTAGAAGATGTTAAATGCATTCTTCATGGATATAGCATTCACCACATCCGTGATAGTGTTATAGTTTAATTGCTGGCTACAAAGAGTTGGATAAGTAGCGCACCCTTTAACCTGGGCTGCCCTTCTAATTCCTAGCCTCAGTTCTCCATCATCACCCCTATTATAAACATTGTATGAGAATCATGAATAAGGCCATCCAAAGTTTCTTGAACCGAAGGATTCATATACCTGAGAAACAGCACTGCATCTCCAGAGACGAGCTTCTTCTTGTTCACAAACGCACTCCATCCAGTGGTGAGCAAATGCCTTCGTGGCTGCCCTACTCAAGCCAAATGGAAAGAAGAATAAAAAACAGACAAACAACGAATCTAAAACATTCCATTTACAAAGTTCATAATAAAACTCTAATAAGATTGCTATTGTTTCATGAAGAGATAAACCCGAAACTAATGAATACAAAACATGTCATATCTTTTGGCATACCCCTATAAATATGTCTGAACCTCCACTCCAGACCATGCAGATCCTTTGCTACGAGTTCTTGTGAAGGCCTTTGTTGATTGTAATCCTACAAGCATAATTTAGTTGTCTCAAAATAAAATACAAACTTGTACTTGATTAGACTATGAATCAGTTATAAAAATGATTTCAGGTAATGGAAGTCACAAACAGGTTATGCTGAACTACATGTTGGGGGGAATAAAATGAACTACAAATACCAGGGGGGGAAAACAATCCTCAGCAGCACGACGAGGGACGGAGAAACCTCCATGAGTGCTAGTATCAGAAGCAGTAAGGGTTTTGCAGAACATATGGGGTGTGGTAGACTTCCCAATTGCTTCGACATCCTCCTCACCATATGCATCAGTTTCCCCTTCCCGCAGTTTGTGTTCAATTTCCTAATCAGATTAATGCAAAAATGAAGTCACCCCAATGTTCAATAGACACAACATAAGATAATCTCCAAGAAAAGTAAAGAAAAGGAAAAAAATTGACCCCCAAATGAAATTGAATGCATAATAAGTAGCAGCTTCAAAATGTCATGGAATGACTATCTTGTGTTGTTTGCTAAGAATGCCAATTGCCAAGATGGGATAAAAGGAGACAGACAGATACTAACATATAATCTTTGAAAATGCCAAAGCGGGAAAGAAAGCCAGAGAGAAGGTGAAATTTACAAAATTTCGGTTCTAAATTGTTTTGTTTGCTGAGAGATGAAATGCACTTGAGTCTACTGTATGGAAGGCTCACATTTCTGAATGACTTTTGACAATTAAACTGAGCTTTAAGTTCCAAAATCACAAAAATTAGTACCACCATAAGGAATTTCAAAAAACAAAAAAAAATCTATTTTCAAGCATTTTCTCACAAACCAACCAGAGAATCAAAACCACAACAAAGCCCACCTCACTTTCAGGAACTAGTGAAACCTGCGCATACACATCGTCGGTGCCAGTCTCAGCCTGTGTAAAAAAAGATCCAGAAAACATGAGAACCCAGATAATAATAATAAAACAAAAAAGGCATCAAATTTCACCAAAACCCCAAAAACCGAAAGCATTGTGGAGAGAGACTCACATGGAGCTTGACATCAACAACGCGACAGAAGAGGTGAGGTGGGAGATCATAAGCCGAAGCTGGAAAATCAGAGACTTGCTCCAAGTGGCCCTGTGGAAGATACACTACCACACTCCCTTTCTTTGGCAGCGAAATCAGTGGGCCCGCACACGCGTGCCACAGCTCCAAGCACACCGAAGCCGAAGCCGAAGCGTCAGAAGCAGAGGAAGTTGAAGACGAACCAGACGACGGCGTTTCCTCGTCTTCCGTTGCACTGTTCAGATCGATTAGACCCCCCATGTGGAAATAAACAAAAATTGTACGGACCCAACAAGAAGAAGAGAAGGAAGAGGAAGAAAAGGACTTTGCTTTCGCTCTGGTTCTGCTGTTTACAATATGAAGAAGAGAAAGAAGGATGAGGTGTGTGAATAAGAAGAGAGCATAGGAGGAGGTTTCATGTCTGCATTTTGAGAGGGGTGATAAGGAGGTTGTTAATTAAGTGCAACTTTGGCATTTGCTAAAAGAAGCTCAAAAAGACACACCCACAGCCCACCTCTCTTTTCTTTCTCCCTTTGCTGTTCTGTGTCTTTCTCTCTCTGCCTGCTTAATTTTCTTTTCTTCTTTTCTTTTCTGCTCTTTTCTTTTTCTTTTCCTTCTTGAGGGTGAGAGAGTGTACTACTGTTTGTGTTGTGTGTGGATTGTGGATGGGCTTTTGGGTATCAAATCAAAGCTTAAAGCCTTTTTTAACTTGAAAAGAGAAAAAAGAAAACAGAATTTAATAAGCAAATCACATAATTAATATGGGGCTTTGTTGCTGTTCTCTTTTCATATAAAAAAAGATTAAATTTTTTCTGTCTGCAGGCTGAGCTGCACTGCAGCACTGCTGCATCTGCTGCAACGCTGCAACTGCTGGGTGTGATGTGTGGCAGAGAGACAGTGTGAGAGAGACACAGAGAGAGGGAGAGAGTAATGAGAGTGTGTTTTTAATTTTTTTCCAATAAAATATCATAGACTGAAAAGTGGAGGAGGGTCTGTACGGCACCCCCTGTATTTCCGGGCGGATGTCTATTCTGTCCCCTTCTACTCCATCAAATCTCACTCGTATCCCCTTCCTTAATCCTCATTCTCTCCCTCCCCCATTTTTAATATTTAATATAAAAAGATTGAATTTTTGAGAAAAACAAAACCAAAGACCTCTTCTTTTTCTTTTTTTTGTCAAAACAAAAACAGAGACTTTGAACCCATACATTCTTTCTTAAAGCCTAATTGGGTTGTCTCCCATGGTTTCTTCTGATATAGATTTACCACTTTTGAAGCCATTGGGTTCCTTCCTATATTATTATTGCATTGTATTTGGGATGCTTTGGGTTTTTTCTCCTCTTCCTTTCATCTCTTGGGTTCGATTGATTTTTTGCATAGCCAGAGCAGAGACTATTGGTTAAAGTGTTGCTGAAAGAAAGTTACAATCTGGGCAATCTGAATTGGCCAACTTTGAAAGACAACTGTACTCTTAGGACATTTGCTATTGTGGGGCAACCCTTCCTCATCTCACAATCTAAACTTGGGTGCTATTTTAGCAACCTGTACTTGTAGGCTTTACACATTCAACTTTGGCAAGCTTTAGCTTTTTTCCACTCACTGAGTTTGCTAAGTTAGAAAAATCCATGGTCCAACTTCAAAGTGATATCACATAATGTTTTACGACATTCTTCACTTTTGCTGCAAATTTACCCAGCTACTTTATTTGCCCATGTTTGGATTTTTCCATAAGAGTCTTGGGGCCTCATTATTTGTTGTTTCTTAGGCAAAACGCAATGTCAAATGTGGGTCATTATGCCTAACCAATTGGGGGACAAGTAAAAGATGTCCCTTCCCATTTCTGCAGATAAAGATCAAGACTGGTAAAACAGTTAGTTACGAGCTTTGCTATGAACTCTGCTTTTCACAGCTTCATGCACTTCAGTCAAAGTTAAAAAGGAAAACCCTGGAATTTATTTTTAAGTGAAGTCAAATTGAAATATAAGCTTGTGAATGTGGGGAACACTTACAAATACAAAATGTCAACCAGTTTGAACTTAGAGAGTACTGAGTCAGAGACATCTGAGATTGATTAGCACATTTTCACATGCAACATTCTTTGCTTGTTAATCCTTTCACTTACACACGAAAAAGTGAATAACCCCATCCTTCGACCAATAAAATAAAATAGAAAGAAAAAAGGCCACACCACACATGAAAAAAGGACCAAACTCTATAATAATTGCCACGACTTTAGAGTATTGGGCATCTCAAATTGTAGTCATTTGTCTTATTGATGTTGGTAACTTTCAAGCATGCAGCTATGTTTTTATAGTTTGGTCGTTTGGTTAACTTAACTTGAGTATTCAATCAAATTAAAACAGTTAAGATACGAATCAGCTCTTGTTACAGTGGTACTTCTCTTCTTAACAGTATAAGAAATTTCCAATCCGAATCCCGTCCCCAATATGAAAAATAAAAACTTCCAATTGAGGTAATGTTGTTAGTAAGTCCAAAAAATTCTTAAAACAGTTTTTCTATATAGCTACATGATATTGCATGTAATAAAAACCTATGGACCCCTCCACAACGGTAAGAAAAATGGCCCATCATCAAGCATCAGGTTATGAGTTATTTTTCATTCTGATAAGAATCAAGTTATGAGTTAACTGTTGATATATAAACAAGCAAGATGATCAATCTATAGAAAAACGAACAAAACTTTTGTCAGAAATTTTTGATATGAGTAGAGCCTGTACAAGTATGCTGTTCAACTCCATAAATTCGAGAAACCCTAAATGGTAATGTAGGTGTGGAAAACGACAGAGACTGGCAAGATGAAGACGGTGACTACAATTTTTGGTGTCATGCTTTGCAGACATTATAATTAGCAGTTTTCAACTTTACAGGTACTATTATATTTAATTATATTTTACTATATATCATTTATATTTATATTCTTAGTCTATGGGCAAAAGGGTATATTTGTCATTTGGCTTGATGCATAAATAAACATATGTGTCACAGAAAAGTAGCAGGTCTTTATCTGAGCCATCAATTGCAAAGAACCCAACCACACAGGGCTACAGGCTATAGGGCTCTATAGATGGATAGCTCTGTATGGCTTTTGTATTGCTTTGGTGAATAACCCGGATAAAACGGGTTACAACTCAATACCCGATTGAGTAAGGACTCGGTCTTCGCTTTTATCTTCAATAGGAAACTTTCCAAGTACCACGCGCCCTCCGAGAGCGTTTTATGTGTTTATGTTTTTTGAAAGGATACTGCAGGGTTAGGCTAATCGGCTAGGAAAATGAGCCCGTTCCTATACATTCATGTTTGAATCTTCCATTATCATTTATGCAAAATAAGTTCTACATGTATTAACATTTATAAATAATCTACATGTGTTAGGATAACTGAGCTTATAACTACTCTTGATTAAAAATTCGATAATGAATGTTCAAAACTTAAGGTGGAATTACTATCATTAGTGCCCTATTTTCATGTGTTTGTATTTGGACATACCTTCAAACTTGTTTGTTAATAACGAAGATAGTATCTAGGAGTTGACAAGCAACAAGCAAAGAAACCCTAGGAGTCTTTGTACCGTTTGGGGTCAATGGCTTCCCATCCCCTTCCTTCTATTATCCTCCATACTACTCCTCCCTCCCTCTTTGACCCTATTTTCCTCTTGCTCCTTTTGTTTTTTTGGGAGACTTGGTTATGGTTGGCCCTGATCCAGTCGATTTTCACAGCAAAGTGTGTGACAAATGGTGGAGAGTTAGAACGAGAAGCTTTAGATGTAGGGGTATGTGTAGGGGTTTGTCCTTAATGTAACTTATTTGAACTATGACAACTTAGACGATATATTTAGACAAGTTCTTTGCGACTTATTCTCTCTAAATTGTTTCAGCCCTAGATCTGACTTTGGTCACTAGGGAAGCTTTACCCATATCCATCATATTGCTAATCAAGATGACTATCTATGTACTTTTTCAATTAATTTAATAAAATACTATAACTTATTTGATTAAAAAAAAAATGAAAATATCTTTCTTACCACATTATTTGATGACTAAATTTAGAACAAATGTTTATTCTATCATTATTAATAGGTGAAATAACAAAATTATATTTGCATAGATGAGTAGCTTTCATATACACAATCTTATTGTTAAATAAAATGTAGCCAATAAATTAAAAAAATTCATAACAACCTCTAATTTCGTATGGGGAAGGCAGTTGCGTGTGAGTGTTTTTTGTTTGTGTATTGAAGTTGATGGTACGAAACAGACGTGACTACAGCTGCCTTTATAGGAGCGTGGGTTGGCATCATAATTTGTTTCCCTTTTGCCTCACTTTAAACTTTTCTGTCAGTCCCACCCACCGCACTACCTTTCTTTTCTTTTCTTTTTTGCCCCTTTCATTCTTAAATTATTGCTTTCGACCCCTGGATTCTCTATATTGTTACCTTAACCCTCTTCTTATTTATTTAGCCACCCACGTACTTTTGATAGACATGCCACCTCATATTTCTTTCTTTTTTTTCTTTTTTTTTGAGAAAAATAGTTTAGGGAGAGATTGGTTGCTCTCACAACCATCACCACGGCAGACCCACAACCTCGAGTATGAATGACTTATACATGACACCCAACTGCTAGCCGAAATCAGTATGAATTTATGTAGAAAATTACTAATCGCACACAAATGAGGATTGCTGGTAACGAGACTCGAACACTGATCTTATGGAGCTACACACAGTATAGAGACCTTACAAACTGAACCAACTCTCGTTGAAATGCCACCTCATATTCATTAATAAAGCATAACATTGAATTTTGAAGTGTCCATATCCATTCTCATTTCTTTTCTATTTTCTTCCTTTACTATTGTTTATTCTTTTATTTAAAAACCTTTTTCTCTACGTTTTGATTTCACTGGCTTCCTGTGTTCTTGTTTCTCTTTTTGAAGGTCAAATGCCATGTTGGTAAGTTACCCAGTTGGGAAAACCATGAACAAAGTCTTTTTCTCTTTCACCAAGTTTAGTTATATTGCTATATTTTTGAACACCATTTACACATCTTTATTTATTTTCCATTTTTCTTGTAATTTTAAATGTAAATAAAGTAAATATCGGTATGTGGTTTCCCAGTGTCGAGCCACAACAAACAAGTGTTTGTCATTTTTCAATCAATCAGATTCAAAAACCCAGCAAAATTATTGATTATTTGCAAACAAAAACAGAAAGCGGACGAAACAAAGAAATCATGACAGCGAAATCTCACGGAGTCTGTATGTAGGGTAAAATCGGATTAACAATATAACAAAGACAAAATTCTTAAAGTGGGGTGACAATTTGTTTTGACATCATAGTGCTCTGCTAATGGTGATCAAATTCCAATCCTTAAACAATGTTTGTAATGACGTCCTTTGACTAAACTCCTTTGTCTGTCGGTCTGTTTTGTTGCTTCTGCATTGTGCTGGTGGGTGGTAAAATCGTAAATGAAGTCAATTATTGCTTATGCTTTAGCTTTCTTTTCACGTATGGTCATGCATAATGTTAGAATTCAACTAATGTATCAATATGTTTTTGCTTTTTTATGTTATCGTTATATCATCATGTGTTGCAAGTCACACATGTTAATGTATGAGTATTCATTTATTATTATTAAAGCACGCATTATAAAAAATATCATGTGACAGTCCGACAATCACACATGAGTATTCTACGACGCTTCCGTGCCAATCATGTAAGTTAATAATTGCCCCATGAATGTGAAGGAATTGAATCCAAGTACCCTTTCAATCCAAGCTGTTGTTTTGTTGGATTCACACGAAAATATGATGCCCTTGGGTGAAATTATCTGAAAGAAGAACGGCAACATGGGCCTACACAAACAAAGTTGTATGCGCATAAGTGCTAGAAGAAAAGTGAAAAATGTCAAGACTCAAGGCTCAAGGCCACTCTAATTTGTTGGGTTCCTCTGTTAATCTCATTGCCACCCAACGACAAATATTTGACTTTATTAAAAAGTGGACGGTATTTTTCCATAATGAGTCAAGTTTTGCAATTTGTCACAGTAGCTACACCTACAAGTGCGGAGTGTGGACACAAACCCTAATCATCATATTCCCGCTAATTTTTGTTTTCCACAATCTATGATTTGGTCCAATTTTAGAAAAAAGGAGGTCAATGTAGATGTAGGGATTAGTGTTGCTATCAGTGTGAATTTTACCAATTCAAATGATTTCAAATTGACTAGTTTTATTGGTTTGGCAACCTTTTTCACAATTAAAAATCGAAAAGGAAAAACAAACATTTGGTTTAATTAAGAAGATCCATTCTTTATTTTGGAAAAGTTAAAGTCCGAAAGGAATCTACAAAATCTCGAGCTCGGTCCATACAAAAATGCTAAAAGACATGTAACCATATTAGTCAAGATTTTTAAGGACGATTGTGTTGTACGTATTTTGTTGATCCAATATGCTATCATCTCAATTTTGTCGCTAATCACATCATTTGAAAGGGTCTTATTTTGTAAAGTTAAGTGATTGATAATGGCTATCCATCATTTGCGTTCATGGCAATGTATATTTTTCGGCCCCGGTAATAATTCGGTCATTGTTTTATATTATATCATCATCTATCAACAAGCTCAAATTTGAAAGTATATTTCTCAATTTATGTGGCAGTTGATGTGCATATTACATCATTACGTCAGAAAACAAATTATATCATAGAACCCAATGAAAAAAGACCATGTATGTCGGGAAAATAAAGCTAAGAAGAAAAGTTGTAAGATAAGAGAGTTAAAAATAAATATGCATGCATCAAAATGTGCTTTTGTCACATATCTACACATAGTTTCACTTAAAACCTATGAATTTGAGCATACAATAAAACCAAAACACAAACAACCCCACCTACAAAAACCCCTAGAGTCCCCCACTTGTGCTGAACCATGTGAACACATTAGCAAATTGGAAATACAAATCAAGTGGGCCACCACCCCTTCCTTATCTAAGCACCATTCTTCACTCTGTTGTCCCCCTTTGCTCCCAAAGCCCAAACCCAAACCTAAACAGGAATCTCTACCAAGGACTTCACCCCCACTCTCGATCCCCGTGCGTGATCTCATCTGCCTCTGCAAGCCAAAAAAACTATACAGCTACACGCGTACAAAAGGCGCGTGGGGGTATTAAAAGGGTCAAGATCAAAGGGGAGGGCCCAAATGACTAAAGGCGTCGCTTTTGCAGAAGGCCCCTCGACTTTTACGCGGGTGCTGCCTCTGCGCTCTCTGCCTCTCTCAGCCTTTCATCGTACTTTTGTCACGTCAATCATCTGCACGCGCCCCGACCTCTGCCTCCCTCCCCACCGTACGCGTGTCGCTGAGGAAGGGCTATTTCCGTCATTTTCGGATAAGTTACCTCCCACCAGCCAGCTGCAACAGTCCATAGGCGCAGGTCAGAAAATTTTCTCCCTCTTTGCTTTTCTTCTTCGTTGCAGGGGTACTTACTCATTTATCATATCCCGAGATGCGGTGGAACACGTGGCGGGAGATGTGTGGTGGATAGGACCCACTTAGGAACTGGATCGGTCTTTGTCCGTGCAGAGGCTTGTCGGCTACTTATATAAGGTTAAAGGTTGTTGATCGTACGGCCAGGATTCATGAATGGGCCAAAACAAAGTTGAAGCGTCAGAGGCCGACCCAGAGCTATAAATCGCAGGATGAGACGGATAACTGGCCAACATCAAACTTCCCAATCTCTACTTTTTTCTTTTAATATTATAATCACACCTTATGTTTTTTTTTAAAACGAAAAATCTGCAAATTTTTGCTTCCCAAAGAAAAAGGATTCTAAACTACTATAGTCAGACTAGGTAATTACTCTTAATTATTTGAATTACAAGTTCTATAATTTATGTAATTTATTTTTAAAATAGAATTTTAATACTATTTGATTGACGGAAGAAAATCGAGTTGTGATTCACAATGCATTGGAATATCTAGCTTATGTTTAGCTCGAAATCTCGTTGATATGGTGGAATTTGCCCATTACTGTAGACGGGCTTTAAACTGTACCCAAAACCATATACATGCAAGAAATGCGAACATTTTTGCAGGCCCAGCCCTATGAGCCCAAATCATAAAACAGTAAAAATAAAAGTATGATTATGGCTCGTCTCCTTAAAATTGAGGAGGAGCTCCTCCTTACAACCATGTGCGTCCACCAGTTCCATTTAGGTCTTCAGTCAAAGATATAAAAAATAGTAACGATAAAATATTTGATTATTAACAGAGAGAAACCCAACATCACTAAACAAAATTTCTTAGGTTGTTTAAATCCAGCTCTGATCAGCGCCTATAGTTTTATAATTTGAGCTGTACTGCCATTAAGTCAACATGAGGTTGGAGACTTAATGAAGGCAAAACTTTCAACATCATGCAATTTGAGGTTGATTATTATGAAAGATTTAGCAAAAAAAACTACACAAACTCATGTCTGGGTTTTCTGCAGGGTTGCAACCCAGCTTTTGTTGAAGAGAAAATAAATAACCAGACATATATAATTGCATTCATCAATCTGACTCAATTCTGCAAACTTGTTGCTCAAGAAATCAATTATACACTTCAAAATATAGCCAGAGCTGACAAAGAGATTCTCTCACCCATCCTTTTGATTGTTTGACTTTGACTTCAAGTCTTTTTCGGTGTCTGACCTCAAGTCATGGCAACACAGGATGAGGACCATGATCATGGAGGAAACAAACATGGGTATAGGCCCAAAAAACCATAGCAGAAAGTTGAGAGCAAAATACAGTGCTCTGAGCCCAAGTGACCAAAACTCACTTCCCCTTTGAACTGCGTTTTCCACTTTTTTCTCTCTGTCCTGTTTTTCCAAATCTGATAGATCTGGAGTGCTTAGTAGGTAGTTTGAATGGACGAAGTGCCTGGTTGATTGAACAAAGAATGAGAAAGCAAAGAGAAAGCTTGACAAGAGGCATATGTACTTGATAGAAATAATTGATGGGCTTGTGTTGCCGTATATAATTTCTCTTGGGATGAAGTTGTCTGTGGAGTTTGCCATCCAAGTTCCAATGAGAGAGCAGAGAGTCAAGGAGATTGTGGCTAAGTACATAGTTGCACTTGTGTTGGAGGCAATCACACCAAGGCCTCTGCTAACATTCTTTCTGACTATATCATCATTATCACCCTGCAGCCAGCTCACAACAACAGTATCAGCAAAATAAATTAAATTGAATTGGGATCAACAAAATTGGGCAATTAAAGAAAATATGATACTTGACTGACCTTCAAAATTTTCTCAACCCAAACTTTTTTGTCATTGATTTCATATCCCATGGACGTGTATTTAGGGTATTTTCTGTATGTGAAAAGAAGGAAGAGGTGGTAGAATAACATGATTAGCAGCCCACTTGGAACCAACACCACATCAAGGTACTCATGAAGAAAATCCATGGTCTCCTATGGTCTCTTGCTGCTGCTGCTCAAAATGGCAATGGGCTTGCAGGGATTTTATAAAGGAGCAGTCCATTGCAGTTGGATTTTTTTAAACCTAGGCTTGACTTTGTGTTGGAGCCAGTTGATGCCTTTGGGAAGTGGTCATCTTTTGAGCTAAACTAATTAATAATAATTCATGCAAGGAGATAGTAGTCATAAGGCCAATTAATTAAACAAAATTGATTTTATAGTTTCTTTATCTTTTCCACATATTTGATTACCATTCTAAATTGTTGGTTGCAATATAAGATAATATAAATACTGCAAAATATAGTATTGCAGCCTAGCTTCATTCATGAATGCCAGGTGGGAATGCTCTATGCCTCCTGTTCATGTCTCTAGTTTTATGGAATAAAGGAACCCACAGAGAATATTCAACATATGGGAGTCTAGTTTTAGCTTAAAGATTACCAGTTGCTTTCATTTTTGGCAACAGCTTTCACTGTCAACTGGCTGCATATGAATTGGAAATTGAAAGCAAGTTCAAATTTGCAGCAAGTCAAACCATACGCTCTTTAAACAAATCCGAAAACAATCCCAAGAATCATGGGCAGGACAGGAGAGCTCCATTATAAACAGAACAAGACCTCCTTACTGCATTGTCCTCTGCAGCACCAAGAGATAGGAAGCTATGGATTTTAAGAACTTTCAGAAGGAGTATCTGGATATGGTGTTGGTACCAAGTGGGCTATTGATCATGCTAATTTACCACCTCTTCCTCCTCTATAAGTACCTCAAACATCCTCTCTCCACAGCCATGGGCTATGAAAACAAGGACAAAAAAACTTGGGTTGGAAAAATTCTTCAGGTAAAGTTCCATATCTATTTTTTCTTCAAGTTCCTGATCAAACAAACTTGTTGATCCCAATTTTCTTACCGTGTTGGTGGCTACAGGGTCAAGATAGTGCTACAGCTGTCACTGTGATTTCCACCAATACAACTGCAACTATTTACTTGGCAACAATCTCTTTAACTCTTTGTTCTCTCATTGGAGCTTGGATGGCAAAATCCACCAACAATTTCTTCCCAAGAGAAATAATATATGGCAACACAAGCCCATCCATTATTTCTATCAAGTATATTTGCCTCTTGACCTGTTTTCTCCTGGCTTTTTCATGCTTTGTTCAATCAGCCAGGCACCTTGTCCATTCAAACTACCTGCTAAGCACTCCAGGAGCTACTTCTAAAGCTGATGTGAGAAAAGCTAAGAGAGCGGTTGAAAGGGGAAGTGAATTTTGGTCACTGGGGCTTAGAGCACTATACTTTGCTCTTAATTTTCTGCTATGGTTTTTTGGACCTGTGCCCATGTTCATTTCGTCTGTCACTACAGTCGTGATGCTATCTTGCCACGACTTCAAGAGGTCAGATAATAATCAAAAGTGGCCTGCCTCAGCTGTGGCTGTAAATGAAAGTGCATTATTAATTTCTTGAGCCTCAAGTTTGTAGAATTCGATCAAATTTCATTGAACATAAATGCAATTAACTTCCAGTTTTTTATGAACATAGCCTTTGTTTGCTTTTCTTTTTGGGTTTAATCTCGAGGTTACAGGAAGTCCTGGAATTGAAAAACTTGAGGTGTACTTGTACAACTGCCAGTCAATGTGCGTTTATACGGGCGGTTTGGCAGGATGTTTTATAAAACAAGTTACACACACACACACACACGCATGTGTTTGCTTTACAATTCTGAAAAAATAATTCTATTTGGTCAACTCAATCAACCAATTATGTCAATCCTATTGCCTTCAAATATAATATAGAAAGCTACAACTTATTTTCTCCGTAGATAGAATATTCAACCACGATTCAGGTTAGGTGAAATTCCGACTGTTAGTTCATAGATTGTAGACATCTACTAGTACTATCCAATCAATATAAAATTCAATTTAGAAACCAAATTTTGGACCATAGACTGAAAAAAATGAAGTTAATCTTCTAATTTCTAGCCTTTGAAACTCTATTACATTCGTTTTTTACAATCAAATTACCTTTCTCTACGCTATCTACTATCCAACAACTCCAAATTAACACGCATACGTAATTGCATTTACAATTTCACATTAAAAAAATTTGGTGCTTCCAATCCAATAAATTAATAATTAGACAGCTTCAACTGCTTCTGTATGCTGATGAATGTTCACAGCCACCTCTGTGATTCTCTGACCAACCTTTTTAACCAGCTGCCTTCCCGGAAGCTGGTGGTCGTGCAAAGGTCTGGTGTTTTTGTCCATGTAATGGAGGAGTATGACCAAAACGATGGAGGACAGAAACATTGGTATTGGACCAAAAAACCACAGAAGCAGAGTCAGAGCAAAATAGAGTGCTCTAAGCCCAAGTGACCAGAAATCACCTCCTCTTATAACTGCCAGCTCCACGTACCAAGCCGGAATATTACTGTCTGGTGTGCTTATCAGATAGTTTGCATGAACAAAGTGCCTTGCTGATTGAACAAAGCATGCAAAGGCTAGAAGAAAACAAATTAAGAGGCTTATGTACTTGATGGTAAGGATTGAGGGGCTGACGTTGCCGTAGATTAATTCGCTCGTAAAGACGTCATTGCTGGAATTACTTCCAAGCCAAGCTCCAATGAGAGAACTGAGAGTTAAGGAGATGGAACACAAAAAAGTTGCTGCTGATATGTTGGATGAAATCACATTGAGGGCTGTGCCAATGTCTCTTTTATCAACCTGCAATTGAAGGTAGGCAGAGGAGATCAATTTAAGCTGTCTTGGGCTAAAATTTGTTACAAAATTAAAGCTATCATTTGAAAAAGAGAGAGAGAGGAAGAAGAGATTCCAGTTACCTGCATAATTCTTTCAACCCAAGCTCTTTTGTCATTGTTCTCAAAGCCAATGACTGTGGTGTGAGGGAGATGAAGATATCTGTAGAGAAGGAAGATGTGATAGACAAACATGATCAGCAATCCACTTGGGACCAACACCAAATCAAGGTCCTCCTTTCCAAAAGCCATAACTTTCCTTGCTGGTTTGCTAACTGATAAAAGAATGAAGATGGGAGATCTAATTTGTTACGGGAATTTTATGGTTGGAAGGACGCCTTAATTTCTATGCATCTGTTGAAGGGACCTTTGACTTCAAATGGGGCTGCGAGCACAAACAAGTTGCATTATTTTTTAGCTCAACCCACCTTTTAGAACACTTCAAAAGAAAAAACAAGGACTGTCTAGAAGTGTGTTAATTTATTGAGCAAGTACTAATTATGAGGGCTCTCTTTTTCTTTTGGGGAATATTAATATAACAGGATTGTCTGTTTATGGGTGTCCAATTGATGTAGTACAGCCCGTAGGTATTAGATTAAGCACTCAAACAATAGAACATAGAAGAATATAAGAGATCGAGGAGACGAAAATATAGATCGAAGGGACAAAAAGAAAGGACTGAAATCAGAGAACCGAGAAGGAAGGACAGAAATGACACTCAGAGAAGGTTTGCTAGATATCCAAATCTGAATTTTAAAGAACTACGTGGGGTTATTTATAGCAAAACTAAAACCTAGACATAATAGGATAAAAATCCCTTGCTTAAACAAAAATCCTAACCCAAATAAAATAGGAAACTTAAAACTAGAAATCTGGACATTTGGAGAAGTAGAAATCCTACTAGAATTTGGAAAACTAGAGAACTTAAGAAACTAATAAATTTAGGTCCTACATGTCGTGCATCACCGATCCTTACAGAACCAAGTTCAATTTTATCTCTCTTACTGGATTGGTTACTTTGTGGTCTTTGTTTTTCATTTCCTTAGTACTTTTCTGCTTTGCTGGCATCCCAGACTTTGGCAAGAATGTTAGGCATGTCCCATTTGTTTAATGTGAAAATGAACAAATAATAAAAGTCTCATTAACAGTATAAACCAATAATTAATCAAAATTCTATCTATAAAAACAAAGAATTATTGAATAGCGGCCACACATCGGTGACTTATTGGATGATCGTGTAACTTGTAAGGACTTGATATGATCACCATTTCAAAGATTGACATTTCAGGATTCGGACTTTCTTACGGGTAAAAGAGATTAGCCATTAATAATCATGATATGCAAATGTGATTTAATTTATTCAGGAGCCACATAAATCTTGCAATGCATGATTGTTTCTAAGGATAGACTTCAATAAGGGACCTCAAACCAAATATTGGTGTTAACTTGTAGTTGCTGAAGCCAGCCTCAAGGAAGAGTTTTTTCCAATCCTTCTCGCTTCTCTCTCTTCCAGTAACCACAACCATCATCAGCAGGTCAAAAAAGAGCTTCGCTTCTGTTATTTCGTGCTCATCTTTCGTATCGTCTATCACTATGTCTATGATGATGACCTTCCCTTGACCATTGCCTGGAATGGCTTCTCTGCATTTCTTCAGAACCTTCAAGCATTCCTCATCGCTCAAAGCATGTAAAGTCAGCTGCCAAATTACTCAATTTTGACATCAGATTTCGAAAACCATGTAGTTGCTAAAAGTACATAGAGGCCAAAACAGAACATCACTGAAAAGTGAAATTTGCATACCTTGAGTAAAATAGCATCGGCTGGAGGGATGGCCTGGAACATATCACCTCCAATGAACTTCAAATTCTCTGTGTCTGCCAAATTAGCAACAACCTGTGGAAGTTCAAGAACGGTGCATTTCAAGTGAGGGAAGGCCTCACAAAGGATCCTAGCAACTTTGCCTGTACCACCCCCTACATCAACTAATGAACTCAACCCTTCAAAGATTGGCTTGCAATCTTTAATGACCAAGTTCATCATTCCAGAATCACTAGTCATTGCCTCGTTGAAATGACTGTTGAACTCAGGGTTTTGGTCTCCATATTCCCAAAATCCCATCCCATGTGCACTCTCAAATGGGGTTAGCTCGTTCCCTCGGAACCAATTTCCCAAGAACTGCCATGGGGTTGCAAGGGCCGGATCGAGCATCGCCAAAACAAAAGGTGACAAGCTGGGAACTTTATCCTTCAAGAGGAGCCTAGAAGATGGTGTAAGATCATATGCCTCTTCTTCTTCTTCTTGATTGCTGCGAACTTGTTTTATAGCAAAGAAGCCAGAGTGTACCATGAGGCGCATGAGCCGGTGCACATGACCAGTTCTTGCCGGATGAATTTGAAGTGCTGTGACCAAGTCAGGGAGAGTAATGGGTTGGCAGTGGCTGTTGATTATGTCCGGTATGCCAAGCTGAACTGCACACTTGAGTGACATAGAACTGATGAAGTTGAATATGTGTTTGTACAAATGAGACTGAGCTTGAAACAAGTCTCTTCCTTCATCACCATCCATAATTCTTCTGCGAATTATTTTGCCACTAACAAACCAGTCCTGCTTATATCACTCTTAAGAACAAATGATTTCATGAATTACTCATACGAAGATAAACTCAGCAAAGCCTTATCATCAGATACCCTAAAGATAAGGATAATTTTCCATCTGTCCTGGAAGGATAAAGGCAGGACTTTTGAAGACGAAAAAGGACAAAAGGGCTTGTTGAATTTTAAGCTCACATGTCAATTCTTGGCATTTGGAGTGATTTTGATTTCAAATAATGCTGTGGAAATGTCAACTCTTAACATGGGTACAGATCAGGGTAAAATGAAGCGTTTTATATGTAACATGGGCTCCTTTAAAAACTCGTAGAATTGAAATAAAGGCACTGAATTTCATTAACGTAGGATGTTAACATTACAAGATTTCAGATTCTTAACTACAATTCTACCCCTACCCAAAGAACACAAAAGAGCAAAAGGAAAAAAAATAAGCCTTTCATCTAGAACACACCATACCCAATACAAGTCCTTCTCTGTACTAAAACCCATCACAAACCTAAGCCCTCTCTCCCCTAATGCGCCTAGCGAGCTGAATATCCTTGGGCATGATGGTCACCCTCTTGGCATGGATCGCGCACAGGTTGGTGTCTTCGAAGAGACCAACGAGGTAGGCCTCAGCAGCCTCCTGAAGAGCAGCCACAGCAGAGCTCTGGAACCTCAGGTCGGTCTTGAAATCCTGCGCGATTTCACGGACCAAACGCTGGAATGGGAGCTTCCGGATGAGGAGCTCAGTGCTCTTCTGGTACTTTCGGATCTCACGGAGAGCCACGGTTCCGGGCCTGAACCTGTGTGGCTTCTTCACTCCACCGGTGGCCGGAGCAGACTTACGAGCTGCCTTGGTGGCCAGCTGCTTGCGAGGAGCTTTTCCTCCGGTGGACTTGCGGGCGGTTTGCTTGGTACGAGCCATTGATGAATTGAATGGAAGATCGAGAGACGATTAGGGTTGCAGAGAATTGGGGATGCCGATTGAATTCGGAGTGGAGTGAGTATGAATTTGGGTATGGAGGGTTTTTTATAAGGCAGTGTGTTAAAAATGGAGATGGGAGAGGACTAATCGTGGCTGTTGATTCATTTTGCGTTATCGACGGCTGTGCTTGGTTTTGTGGGCTACTTTAGTTGCGGATCAATGACGTGGAAGGTTTTTGGGTTGTGTCTGAGCGCGAGTTTGAAATTTATGGCGCGGATATAGAAGAGACTACAGCCGCTGATTCAGTGGTAATCAACGAGTGTAGTTGGTTTAGTGTTTCGGGTGGTATGGCCACGGATCGAGGATCGGTGACGTGGGTGCCTTGCTGTATTTGGGAGTTTGGGCTTTAATATTTTATTGACTCTCTTCTGTTTTGCAGTCTGAAGTTATGGTTTTACGGATGCTTCGATATGGGCTTTTCATGTCAAGCTATCCAAGCTATAAATTAGATCCCACCTCCATAGCAAATTCGAACAATTGTTCCAGACATTTGACTATGGCTGGTTTTTGAATGGATCGGATCAAAATAAGGGGATTTTAATTTCAATCCAAAAAATGTCGGAATAAAGATTATGTTCCAAAATATTTCGGAATTTCAACATCCATTTTAATTCGGAAAACTCAGAGTTTTCGGAAGATTTCGGAACTTATATATTTCAGAATTTTATTGTAAATTTAATAAATGTCCAACAATTTGAAATGTTAAAATTGACTAAAAATTACAAAATTATAGGAAAAACTTGGAAAAAAAAACTATTATATATTATTATTTATATATTATCATTTACCCTATGTTTGGATGAATAAATTGAAAATTACATTGAATTTTAAAATAACGTAATTTAGATTTCAATCATTTCAATTTTTGGCAATTGAAGATTTCTTCTATCAATTAAATATTTCATATGTATGTTAAATTTTGTAAATGGAACTATAGAAATTGTAAAATGAAGCATATTTTGGTGGAACTTAAACTAGGAATTTGGTGCCCCAATTTCCACGATTTTTTATGTGCGTCATTTAATAAATTATACGCTTAAGTTACAAAACAAGGGAATTGTAAATTTCTCATTTTAAATTCCCGACTCTTAGCTAAATTCGGATTTATTTTCCTTCATCTAAATGGAGAGTTATGAAATTACTTTTCTATGTATATTTGGTCATTAAGTCATATTTAGTTCAACATAATTGATTTGGACTTGCCAAAAATGAAAATTTTTGGGTCAAAATCGGAATTTCCAATCCAACTTGCACACCTACATTTGACAAATTCTATAGGATTTTCAACATTGTTTATATTACATTCCTATCGTGAAACCAATCAAGTGGTGGACATTTTAGATAACAAAGGACATACTTATGTGGATTTGTGTATTTGGGTTGAGAATTTTCCCAAGGAGGTACCACATAGGAGAAACACTTATGTGCAACGAGTATAAGTTTAGGATTTAGCACTGTTTTGCTATTCCCAACCAATCACGCTATGACATGCGTGATAAATTTTTCACTTGGCATATCGTGCTTGATTAGGATAATAAAACAATGTTATCTCCGTTTCACATAAGTTTTTCTGGTTATATAGATTATATTTTGACTTTTATGGCTTAAATCCCTTGAGAATGGCCTTAAAAAAGAAGGTAAGGGAGAAAGTTGCTAGCATGCTCCTTAAAGAAAACCATTTTATAAAATTAATTCCAAATATTTCATGGTCTTGAGTAAATTTTCCGTTTAGTTTTATTTTCCATAAGAGGCCATTTTCACTTTCAACCGTCCAAGTTCATGGGAGTGAAACCAAGCCAAAAGTCAAAGCCAGACGAGGAGACTACAAAATTGCAGCTTCCATTTTCCCCAAATCACCAATTTCACCAATCCACCATTGTCTACAAACCCACTCATTCGAAAAGAAACCCCATTTTCCCACATGTCTTCTCCTTCCTCTGACCTTCTTCATTTCTCTGCTCTCTTCCTCTCCAAGAAACTCACACACCCTCTGAACCAGTCAACCACACAATGATATATAAGCAGCCCATTTTGAACTGCGTTCTGACCATCGATTGAGCATTTGGTACTTATCCTTATTAGCTTCAAACCAAAGCAAGAAGAATAAACAATTGTATTTCTAGATCGGCTTGCGCAGCCATGGTACTGCCGCTCCTGAAGCTTGGGACTTTGCTCCTAAAAACTCTGAGCAAACCCGTAGCCGCCAGGCTCAAACAGCAAGCTGGGTTGCACCCAAGGTTCCGCCAGATCATCGTTAGCATGGCACAGGTATGTATATCTTATTAGTGTTATTGCTATTATTTTTAGCAACGATTGGGAGATTTTGAACTTGAAGATATTGATCATATATTTCGTTAAAATATGACCACAATACATATTCTTTCTCCCATTTTTTGATAAATTGTTCTTGCCCCCATTTGAAATCTACCTATTTTCCCTCTGAAATCAATTAAGTCATAGCTTTTTTTGTTGCTACTTCAATTTCTGAGCTACCCATAGCTTGTGAATCGCATTTACTTTATCATCCCAATCAACATATGGGTATTTGTGTTCGATAGAGTTGTGAATTTTTTGTTGACAATGGTGTGTAGCTCACCTTGCTGTTATGCTGCTGGAGTTGAACTCCAAGTTCTACTTATATGGAATCGTTCTTTCAGGTTTCGGTTACTTTTGTTGCTTGTAAATGCATATTGGTGTATGAATATGACATTACAGACACTTATTTGTCATGCTGATTTGTTTTCGAAATCTACTTTCATTCTATGCATTAAACTATAAAGGGTTTTTCTGTCTAATTTATTGGAATCAGGCAAACCATCAAATCACCACAAGAATGCAAAGACGGCTCTATAGTCATGCAACTGATGTTGAGATTCGCCCTTTGAATGAGGAGAAGGCTGTGCAGGCTGCTGTGGACCTTATTGGGGAGCTCTTTGTTTTCTCGGTAATTTTATTGCTAGTTACTCGGTTGTGCAATTTCTCAGAGCTATTTTGTTATTCTGATTAATTTCTGATTCCAGTTTATCAATACACACTGACAGAAACCAAAAGATAAATATGTAGATTTGGGCTTTGTCTCATTATTTGCATATGTAGACATGTGAACCCATTGCTAGTCTGCATGTAGATGATGAAAGTCAAGAATCAAGATGTGTGCTTGGTTATAATTGTATGGATGTCCCTGTGTAACAAGAAAAAAATTTGATTGCTTTATTGTCACCCAAGGACTCAAAAAGCTGGTGACTAATCTTATTGGGAAGTCTTTGAGAATATGGCTTCCTTGTAGAAGTACACATGCTCTGTAGGTGGGAATTATGTGGATGCTTTCGTATATAACACAGGGGGTGTGGTGTGGTGTCGTACTTAATGTGCCTAGGAATCTGACTGACTGGCCATATTTGTCCCACTAAAACCAACTGTATATGTATCGTTTGTTCCATGATTACTTACATGTCCAAATTTCAATATATATAGGTTGCAGTAGCTGTTTTGATCTTTGAAGTGCAAAGAAATTCTAGATCAGAAGCCAGAAAGGAGGAATTACGCAAGCAAGAACTGGAGGTATTGTGCAATACCTTCTTTGTTAAAATGATACTGACTCAATGTGTTGATTTGCGTTTATATGGCAAGTTTCACATGCAATCATTTCATAGATCGCATGAGTTATATAGAATTTTATTCAGTTGCACATTTACGTTCTTTTGAACACTTGTTTTGAGCCTCCAATCCTTTTCAAACTGCTAATGCAGTTCAATGCTGGCGATCAAAATTGCTTGCATTTCATCTGTGTATCTTTAAATACAGAAGATGTACATTTTTCCACTTACTGAAATAGTCCAAGTCCTTTTCCGAGATCAATTTTGTTACTAGATTATAGTGGAAATGAACAAAGGAGATTGTAATTCTCATGTTAGGTTTACCTTTCATTTGTGTGCAAATCGCTATCCTTTCTTTCCCGAAAAGAATAAACAGGAGAATGTCTCTCTCTCTCTCTCTCTCTCTCTCTCTCTCTCTCTCTCTCTCCCCTCTATCTGATGATCACTCTCTCTCGCACTTACTCTCTCTGATGAACAAAGATCTCATAAAACTAGACATATCTAGCTTTTCCTTCTAAAGCCAAATGAAAGCTAGACGCCTACATGGGCCAATATCATGAAATGATCCTTACAAGCCAAGGCACTCTTTAGGGAAGAGCTAGTCTAAGGTATCAACAAAATCTTCGTGGATTATCATGAATAGCCTAGGATGATTTTAGTGACTCTGTTAGACTTGTATTTTGAAACAGAATCGTATAATCTCCAATCTATTACCTAACTGTTAAAGAAAAGGGCACTGTCATATTATTGATGCACTATAACTTGTTTTGGGTGATAAAGTCTTTAACAATGTCTTAGAACCATACCTATAATTTTTTTATGGGCATAACAGACAGCATGTTCACCGTTTTTCAGACAATGAAGCAAAGAGATGAAGCCTTATCAAGAGAAGTAGTACTTCTTAGGGCAAAATTTGAAGAACTGGAGAAGCTTGCGAAGGGACGAGGACTTAGTGGTATCATCAACTTCAAGCGTGCTGAAACAGAAGGTGCAAAGACAGAAAAACCGGCCTGATCAGGTCACAAGATTCATAAAATAATTCTGGTTTTAAACCCAATTTTAATTCATAGAATGCTTCCCTCTTCACAGAGGGAAATTTTTTCCCCTTTAATTCTTTTAACCAAGGGTCATAATTTCAGATTGGCGACCGGCTTCAATGTTTCCAAATGTAGATTAATATAACTGAATGAAAATTTGAGGCTCTGTTTGATTTGTATAAACATTGTTAAAAGAAAAAAAAAAAGGCATGCCAAACTAGTGATGGCTATGGTGGTTTGGCATCATTGTTCCATCCAAGTGATGCATCATTTGAAACAGATGAGATATCTATTGTCTATAGTTTAGCCAGCTGTTGGACATCCAAGCCCATAATTTGTTTTTAGAATGCAACACTTTTTCTCATTTGAAGACAGCTTGAGCAAAGAGATATTATGATTGAGTAATGTTATATTTACTATATTTTTATATCACATTATATGATATGTCCATATCATATGCTATATCGATTAAATCAATTAAGTGTATTTTAATAATAAAAAATTAATTAACAGTTTTTTTAAAGTGTTTATAAATCATAGAAGAACAGAAAATATTAAATAATTTTAATTGATGTGGATATTCATCTCATTTGTCACATAAGGTGGTATGAGAATATAGTGAAAGTAACATTATTCATTATGATTTCAATTTGCCGAAAGCTTATGCTGTCGACTCTTCTGGTCAGGGCAGTCGAAATCAATACAACAGAAGTGGATAGGTGCTGCTGAGAACTACAAGTTGGTTTTTGCATGGATGTGCTCTCTTTTCTTTTTCCCCTGTACTTCAATGGGAAAGTGAATTTTGCTATTTATCTTGAAAATCCAAATTTTATTGGCTTTTATTTTATTTTTTGGGATATCAGAGCTAATCTTTCTCGTTAAGATTTGGCAATGGGATTGAGTCACTGTCAGCTTTTATATATTCCCTATTTGATTGGATTAATCATATTTTAGAGCAGGTGAAGTTGTTCCTTTTAATCTTTTTTTTTGACATTTACTCCAAAAAAAAAAAAAAAAAAAAAAAAAAACTGAAAAGAAAAAAGAAAGAATAATCTCGCATCTTGACTTCAATGCCGGACATACAGCATTGCATGATGATGTTCATGTAATAAAATTGCAGCTTTTTCTTCTTTTAATTTTTTGGGTACAAACTATGAAAGAAAAAAGTTTGGGACTGATAAAGAGTCTCCTCGGATATAAAGTTGCATTTTTTTACTTTTTAGCAGCAACTATTTCCCCATGTATCTTCACCAATTTACTAATCCAGTCTTTTTTATTTGTTTTTCTATTGTATCATTATCACTCCTTTAACGAGAAGAACTTGTATGTCACGGAAATAACACTGGTTTTGCTATTCTTATCTAATCACATTTCGTCATGTGAAAACGGAATATGATTGATTGGGATAGTAAAACAATGCTATCCCAAGTTTTTCTTCCCTTTAACACAGCCTAACATTATATCTAAAACATAAGATGCTGATTATATTGAGTAGTGAGCATACACATAACACCATGCACAACCATCCCTTTAATTATCTTCTATCTAAAAGGTGGCATCCAATTCAAATAGGAATCTGGTCGATGGTAGTGGATGCGCTCTTTATACCTTCCTTGGTCGACTTGTCTTTCCCTTCTCTCCCACCCAAGAAGACTAGCGACACTTGATTTACTATTGAACCTATAATCCACACGACTTTTTTTTCTTTCTATTAGATTATCATCCTTTACAGCTCTTCCAATACACCAATTAAGTTTTAACATGTACATAGCACCGCCAACGTGGTTTGTAATTTATTATAAATAGGCAAAGTGACAAAGAGTCGAACTCTAATCATAAGTGGAATAATATTTATAACTTTAAAAAAAAAATGTAAGTGATTGTCTAAACTACAAAAGGGAGGGGGGTTTTTCACACACACACACACTAACAAAGTGTCACGGAAGTTTGAACTTGAGACCACTAATACACAAGTTAATGCATTTTTTCACTAAGTTACAGCCCATTGACATAACTCTAATCAAAATGAAATATGCAAAAATCTTGTATACACAAAGAGTAATGACCCTCTTCATACATATATATATATATATAATGTAAAAATGTGAGTTCATTTTAATCCTAAATTTGTGAGGCATACGAACGAACTTTTTTTTATAGATGTTAAAATTTAACCTTTCCAAACGAAAATTGAAAAAAAAAACTTTAATCTTTTCTTTTTCATCCCTTATATTCTAAGACTTTTATTTATTTATTATTATAAAGATATTTGTTATTATTTATTTTTATAAAGTTAAAAGGCACTTTCTTTTGGTAAATAAAAGGGTAAACAATCCGGACAAAAAACAAGAAGAAAAGGAAAAATAAAAGAGGGTAAATTGGACACCGACCTATCCCCATTTGAAGATAGGGAAGCTATAAAGCCCTACCAACAAAATCATTCCTCTTACTCTTTACTACCCGCGTTCACATTCGCGCATTACTTTCACTTTCGCAGTGTGAGAGCGAGAGCGAGAGCGAAAGAGAAATCACTCATCCTACAGAAGAGAGAGAGAGCCCTCAGCCCAACGCAAATCCACAAAAGAAAGAAGTGTGTGTGTGGATTGGAAATTGGCATCAAACACTTTGAGGAGGTAAGCATCTCTTTTTGGGTCGAATATTTCACTTTCCCTTTCTTTTTTAGCTTTCTCGCTTCACCCCTCTGCTTGCTGCCAAACCCTTTCAAGCCTTTGCGATCCCATTTCTCTTTGGACAGTCGGAAGAAAATAAGCTCCGATTGACTGCTTTACTCTTTCTCATATCAATTTGGGTTTGCTTGCTTCTGATTATAGAGGTTCACTCTCGTTCATATAATTTGTTTCCTTTGAGTTAAATTAATTTAACGAATTTGGTCTCAACTTTTGGTGATTTTTCGTTATTGTTATTCGGAATTCAGGTTTTTTTTTTGGCTTTGTTTTATGTACTTTCCAACGAAGTCTACCTGAAGATTTATTGATTTTAATATGGTTGTGTGTGTTTTGTTGAATGATTGAGGGCTTCTGGGAATCTGAGGTGGGACTGTAAAGTCAGTGCTTGGTGTTTCTGTTTAAAGCTCAAAAAATGTTGATGGGTTTTTGATATTCTGAGATGGGTTTGTGTTTGATTTGTGAATTGTAGGGTTTAAGAAGTGAAAGCGGGGGCGGGGTTTGTGATGAGGAAGGGTTCCAAGAGTAATTGCAAGTCTGTTTCTCATAAGCTTTTCAAGGACAAAGCAAAGAACCGTGTGGATGACTTGCAGGGAATGTTCATGGACCTCCTATTCGCCAGAAAGGAGAGCCGCTCCACTGATGCTATCCTCCTCGAAGAACAAGTCCATCAGATGCTGCGCGAATGGAAAGCCGAGCTAAATGAGCCCTCACCAGCTTCTTCCTTGCAGCAAGTTAGCATCATGATCCTATACAATATACATATATTTTTTGAGTGCGTATGTGGAACTAGATATTTAACTACAAGTTTGCGTATCGACATATGTGATTATCCACGTATGTAATACATCAACTTATGGAATATCTTGGTTATGCTTTTGTTTGAAAAGTTGTGGTTGTAAAATTGTGGTGTTTATCGGTAAATATAGGGCGGCAGTCTTGGTTCTTTCTCTTCAGACATTTGCCGGCTGTTGCAGCTTTGTGAAGAGGAAGATGATGCCACTAGTCCATTAGCTGCACCGAAACCCGAGCCTAATGATCAAAATTTGCAAGTTGGAGAAAGTTTGGTATTTCATGAGGTTGTCTTCCCCTCTTCTTCTTTCTTTTCTTAACTGTTAAAAAAATCCTTTATGGGGGTTTTGGTTCATTTTTGCTGTCTATCCTATCTATAAGCTTTATAATGTTTCATTTCCTTGAAATGAAATGTCAATCAGTTTGTATATGAGCACTCACCGGTTATTGTAAACAACATATTTCAGGGATTTACTGTGAATCAGGGGCAACATGAACTTGGCTTCCCGTTGGCTGATCAGTGCAAAAGCTCCCCTTCGGGAGTTCACAATGCTGCTGCTAACAATTTGGAAGGGGCTAATCATTTGGACTATCATCAGTATGAATTGCATCAAGAGTTTGAGCACAACTTCTATACTTGTTTTAATAGCACAGCTTTGAGTGGGGAAGATGCGTTGCCTCATGTTTCTACTTATCTACCAAGTATTTGCCCTCCACCCTCTGCTTTCTTGGGCCCAAAATGTGCACTTTGGGATTGCCCAAGGCCTGCTCAAGGATTGGACTGGTGGCAAGACTACTGCAGTAGCTTTCATGCTGCTTTAGCATTGAATGAAGGACCACCTGGCATGGGTCCGGTCCTTAGACCTGGGGGCATTGGCCTGAAGGATGGCCTACTTTTTGCTGCTCTTAGTGCGAAGGCACAAGGAAAAGATGTAGGTATTCCTGAGTGTGAGGGAGCTGCTACTGCAAAGTCTCCATGGAATGCACCTGGTAAGTGCATTGTTTTTTTTTATTTTTAAAAATACTGTTTTTAATCTTTGAGTTGTGAAAATTCTATAGAAGTCATGAGTTTCTTTCACTCTGAATTTTATCTGATCAATCTTTGTGATTTCAGAACTCTTTGATCTTTTGGTTCTTGAGGGCGAGATAATTAGGGAGTGGCTCTTTTTTGATAAGCCTCGAAGAGCTTTTGAGAGTGGTAACAGAAAGCAGAGGTCATTGCCAGATTACAATGGACGAGGTTGGCATGAGTCGAGGAAGCAAGTGATGAATGAATTTGGAGGGCTGAAGAGATCCTACTATATGGATCCTCAACCCCTGAACCATTTTGAGTGGCACCTTTACGAATATGAGATCAACAAGTGTGATGCTTGTGCCTTGTATAGATTGGAACTGAAACTTGTTGATGGGAAGAAGAATTCCAAGGGGAAGCTAACTAATGAGTCAGTAGCTGATCTGCAGAAGCAGATGGGAAGGCTTTCTGCCGAGTTCCCCTCAGATAACAAGCGCTGTGTCAAGGGCAGGGCCAAAGCTAATGAGAAGGTTGGTGTTGGAAATGTCTATTACACTCCAAATCGAGGGGCAACAACAAATGGGACATTTGACTATGGGATTGGTGCACCATACGACTATCTTGTTGAAAATGTCAACGGCTACTATCTAACTTAACTGAAAGAAGTTTGATGGGCGTGAATAAGCTGCATGCCCATCCTTAGTTGATAGTTTATATTAAGCGGCGGCAGGGGTCATGCATTTTCACTTCACTTGTTGAGGTCTTCCGTTTTCTTCCACTCCAAAGTCAAGCTCATTTTTTGCTCTATGGACATACTGTGAATAGCTCATCCTCCCACGGAATGCCGCTTTAGACTGTTCTGGACGCTGGAGCATATTCTAACTTCTGCTCAGTACACTTTTATAACTAATTGTCACCACCGAAACTGGAATAGGTTGGATGGAACACCATTGCCACAATTATTCTGTCTTGGTCTTGATTTTCAAACATTTATGCAAATTGTGTAGACGGTATGTCGTCCTTGAATGGTTTATATCTGCAATATGACCCTTCTATCTATTTATGTACTTTCTTCTTTTATCCTCCTTTAAATTTTAAAACAATCACTCAGAAATCTGATGCAATCGCAGCGACAGGATAAGGGGATCATGCACAAACCCAAAGCTTAGAGTTGAGAGTTTGGCATGAAAGCGATGATGGCGTACGGCTCTGCTGACCGTAATAACTTAGCATTTAAAAGGAAACAAATACATTTCCCGTGACAAATAATAAGTGAAACATTTGCATTAGAGAGGGCTACAATTCTCATAAGCGTGCTTAAATGCATTAGAGAGGGTCACCACACCATTGCATCACGCATCATGCATCATCCAGCATGTTAGGTGGGTCTGTAGTTAGGTTTGCTTTCGGCTTCAGCCCCCATTTTATCCAAAAACGAGAAGTTATCATACATCATATATGTTGCATTGCATCACCATCACATAGAAGTTACATGGTGATATTTTGCATTACGTAGGGATTGGAATCTCTAAAGATTTAAAGAGGACAAGCATGGTTTCAAAATGGATTAGTAAATTATTCAATACAAACTGATTTCGCCCGAAATAGTGAAGCTCCCATCAACCTGGCTTTCTCCTAAGCACCGTCACCATCATCTTCGAGGTTGTTAACTCTCTCACATTCATCGATCCATTCACTGTAGCTGCAGAGTTACAACTTTTGCATGAGTAAAAATAGCCGCGGAGTTAAAACTCTCACATAAATGAGTGTGTGAAAGAGATGGAGAGAGAGAGATTACTTACACGTCTATTGGTTCAGATAAAGCTGCGAATACAAGAAGAAAATCCGAATTGGTTAAAAATAAAATAAAAAAACTGCATATATTTCTAAGAAATTACATTGTCATAACAAGTTTCCAGGGCAGACATAGGTAGAATATATGGCAACACAAAACTCATAATCTGATCCTGAAATGAGGGTCTTTCAGCGATTCGCCATGCCCCCCCTTAAGCTAAATGCTTCACCTACCAAACCTTAGGGAGACTAGAATGAGTTGCCTGGGCCCTAGACTAGACTTACTAAGAGTTTAAATTGCTCCCGTAGGATAGTAGGGCAAATAAACTACATTAGTGCGATTTGGCTAGTGGTATCGCCCATCATATAATTTTCAACCAGGTCAACTGATGCCAGCATCACCACTACGGAAACGAAATTTCCTTAGTCCTTTTTCTGTGAAACAAAGACAAGCTTTTTCCGCCCACCATCCCACATTTCCCTGTTTGAGACTGCTTTTCAGTAGCCCAGTCCCCGATTGGAGCCATGGTTTACCCGGCAGTGCTTCATATCCTCCTTAGCCAAAGTGAATCAGTGATTAAAGGTGGCTAAATCCAATATCATCCCATAGGCTGTGTTTTTACTATCCCAAATTTCCAGTGACAAACATTATCTAGTTAAAAGTCGACTCCAACGAAAAGGAATATAAGATTTCAAAATACGTAAACAAGCATTAATCTGCCAAGGGTACCAAGTGTTGAACAGACCTGTGATAGTAGTGCTGAAGCTCTCTTGGCATATTCTGCAAGAAGCTTCCCCAATCAAGTTCTTCATGTCACTGAGGTAAGATAAACAATAAAAATGAGTTACAAGACTAGAAAATCTAGAATCTTGACGCTAAATATGAACCTCCCAAACTGATTCTGGGCTATGCATTCCTTTACATACTGTTAAACAGACTCATAAATCAGACATGAGATTGAATAAAATGCTCACATGCGGCATTCAACACTGGTGCCATGGCTGCAGAAGGGACAGCTGAAAACGGTGTCAAGCTTGTCCATCCGCTTCTTAGGAGGCGGCTTTGCCGATGACTTCCGCTTCCCCATTGCTCAAATCCTTTCTCTAGTGTCAATATCTCATCATTAATGGAAGAAAGTTAGTGCTTAAACAAGAATGTTGAAATTCCACCGTTAATTCACAGCCACAGCCAAGCATTTCAGCCTTTTACAATGGCTCAGCATAATCTCATCCCCATAATTGAACATAAAAATAAATAAAATAAATAAGAAAAAAAGAAATGCAAAATTTGTTACGATTACGTTCGACACAAAATTAGCACAAACATACAAAAAAATAAAATAAAATAAAATCCACATGTAAACTCAGATCATTTTTAATAAATATAATCAGTCCAATGGCAAAATTTGCTTTCTTTGCTTCTGAAAATTTAAACCCTACACTACCAGATTATGGTTCACAAAGAAGACAAAAGAAACGCGAAAATTTCATACGATCACTTCCCAAATGTTGTTATTTTTTTCTGTTTTCTTCATCCAGAACAAGAAACACATAAAGTTTCGGATTTTTTTTTTCTAAAATATTACCTAAAGTGTATATAAGAACTGCTTTTCCTTTTTCCTCTTCGTTTCTCGGCAACCAAACAGGTGTAAACATGCAGAAATTGCATCAATCAATCCCCAAAGAAACCGTTAACAAAAGAAAGAAGGAAAAACTTACGGAAATCGATGAAGAACCAGCCGACTTGTTAACTATTGTTGCAGATTTTGGATATCGAAGTGTTCCCCTCCACCTGTGAATTAGAAACGCTTTAAAATGTGCCAAGGAGAACCAAGCGGTTCAAGCGGGAACCGAAACGACGTCGTGCCGTTTCGTACTTAGGATCCGATTAAATTAAACCCGACCCAAATATAGCCCATTTTCAAATTAAAATGAAGAAAAGAAATCACTATCCCTAACCTCTCTACCACAACGTTCATAAACCCTAAAGCCGTGTTCAGAGCTCAAACTCACTAATGGCGTCCATTCAATCTGTCTTTCTCTACAATCCTCTTCTTCCCTTAAGACCTCGTCATTCTCTTTCCACTAAAACCCTCGGAACCCCTCGAAATCTCCATTTTACCCTCGCCCGTTCTACTAAGAAAGATGTCCCATTTACAGAGCAAGAGGTCCTCCAAGCCGTGGCCGAGTCCGACGAGAGAGTCCTTCCCGGAGTAAGGACGTACGAGAACGAATCGGCTCGTCTCGCTTTAGTCGGCGCCGTCGACTTCGAGCAGGCTCTGACGGCAGCTGCAGCCGATGGAGGACAAGCCGCCGACGAGCATATCAGCTCGGGCATGCCAGCTATGGTTGTGGAGACCTTGTTCCCGGGCCATTCGGACCCCCACAGCACAGTCTCGACCCGGCTGGTCAGTTCATTTATATCTATAATTTTGTTTCTCATAAAAAGCATGCAATGTCCTTTTGATTTTTTCTTCTCTGAATGGCTGGTTTGAAATTGACATTTTTACAGTTTCTGCCTGCTAGAAAAGTTAAAGAAAAAGCTGGTAAACTGAGAAGGTCCATCACAGAAGATATGCTGTCAACCGCTACGTCCAGAAACATACTTTCCATGACATTTAGACAAGTAGTGTTACAACTGCTTTGGAACTTCGAACTGGTTGTCTTTCGACCTGGAACAGAAAGGAATATGGAGGATCTGGAGAACCCAAGAGAGGTTTGTCTTTGTTATTTATTTGTAATGGTTTCTGCTTAAGGAATTTTACACCTGCATGACTTTCTTGTAAAATGTAATATCATAATAATCTCTGTCCTGCAGGTGCCATGTGATACTGATAGGTTCAGTTCTCTTATGCATTTCGTATCAGCAGGTCCCTCCATCCTTCACCCTTAGTTCATCGGATGAACGGATTATGTCTGTGCTCGCAGAAGTTGTGTGCATATCTGCTCTTGAAAACACTGAAAGACAATTTCTTGAAGATTTCATGGGCAAAACTACAAGTAATCTGGTCCGCTGGTTCCGAAAGCCTAAAAGGACTGTATCAAAAGATTCCTCAGTTGTCATATACAAACTATTTGAAGATGAGATAGTTGAAAATGCCAAGAGTTTGCTGAAGAATTTTAATTTAACAAAGGGAAGTTTTAAGCCTGTAAAAACAAAATCCAAGTACTATCAATGGACACCAACTGCACTCTCTAAATTGGAAAAAATTGGTGGTCCTGAGTTTAGTTCTTGGACTAGTGAGCATGTTCCTGCTTACCGGCTACAAATTGATGCTAATCAACATAAAGATGTGAAATTTGAAGGCTGGAGAAAATCTGCAGAAAATTGGTGTGAAGTTTTTTTGACACACTCCCAAATGGTAATTTTTTCTTTCCTTGTCGTCAGTCTTCTTGCTTTCAGTGTTTCGTGGTCTCTGTAATTTGGATACTGAAGACATGCTAAACATGTTAAGTGTCCATGTAATGAGGTTTCTAGTTCAAATCTATATGAAATAGGATGATGATGTACGTGATAAAGAATTTTCATTCTCCCCTCCTCTCATTCCTATAATAGGAGTTTATTTATGATAGAGCCACGTTAAGTATTGCTTCTTTAGCATTTAAGTGTAGTTTAACTTAATCTCAGTTGTGAACTATTGATTTATGGAATATTATGACTCTGGTTTACAAAATTTGTAGGTTGGATTGGCGGACATAATAGATATGTACTACGAAGATCTTTACACAATGCCGGATAAGCAACTATCATGTGGTGTTGTTGCAAATTCCACTAATTTGTCAAATAAGAAGGTACTTAAGTGCATATGTTTTCTTTATCTCTTGGTTAAGTTAATCATTTAAGACCTGAAGCATGCATGTGAAGATTTTTGTAAAACAAATGTAAAAGTTTGTTATTAGATCTGTTCTCAACCCAGATTGCAATTGCTGCAGGTATGTCTGGGACCCTTTGATCAATTGAGTTCAGATTGGATAATGGTTTGAAATCGGTGCAATGCTAACTGGTTACGTTTATTTCAGATGGGCTCTTTCTTGTTAAGAATGCTATCTGTCACCCTTGCAAGTGGAATTTTTCTCATTACAATCAGTGCCCTTGGCCAACTTGGTTTTCCCTATCCACATAAAGGTGCAAAGTATTTGAGAGAAGACAGGTCTTTTCCATCATCTGAAGTTGATGGTGCACTATATCAGTCGGTGGATGCTGTGAAGGTATGCATGCACCGAGAGGATGATATTATCATGTCAACCAAATTGAAAATATTTTGGATTATGTAATAAACTTATCTATAATTAGTTTGTGAACAATTTTCACTGGAGGCTTCCAAAAATGGGAGAATGAGAAGCAGGTTGCATATGAAATGAAAAATAAAGATTTACCTTTTCGCCTCATCTTTCTCTGCTTCTTAATTGGTCTGAGAAAAATATGAATTTGGGACTTTATTTGGACAGTTGGAAGCATTTTGCGTCTCACTTGTCAAAAAGATAAAAGATGCCCTGGGTTGGCCAGGTGAGATCAAGATGGAAACAGATGTGGGTGCTTGGACTGGTAAAGTACCAAATTACTTGAGGATGGTAGTTGATTCGTCCAACAGGGAAGACATGTCATCTTTTTCTTCCTCTTCAGAGAAAATTGATGAAGACTTGAAAGCATCAGCACAAGATATCGCTAGTTATCAGGTAACTTGTGTGTAGAAGTTTACTTTCATGTGTTTTTTCACCCACCATTCAATTTGGTTCTCTTTCTCCTTCACAATTATTTCTAAGATATTGTGACCACCTATATGGAGAAATGTCTTATAGGTTACATCTTTAGGATGCTGGTGTACCATATCATTGCCATCATGTGGTATTTGGGAAAATCATGATCATGTAGCTCTCAGCTTATTACTCTATTGCTAATTATCCTCCTTGTACCTTTTCAATGTTTTTAACATTTCTTCATACTCTTTGGAAAAATTTAGGTCGTTCTGTCAACCGATGGTAAGATAGTGGGCTTCCAACCTTTGAGCAGTGTGGCTGTTAACCATTGGGCTGCCAATCCCTTAGCAAAAGAATTATATAGAGGGCGAAAACTTTCACCTGGTAAGTGCTAGCTGTTTTTGTAATCTATTATTATTGTGTTATTAGCTGCCACTAACCTTTGAGATTGTCTCAAATAGGTTTAACAGAACCGGGTCTTAAGGTCCAGCGTCCAAATGAGGTTGCTGTCATAGAGTTGTTGATGTCAGTAAAGCCAGATGCCTGTTTTGCTTTGGCCAGGCCAGTTCGATAATTATCGTCTGGTAATTGCGCATAAGGATGAGCATGCATGTGGTTTGGCACCTGCAGTGTGGAGTTTTAGATCTTGGAGCATCTTTGAGATATATCAAGTGGAGCAAACCAGAATGTTCACCCCTCTTTGAGATATTGGAAGATGCACCCTGTGGGTTGTGGTTTGTTACCTTTGAGTAAGCCACTCTCGTCAAGAACAAAACGTCAAAAAGTTAGTTGTGTATCATTATCTTAGAAAAGGAAGAGTCAATGTTCAATTCTTTCTCAATATATGTTTACGAACTTTAAAAAAAAGAATTTGATTAAGAAGATCGTTTGTCACACATAACAAAAGAAATTGGTGAATTAAAGTATTCTCTGTTTGTCAAAGAACAATAATAATAAAACTCAATTATAAGATTGGCAAAATTGTACAAGTGTGCGTGTGTGTGTGAATTAAAGCAATCAGGGGGCCTTTAAAGTTACACACAGAAAATTCATTGAAGCAGTTGATGCAGCTTCTGTTCAAAGCTATCTAAGCAAGAGTTCTCAAGCCCTTTGCCAGTGAAAAACTCCCTCCACTTAGCATGGTTGGTCCTCACCTCCTTGGCTACCTCACTCTCATCATCCATCACAGTTTTCACAGCCTTGCAGACACCCTCCGTTGTAAACACCCCATCTTCATCTCCTTTCTCAACCTCCACTCCCACCTTCAAATCCCTGCTCATCATTCTTGCATTGATGATCTGATCTCCCACATTTGGCAGCAGCACCAATCGGCACTCATTCATCAGAGCCTCCGATAAAGACCCTGAACCACAGTGGGTCACAAAGCACCCCACAGAAGGGTGCTTCAATATCAATGGCTGCTGAACCCAACCCCCATGAACAATTCCTCTTCCTTGCACCCTCTCTTCAAACCCTTCTGGCAATGCTGCCTCAATCGATTCGACTCCCATGGGTGGCTTCAGGGCGGCGAAGAACGGCAGACCGGTAAGCTCAAAACCCAATAGCAATTCCTGGAACTGAGCCTTGTTCAGAATGCATTCACTGCCAAACGCACAGTATATCACGGTTTTGGCTTCGAACCCATCAAACCATTTTGCCCATTTCTCATCTAACTCTGTAGTTGGGGACTCTGGCACCACCGGCCCTGCAAGAATCACTGACTTTCCAAACTGGGTTTCAACATAATCACAATAAGGCCCTTCCATTTCTCTGCAAGTTTTAAAAGCAATGGCATCACAGTTGCTAAAAGAGCCCATTTGGCGTTCCAGGAATGTAATCCCACGCCCATACTCCATCAATGTGGCGCCTACCAGCGCTCGAGCTTCGTGGGTTTGTAGCTTGATTGATGATGCAGGGAAAGATGGTGGAGGCTCCATAAGATCAGCTTCTGTCAATGATTTTTCCAACAGTTTTCTTTCCGGGCTTATCAGAAACCCAACAGTTGCAGGACTAATTGTGCAGTAATGCACAGACTTGATGCCTATATCCAGCTTATGCAACAACTCGGGCAGCCAATGTGTGAAGTCAAAGAAAACAAAGTTGGGCCTGAGCTCACAAAGTGCTTGTTCAATGGCAGGGCGTGTGAGGTCCATGGCGGTCACGAGAAGAGAGTGCAAGGGGAAAGGAACGTCGGCCGTGGTTTCGGTGCCGGGAGGAAGGCCGTCGACATGTGGGACGTCGATTGGGATGAAGGAAATGCGATGAGAGTGGAGATTAAAAGCCTCCAACTTTTGTTGTACTCTGGATGGTGAAAAGAAGGAGATTCTGTGGCCTCTTTCAGCAAGTTTGTTGGAGATGTGCAGAAATGAGGTCAGGTGCCCCATGCCAAACCAAGGGTACATGGCAATGTGAAGGGTTTGGTCAGTCATATTTGCAGCATGTAAATTAGCTGAAATCAAGGAAATCAAATGTTCCTAGAACAGATTGGAAGTAATGAGTTTTGCCAAACACAAATCAGGAGCCCTGCTGTTGTAACCAAAATTAAAAATAAAATGTTCCTAGAGAGAGAGAGAGAGAGAGAGAGAGATGAAGATGAATAACGTCACCCTTGGAAATGAGTCTTGCATGCCTAACAACAAATCACGAACTTCTTGCAGAAATTAACTAAACTGGTGGTTGGATTAGATACTTTGTATTCGATCACAACAAATATGAAGGAAGACGTGGTCGTTTTTAGGCGATCCAGCTTTCTTTTCTTTTGTTTTTCTAGTGGGTGGATTAAATGGTGAATTGTTGATGATGCACATATATATGTTTTCTCCCTAGCTTTGCAGCTGGCTTTGGATGTTGCATACTACTAGTTTCATAGTAAATCTGTGTGCTTTCATTCAAAATTCCTTCTTAATTGGGGAAAAAAAATAATTTCGACTTTTATCGTGTTAATTAAATACTAGAAAATCTCATATATGTTATGCATGTGAGGCCGTTATTTCAATTGTACTCTTTCCTATCAACTTTCTTTTATTTTATAAAGTGGTTCAAAATGAACTCTCTCTTTAATAATAGTGTTAGATAAGATTGAGAGTTGATACCTCTTTTTCTTTTTTTTCCTAGCTAAACGTATAATGGTTTTGGCAAGGCAAAAATTGCAAAACTACGGATTTTTATTTCTTTTTTTTTGGGTGTTACAACAAACTTGTATACTACAAATTTTGTGGGTGGACTGCAAAGTGGACCAGATGGATTTAAATTTATGGAATTGGGTCCTTGTTAGTCAGCCCATAATAATAATGGGCTACAAATTGAGTTCCAACTAATCGGGTCCTTGTTTACTCGGTCTTTTCAAATGTAAAGGGGTATTACAGTCAATTGACCACTAGCCCCATAGCATAGGAGAGTCAATAAAACCGAAGCCTTCACAAAAAGGGATTTCCCTCCACAACACGACTCTCACGACTGCTTTGATCTTTCCCGGGACGACTAGGGTTTTAGAAATCACAGTGAAATATAATCGAACCCTAGTGCCCATAGATAATCAACCAAGTGTTTTGGATTGTTTTATATAATCGAAAACTGATTCTCAATTTGATCGCCTTTGAACTCAAATTTGCTGCTTCTGCTTCGTCTTCTTTTTGTCTTCGAACGATGGTAAGGGGAAAGTTCAAGAGCAAGCCCACCGGTCATCGCCAGTTCTCCACTCCCGAAGATCTTCGTAAGCCAAACAATTCTTAAATTTCTCTCTTTCTTATTTACAGATTTTTTTTGTTTGGTTTCAAAACTAGTTAGTTGAATTATTTTGTTTTCCCTCCCACTTTCTGGTGTTTCTCGGTAACCAAACAGAGGATTAAGGCCTGCTGGCTCGTTAGATATTGTGTGATTGGGGTGTGTTTTGTAGTTAGTAATCGACAAATTCTATTGTTGTTGTTTGATGAATTTGTTTCATGTTCTATTTTATGAGTGATTGCATTGATTCGAATGTTAATTGTTGGTTTGTTTGATATTACAATTAGGAGATCATGCAAACGAATTTACGTTGTTATTATTGGTTAAAAGAGGGAAGAAGAAAAAAAGATGTTGTGAAGTTTTGGGAGATTGAATATTTTGGCTATTTGTTCTATGTAACTGCAAGTTATAATTATGCTATATTGGCTGAATAACCCAAAAAATAATTATAGTTTATTGGTCCCTTAAATAAGAAATTAAAAAAAATTCAGGCGTGTTGTTTCACTATTGTTTGTTGATATTGAGTTATTGACTCGCTTTAAATGAGATTTCAATTAATAGTGTTATGAGCAAAAAGATACCAATAGAACTTGTACAAGGTGAGCAAATTTGATTCCTATCTTCCTTTTACTATTGAGATGGAAGGGAAGGTGGGATGATGTGAGATAAAGAAGTATGGGCACGACATCAATCTCTTATGGCCTACCACACGTTGTCAAAAGCTCTCTGTGTGAGTTAGAGAGATGGAGGGAGAATGAGTATTTGTTAGTAGTGCCTATAAATTTGTAGTAGGAATTTCTGTTTAGATTGGTATAGTTCTCATGTGCGTTCTAATATACATTTGCAGTTGCTGGTACCTCTACTCGTCCTCGCACTTTTTCAAAGGTATATCTGGCTGCCTCTCTCTCACATATTATATGGTGATACAAAATTATCAATTTTTTGGGGTAAGCAAGTTATTTTGTTTGTTTCTATCAGAAAGAAGCTGAATATGACAAAGTTGAAGAAGAAATTGTAGAAAGTTCTGAAGAGGAGTCCGGAGATGAATCGGAAGGACAAGATGAAGTGAGTAAACATGAACTGCTATATATGTAGAAGGATTTTTCTTCTTGTTGTTTTATACTTTTTAAATGTGCAAGTAATAATGTGAAATCACTTGTCATGTTGTCGAATAATGTTTGCAGAAGAAGAAGGGAATTCAAGGTATTATTGAGATTGAAAATCCTAATTTGGTAAAGCCAAAGACCTTGAAAGCTAGAGACATTGATGTAAGTTTTGCAAATTTCTTTGAACTTAGTTCTGATAGTGAATTTTATGACGAAGTAATATTTGTCTTATTGATTTATGTATTTTTTACAGATTGGAAAAACAACTGAACTCTCAAGGCGTGAAAGGTTTGTTGGGTGAAACTTGAGTTGTATGAATCTCTTTTTGATCTTAATCAGTTTTATACATCCTCAATTGTTGTGCTTTTTTTTTCAGAGAAGAGATAGAGAAACAGAGAGCCCGTGAGAGATATATGAGGTTGCAAGAACAAGGAAAAACTGAGGAAGCAAGGAAAGATTTAGGTAAGTGTCATTGATAGTGTTAGTCAGGACACTGCTGTTAGCTGACTGACGTGTCACGTAAGGATTGGCTTGCCTTATAATTTCTGTCATAAAGTTAGAATCTGTGTGTTAACATTCGTAATTTTTGTTACCCGGCCTATTTTTTGTTTCACAGTATAATTAATGGCTAATGCTCTAAACATTTGTTAGCTGAGTTCTTTAGAGAAAAAACAATAGCTGAGTTCTTTATAGTTTCAAAATTTTTATTGATCTCCTCTTGTTGTTTATGCAGAGCGTTTAGCCCTTATAAGAGAACAAAGGGCCGAAGCTGCTAAAAAGAGAGAAGAAGAAAGAGCTGGTAATATTCTGAGTCTGAGACCGCCACTAATTGCTTGTTCCTTTTTTCTTTTCTAGATTTACATGATTTGTAATTCTTTACTCCAATTATTTCAGCCAAAGAACAGAAGAAGGTGGCAGCCCGCAAATGATCTGTTTGAAGCAAAACAAGTTATGCTGCTGATAGTACCACAACTATTGTGGTCTCTACACTTTAAAGTATTAATTTAATCTATTATTGAACACCAGTATTCCAAATTGGTGATTGAGAAAACAATAAACTTTTTCCCATTTTGTTGTTTGCCCTAGAAATTTACCATATTATTATGTATTCAAAACCAACTAGATTTTTAAACTTGTTAGAATCTTTTATAATATTTACTGTATAAAAGAGGTTTCATTTGTGTCAGAACATGGACTGAGCAATTTACCAATGAAATTATGCTGTTTTATATTTGGATAACAGTAAATATTTTTGTAAATTTTCTTTTATGAATCAAATGAAAACATAACATAAACAAAAAGTAAAAATGCAAATGTGGTTTAGGTCAGTTGATAGAGGGAGTGTTGATAAAGGAGTGTATTTGTCGCATTGCACCCGATTTCAAACTCCCTCTTCATAATAAGACCGACCAGTTTAGAATGGGGGAGTTTCACTAAAACACTCAAAATGGGTGCTGAAATTATAAAAAAGCCCAACACCCAAAACACTTTATAAACACACCCAAAATCCATTATTACACACATTCAAAACCCATTTATAAACACACCTAAAAAATATACAATTGTTGATTTTAGGTGTGTTTCTATGTTTAAATAGTGCTTGAGTTTTTTTATAAATACATGTCTAGGATTGAGTTTATTTATAAATTTGTATTTAGAATATCATCTTTATAAAAAATAAAAATAAAAATTTATAAATAAACATAATCCTAGACATGTATTTATAAAAAAATCAAAACACTATTTAAACATAGAAACACACCCAAAATCAACAATTGTATATTTTTTGGGTGTGTTTATAAATGAGTTTTGAGTGTGTGCAATGATGAGTTTTGGGTGTGTTTATAAAGTGTTTTGGGTGTTGGGTTTTTTTATAATTTCAGCCCCCATTTTGGGTGTTTTAGTGAAACTCCCAAAAAAAAATGCAAAACACTGTGGAGGGCCATATGTCAAAACATTGTGGGAGAGCCATATATCTCCGTTAAGACAGGTGGCAGGCGAAGGAGATATATACAACATAACAACATCGGCAAAACCAGAAGCGCAAACGAAACTGAGGCACCGAGAGAGAGCTTAAGACGCAGACATGGCTGAACCCAATACACCTCAAAATGTTCATCCTCCTTCTTCTTCTTCTTCTTCAGCTAAAGTTCCAGCTGACATGAACAATGGCCACGCCAACAACACCAACAAAAGTTTATCGGGCCAAAAGATCCACTACCCGAACCCGCCCGACGCATCAAACCCTGACCCGGCAACGCTCAGAGAGCAATGGAAGTTCGCCATCAGGCAGTATAGCAAATGGTACTCCCACGCCTGGGGCACCGCCATTCTCGCTGGAGTTTCCTTTTTTGCCCTCGGTTGGGTCATCAAGGGCTCCAATCCTCTGCCCTCTTTTAGCCGCCATGACGATTCTCCTCCTCCTCCCGACAAAGCCGATGAAGCTCCACGCTGATCACTCTGTTCTCCGATTCCCAGTGAGTTTGCTTTCTTCTTTCAATTTTCGGCTTTCGCTTTTACTTTTTAAAAAGAAACAATTTAAAACAAAATTATAGGTTCTCTTCAACTTGAATTTATGTTGGCTTTACTGTGACTACTGGGTTTGGATTTCATTGTGCTCTGAGTCAGAATTTGCTACTCTTTTCTGCAATTGGAAAAAAAGAATGTTCCAATTTTGAATAGGTCGGATTGGAAGATTCAGGATTTTGAATTGTCTGGTTGTGAAGCATTTAGAGTAAAATGGACTGAAAATCATCTTGTTTATGGTGAGTTTTGTAAAACTTCCTAATGTTTCATGCTCTAACATTAGTAAATTGGACATTTGCTGTTTCTGAAACATTAGATGTCATATTTTCCGTACATATGATCTTCTTGTGTTGCTGATTCGCTATGTACTGATGAATGCAGATGCCACATCTCTAGGGTTTAGGGAGGGAGGACAAGCTGGTTCGGTTCACCGGTGTCAAGACTCTTTAACTTTCTGTACAGCGCCAGCCTTACAGTGTTGAAAACAGGGTTTATCAATGTGGCTTGAGCATCCTGGAGAATGTTACTACATAATTTAGGGCTGTGAATTATATAATCTTGTGAGAATCATTTCATTTGACGATGGTTAAGCAGGTGATAATTGATAAATATTTACGTCACCAGTTTGGTGTCTATTTCAGTTTGTTGTAATTAGAGTTCTAATCTTTCTGAACCAAAAGATAAACCCAGTGGACTCAATAAAACATACACACATGTTACCGCTTTATCGACAAATTCGATACAAAATCTATTCCTTATGCATGGAATTTCTAATCAATGCCATATGAAGCTTGTTCAAGGGTTATCTGGTCTGCTTATGGAGCTTTGCCGAACAACAAAAATAGTATCACTTTGCTCAATTTTAGATCAAACAACCGAACTTTATATAAAACTCAACCGAGGAAGGATAATAATACACAAGGGGAAGCAAGTAGTTCAAATTGAATCAAAGGATAATAATAACATATTCTTAACATCCTAAAGTTTTGGCTAACATAGGCAAGCTTTCGAGTATCCAAAGCATAATGTTTCAAAGAGTTCATGTTCTGTTCAGAAAGCAATTTCGTTGAGTCAGGTCAACCTCTGTATAGACATGACCTCGGGATAGAACCTTGAAAGCCACTTGAACCATTACTCAAAATTTAAGCAGAGCAGCATCCTACTTTCTTCACAGCTGATACATCATCCTTGCCCCCAACGTTTATCGTCTGTCCTTTGGGCAAGGCTGCTGGATCATCCCCAATGTCAAGGGCCTTCCTGCTCACAACACGATAGATCTGGGACAGCACTTCTGTGAAAGCATTGTCGACATTCATCGACTCGAGGGCAGACGTTTCCATGAAAAATGTGTTCTCTCGTTCAGCAAAAGCCTTAGCATCCTCGGTGGAAACGGCTCGCAGGTGACGCAGATCTCCCTTGTTTCCGACTAGCATGATCACAATGTTGGCATCTGTATGATCCCTTAGCTCCTTCAGCCATCTTTCCACATTCTCAAATGTGACATGACGAGTAACATCATAGACTAGTAAAGCACCAACGGCACCTCGATAGTACGCACTTGTGATTGCACGATACCTTAAACAAAAGAAAAGGTAAAGTGAGATGGATATTTACAAACCATCCCTGTTAGGGGCGGAAACAGAGGAAGGAAGATAATTTGCTAGATTTGTAGGAGACCCTTCTTTTCCATTTATTGTTGCAGCATTTCCTTGTTATTAGACATTTCAGAGCTTCAAAACAAGATGCGTTCTGATTCATTACCATTATTGCCAGGATTAGTTTACACAGCACCAATAGACAAAAAGATGACTGGAAGAATGCTAAGATGTCTTTTCACGGAGTTGCAGTGGTGTATTAAGTCATATGATCTATCAAATGAAACAACATGCCACTTTGAAATCGAAAGAATGACAAAATGTTCGAACATGTATGATTAATAACAATATTAATGACATATCAACTTCGGATTTAGTTTGAAGTTAGAGAAAGAACATAGCTATCTGAAAATGCAGTTGCTGAAAGGTCGTCAAACCGTGCCACATCCTAAAAACTATAGCAGAGTGAAAAAGGCACCTAATTACTTTTCGAACACTACAAAATGCACCAGAGCTAAAACAGCAAAAAAAGAAGAAGTTAAAAGGCCAGAAACTGTATAGAATTTCAGCTTAACATTATAACCAAAGTCCACTAACCAGTCAGTTTTTCAGAAGTTCAATAAGAGAATTAAAATCGCAAAATTTTCATTTGCAATTTCATGTTTTCTTCCTCAGCATTCTAAGCAACCAAACAAAGGGTCAAAGAATACACATTAACCAAACAGAGGCATAAAAAATGATCCTTTTCCGATCCAGACTTGGATAATCAAATCTGTATAAAACCCATGTAGATAAATTTCTCAGGGAGCCAAGAGAACCCAGAAAAAGAAATGAAAATGCGATTCCAAGATCCAAAAAAAAATCCAAAATTTAAAAGAAACAGAGAATGTGGATCCAAACCTTTCTTGGCCGGCGGTGTCCCAAATCTGAGCCTTGACGACCTTATCATCTACCCGAATGCTTCTGGTAGCGAACTCGACGCCAATGGTGGACTTTGATTCAAGGCTGAACTCGTTCCTCGTGAACCTGGACAAAAGGTTCGATTTTCCGACCCCTGAGTCACCGATCAAAACCACCTTGAACAAGTAATCATAATCGTCGTCTGCTCTGTACGCCCCCATCTCCTTGCAGAAAATATATTTTAGTTTTTACCTGGTGAATTTTTTTTGGCTTCTCTTTTTTATTGTGTTTGTCTTTTTCTTTGTTTCTGAGAGAAATCAAACGAGTTGGATTGATGGGTAAATGGGTTTTGGAATTATGTTGTATAAATATTAAGAAGCATGGCGGTCTATGTCTGTATGTGAGTTATGGTGGTGAATGGGTTTTGTTTGATTTCGAGAGAAATAGCAAAATGGAGGTTGAAGAAAGGAAGCAAGCTGGAATTGTGGGGTTTCTTAGTTGGCAAAATTGTGGTTATGATTAAAGACTCCGGTCCCAAACAAATTTCTTAACCCTTTTCCCTTTTGGTCACAGCAAAGAAAATTGACAAAGGAGCACCCAAATTCTTGTGGAAATACAAACTTTATTATTTGGATTCAATACCGTATATTTGGAATTTTGTTTCTTTTATTTAAAAAAGGAAAGAGCAGCGAAAGTCAAAGCTCTTATGACTATAACTAAAAGCCAAATGAGTTTTACAAGGAAGAATAGCAAGACTCCAACTTTTACCATAACACCTGGGAAATCTGTTTGTTTGTATGAGTGAGACCCGTTTGAAATTTGAAAGACGATATCAAATGAGAAACCCACTGGATTTTGCTTTCTGAGATTAGACAAAACAAAAAAGTTTGTTGCTTTTCAAAAGCCCACTTGATTGATTTGAGGTTTATCATAACAATTTCAAATTTAGATAAATTGTATTTTGTATGGCAAGCCATATGTCCTCCAATTTTGTGTTCCATTTCAGAGTTGGATATATTCACAACATCATGCATGCCGCCATATATTTTCTTTTAGCACAAGGGATTGGGGAGGAGGGGGGTTTATACAAATGTTTATTGCGTGCTTTGGGGTTTCGAACCTCTGCCAACATAAGTAGAAATGAATGAGCTCAACTAACTGAGTTATATCTCACAGGCTTAGGCGTATATTTGAGGAGTCATTCTATACCCCATGCCTCACTATAGAATTCTTATATATTTGAGACATTGTTATATGTATGCGGGAGATAAGATTCTATTTCTTAACCGTTTGATCAAACTAACTAATTTGACCCAACGATGAAGAGATAAAACCTCATCTAAAGGCCTTAAATAAAACCCTCACTATAAAATTCAATATGTATGCAGAGGATGAGGTAGAGCCTATAAATGGCCCAGTTTGATGGACTGCCTCATGAATTGCTTGTAAACTTTCAATGGGTTGAGACAATGAGGCCCATATTGTCTTCAAGAATAATACAAGAGCTAGACCGACAAGCTCTCCTCAACTGATATACAAACTAAAATGCTATATATAAAAGTTACCAACCTAAATAAATAAATAAAATTTATATGAAAGGGTCTCTCCTTTGTCCCTTCACATCAATTTCCAAATTAAATAACATATACACGAAGAACAAAAACGTACAAATCACATAAGTGGGGCAAGAACAAGAACTATCCCATCGAGCTAGGTGACTGTTCACTCCAGTCTTCACACTTCACCTAATCCACTCGTGGGGCATATGCAGATTGCAGATTATTGCAGGGGTAGACGCATATGATCTGATCTGATGATCATCAACCACTGTGAACATGCCACGTGGAGTTTATACCAACCAACAATCCTACAAAACATACCCTCAGATACGTATTGCTTTACAAAGCACACCTCAAATCAAATATCTTCCACGACCATGCTTCTTTCCCACCCTGCACCTCATGAGAGAGATAGAGAGAGAGAGTATCATACGTGAGATAGTTCATGCAAAATACAGTAGCATATAGTGTAGCTTAGGTAGCCATAGAGAGAAGGAATTTTGGTAGGGCAACCAAGTCTTGTTTTCTTTGATATATCAAAATCACTCAATCAAATCCACAGCAATAAGGAGAAGAACACTGTCGGGCACCAGATTGCAACTTACACGTTACAAATCTGCACCACTCAACTAAGTTGACCACCCCACCCCCTCGTCAATAACCACTCCCTGCCTGCCTGTCTCTCTCTCTCTCTCTCTTACAATTTTTCCCTTCCCTTCTGATGATCGCCAACTGCAAGCATAGCATAGTGACTGATTGGCTGATGTTATCTGATCTGATCTTATGACAATGATCAGGTTAAAAAACCAAGTGCGCACTGTATGCCGGGTGTTCGTCAAACATTAACACCTTTCCGTTTCTGGTCAGGCTCTCTGATTTGTCCAAGCAAGGTACCTTTTTTTCTAATGGTCTATCTTATCAAATACTGCTGAAACTGAAAGGCACCCTGCTCAGTTTCTATATACACCTTCTATCAAATCAGATATATGGCATATATGTGTATGTGGGTCCACTCGAATGCCCTAATTTATGATGTGTGTGTATATGGACAAAATAATGCCCCAAAAGTAATAAAATTTGGCAAATTGCAGTGCACACCAGAGCACGATGTTAGCTAGATGAATGTTGTTCCTAAATATTTTCATGCAACCAAGAAAACTATTTGTCGATCTCTTCCTATATTGCTTCCTATGTACCATTTAATTTTATTTTTCCCCTTTTGGGATATCTATTCGAATTAATGTACATATTTATAGATAAAAAATCCTAGTTATACCACATTTATATACTAATATGATATCTTGGATCGATGAATCTCGATTAATCCATGATAAAGATAGGAGTGAGTTGGGGGAAGCATCACCCATAATTTACATAATGATCAATATGTAGCTTCAAAAAGTATGTATTGTTTGCCTCTTTAATATGATCTATTCTTCCTTCCTTTTTTCTATATTTTACTTGAGTGGCTAGCAATACTAGATCTTGGACAGTTGTTTGGTAGAAATTTTGGGTGGTGGAAGCAGTTTAACACAAATGCTTACAAAATTGAAAAGCCAGATCATGCAATGTCTGGCTTCCTTCAAAAATAAGCAAGTAAATCGAAAACTGGCTGAAATTATGAGGATGATATCATCTCATTTGGATGTGAGTTACCTGCATTTACATCTGCACATGAGCACGATGCGGTTATAAACCGGCCTTTAAAAAGAAACAAAAAGAAAAACCACATCCATATGCCACAGGTAAATATATATATATATTTATATATATAATACTTAAACCAGAAACAGATAACATAATAATAATACATATGTAGGTCCACACAAACTTTGAAATTACTCTAGACACCCACTAATTAACCGATGGAAGCCCTAGCTAATACAGTAAACCCTAGCGAGCGCTAATTAGAGAAGACATATATGTGGAGAAAAGGCAACGCAGAAACCAGAGCCCGTCTCTTCTAGCTTGCTTGCTTGCTTCCACTCTTCTAAATCTGCAATGTTATCGAATAAGAAGAAAATAAGAGGGTAATTAAAGCAATTAAAAAGGTGTAATTAATAGAAATAAAATTAATTAAAATTAATTACGAGGTAATAGAAAGCGCCGTGGTGGAGAGAGTGGAGGGTGAGACCCCACTCATTGGTGAGAACGGGGTGACCAGAGGAGTGAATGAGGACGGCGTCATCCCCGAAAGCCTCACGCACGTTGAAGGGACCCGCACCCACCTCGAATGCGACGTCGTTTATGAACACCGTTGATTTCTCCGCACCTCCCGCGCCCATTGCACCCGCTTCCCCAACACCACCTGTTCATTACCATACACACAGTCACTCACACAGTATAGCTACCACCAACCGACTACACTAGTTTCATCATCTTCTATCAATCTCTCTCATCAAATATGTACAATGTGTGTATGGAATGTGACCACTGTCCTTTCAAACCCAAACCCGAACCCCGAACCCGAACCCAGCCAGAACAGACCAGACCATCAATCGAACCCATGCACACGTCCTTCCATCTAAAGTACCATCTCATCTCTTTCGCAAAAGTACCAAAATCATCTCATTTCATATCATAATATTTATGTCAAATGCAAAACCTAGCTAGCTATATATAGCTCGATCCATTGCTTCAAAAGACTAAACTACCCTTGTTTCGTACTCAATACGAACTTGGTGTAATCAACAAGCAGCTCATCCCACATTGTCAATTTTCTTATGCGAGATTTGGGTGAATGCAGATTTAAATGAACAAAATATGAAGTGAAATTGAGTAATTGTTTTTACCTTGAATGTTGTGAATCATGGGGGATGGAACAGCAACACTAGTAGTGGGGCCAGTGGTGTGAGAAGCAACCATATTAGTATGGCTTGTTGGAGATGTGGTGGTGACATTGAGACTGTAATTGAGGTGGTGTGGGTCCATGTTCTTCATGTTCATGACCTTCATCTCATCTTCTTGATGGTATTCTTTCCTTGACATTGCTGCCCCATGGCTCATGATCTCACTCAGCAACAGGCTTGTGCAAGGCCCAGTGTTGTTATTAGTTTGCTCATGAGTTCCATGGTTGGGAACATCAACCACATTAGACAGCTCAGAGAAGCAAAACCCTTGCGTGAAATTGCAATTCGGATTCGGATGCATCGGAAAAAGGAAGGGTTCGGGCAAGACCTCGCTGTGATGCTGATGATGAGGCTGAAAGAAGCTGCGCTGCTGGTTCACAGAAGCAGTTGGAGAGTTAATTGAAACGTCATGAGCAGAAACGTTGGAGAACCCCATGGAGAAGGCCTTGTTGTTTGGTGCTGATTTGGGAGATGATTTTTCAGAGGAGGATGAGGAGGAAGAAGGGGCAGCAGCATTGATGATGTTGAGAGTGCTTGTGGAGACGGGTGTGGTGAGAGGAAGGTGGGTGTGGTGATGGGTTTGTTGTTGTTTGGATGAGTTGTGGAGGTGGCGAAGCTTGTGCTTGCTTCGTGATTTCCTGTTCTGGAACCAGTAGAAAACGTTGGCGTCCCCAACTTGGCCATACTCTTGCAGCTGAGCCCTGATCTTCCTAATCTCATCCCTCGGAGGGTTCACCATCCCAGAGTTGAAGATGGCTTCGAGGATGCGAATTTGCTCTGGTTTTGGGTTCCATCTAGGCTTTGGCTCCGGACTTCTTTCTTCACACCCAGCGACTGTTGCATTCACATAATTAAAATCAAACATCTACTTGCACATAAGATTAAATGTATATGAATTTGTAACCTAGCTAACAAATTATGAATATTTTCTTTGAAATTAATATCAATTGGAAAGGGTTTGGTATAAATGAGTGTTTAGGACGGTTACCTGAGGAGTAAGATGGTCGGTGACATCCATTTGAAACGAGAGAAGGGTTGATGTCATGCTGCCATTGGTGGTGGGTGCTGCAGTTTGCAGGCTTGGACTTGAACATGCTAGGCCAGTGTCTGTTTGATGAAGCCATGATGATGATGACCAAAGGGATACAAAGACAGAGAAAGAGAGAGAGAGAGCTAGTAGATATTAAAGGAGCTATAGCTATAGCCAGCCAAAAGAGAAACCCTTTTTGCTGCACTTGTTTTGTTTTTCTGGCACTACTGGATGGATATATCCTCTCTAGCCCAGCATAACATCACTTCTTATAGTCTCATCATCACCTACTCCATTCTCCTGTGTGAGTTGAATATATTTTGCATTTAATTAATCAACACCAGTCCTTCCCATCTCCCAAAGAAATTATAAAAATGGAACATGTCTATTGATGATGAGAAAGAAATTATATATATATATATATTTAAATAAAGAAATTTAATTTGATGGATAAAATGGGCAAAACCCACAACAGGAATCGCCTGCGAGAAAGATAAACAAGAAAGGAAATGGAAATAAATAAAAAGGTAGGATGTGTACTGAAGAAATTAAAAGAGCGAGTAGTCTCAACCCATCCCTCTTCTTTTTTAGAGAGCTTTTGCTTTAATATATTGATGATGAAATGGAATGGAATGCTTGTTCTCTACTCAATACTCAAAGTACAACCCAATCCCCCCCCGGACGAGAAGCAAAGGGAACATAGAAAAGAATACCTGCTGGGGGCTTAATTAGAATCTTCATCAGAGATGACAGACCAAGCTCTTAATGCAAAGGCGGGAGAGAGAGAGAGAGAGAGAGAGAGAGAGAGAGGTATAGAAAAGTGAGGGTTGTTCTGATAAGTTTGTCTCCTTCTCTTTCATATACAATTTTTCTTTTCAGATTTGTAAAGAGAGTGATCAGTTTGGGGTTCGCTTGCAGTGAGTGGATATTAATGGTGAGGGAGAGATGAAGTGAGGTTTTTGGGATTATTCTAATGGAAAAGGTTGTTGTAGAGGAATAAATAGGGGCAATGTGAGGGTGGGGGAGATGGTTTGAAAGTCAAGGCCAAGGCCATGGGGCATGTAATTTGTAGGGTTTAATTGGAAAGCGGTGGTGGGAGTCGTGGTAGAGTAATTGCATATTTCATATTTGGGTTTATTTTGAGCAAAAGTTTGGATTGACTCGAGGGCATTTATTTATTATACTTTTTGAAATTAATTGGAAATCTTCTTCCCATAGGTTCTTCTAATTTATTCAAGGAGGAGATGAAGCACTTTGATTGATCTCTTCGTATAGGATGAAACGACATGACACTTGAAAAGCTTGCACGCAACACATACAGATACAGTAGAAGTGGCAGTTCAAATTCAAATGAAGAAAATTTCTGGAGGCAATGGAAGGTTATAGTTGTGGGACGTGACAATGGTGCTTGCCCTGCTCTTTCTGCTTTTAGTTTGATAGTAGATAGAGATAGCTTTCATCAGCTGATGGGTCAGTCGACTGATCACAAAACTTCTTCCTCAACAATCATTTTGCTTATGCTGCCTAGAAAAGTTAAAAAGGCAATTTGAGTAACATTTACATGAATGCATGTAAACATCATTTCTTTATAAAAAGAAATTTTGAATAGTGCTAATTAATTCATCTTTATTTTTTTTAATACAAGACATGTTCATTGCGAATTTGATTTTGAGTTAGATATTTCAACTTAACCTAGTTGATTATCATATGTTTTAGAGTAATGCTACTCTTACCACATTTGTATACCACATTCTCATGCCACCTTATGTGACAAATGAAATGGACATTCACATCAATTAAAAAGTGTCAATAAATCATAAAAGAAAAGAAAAGAAAATGTTACATTAATTTTAATTGATGTGGTTGTCCAACTCATCTGCCACATAAAGTGGTATACAAATGTGGTAAGAGTAGCATTATTCTATGTTTTATATACTTTAATATAAACAAATTCATATACGTTTAGATTAGCACAATTCAGATGTGGAAGTAAAGAGCGTATTGAGAACATAAAATCTCACATCGGGAGACATTCTAAACCTTACCCATTAAGAACCTCTTAACTACTTATCAATTAAACCTTACCCATCGGGAGATAATTCAACTTTGACTTAACCACTTCCCTGATTGGCTAGGATTTACTTTTTAATCTCATGCGCAACATCTTATTTGTAGACTTGACTGTGGTATCTGGTATGGTAGACAATAACGTTGACAAAGATCTGAGGCAACGGACCCACGGGGAGATATAGAGTTGACCTCTAGTCCTGGCTCGTGTTGAAATATGAATGGGACGAAGATAAGATAAAACTACTTAAGAATTAATTTTAGCGGTAATGAATCAAATTCCTAAAATATGCAGAGATTCACACTTTGGTCTACACGTACGATTAAATGCAATATTAAGTCTCTGCTGCCATTTGTTTGTCGAGAGTTAGGCAGTGAAACAGGCAAAAAGATAAGTAGAGCATGTTGAGGGAGAAAATTACTCAATCCTAACTCGATTTGCTGAATTGGAGTGATTTGAATTTTGTTGGGGACTGAGCTGTTTGTGTGCATTGAGAACTCGATCCATCTGTGAACATCAAGAGCACACATTTATTATAGTCTGATGCTTAATATTGGGTAATTACACTGGAATTTTGAATCAGAATTCCATATAAAAAAAATATGGAAGGGTGTTCGATATATATTATGTGCATGCATATATATATATATATAGCTTGGAAATAAAAGTCAGACAGAGACAGAGATATATATATATATATATATATATACATAATATTGCAGCAGCAAAGTTTCACATGGGGTCTTGGGGGGAGAGGATCAAAGCATGCAGCAGATCTATGTTATTGTGTGTGGACTATGCTATGCGTGTCCGAGAGAGAGAGAGAGAGAGAGAGGAAGGGGTGTAAAGATTTGGTCTAAGCTGTGTCGGTTCGATTCCGACATGCAAAGCTCACTCCCAACTCATCAGTTACTATTCAAATAACAAAGTCCAAATCCCACTTCGGCCTCTTTGTCCAATGTCCACACCCCACCCCTTTTCTAAGGCTAAGCTATCTTCTGTAACCCCTGGGACTTGGGTGGTGGTAATTAACAATACCAAGCATATTATAATGCCTAACAAGCTAAATGTGGGGTCCAATTGATCTACCACTGTCTTTAGATAAACATATGACAATTAAACACTAAGAATTCCTTATAATAAGATGCAATTAGACTTAAAATTAATGCATAATTCAGATTTTTTTTTAATACAAGCAAGTGAGAGGGAATTCGAATACATGACTTTGAGTGCAGAGATAACTGCTTTTAACCACTTGAGTTGCAAATTCTTTGCACAATTTAAAATTTTATGTTCCCAACAAGCTCAAAGTCATCGGAGGAGAGTTCAACTAAGTTGAGTGGGGAACTATGGTTTGGATTTTGGAAGGGTGGAGGGGAAAGGGAGCTGTCAAAGTTGATAATAGTAAAGGTGGATATATATGTCTGAAAGGGACTACATATATGTAGTAGCTAATTAGACCATGGACCATGGCAGTAGCTAATTAGAATGTTTCCTATTAAAATATCATGTATATTGAATGATATGCAGAATGTTTCAAGCTTCAAGTCCTTTTGAATTTCAATCGAAAACCCTAAATGGTTGGATACATGCAAAACCTAACCATCAAACCAAAACAACTTGACTGACCCAAAAATGAAAATTCAAAACCACGTTTGATCTATGTATTTCCCATGCCCATAACGACATTGGATCAAAATGGGACCACGGCGGCCTCTGCGAGTGTGTATGAGTGTGACTGCATATAAGTGTTTGGGGGAGACAGACAGAAAAGTATGCAGAAACTAGGAAAGAAGAAGGCATCGCATATTTATAGCAACTGGAAGTGGACCTGGACACTAGTTTTCTAGCAGCTTTGGCACTTTGGGTTAATTATGGCGAATCCTCTGCGTCCAATGCCCCATCCCTCGCTTTAAATTATATATCTTTGGCAGTTTGGCTCTGCTGGGTTTTGGAACTTCAACTTCTGCTCCCACTACTGTATGTATGTGTACGTGTGTATTGTATTTATTGATTCAATTTCTATGCTTGTGTTCTTGCTTTCCCTTTTCAATCAGATTGCTTTTTCCTTCTCACCAATCTGTCTGCACCAGATTTGGAACAATTAACTCCATCGTCGAGCCTTTGTCCTTTACTTGCCATTAGACAATTATATATATCATCACGATGATCATTACAACATGCCATCACACATAACCTGCAGCTCATATGAACCATGGCCTAAGAACAATTAACTAAACATGATAGTTCTAATTAACATACTCATGTGCCAGAAAAACGCTTTTATCAGTAGACTGTGAATTTGGTCACACATTCGTATCCGTTAACCTAATTAACAATTCATATTCATAGTTTAACAAGAAAATACTTCCCAATTTAATAATTTACCAACTTTATACCACTCAGTCACTCAATTAGTCATCACCTTCCACCCCAATTGGAAGCAAAGGCTTCTGAGTAAGTCCTTTAAAAATGTTGCACTTGCACATGATTACAATAAATAGGGTATTAGTCTAATAATATGCAACATGAAATAGGTATGTGTGTCTTAGCAAAGATTGCGCCAACAGCCTTCACTAAATGCACAACGTGCAAGTAGTAAATACACAACATGATAAGCTTAAATGCTTCAACTAGTTGCACATGCCATGCCACCACCAACATATTATATATCCATATATACGTACAATTTTAAGTCTGTTTCAAGTTTGAAGATCAAAACATGCTTAAAATATATGTTTGGCACAGAAAATTTGGAGTTGGAGAGTGAAATTGCCTTTGAATTCGAATGTTGCTTGAAGCTTTTTGGAGTTATGGAGACCTTATTATGTGTTTTGGTGCTGTTTTCCTATATCAAGAGTTAATCAGAAATGTAGTATTTACTTGCTCGATCACATCTTTAAAGAGAATCTGAAACTCAAGTAAGATTTCGTATATATATATGTGAGAGATGTAATCATGTTGCTAACTATAAAATTGATAGTATATGAAGTTACCTAGCCATATTAATATACAATCAACTAGATATAAGATAGGATTACCTATCTGAAAGCGGCTGGACATTCTCGCTTGGAAGACCATTGAAGAGACTTTAATAACAAAGTTTATAAATAAAATGATTTATGACTAATCCGCGAATCATGGCTACATCCTCGTTGGGAATTGAAGAGCACCTACCTAAATTTGATTAGTTTTGCATTGACCTAGTTTTGGACAGTTCTTAGATATACCCTTCGAGAGTATATTCGTTCAATATGTTGTGTTTAACGAATTTTCACTATATGCATGTCATAATCGTAATAGCTCATTTTTAAAAGTGCGATTTAAATATCATCTATACATGACGAACCCCCACTCGATTTAGCTAATAGATATAGATGATTAATCTCGAATTTGATTGATTTTTTACATAAATAATTTTTAAATGGTGAGGAGGTGATAAGGAGATTGTCATTTTTCTTCTTCTTGGACGGGTCGCACGTACTACATTTTTATTGTTTTGGGATACTAAAAAGCAACAGAAATAGTCAGATTTTGAGTTGTAAAGAACTCATCTTTGCAATTCCCACCACGTACACACAGCAGCAGCATCTTTATTTTCAGATCAGAATAAATAATTAATCTTGAGAAAAGATTCATGCAATGTATAAAAATTAATTATGTAAGTAATAATATTAGATTTAAAATTGATCAGAAAAACATCATATCGATGCAGTTTCTCTCATTAATTAATTAGAGTTGTTAAATTAAATATGCTCCACCTAGGCCAAAAGCTCATGGCAGATGGCTGGCTACGTACCGTTATCATGTTGGCAGATTTTCATATGCATAAACCGATTAAAGATAAGATAAATTAAACTTAATAGATATTTTAAGCTAAGACTGTCAATGATTCTGCTAATATTCATAGTTTGGGAATATAGAGCTGAGGAAGACAAATGTTTTGGGATCATAAGAAGTTTTAGCATATGTTCCGAGTGACGGGAGAATATACATACCCATGAATTTTTTTTAAAATGTCACATGAATTTATATATCAATTTGTTATTTACTTACCAAGAAAATAAAAAATAAAAAAAGGGAGATTTAGAAATTGGGCTGTTTCCAAGAGCCCAAATACTAGTAGCCTAGCCTTTGGTACTTGGGTTGGTCTCGGCTTAACCAAGCTAGGCAGGCCCAGTTAATGCTAATCTCGGGATTAGAAGGCCTGAGTTGCGTATCACAAAACGTGTATAATGAAATTTTTTATATTTATTTATTTTCATGATTTTAAACTTAAGAATATGAAGATCCTTTTTGGATAATTGTTAATTTTATTAGATTATATAATCTAAAATCGATGACAAGTTAAACGTAATCACACCAACCTAATAAAATTGGACAAGAATAATTAATTAATATACCCATTGTCTCCTGTATGGTAAGTAAATCATGAGATTATGATTATACATTCACATACAATTCTATGTGATGCGGATCGCTTACCCTAGTCCACAACCACAAGGGTAGTCCCCGTTGATCATAAATCAATAAATTTGTAGGTCGATATCATTGACAATTACGATTAGTTCGATCTTCGCCGAATCACATGTGCATTATAGATCAAACAATGACTATGATTAACTTGATATCTAAGGAATGTGGTCGGTAAGATTTCATGCAATCTTACAGTTGATAGGTAATAGGAAGCGGGCATAAAATTATAATTACGGGTAGATTTTTTGGAACATAATCAGAGATAGACTTTGGGTTAAAGTAAAAATATAAAAGCTTAACCTAATTTCACCACTGCCTTCTTTGATTCCTTCTTTCACTACAACACCCTCTTCATCCGTCTTCTTCCTCCCCTATATACCTTCACCCTGGTATTTCTCTTTTAGTGCTTTTCTTTGTTGTTGTTCTTCTTCTTCTTATTTTTTTCTCCTTGTATAATATATTAACTTCATAGATAACCTAATACTTGTATAGATTTATATTGTACAAGCATGTCAATGGGTAGCGGCAATGGTGGGGAGCTCAACAGCCGCCATGCGTGCGCGGCGTGCCGGCACCAAAGGAAGAAGTGTGACGATGATTGTGTGATGGCTCCATACTTCACAGCAGAGAAGGAAGAAGCTTTCAGAGCAGTGCACAAGATTTTCGGAGTTAGCAACACGTCAAAGTTGCTAAAAAAACTTGAGGATAAGAACCATAGGGGTAGGGCTGCGGAGTCTTTCATATGGGAAGCCTGTACGTGGAAGCAAGACCCTGTCAATGGACCTCTAGGTAAGTATAGACAATTAGAAAGAGAGATTGCTCTGCTTAGAGACGCACTGCAAAGACAACAAGAACAAGAACAAGAAAAGGATTGTTTGGCTTTGCCATCGTCCACAGTGGAGCAAGAGTCAATTGCCTTGGACCAAGGGAGCAATAATGGTAGTGACATGACTTATGGTTATGCTAATCAAAATTTAGCACCGGCTAATGGTACTTATAGTTCTCTGTTACAAGGGCAAGAGGTCACAGTGAGAAAGGGATTAGTGGATAATAATTGTGTTACAGGTTCTAATTATCAGCCAGCAGCTATTTCACAAGGGGGGCAACAAGCATTAGGGCAAGGGAGACAAGAGACACAAAGAGTGATTGAATTTGGTCCTCCATTAATGCCATTTGACCCAACAATTCAAGGAGGCAATGGAAGGCCTATGCGATTTCAAGGACAAGGCAGAGGAATTGCAGGATTGGATTGTGCAACAAATTCTCCTATGGGGCCAAACATATATGGGCAAATTAGAGGCCATGTAGCTTTTGACCCTTCTCAGAGACAATTTGGGCAAGTGGGTGCAGCTCAGATTGGCCCAAAATTTAGTGAGGGTTTTCCAGGCCACATGAGAGCTATCACCCAAATACAAGATGCTGGGTTTTTACCTTATCATCATCATCATCATCTTCTTCATCATCAGCCAATTCATATGCAAAGACAGGGGATGAGCCAAGCTCAAAATCACCATAGTTTTCAACAATACTCTTTCAACAATCACCAGAGTTACGAAAATGATCAAGGTAAATGTCTTGTTCGTTTAGGAATGCATTTTTGGTGTGATTATGTACATTTTTGAAAAGTTTGTAACAATAGTGAGAGAGTGATGAATAATTATTTTATTACTAATTTCTTGACTAAGACGTGTTTATTGTGATTGTAGATGTAGAGCACTTCAATCAAGTGAAAAGTGAAAGGCGATGAAAGATGCAAAGTGAGTCCTTTAGTTATAACATCAATATGCTTTTTTGGTGAAATTATTTCATCCTCATTACTTAAGAGGATCATGTGGATCAATCCACAACTCATTTTTAATTGAAAAGTTATTGAAGGTAATGTCTCCTTCATATTAATCATTATTTTTTTATTCTATTGTTTAACTTTAATAGTCATTAATCTTCAATCGGTTTGATTTTTGGATTTGATCCCATCTTAACAAGAAATATTCCATAGCTTGTGTGTGTGCAAGGTCGATTCACACATAAGAGGTTCGAACCTAGATTTGACGTGTTTACCAACAATTTGATAAAAAAAGAAAAATTAGTCATCTATTATTAAAGGTGACCCATTAACTAATTCTGTTTTATTGGCATAATCTAATGTCATTATGAGTGGAGATATACCTTGTAGTGTATTTCTTTGCGTAGTTATTATGCTTCCACATTTTTTTTTAACTTTTTTGGGGTAGTTTATGCCCTTATAGCTGATGATTTTGGTGCCTAAACTATGAATACATTTATCGTTTTACTCGAAAAAAACAAATAAACATGGTCTTCATGTTCATTCAATTCAACGCACGTGAGCTATCGTTAGTCTTTAATTGTCCCGCGTCTTCTTCAATGTTCACGAAAATTTTAGGACTCTGTTGACGTTACTTGCTTTTGATTTGAAGTCTTTTCATCATTCTTAAACAAATGGTTGAAAAGTCAAGGTGTGATCGAATTAGGGTCAATTTCAAAAGGACCTACCAACTTTGAAAAGTATAATCTACGACCATGATGACGTCATATACACAAAAAGTTGAAAAAATGGGATAATGTATATGACCAATTTTATGGTCATCCCAAATCCACCAAGAAACGTCTTCATGCACTCTTTGCATAGAGTCACACACCTTGTTGACTTTACCAAGCCATTACCCCATATCACGTGAAGAAGCTAATCCATACTTTTCCATTGTATTGCATCTGAATTGCCAAATTATTTTTATAGAAAAATAATTATATAAGTCAATTATTTATTATTTTCGTAACGTGTTTCTAATTTTAGATACATAAATAATATTTGTCCGCACATTAGAACATGTTGGATTAAAGTTATGTTATGAAGATAATCTTTTGAGTAGCAATATATCACATCTTCAACCCATCTCTGGGGCATCGATGCTTTAACCCCAAAATCACTCGAAGAGCCTATACCAAAAAAGACCTCTGAATTTCAAAATTTTCCATTTTCAGTTAATGCTTGGTATGATTATTTTGGAAGAAAAAAGAATTATAGGAGTTGGGGAATGTGTATTATCAAGGGAAGCCAAGGGCAAAAGTCGTTCACCACCTAACAATCAAGTGGTGGAAAATTAGTCCTAATTCTATCTTTGTTGGTGTCTATCACTTCCCTCGTGCCAATAAAAATTCTTTGACCCCACGTTTGTCCCGTATTTTAATCCAAAGTTAAATACAAGTGTAGAGCCATATGTCACAATCTTGAAAGCTTTTCTTTTTCCAATTCAAAAGGCTCCTTATAAAGGAGGAGGAGAAGAAGAAGAAGAAGAAAACTTAGGAACAACTAGGAAGCCATGGTTTCAGCCTCCACGCAAAATGAGCTACCATTGAATGAGAATGACTCACAAGACATGGTCATTTACCAAGTCCTAAATGAAGCCATGGTTATCAACCCCTCATTCTTGCCACAAAGACACCAAATGAACCACCAACCAAATGGCCTCGAACCCTCTAAGAACATTGGAAAGAAGCACTACAGAGGCGTGAGGCGGCGCCCTTGGGGCAAATATGCTGCTGAAATCCGTGACTCTGCGAGACACGGTGCTCGTGTATGGTTAGGAACATTTAGCACAGCCGAAGAAGCTGCCTTGGCATACGATCGAGCAGCTTTTAGAATGAGAGGTACTAAGGCCCTGCTTAATTTCCCACCTGATGTAGTGGCTGCATCATCTTCGCCATCGTCTTCAATTCATAGAGTTAGGCCAAGTTTTAGTGTACCCTGCAGCTCAAATAGTAATAGCACAACTTCAGACTCAAGTGGCAGCTCTAGTTTGCTTTCAATTGGGACACCAAGATCAGAATCTCAGAGCAACACAAGTAATGTGGAGGCACAAAATACGCAGGGTCCTATCATCTAGAAAGGTTCTGTCTTTTTTCATTTCTGTCTACCAAGCATTAGGACATTAAATTTCATCTCATATAGTAGTTGCAGAGCTGAAGGTGTGGGAAAGTGTGCAAGTTTTTTTTTCTTTTCTAATTAGCCAGTTTCTTGTCATAGCCTGTGTATATTAGTTTTGCACGGTTTGTGTATGCTTTGTTGCTTTGCCAACACTCACAAACACACAAACGTAATTCACAGCAAAAGAAAAAAAACAGAAGTACAGAAATGTACTGCCGCAAGAAGTGAATTTTATTGGTTTGTATTGTAATAAGAGGGCCAGTAAGGCCAGAAAGATGCAGAGTTATGGGTGAAGAAGAAAGACCTATAAGACTGAATCAGTTGGAATTTTTGTGTTAATGCCATCTTTTATTTTCTGGTTTTGGAAATGAAGGTAATCTGTTTGTGGAAACTAACTTCATGAGAAAAATATGAAATTGATGAGAACCAATAAGCATATGGTTCCACAGAATGGGAACACAGACAATCTTCAACCTGTTCACATTTGACAGTCATTCTTTACCTGGTATACTTGTCAAACGGGCCAGCATTTGGTTGGTGGGTATACAATATAAAAACTTTTTGGCCTCGTTTGTTATAGAGGATTAGACTAGTAAAATGCCTACAATACATTTTAAAATTTTCTTATTAAAAAAGGGGAAAAAAAGTAATTAGATAAGTTGAAGGTCTAGTAGGGTTGACCTTGAATAGGGAGACAAAAAAAAAATTAATTACAAAAAATTAAGGTCGGTTTGTAGTGGGTGGCTTTGCTTTATTTTTTCCTTTTAATTATGAGAAGATGGTTGAACATGTGAAAATAGATAGACTTGAGATAGAGATGGCGAATTTGAACTTGGCATCATGGCATGGCATCTCTTCTTTAGAAGAGAGATATGACCAATAATTGAATTGAACTATTACACGGAAACCTTTATGTCTCTGTTTAGAATCTGTTCTGATATGTCATATCATTTTCCAACTTTTTTCTTTTTATCTCCCTCTCCATCTGAACAAATCATGCAACCTTAACTTAGCACCTTGTTGATCAATGTTGCAAAATACATGGGAAATTTGGTGATTTATATGATGTTTTGCTAACTCTTCCTCTAAGGCTAGTTTGAAAGAAAAAAAAAACCTTATACAGCATCTCCTTGACTAGCAACTACAAAGAATGTTTAGAGACTGACAGAAGCATTCATGTACAAGATTTTTGTCAAAAAGAAGACAGCAAACTGTCCAAATATTCACTTCCCAGGTCTTGGAACTCAAACACATCAAATTCATCCCCCAACATGTTTTTCATGCTTGCCTTCCTTTTCAATGCGGGTTTTCCATCAGTCATTGCCTCAACACTTTCTTCCCACTCCCTCAATGCTCTCTTCCGCGAATTCGAAACATTTGTGGATGAGCAGATGTTGAAGCAATCCAATCCCATAGCCTTCGCAACTGTTTCAAGAGGGAAGTTGAGATTGGCTTTTGAGCCTCTAATTCTCAAAGCAGCCTTGTCATAAGCCAAAGCTGCCTCCTCTGCAGTCTCAAAAGTCCCAAGCCAAACTCTAGCTCCTTTTCTTGTTGAGTCTCTAATTTCTGCTGCATACTTACCCCATGGCCGCCTCCTAACTCCGCGGTAGTGCTTCATAATTTCCACTTTCTCCCTTCTCTTCTCAACCTTTGCTTCAAATTCTGAGTTTGTAGCCCCATTGCCTTCTAACTTGACATTGCTTGACACTTCCATATTGTGTCCAGGAACAACACAACTGTCAAGAAGCTCTTGCCAGGCCTCAGTTCCCATTGATATCCACCTACCTAGACTTGGTAGCCTTTCTAGAATTTCCATTGACCCTTCTCTCCCATCAAGAGGAGGCAGTTCTTTCCAGGGTTTAGACAACTCTGTTGTCTTTTTTGCTTCTTCTTTCACTCCATCCACACCGATAAAGCTCGCCCACACGTTCTCTAGAATAGCTTCAGATGCAACCTCTGCTGCATGAGGATCACTATGTACAGCCATGTTACCAAATCTCAAAACCAACTCTCTCTCACTTTCACACAAAGTAGATATGAGGGGAGAGAGAAGATTGAGAATTGGGGAATATAAAGCACTAAAAATAGACGCGTGAACAGCTAAGATATATATGCTTTTGTGCTCTAAATTATGAATGGGAACTCAGCTGCAAACTTGTGGCTCAATCCAGCTGCTAAATTCATGCAGGATTTTAGGACTTAATTGCTTAAAATAAGAAGTGGGATTAAATTTTAAAGTCTCCCACATCGACTTGTGCGGTTGTTCTAATCATTTGTGCGGCTTTATCGATGTAGATTGTAGATTCTATGTACTTGGCATTTTATATTTTTCAAACCTCCCTCAAATTCATGAAGATTACATAAGAAACAGAGCAGAAGAAGAATTGAAAGCTGGCTAGAGTATAATAAGTTGAATTTTAATTGGCACGTTTACACCTCTCCCTATTAAACAATCCTAATTCTCATTGATTTCATTTTTTTTAAATCTTTCTTCCCCCAGAGATTGCTAGTTTTAAAGTTGAAAAGTGCCACCTTTTCTTCAAAGGACATTATAAAGTTGTTTAAGTTTTGACTTATGATGATCCTTTCTGCTAATACATCTGCATAAACTTATTTGGTTCTAGAAAAATCGGGAGAAATGGCGAAATCGAAAACTCTCTGCTAAGCAAACAATCAGACCCTTAGGCCTTAGCCAAGAGACCCAGAAGGGCAGAGCAGAAGCAGGTGATCGAACACGGTATCCAATAAGCTGGCATATCTTAGAGCACAAGAATTGCCAGCTTTGATTAAGAAGAAGGTGCATTAATAAAGCTATCAATGTCACAAAGAAGCTGCACGCTTCACCTTAGAATATTAATTAATAAAAATAATTTGAACCAAAAAACAAACAAAGAAAGAAAAGATAATGAAAATAATGAGGGCTGAGAGGACAAAAGGGGAGGTTTGATTGCTGAAGATCAAAGCAAGGGATGTTGTTGTTACACAGATGCGGCGTATTAACATGTTTTATTGTTTGTTTTTTTGGAGTGGAGAAACTTGTGCAGCAAGGGATCGCAAAAATCAATGGGTGCATTTGAATGAGCCGTGTTAGAAAGAAATGTATGCAGCAGAGCATAAGGGGTTTGACTTTGATCACCTCTCTTTGCTTCCATTGGTGGTCAAATCAGCACATATTCTTTGCAAGATTAAAATCTGTTTGGTAACCCTCGCTGACTTTAGTGAAGAGGACCAAGAGGCTTGGACATTCGGCTTAGTCTGTGGGAGAATTGGGCTACAATTTTTTATTTAGGCCCATCTTTTAGTCATACACTTGGGCTCTTATGCATAGTTGGTACCCGCACTACTTTACGTTTTCACTATTTGTTGTCTTTATACAACTCTTTTGGTGGTTATCAATGGGGTGTCAGTTTGATTGGCCCAAGCTTTTGGTGAGCTTCTAAGTGATCTTGGATTCAAGCTCACGCATAGTATTTGTATGTGTGAGTTCCCCCCCTCCCCCCTTCCTTTACTAACATTGAGCAAACAAATAAAAAAACTTAAGGGGTGGTTGAAAAATTCATTGATTGATTTCTGGAAACGAGTTAATGTTCCAAGAAATCTCTGCAAATCTTTTTATGCCAGATCAATGCAAGTACTTGAAACCAAATGACACTATTAATAGCAATTAGTGTAGTTATCAATTTGAGATGGTAATGTTGTAGGCTTGTGTTGGTTCATGATAATAATATACATACTTTGCCCTAGGAGTGGGCATCAATCCAGGCAAACCAAACTAGTACAATTTGGTTTGATTTTGAACAAGAAAAAAATCAAACAGTTTAAAAATTAAACCGGACTGTATATGATTTAGTTTAATTTGATTTGGAGCTTTTATAAACCAGCCTAAAATACATCGGACCGTTTATGTGTATATTTATTTATTTATATTACATTTTATATGTATAATACTCTAATTAGGTAATAACTATATATGAATATTTGACTTGAGCTATATTAGTTATTGAAATTTGAAGTTTTATGGCACGTTGATCTTGAGGATGGTTTCATACTCTAGAAGATGATTTACGTATGAAACAAGTTGTGAATTTGTTGGTTATAATTGGTCTAACAATGGTGAAAAAAATGTACAGAAGAAAGGGAATTGGGCTTAGGCCCAAATCGTCGTAAATTGATTTGGTTTCCTATATGACTTTTGTCAAAATTGAACCAAACTAACCGTTATATCATAATTGGTTCGGTCGTAGTTTTGAGGTGAAACATATCTAATCTGGACAGAGCCCACCCCCTACTTCGAATCTTTTTTAAAAACATATATTTTACCGAGTCTTTAAGTCGTATATGGAAAACAAAAATATTATTGAAAAATACGTACGTACATTTATAATATGAGTAATTGCTTAATAGTAATGGATAAAACTCTCTAAACTACTCTCTAAACTTCCTGTTTACAAGTATAGCCTTATTTCCATCTGTATGCATTACAGAAGCTTAGAAAGGAAAAAGAAACAGAAAGAGAATAATCATTTCTGTCATTCTCATTTCTCATGACACAACCATTCCTGCACTTACTTTTTCGAACCTCGTCATAACAGTAGAACTCCCAAATCAGTTATTCACTCCATTGGTGCATTCTTTGAGCTTAAGTTCAAAATTGAACAGTAAGTATATAATTGGTTCTGGTCTCCACCAAATTCGACTCAGTCAGCACAGCTTAAAAAATCAGCTTGGAACAATTAAATTATAGCCAATTACGAATTGGAAAATTGCAATATTTCTCATTAAATATGAATAAAAACAAAAACAGAAGCAACAGTGTTAACAGTTCGATGCAAAGCCACTTGATCAACCAACTGAAATATCAAAACCCACAATATTGAGCTCAACAACACCCCTCAACTTCAAGACCAAAAACAAGCTAATTTAAACCAAAAAGTGCACCAAATGTACCAACAGAAATGGAAAAGTAAAACAGAGAGAAAACAAATTTAAAACACGAACAGTGCTTACTTAGAGCGAGTCAATGAAGGCACAGGATCAGTGACCGAAACTGCATTGTCAGTGCTAGCATAGCATAGCGGAGACCACGGGCTCCTTGAGCTGGAAAGTCTTCCGTTTGAGTGGTTTCTGCTGGCCAAAATCAAAGCTTTTCAAAAACCCATGTCTGAAATCCACTCTGAGACTTGGTTTCTGTGTGTCATCAGTGAAGTTGAGCGTGGTGATGACACGGCGGCCGGCATTGTTGGGTTTAGGGCGAAAGCCGTTGACAGTAATTTTATATTGTAGAGAAAGACCTCAAAAATCACATACATGTAAGATGCTAGCCATTTGTCACTGGTGGGTAGCACGTGGTGTTTTGAACGGTGATACAAAGCTCAAATGGGACCCAACCTCTAAACGACGTGTTCACCGCCTCTCTTTACCCTTCTAATTGAACCCAAAAAGGAAAAACAAAACCTACATTTCAATTGGCAATAAAACCTGCACTAAAATTTTCTAGCAAAAAGAAGTTATGTCATCCCACATTACTTATAGAAAATTTTCATTATTGTAAATAAATTGAAAGTGAAGGTAAAAAAAAAATTGATTATTAAAAATGCATGTAGAAATTAATAATAATACAAGATAAAAATTTACATTAAAAAAAATGATGAATCATAATTTTGAGAGAGAGCTGTTGCTACACATTTGAACTTGAAGGAACAAATATGGTATATACAGAGGAATAAAAAGGGGATTTATTGATAGAGCAATTACAAAAACAAAACAAAACAAAACAAAACAAAAAAGTCATGAATCAGATTGAGACAGATTCAGGGCACCACATAGGCTGGGGAGTGAATAGACACTGACAAGATGGCATAAGCAACCCCAGAACAGAAGACTATGGTAAGCACCCACCCACTTATGAACTTGAACAGGAGCTTCCAGTTTACATTCTGCAAAAAAAATAAAAAAAAATTTAGTTGAAACAAGTATCAAACTACAAACAAAATTGTAGAGAGCAATAAGTAACTAATATAAGCACAATTATAGGATAGATAGTAAAAAACAGAGGAGAAATCTCACTCTAGGGTCATCTGCTTGCAATCCCAACTCCTACTACTGATCCAACAAAAGCATGAACACTTGAAACAGGAAGATTAATCTTATGGACCAAAATCATTGCGGCCACAGTGGACAATTGTGCTGCTAAGCCTCTTGAGTGACTTATATATGTCAGCTTCCCACCTAGACACTGAGTCAGCCTCCTCCCACAGACAAAGAAACCAACTGCAGCACCAAATCCACCATTCCTGAGTTACTTATATATGTCAGCTTCCCACCTAGACACTATACATATATATATATATATGAAATATATGAAAGAATTAGTTCATGTCATTAATTTGGAATCTGAGTTTCTGTACTTCTCTTGTTGACCTTTTCTCTAAGTGTGTAAATCATTTATTACAAAATCCATGGATTATCTGCAGACAACATTTCATCAAACATTAGTAAACTCGTGTCATTGCTATATAAAAAACCAATCATCACGGCTTCCTTGAGTAAGAAGATAGATTTGAGCTTATGAGAGAAACAGACCTCAGAAAGTGTTAAAGATATGGCATTATCTGTCTTCTCTCTGGCAGAAGTTACTGATCTCAGTGCTAGTTTGTAGTTTGTGGCCCAGGGTATCAAACATACGAGGTTAAGAATGAAGGGATGCTTGCAGCAGTAGAGAATTCTTGCATAGTTTGTATGAGGGGGCACTGCAAGCAAAACTGTAATGCCAGTACCTAGAATTAATAGATAAGCAGCTTTCACGAGATTCGTCCAAGATTTATCAGCACCGTTAGCCTTCTTTTTCTTCTCCACCGGCCTCTTCTGGTCTTCCTTAGTTTTCTCATTCTGCAATTGAAATTTAATGATCTTGATGAGACTGTAGTTTTCTTTTAGCATTGGAATATATCCCTACCATATATGGCTGAGTTTATACCTTGGGATTTCTTCTAAAAAACGATTTATGTTCATGACTGTTATCGTTGGCAGAGGGCTTAGCTGGATTAATCCATTTTGAGATTCCATTGACAAACTCTGTCTCAACTATTTGAGAATCACCAGAGATATCAAATTCCTCCATCACTTTTGCTGCATAATCATCGTCATCCAGACCTACTTCTTCTATTTGTATTCCTAGGATCAATGCTCTCAGCCCATGTGATGATATGTATGTGTTATTATTCTGGTCTAATTTGTGAAACAGCCTGCAAATAAAATCAGGAAACGACTAAATAATGAGATCATGGCATTTTTTTTGTACATATTTACGCATCACAAAATCAAGTCTTCTTTTTTGAATCCATGGTTGCATTATCTGCATTGTTATTTTTCTTTTTTTCAGTTAAGAAGTACATAACAGTATCTGCAAATTATAGTGCTGCTTATAATGAAGATCATCCTAATTGCAGGACTACAAACATCCTCATTTGATTCTCATATTTCAATTTCTACAAAGCTCAGATTTGCTTAAATATTCAAAAATCTTCTTTTGAATCTTATATCTGCATCTTGTTATTTCCTCCTTTCATACACAAAAGAAATTGGACTTTTACTTGCATGTATCTAATCATTTGGGTTCTTGAACTTTTTTTGTTACCTGCAGTAAATGACAAGGAATGCAAATGTATGTCTTCCCTAATAACCATCTGTTCGTGTCAATTTTGTTGGACAGTAAAATGTAAACGGGCAATCTTCTCCATCTCGAGAATTGGAAAGTCTCTAGAATTGACTATGGCAAGTTTTCAGGTACCAAATCGCTCCTGTACAGCTTCAATTTATATTTTATACAATCAGAAAGTGCAGAATTTTCTCACTAATTCTTTTTGCCTTATTTTTTAGCTGTTCCCTCGAGTACATTTTTCTGATGTGGATAAATCAAAATCATCAAGCAGTGAACATGAACAGATCGCGGTTAAGGAGGTACAGAGGTTTTTCACAGTAAAAATTTATAAGGAGGTTTAGATGCTTAATTGTCACCTTAAAAAGAAACAAGCCAAATACAAGACACAGTAAAAAGAAAATAGATTTCTATTCAATTGGGCAGTTCGAGATTCTGGTGATATTCAAACAAAAATCAGTCTAAGGTAGAATTGTGCAGTTCGAGATGAACCACCATAATGCAAAAAGTAAACAGCTAGATTCTGGTGATATTGAAACAAAAATCAGTCCAGGTAGAAAACAAAGGCTTCCTTTCCCTCCGCCTTGGCATGTGCACATGCTGCCAGCACAATAGTGCTGTTGCGGTATGCAAATGCAACTATCCGTTGCACCCGCGCAACAACATCCCTCTCGTTGGGAAGAACCGTGCAGTGTGCCTCTGCCAATCCTCTCCTCACAGCCTCGCACGTCCCCATCTCTAGCGACACTGTGACAATGTGAAATCCCTACAAAAGTTAGGCGAGTGCAAATAATCAGACAAATGTACACATAGAAATAATATGAAGGAACTACTCAAAACATGGTATTTGTTAGTTTATGTGTGAAGGGGTTAGGTATAGTTAGTGTTGGTGTATTAGGAAGTACTTGGAATTAGACTGTTAAAACTTTGAAGTAGAAACAAAGTTCATATTTATTTGAAGAGAAGAATACACAATTGGTTTAACAGTATAGGACTTAGTGGGTGTTAATGTTTAATAGTATTCATAATTGGTTTTGGAGGAAACTCACCTCGGACAGTAAACCGCGGGTAAGAGTCTCCACAAGCCGCATTTCCGACGGTTTCATCCTCGTAGAGCCAAAGATGCCGATTTCTTTAAGCCCGGGGTGCGGCTCTGGTTCTGGTGAATCCAGGAGCGGCTGTTTGACATCATTAATCCTCCTCTTCTTTCCAAGTTTGGGGTCCACTTTGGTGGATGATGAAGCTTTCGACTGAATAGAAGAAGAATAAGAATTAAAAAAAAAAAAAAAAAAAAAAAAAAAAAAATATTTGGTGGTATCCACCACTTGTTGAAACATGCAAAAACAACCTGATGAAACTTCTTTCCAAGTTTGGGGTCCATTTTGGTGGATGATGAAGCTTTGGACTGTATGAAGAAGAAAAAAAAACATATTAGGTGTATCCACCAATTGTTGAAACTACCTGATGATCCGCCACTTTCACATTGCGGCAGAGGGTTTAGGGCAGACTCAAACTCCACAACCAAGATCGGCTTTTTCTTCTTTAAATCCAGGAGTATGGGCAGAGACATGCAAGGAGAGGTGGTATCATTGCCTTGATCCTCGCTTTTAGATGTCGATTTTTCTTCTTATGGGTTTAATATTATTATTTTTGTTTCAGTGCAACTGGACCCTAGAAGAGGATAGAGAATTGGAACATCTTCCCCAACGGCTGGACTACCATATCTCATGAGTTCAACGGGTCGAGAACTCCGTCTCAGTGCTAGATGAGGACCAAAGCCTGTTTCCTCCTGCGAGACGTGTACCTATCTTCAACGCAGATGGTGTCTTAGTTGGACAGGTTATTCTTCTTTGTTATATTAAAAATTTTAAATTTTATCATCTTGTTTGTTTTGTTACTAAAGTCTCTTTCCTTGTGGGTGTTTACAGTCTCCTAAAAACCCACAAAGAAAGAGACTTTAATAACAAAACAAATAAGATGACTAAATTTAAAATTTGTAATATAACAAAAAAAGAATAACTTGTCTAACTAAGGCACCATCTGAATTGAAGATGGGCACATGCATCGCAGGAGGATACAGGCTTTGGTGCCTCATCTGGCACTGAGACGAAGTTCTCGACCCGTTGAACTCATGAGATATGATAGTCCAGCCGTTGGGGAAAATGTTCCAATTATCTATCCTCTTCTGGGGTCTAGTCTCATTGAAACAAAAATAATAATATTAAACCCATAAGAAGAAAAAAAAAACGAAGAAAAATCAACATCTAAAAGTTTTTACCTTTTTTACGCGAGGATCAAGGCAATGATACCACCTCTGTTTGCATTCCCATGCAGATCGAGTGCCAACACCGGCAGATACAGAATCCCAACTAAAGATGCCGTATTTCTTCACGGCTCTCATCAACAGGGCGTCCTCAAATAACCTCCACAGCAAAGCCATAGCAGAATTCAGAGAAGAAGTAGGGCTGGGAGCGATCTGGTTCGGCCCGGTTCAGAGCTTAACCCGAAACCAGAATCAGTACTGTTCATCCAATCCAGTCCAGTTCAGTTTTTAATAAAATAAAAAAAGAAAAACCGAATCAAGCCGAACTGTCCTCCGATTCGGTTCGGCGGTTTGGCCTGTTTCCTTTATTTTTTTTTTTTTTTTTTTTTTTTAAAAAAAATTCGTTTCTTTGTGGGCTTTAGTAGCATATAAGACCCTATTCACATTCCTATAAAAATTTGGCCTAAAATAATTTCTACATGCCATCCTAACTTCCAAATACAAAACATGGTCATCCAAACCAAACATACAATCTTAAGAATTATATCTCAATGTAAAAATTAATAATTAAATTACAAACCAAATTTGAAATTTGAAACATAAGCCAAAAATTAACATATAACACTAACGAAGGCTTCACATATTAAATTATCACTGAAACGAAGAACTTGAGTTGGTAGGTGCCGGTAAAATTGTAAGATCATCAAATAAAAACACACATTAAAACATTAGGCAAAAATGCAACTATATATATATATATTAATAGTATACATCATTAAATCACATCAAACTAAAAACAAATACCTAACTCAATGGATTCAACATAGCAGCATTAATAAACTGATAAACCCATCCAATTAATGCAATTAATTATTTATCAAAACTACTATTAAACTGCTTACCTATGGCTTATGAGGAGGTGAACTGCTACTGCTTCTTCTCCTCAAAGATTTGCATAAAACACCATCCACCATTAGAACAAGCTAAAGCCAAGTACCAGATCTTTTAAAAACTAAACAACCCACCAGTCCCATAGAAACATGAGAATTTTTTAAAGTTAAAAAACAAGTAGTAAGCACAAATTTCGTAGATAAACATGTATCCAATGAAACTATAGAAAAATGCTCAGACATAACCTTCCGTGGACTAGGTGATCCAGAGTATGATGACGAACTCCCACGTCTAGTAGCTGGTCCTCGACCTCTGTAAAAGACAAGCAACAAAAAAGATGAAGACATATTAGACTCCAGAGTAATAACAAACATATGACAGGAAATTAAAGAGGGAAAGTCAGTAATTTAAAAAAGTAAACAAGATATCAAGTATAATATTCCTTCAAAATAACACGACAGACTAAGAACTTTTAAAGGTATTTTGGCATAAATGAAAAACATTAACTCATCTAAAAAGGGACAAAAAACAGTACATAATAGATAATTATCAAAACATATATAGTAAACAATACACATCGAGATACCAGGAGTTATATTCACAGATTTACAGTCAAATTTGAAGTTTATTACCTCCATAAAAAATTTAATTTATCAGGAAAACAAAGCTTCACACGTAATAATCTTTATGAATCAATTATAAGAAATAAAAAAGAGAAGCAGATCATCATGTTCACAGCTCACATGTCCATTGGGCACCAAATAAAGATAAAGATTGAAAATTTACAGCAGCCCCTCAAATAAAAAGGACTAATGTAAAGACATTAGCCTATACATAATCACAACAACCACAACTCATACCCAATGTCAACGAATCCCCAAAATAAACAGCCCTAATATTTCATCACAGCCATCCCTAAACTTGTTTAGTTGAATAAAAGATTAATAACCAAGAAGCCCTAGAGGAAAAGAGTACCTAGCGCGCTTGCTGTTGTGGTGTAGGCTGATGACAAGTTGGATAAAAAACCTTTAGAAGAACCTAGAAACAAGCATGATCCAGATGAGAGATACCAGTGACTTGTAACTAGGCAGCTGAGTTCTTTGATTTACAAATTACAACACAAATTTAATAGCTTTGATCAATGAATATCTATCAAGATTGTTCAAGTAGGCAAGACTAATAGAACTGAAAGTGAAGGTGTGGATCGTTTACCTGATCAAAGATCCTATAGGGAGAAAAAAAGAAGCCGAAAAGGGGTGATCCATGTGCAACAGACTCTTGATTTTTCATCAACCACCTCAAGTTCAAAACTTCATCTTTTCAACAACATTTACAGTTAAACTAAGCATATACATATTCATTCATGATCATATCATCACAGAGAGAGAGAGAGAGAGAGGAGAGAGGAGAGAGAGAGAGAGAGACTTACAACTGCTTACTGCTACAGAACTGAAATTTGAGGCTCTTCGAGCTCTTGGGCGATATAAATACAAATATACAGAGACAGACTTGGGCGAGATCTTGGGGAGTCACTTGAGTTGTGCGATGGCGGCGAGATCTGCATCTGAGAGAATAGAAGGAGAGTGAGAGAGAAGAGAGGGACTGAGGAAAACCTCATTCGCGTAAACTAAAAGGGGTTTGGTTTTATCAGATATGGCCAGTTCTATTCTAACAAAATAGAACTGACCTAATAAAATAATATTTTTATATTTTATATTATATATTAAATACTGGACCGGTCCGGTCCGGTTCGGTCCAATTTTGTTGACTTTTTAGTCAACTCGGTTTTTTTTCTTCCGGTGCGGTTCGGGTTAATATGCCCACAAAGAAGAGTAAATTGGGAAGGATTTAGGGTTTAGGAGCAACGGCTATTTTTTTTTTGAAATAATTGGGAATAGTAGGGATTATATAGGAAGGAGCACAATTGGGAGCAACGGTACGGCTAAAATTTTTTTTTTGAAGCAACGGCTAAAAAGAAATTTGAATTTTGAAGGATTTAGGGTTTAGGAGCAACGGCTATTTATTGTTGTTGAAGGAATTGAAAATGCTAGGGATTTGGGCCCAAAAAAAAAGGGTAAGAGCACAATTGGGAGCAACGGCACGGCTAAAAAAATAATAATAATTTTGAAGCAACGGCAATATTTTTTTGAAACATCGTTTTGGAGCTGGAGATTACCTTTTCAGTGCGGATATTACGCGCCCTGGGAAGCAAAACACGCGCCCTGCCAAATCTGGGCAGCAAAAGCCATAGCCATCCATCTGGAGAAAGAGGAAAAAAGAAAATATTAGCTAAAGATGAAACCAAAAACAGTTATTAACAATGAATTTGTGGGATTAGGATCTACCGAGTTCGTAAAATGCTGCTGGTGCTGGTAGCTGGCTTAACTAAGCAGAAAGCTGATGGGGCTTGAACAAGAGTTTTGGTTGGTAGCTGGCTGAAGACCTCAGTTCGAGTTTGGAGCTGGTTTTGGCCTCAAGAGAATAAGAGAGAAGAGATGAGCTTTGGTTTTGGCCAAATCAAGAGAAGGAGATGATGAGATTTGTCGAAGGCAGTGGCGGCTATCGCTTCATTTCAGTTTCAAAGGAGCAGCTGACGTACTAGCATATATAGATACACACAGCCCTTGAGTTACAATTTGGGCCTTTATGGATCTCATTGGTCTTTCTTGCCATTTGGGCCTTTTACCTCTGATATTTCGGCCTTTTATTAAATTATTTATCTGATCTTTTGCCTTTTTCTTTTCTTTTCTTTTTTTTATTTGGGGCCCTTTTTCACATTAAATCTAAAATAATAATAATTTTAAAACCGGAAAAACCGTTAACCGAACCGGGTTTTGAGCAAACAAAGCGCGACACCATCAGTGAAGTGAAATGGAAATCTCAGGAGAAGCTGAATCAACTAAAACAGAGGAAAAGCGAAGATCACAAGACGAAATTTGAACCTAGAACAACGGTAAACTATAAGGAGGTTCTTCAGAGGAAGAGACGCTTCCTCCGATTCTTCACCGCAATCGCCGTCGTTCCCTCCCTCACCGTCCTCGCGATCGTCTGCGCCGGTGACGGGTCCGCCGAGACCTATACGACTCGTTTACTGCGACGATATTGGAAAGTTTATTCATGATTCTCATACAATGTTTATAATAGGGGCAAGGATGGAGAACTGAGGGAGGAATTAGAAGGGTAGCCCAGGTTAAAGGTTCTGCCACTTATCCAACTCTTCATGGCCAGCACTTAAACTTTAGTACTATCACAGATGTGATGAATGCAGTTCAAAATGCATTTGGAAACAGAAGATGCAGCAGAGCGAAGGTTTGGCATTCTTAAATTTGACATAGTTGAAGTATTTAAAGTCCAATTTTAATTAAAATTTATTTTTGGCAGATACACTGGGGTGATAACTGGGATTAGTGAATTGGATCCTGTAAGATGGCCTGGTTCAAAACGGAGGTGTCTAGTTGTACGTTACTTTTGATAGAGCTTCTCTCTCTCTCTCTCTCTCTCTCTCTCTCTCTCTCTCTCTATATATATATATATATCCTATTTTTGTCTTCAAAAGCATTTGGAATTTATTTATCTTAAACTTTTACATGAGCATGCATTACTGCTTTGTTGCCGCACCTTTGGTTCTCTAAACTAATATATATGGTAGGGGTAGAAGTAAATTCCCGTCCTTGTTAGTTGTTTGTGTATTTACTTTGTTGATTTTACATTTAAGATTCGCAAAACCATTTCCTGAACAAATCTGGTGTAAGCCTTTTTAACAAGAGTTGAAGCATTTGGGGCACTGGAAAAGAGGGCAAAAAATAACGAAAATTGTATGACATCTTCACCATGTTAAAACTAAAATGAATTGCTTACACTCCTTTGTATTTGTTATGAAATGTCATGAGGGTTTAGCACACTTTTTGGCTAAATCACACTATGAAGGGATAAATCTGCTGTTGTATTTGTCACAAAATTTGTCCTGTGAAAGAATAACAGAGAGGAAAACACTAATTCTTTCATTGATTTAGGGACCATATATATTACAAGAGAGATAGCAGCCAATATGGCTTGCTGCACAAGTACTGAATTACAGGAAGGAATAAAGGCCTTGGAGTAGCAAAAAAACGTGTGCACAATAATCAAGGTTTGATTTCCTGATTTGTTGGCAATAGTGTAGATTCACCTCTATTATGTTGATCAAAACACCGTACTCATAGCCCTGTGTATAGAAGCTCAGGGCCTTGATTATTTGAACCCTATCATGTTCAGAAATATTTTTAATGTTTCATAGACATCGTTGTTGCATATTGTAGCTGTCAAGTCTTTAGAACTGCAAAAGGATTTGTTGAGTTATTTTTTACTGCCTTGAAAGCTGTATTAACCTAAATATCACAAATGATGTTTTCTCTGCTCTGTAGTATGCCAATGCTAACTTACAAAGTGATAAGTTCATGCCATTAGCACTAAATACATTGGTTTCAAACTTTTCTTTTGCTCTTGCAGGTAAGGTGGGATGATATAGACACAAGTAAGCATAGCAGGGTTTCCCCATGGGAAATCGAGCCATCTGGTTCTGTTTCTAGTTCTCATAGCTGAATGGCAGCTGGTTTGAAGAGGGCCAGGAGTGGCTTGTCTGCAGCAAAACAGAAATTCTAGTTCCTAGTATGTCGTGCATTCAGATTAGAAAATTTCATCGTGACACTGTCTCTGCAACATAATTTGTTGATTGTAACTTTTTTTTTTCATACAGATGTTATTGGAGCATCAGACTTTGGGGAATCTTTAAGGTTCCAGAAGGTCTCGCAAGGTCAAGAAATTTTGGGTTTTGATAATCATTCTGAGGGTTTAGGTGGTCAGAATCAGCATCCATCTGAACCAAGGAGGGGTTTTCATGGTTCTAGTGGTCCTGGGATTGCTGCTGGTGCTGGAGGTAATGGTCTCAGAAAGTCACTTGCAGACTCTGAGATTACCTCAACTGGCATAGGCTTTGGGGAATCATTCCGATTCCATAAGGTCTTGCCAGGTCAAGAAATATTTCCAAGCCCACCATATGGAAGAGCTTCCACTACTAACGAGGCTCATGAGTATGGTGGCCCTGGAATCTATGGTGGTTTTCAGGCGCCAAGCTTTAGAAATGGGCGGTGTGCCATGTTGCAGAGCAATAGTACACACGTGCACCCATCTGCCTCGTCTGTGCGAGTTTCATCACCATCATCTGTGTTAATGTTCCAGCAAGCAATGAATCGGGTACCGGAATTCAATTCAGTATACAATGGTCATGACCAGGAGGAACAGAGAGTTATTAAACGAACTCCATACATCTCTGAATCAGATGGTGGAAAGCAAGCATCATCCTCATTTTGTGAACGTAGCTTCAGCAGGGAAGATCGTGGAGGCATGAATTCTTACAATCAACGCGGTATCTCAAATCATCCTGTAATAAGTCAGTCAACATTTAGTGGCAGAGTCAGGATACGGTTTCACCGTACAAAGGCAGCTGTAGACTCTTTGGTTTACCGTTGTCTGAGGAAAAACGTGTCCCAGACAGAGAACAACTCGACCTCAAGTTTATCTACATTAAATCCTGGATCTTCCTTGTTTCCCAATGTTGGAGTGCAGTTTCATTCAAAGCCTGCTTTAATGACATCAGCAGTTGGAAGGAATTAACTGTTGAAACTGACTATTAAAATTCTCCATCTCATATTTATTATGTTAAGTAGTTGATTGTTGTAACATTGGGAAGTGTAGAGTTCTTTAATGCGTTAGTCGGCAGGCAAGAAAGTTCCTTTGTATATATATCACAGAGGGTTATCTCTGCGTTGTCATGGATAAGCAATACAGCTCTCTTCTCTTGCGGGTGTAGGCATTGTAAAGCCGAACCACGTTATTTATTTTCTACATTAACCGTATCAAAGTAAGCAACCACTTCGGTGCATGAGATGCACTTTTCAATATTATGGTGTAGTACGCATCTTTGTCCAAGTAGACAGGACATTCAATCTTCTCTAACATTGGTGGGTACGATCATCTGATTTGTGAGGTGGGTGTGTTTATGTATAGGAATGGGCTTTTGACTGGCGTGGAGAAAGGATGGAAAGCTGTTCACAAAGTTGGTGGAATATATGTATTGCCTTGCCTCTCATATGATAGTGCTGCTGGGGAGAAGAAAAAAAAAGAACAGGGAGGTGGGGGTCCAAACTGAGCAAATTCTATCTACGCAATTACAGACAATTGTTAATTTTATTCCTCCTCTTCCCTACATGATGCTTGTTCTGTTCAAAAGTGGCTTGCTATATTCCTAATTTTATTGTTTCTAATCATTCATTATATCTAAATCAAGAATTTTGTGACCGGTTATTGTTAGAGAATGTAGAGCAATAGAAAATTCTGAATTATATCTTGAAGCTGGAAATTACATGCCATGTTCTGCTGGAATATTCTATATTTAGTAGATAGTTGCATCAATCCAAGAAAAAGCAACCTAAAAGCCCATGCAATAACTCGTTATATGTAAATACGCATTTGAGATTCATGAGTAAGGACGACAAGTTGTAGATCTGAGTCTTAATCAAGTACTAAACTAAACTAGCTCAACAACGTTACATCAATCAAACTGAGCAATGCATAAAGTAAAGCTGCCGATTCCGAATGCAATGCATAAAGTAAAGCTGCCGCATGCATGCCTAAAAATTGAATTACCTTCTAGACCATTTCCTCGGCCGCCTAGAAGAAGAAGAAGCGTCAGCAGCAGCAGTCTCTTTTCGTCCATTTTTCCCTTGGCCACTTTGATGAAACTAGTGTATGTGTATGTGTACGCTGCTGCTCTTCCGCCTCATGATGATGATTTGAACGACTGGTAAGTATTGGCGTTGGCCACCATGGGAGCACAAAAGGAAAGACTGGGAAGACAGATCTCCCTCCCCATCTTAAACTGAAAGGTGTGAATTGAGTGGTCCAAGTGGTCTCCTTTAATGTTCTTGCACCAATGTTGTACATGACAATGTGACCAAACAATTGTAGATACAAGACATCCTCATTATTTGGATCGAAAACAAGCACCAAAACCCTTTTTGTCCTCCCATGGTGCTCATCGTTCCACTTTTTGGTGAGAGGATTTGCCGAGATTAAGTCGAACATGTGAGCTGTGTCTACCAAACGCCATTTTGCAGTCTCCTTGACTTGACCATGACCTTTCCAATCCCAATCCCAAACACCATGACCATCGTCTTTCAACTCCCAAACACTCACAGCACCTAGAGTGTGAGCAGGATCATCATGATCTAAATTGGTAGAGGAGAAGATGCACATCCGCTGACACCTTTCTCCTCCTCCTCCTCCACACTCACTTAGGAAGTCAAACCTTCCAGATTCGATTTCAGGCTTATCAATGTAACGAAAGAGATATATACTATCATCAAGCTGGTCACGAGGAGAGTAGAGATCCAACCCAACAGTAAAGCCCTCAACATCACTCCACAAATACAAGCTTCCATTGTGAGCAACCCCGGGGTAGGGAGCCAATTTGCTAAAACAAAACCTCCGTGGGCTGTTTACATGTCCTAGTGTCCATTGACCAGTCTCAGAAGAGAAGATCTCTGAGTAGAATTCGCCGGAAACCTCGGGAAATTCCAATTTATCGTCATTTATTCGCACAACCTTATACCTATACTCAACATTAATAAGATTATGATTAAGCTGAATATTGACACTCCTCCTACTAGATCTTTCTAGATCTGCTGCTTGCTTTCGATAGTAGGGATCGCATATGAATCCAACCATTACGCACTTGTGCCGTCCTCCTGATCCACGTCGAGGAGGGGAGGGAGAGCATCCCATTGCTTGGTGTATGGATTGCAGATGATGATTATAGCACGTGCAATGATGTGGTTTTGGTTGCCACTTTGGATTTGGAAATAGTGTCGAAAAAAATAGGATCAAAGATGAGACTGAACCAACGCTTGGAGACACACATGCATCGAGCCGCACACTTAGGAGGGAGTCGGGAAAGAATTTCTAGCAATACAAACTGAGGGAGATCATCAAGACTAATATTCATGGGCATGGCTAACTCCTTCGATATTGGTTTTTCGGGTGCCCACCGTTTTGATCTTTTTAATGGAGACTGATGATGATCAGAGGCTTCTCCAATAGGTTTGGATTGGGATATTCTACTGCTCCAACTCCTTTTGGTAGCACGAGGTCTCATCATGGCGCCGATCGATCTGTGTGCAGTTTGATTGACTATTGCAATTTGACGAGAGGATTTGGGTCTTGAAACATATATAGCTACTAATTACCCTACTATTAATCACTATATATAGGAACATATATATATATATATATATATATTTTTGGGGGGGGTCGAAAATAGGAAAGGATATCCGTACAAAAATAGGCAAGCAATCACTAATTATTAATTTATAAATAGGAAAGAAATTCCGCGCACGAATAAGAATTAATTTACAAAGATATATATATTATTATTATTATAATTTTTTCGGTAATACTACAGGTACCAACTCTTTTACTAACTTTTGATTACCAATTGACGTGGCATATGACATGGCAATACATGTAATCTGCCACATCATCTTTTTAATTACCCAAAATTTAAAGTTTTAAGTAAGCTTAAAAAATAAATAAATAAATATGTTTTCAAACTTGCTCCTCTGCACCCTAGTAGAAAGTGTTGGGTTCCATGGCTATCAACCAAGCACATATATTGCAGACTGGGCAACGAGGAAGATGCACCTCTGGTTTGGTCCGAAGCCCTTCATCTTTCTTGATGGGATTCTCATAGTTGATGGTCTTCCAAGTTCATCGAAGTTGAGACTCAGATCTGGTTTCTTCTAAAGTTCTACTAGTTTCTATATGTGTATTAAGTTTATTATGGTGATGTTCATCTGGGTTTGTGAATTAGTATTATTGCTTTTTCTTCTTTGCACTCCTAAAGATACATTGAAGATTATACCATGAAAAAGAAAAAAAAAAAATTGATCTTATGGAATTACATATATAGAAGAGTATTCCAAGCAACTGATATTTTTCTTTTCTTTCATGTAATAAAAAAAATTGATGGTGTTCTTCTATCTGGATTTTTCCCCCTAATTTTTTCTGAAAAATTTGAGTGATGGTGGTGGTGACTGCGAAAGAGGCTATGGAGGAGTTGTGTGGAGCAGCAATGGAGGGCGTACCGTTCATAGGGGCGGCCTTGAGGTGGTGCAAGTGGCGCCACCGCACGGGGGCCCGGATTCTTAAGGGCCCCAAAAAAAAATTCTTTATAGGTATTTGCACAAGTGCGTGTTTGGTGGAGTTGGCTCCATTGCATGTCCATTTAACGAAGAGCCAGACTTTCGATTCTTGCTGAAGTTGGTCTATTTGCTTGTTTTTATTTTATTTTAAATTAAAAAAACTCACTGGGGGAGTATATATATCCCCCAAACACTTTCTACTCCTTACCTATCGTTCTTAAAATTTTTTTAAAAAGTTTTCTCCTCTAAGAAAAGTACTTTCTTCATTCCAAAAAAAAAAACTTCTTGCTTCTTCTTTTTCTTGAACTCTGATTTTCTGGTAAGTAATCATCATCATTCATTAATCTCTATTTGGTTACTGTTGCATCTACAGAAAGAATTTTTTCAAAATTAAAATTGTTGAAATCATATTTGCGATCAACTATGTCGCAAGAAAAATTAAATGGACTAACTTTGATTTCAATTGAAAGTGAACTTCTCGACAAACTTGATTATGAACATTTGATTGATGATTTTTCTTCTAAAAAATCAAGAAGATCAATTTTTAGACATTAGTATTGTACTATTTGTGTTTTTTTTTTTCTTTTGGGGGAAAAAGTTATCGTAATATTTTTAATTCTTCAAATAAAGACACAAAATACAATGTGAGAGATTTTTGGATAGTCATATGTTTTTGTTGTTGCTTTTGTGTTTAATGCAATATAATCTAATTTATTTGTGTGCAACTACTCTTTAATTTGTGATTGCCAATTTTTTTTTCTTCTTATTACACACATATTGCTTATTAGAGGCAGCAATGGACCTTATAAGGACACAAGGAGCTTATTTTTGTACCAAACATTTAATTTGATCAAATACCATCATTCATTTTAAAAAATGACACCATCTCCACTTCTACATTCAACTCCACCATTTGTACCACCACATTCACTACCTCCACAACCACCGCCACCACCACATCCTCTTCCTCCTCATCCTTCGCCACCACCACCACCACTACCACCACCTCTTCCAAAACCTCCACATCCACCACCACCTCCACAGCTAACACTACCACTACCACCACACTGCCACTGCCACCACCACCACAACCGCCATCCCCACCACCACAACCACCAACTCCTCTTTCATCACCACCACCACCTCCACTCCATCAGCACATGATTAGTACATAACACTTTCAACATTATGTGTATTTTAGTCATTATTCACAGTTACAACAATTTTATATTAAAATTTACCAAACGGTTTTGACACTGCTTTTTGTACTAACAACACTTTAAAAATATTGTTTACCAAACATAGAGCTGCTTTACTTTACATTTAATTATTTTCAAAGTACAGCAGAAGCAACTTTTTTTAAAAGTGACAGCAATCCCAAATTAGGCCTTAGTACCCCAACCAAAATGCTTTTTTCAGACAAGGAGCTTTTGAGCAAGAGTTTTGATAGCCTCCTCAGCAAGGATTTCATACATTTTTTCTGTTGGATGAACAGCATCCCAGAATACGTATTTTTCTGGATCAGTGCATGTCTCTAAGCCCCTGCATGAATCTCCAAACTCTGTGGTTCCAGTCCCGCAACACCCTTTTGAAGTCTCAGACAAACCTGCCAGTTTTCACAAAACTTAAATTCTCAGTCTTTCTGATATTCATGCATAGAAAGAAAGCAGAGAAATTAAACTTACCGTACAATGCTGGGTTGTTTATGGCATTTTGGATAATACCATAAGCATCAACAAAGGCAGTTTTCATTCTAGATGTTGCGCTTATGGTCTCCAATTTCTCTTGTATCTTGGAATTCAATGAGAATGCCACTTTGTTGTAATTTTCGGCACATGTCGTCGCGTCCGTTATCGTTTTGACAAGTGGCATGCATCCCAAAGGAGGGACCCCAACAACAACCAATCTTGTGCCTCCTAGCCTATGCATTTTCTGCAAGAAAATTAAAAAAAAAAGAGAAACAAAATGAAAATTGGATAGGGCACGAAGGGCAGTATGGCCAAAAACTATGAGATTAATTTAGAGATGAAGAGCACCTGAATGGCATTAGCCATGCAAGAGACCAAGTAATTTTGATACTCTTCCACAGTGAATTGCTTGGGGCGAGTTGGGTCCAAGTAGTAGTCTTGGAGAAAGTCATTTGTGCCCATACTCATGACGAAGACGGCAGTTCTAATGATATCCTCAGCTCTCTTCTGACCAACCAGTTTTCTTAGTTTGACTTTATAATGCATCAAATACTTCAGCTGGCGGGGAAGAGATAGGACACTCTGTTGAACCATAACAAGAAAAGTTTAAAATCAAAATGTGACATGTATTAGTTGACATGTTGCATTTACTTAAGTAACATCTAATTAAGTACTTAATCCCAAGAATTTACCGAAATATTAGCGGTGAAATCATCGTAACCCGAAGCAGCTGATGCAAAACTAGCACCGTGAGGCAGATCTTTCAGCTTCTGATTGGGATCAAGAAATGCTGGGATTGTTTTTGTGTAGCCAATAGCGTCCGCTGGTAATTCATAAAGGGGACATTTTCAAGTTAATTAAACTGCTTACAAGATAATATTTATTAATGTGTCTAATTAATCATGCTTACCAATGAAATCTGTGGCAAGCCTTCCATTGCTGAACCTTCCAGTTGGGCGGCCATTGAAGAAGTCTTTGCCATAAGGAAGGAAATTGCTCTTTATGGTGGTCACTATAAAATTGTTGTTGCCAGAATCTACACTTGAATCTCCAAAGACCAAGATACATGTCACATTGTTGCGAGCAGCAATTTCCTTCACTTGACCAATGACTGGAGCTCCTGAGAGCAAAGGCAGCAGCAGCAGCAGCAAAGCCAATTCCACGATCACAAGTGCCCCCTTCTTCTCCACCATTATTGGCCAAGTTTGACGCATGACACAGTAGAAAAACTTTGGATATTGTTTTGTGTTGAGCTTGACCTCCCTCACCTCCTCTTTAATATGCTGATGTTGTAAATAGCTTGGATTGTAATTTTGGGACAGTGAATTTAATGCTAGCTACTCAAGCAGATATGTCACATAAATGCAGTAGACTCTAGAGCCCCTGCACATAAAAGTCGTTGCAGAATGATAATGCTAAACTCTGGTTAAAGGTGGCGAGCAAAAATATTCTCTTAACTTCACGAACTAAAATGATATCAGTGCACATGAGATGTCAATAAGATATCAATAAGAAGGATCCAGTGACCAGGTGTGTGATTATTAAGCAATAAATTCATGTCTCTGGTATGAACTACACCAGCTGTTGGCCAGCTAACAAGTCGAATATTGCAAGGATCATTTTTAAGTTTTTCTTCCCCTGGTTTTTATTCATATAAAGTTGCAATACTATACATATGCGCATAGCTGCATAAAGCAAACTGGGAGATTTTTCTATAGCACATGTACTGATAGTTAATGCTAACCATTCAGGTCCCACAGTGAAGCTTTTTGTGTGGTGGAATTGCATTGCATGGTCTCTGGACAGAATTGAATGCTCCAACAAATTTCTGCTTTTCTTTCGTGGCAAGTCAAGAAATTGGTTGCCAATTATTTAAAACCAAATTTGGGTCTGAGTTTACATGTTGAGATGGTGATGATGTGGTTGACTTTTTTCTGAAAATGTACAAGCATTCATTGATTGATCGATTTGACCCACACAATTTACTGATTTGTGTGATACATGCTGCATGTAGTAATGTCATTTTGTGTAAAAAAAAATATTGCATCCTGCTATTATTAAGGTACATGTGAATGTCATTTGATCATAAAGATTTGGGTTCTACTACTTCCATTCATAATCAAATAAATATTGTATTATTTGAACATAAATGAGGAGTGTTTCAATACATAACTATTATTCGCTCATATGATGCAGGTTTTTTTTTTTTATCATTTTAATTAGTTTTTATGAAGCAAAAAGGGTCTACTCCAGTGAAAAACATGAATTTGTTAACTGTAATTAGTAGGTCAACAAGTTAGGTAAGAGATTAGTTACAAGTCAGGTGCTTAGCATGTGCATTAGTTAGACAGCTAATCTGTGTTGTTATTATGTTAAGCTACTATGTACTCTGATTATATAAGAGTGTGCTAGCTTGTAATAGTTAGTTGATTGAAAATACAATACAGAAACACTTCATTCTTCTCTATTAACTTGCATTGACTATTCTTACCATTGACTTGTAGACTAAAAGTCTCAAGTTCGAATCCCTATGGTATCATAGTTGTGTGTGTGTAAGAGAAATCTTCACCTTGTAGTTTAGGCTATTGCTTGTACTAAAAATTTAAAAAAACTAATTTTCATGAAATGGATTAAGATATGTTGATTAAAGGGTAACATTTAACTTCAGCCATTTGAGCAAATTTACTAGGGGTGTACATTGGTTTGAAACCAATGAATTTTTATTAATCCAATTGAATCTAATTTTTTATTGGATTTGAGATTTTACGATTCGATCCAATGTGTTCAAACGTCAGGATCTAATCCAATCCAATCCAATCCAATCCAATGTACATTGAATTAAATTGGTTTGGATGATTGGTTTGCACGAAAATGTGATAATTGCAAAAATAATCGTATAGAATTTAATCCAATAGAAAATACCATTAAGTATGTACTAAGTAGACATAAATAAATTTTAGAAAACAACATAACAACACGAAGTTCGACATTTAGAGTTCAAGTTACATCAATTCCTTAAAAAAACGCTTAAGTCAACACAAAAACTTAGAAATCTATAATTTTTATGCTATATTAATCTAATTTTCCTAAAGAATATCAACAAAGTTGTGTTGATGCGTTTGGTGTAAGTGGAACGTGAAAAGTGGTTTAGGTTTGAAAACTAAGAAATGCAAATATTTGCATATATTTTTAAAAGGTTGGATCTTTTCGGTTTGAATTGGATTTCAAACTTTGAATCCGCTAACCAAACCGATCCAGTCGGTTTTTTTATTTTTTTGAATCCAATCCAATTCGTTAATATTATCGAAATAAAAAAACTTGAATTGAATTGGTTGATTTTGGCAGATTAGTGTGGATCCTGTACATCCCTAAAATTTACCAAGATTTCGTTGTATCTAGTTGGCTCTCACTCGAAAAACCCGGGTTCAATTCCGGCAACGCAACTTTTTAATTTTTAAGTTTGAACTTTAAACCTTCAAAACCATTTTCCAATCACAAACGGCGTCAGTCCCGTCTGCGTTCGTTTTTGGCGGGAACAGAAAAACATTTTTATTTTAATTATTTTTACGTCTTCTATTGTCTCTCCTCAGTCCAAAAGACGGATTAGGGTTTCGAAATTTTGGCAGAGGGAGAGATGGAGAAGCCTGGCAGTATGAGAACCGTGGGAGGAGGGATCGAAGAGAACATATTGGCAATCCTCGACTCTTCTGAAGCTAAAGACACTCTGAACGCCTTCGAGGATAGTAAGTCTAGCTCTGTTATTGGCTTTTGTTGCTAATTTTCTGTTTGTCTGACAAGAAAATTTGCTAGAAAAGGAAGTGAGCGAGCTAAAATTAGTTCACGTCTTAGTTGTTTTGGTGCTCGGAAAACGAAAATTTCAACTCAGTTCTGTCTCACAGTAGAATTGCACCGTTTCATCTGTATCTTTTCTTCCAACATTTTTATAATTTATTTGGTAATTGATGAACAGGAGTCGCTTTTATCGAAGCTGTTCGTGCTGCTTCCATTGTAGCAAAAAATGGAACTCCACCTACCTAGTATATATATCTCTCTCTGTTATAGGCATACGCTAAATTGATATTTACAATGTATGTCTGCCCTAATACCCATCTGTTTATATCAATCTTGTTGCACAGTAAAATGTATGAGGCAATCTTCTCCATCTTGAGGATTGGAAAGTCTCTAGAATTGACTATGGCAAGTTTTCAGCTTTTGAATGAGTTAGATAAGGTACCCAGTCGCTCCATTAAAACTTCAATTTATATTCAGATGGTGCAAAGTTTTCTCACTAATTCTTTTTGCCTTATTTTGTAGCGTTTCCCTCGGGTAAATTCTTCTAATGTGGATAAATCAAATTCATCAAGCAGTGTACCTGAACTAATCATGGTTCAAGAGGTACTAAGGTTTTTTTCCTCCGTCTATTTGATATAAATTTCTGTTGTAACTGGCTCATATTGTATCATAATTGATGTCATTTCTCTGTGTTTGTTAGGTTTGGTTTCCATTTGTTTTCAGCTCCAAAAATGCTAGCCGGGAGAGGGGAGCTGCGAATAACTCAGAGGGACCAGTTGACTCATCAGTGAGTTGGATTTGATGTGGACTGGCAGTTTGCATTATTTTGGAGTTCTTAACCATTAGTATAACAGTAATTAGTTTGTTTAATTTGCTTTTTCTATTTCTATTTGGAAAGAGTCATGGTGCATAGACAAAGGGTAATAGATCACCGCTTGAGATGTTGTTGTAGTGTGATGAGCTACTTCAATTTCCAGCTCATTTTTTATTTTGTTTGGAACTCTAATTGGAACTTGATTTTCAGTAGCTTATCTGTTGCAATTTCACCTTGCTTAAGTGTTCTCTTGCCAACTGCAGGGTTTCCAACTTTTGATACAAGACCTTGCTGACGCAACCGATGAAGGAAACTTACGAGCATCAGAAACAAAGGTTAGTTCACTCGCAGTAAGAGAATAGAAAATGTTCCATTCAATTTGTGCTAGCTAATCTCATCGTTGTATTGTAAAAAAGCTGTCTTTCAATTTGTGGTTATGAGTTTTGACTGAGTGTTTTGTTCTGGTAGTTTTATGCCATATAATTACTTAACTTGTCCTGCTTCATTGGATAAGCGGAATTTCCCCATCTTTTTTGGTCTTACTTGATCTTCTTTTGTTGCAGTCCTTAGCAAACATGCTATTGTTTCAATACCTAGTTAACGTTTTTGAAGGAGATTTTCGACCACGTAACAGTGTCTATGAAGGTAAATTGATATCTAATTATCGGTTATTTTATGCCTCTAACTTTCTGGAAGTTTCAATTTGCTCGTTATTGTTTGCAGATACCATGAACTGGGTAGTTCTGAGAGAGTCTTTACTGAACGTGCTTCTGGTATCCCCTTCTCTTTCAAGCCATGAATACTGAAGAGCCCGTTTTCCGTTGTTGATTATCTGGTTATTAAGTGATTTTTATACCACGAATCTTGCCCTCAAAATTAAGTTATCTTTTGAAGGTGTCAAGACAAGTAAACTACAAAAGCTTGATGAAGGATTGCTTGACCATTATGTGTAAACTGTATCAAAACTGTGCTGGATTCACCGACGATCTGATATGTTCAGAGAATTCTGCAGCACAACCAGCTGAAAATTTTGATACTGCTGCTGCAATTTCTTTACTTGAGGTAGGAAAGCATACCTGCATAGCCATGCAGAAGTTTCTAATAATGGTAAGCCCCTTATCAATGTTTTAATATTTGTAGAATCAGTTTCTGCATTGGCACTGATTTTGGTCCTGTTCAGATTATGGAGCTTGATGTGTCCAAGAAGAGTGCAGAGATGCAAGGTTCTACTACCCGAGCTGATGGTGTCAGGTATTTGTTTCTCGTTCTTGGTAGAGTTAAAGTTGTTATCTCTCTCTCTCTCTCTCTCTCTCTCTCTCACACACACATGTACCAGCACTTTTTGGGTTGGTGCAGAACTCCTCTGGTGGAGATAATTCTGGACGAGCTAACATACAATAGAGATATTATTTCCCCATTTCTTCAGGTTCATATTTCTTTTAATCGCTATCCCTTTTTCGCTTGTGGTTTGCCATGTTTCTGTATCCATATATAATCTGTGTGCCGGCCACCTCACACGGAACAAGTTTCATATCTCTCTTAAAGTTTGACGATGTATCTTGGAATTTCTTATGCTTCATTCCTAATGTTTAAGAATGAGAAATTTGACTATTTATGATAAGTTGGCCACTATGTCTTCTGCCAGTTCTTTATGAAGATGCATTGCAGGTTTTCAATGAACCTAAATGGAAGCTTGAGGTAGTTGTGCAGTACTTGTGGAAGTACATTGGTAAGGTAAGCTTTCATAGTGCGGTAATAAACTATTATGTTTTAAAGTCAGCCAACCAAGGTACTTCTGTTGGTATTTCCCTTTTTTTTTTTTCCTTCTTTTATCTGTGTTTTTATTGTCCTGAAATGCTTTTATTTTTGGTGTTATCTGTTGTCTGCCTACTTTTTCCTGAGTGCGTTTGATATGGTTATGAAGGTAGTTGAAGCACAATTTTGCGTTATTGATAGTATCCTCATTCAATTTATTATATTATACTTGTTGTAGCCTTCTGTTCGCACTCGTAGGTCAAACAGTCCTACGGACGATGCATCATTCACTGGAGCATTGAAGTGCTTTTCAAATATCACCAGCACAAAAAGTACCTTAAAAAAGATTAGGACAGAAGTAATTCAGTTGTTGTTAGCACATGGCTTTCAGGTAATTATTCTTGCTATTCATACATACTAGTAGTATTCTTCTAATAAAATTAGTTTTATGGGGTGATGTGTTGGTTGATTCTTCCAAGGATGTAAAGTCAATTTTCCGTAACATTCTTGATTGATGTGGTTGCGTGTTGATTTTTCAGGCTCATTTGTTGCTACCAAGTGAGCACCATCCTGTTGAAGACACCTCTGCTTCCAATGAAGAAAGAAGTTGCAGCTCGCTTATTGAGATTTGCAAGAATATAATATCTGCATTTAAAAATATGAAGACAGCAGACAAGTAAGATCAGAATCAGAACCAATGCTTCATGTTTTCTCTGCACATGTTCATGCCCTGTAGTATTTGGCTCAGTACTCCTAACATTGTTTTTAACTAACAAAGGTTAGGCATAAGACATACAAACTTGAGCTTGTTCAAACAGTGACCATGAAACCAGTAATGTTGTCATGAATTTGCTAATGTCCAAATCCATTAATGGAACATAATATCCATGCGGTTTATTGTTTTTTCTTATACTTTTTTCATTCATTTCTTACATGTACTCTTGACAATTGAAATGTCTATCGTCAATTTCAGTATCTTTTGTTTTTTCTTCTTTTTAACCTCATATTATTACATTACATGGTTCAGGCAGATGGAGATTTTGTCACTTGGTAAGGAAGCACTATTTACGGCCGCTACTATCATATCAGCAAAGTCATAGTATGTTTCAGGTAACTTGATTCAAAGCTCTTGTATGTAATTATATAGTAGGAATAGGCTCATGTATGCAACGAACTGCACATTCATGGATGGATATAAAAAATGCCCGCTAAAATAATTGACTTTGACTTGGATCTTGATCATGTTAGATTGCCAGGGATTGATTTTTATCCTAAGCTACAACAATTGTATTTTCATCTGAAGAACTGCTCTGCTCTGCTCGTTTCTGTTTTCTTTTTTCAGGTCAGGTGCAAATAGCATCTTGTGGAAGCTTGACAAGCATTAAGGAATGTGCTGCATGCTTTATTTTGGCAGGTCCTAAACCTTCATGCAGCTCATTTATCTTTGTTTTAGGATAAATCTGTAGAAGACTGTTGGAAATGTTTTTGTAAATGCGTATTGCTTTGGCTATATATTTAAGAAGAAAAAAACCCCAAAATGTATAAATATTTATGAACAAAGCCATCGCTCCAAAAACATAACTTGAACTTGATGCGTCCATACATGCTACCTTAAATTCACATGATCAATCAAGAATATTGAATATTACATCCCACAAATGCAGATTCAAATTCCAGTCCATTGCTAAATCTTCCGTCAAGCCAACCGACAAAAATTATGATTGTTCTTCTATCACATCATTTGAGTTCCTGAGAGGATTGTTAACAAAATCAAAAACTAAGTCTACCGCAAACACTATGAATGATGGAACAAACTGCAAACACCAGGGGAGTATTATTTATTTACTTGGGGGATTGCGAGTCAATCTGCATTGTGACTGGTCCATCATTGACCAAGTTGACCTGTTTATTACACCATTATTTATATATAAATGATCCAAGACATAGAGAGATTTCTCAGGATAATGCAGAAAGAGTAAAATAAACTCTTTACCTTCATCATTGCTCCAAACACACCATCTGCATGCACACAACCGTAAAAGAGATCAAATGCATTTCGAAACGAAAAGAAAGAAGCTAAAATTGTCAACATCTGATTCTGATCGACAGATTTAGTAGTTCATGAAGCAAAGCAAGCAATATCACACCTTTGACTGCATCTGGTTTGTAAGATTTTCTGAAGCTATCCACCAAAGAAGCATAGAAGGCCTTTGCATTCTGGGGCGGCATTGCCACGTGGAAGTCTGGCTTGTTACCCTTCAACACTCCGTACAATGTAAACTGGCTCACTGCCATTCACACTCTCACAGCATTAGACTTTACTTCTTCCAAGTATACAAATCCAATAACCACCACAAAAATATATAAAATTTACCCAGTAAGACTTCATAATTTCTCTGCATTACCTGAAGGATAAATACAAATATTTAAAGTAAATATAAAAGCCGTTAATACAGTTGAAGTTAGAAAGGGGAAAGAGGGGAAATTACGTTTTGGTCCCATCCTCTGCCGGAGCTTTCATTTGGGAACAGCCTCATATTCAACACCTTCCGGCATCTGAAAATTTTAATTAACTTCTGTCGGTTTAATTTTGAAATTGAAATTTTTTTAAAAAGAGAGAAGCTCAAGAGTCAAGATAGAGAGTACATGTAGTCGGCATCGGAGTCGGAATCGGACTCGTGGAGGCCCACCAGGACCAGCAAACCTGGCCCAATCTCCGACACCGTGCGCCCTTCTACCTGCAAATTCGAGCAATTTGCTATCTTACGCCGCTGAGGCGTTGGATAATGAAGAAAAAGAAAATAAAGAGAGAAAATGTCTGTGAATATGAATGTGTACGGACTGACCTCGACGCTTGCGGAGGCGACTCGCTGGACCACGGCTCTCATCGCTCTGATTGGTTTGGGTTTCGATTGGAAGCGGGAGTTGTTGTGGGCTTGGACTTGGAGAGGCGCTGGCAATGCCAATGGCAGGCAGTACATGTTTTTCTTATATTTTTCTTATTTTATTATGCCCCTAAATAAATAAATATATATTTTTTTTTTTTTTTTTTTTTTTTTTTTTTTTTTTTTTTTTCCGCGTGGAAATGATACAAACAGAAACCAGTCAACTTGTTGAATCTGTCCCTGAAGACCATCCGCGTCTATAAACAAAAAAAAATTGTATGAAACAGGAATAACACTATTTTGCTATCTCCAATCAATTACATACATCATGATTTACACAAGTTGTAGATTCCACCCAACCCAACCAATCATAGACACCATGATTGTGGGAGCAAATTTCCGTCACACTAGAATATTCGTCTAAGATTCATTCGTCTTCTCCACTTCTCTTTCTTCCTGTAAAACAAATCGGGGGTAAAAGGACCACACCCAGGGGTGTTGGCCAAAGATTCTTCCATGCCTAAGTTAGGTAGGGTATTTCAAGGAAAACTGGGTGGCAGGAGCCGTGTGTGGTGGTCGAAACCTTGTGTCAGAGAGAGAAAGAATATGGTGGAAGGAATTATTTAACCTAGGGTTTGATTTAATTCGGTTCCCACAATGATCAAGTTGTAGATTCAAACCCTAAAAGCGCCTTGATTTGCAGAAGTTGTATATTCCAACCTTCATGACACCTTATTGTTGTGTGTGCGAGAAATTCCTCTCCACTTATTGTAGTTTTGTTTATGGCTTGTATTAAAAATAAAAAGAAATTTGTACAATATTTCTGTCATAAAGTAGGTTTTTTTTATAATCCTTTTTGTATGTCTTATTGTTGATCAGATCCTTGCCTTGTACGCCAAGGATATTCCAGCCAATATATATATATATATATATCATTGTACATATGTGTTGTAATATCATTTAACAACTCTACAATTTTTATTCATACCATTCATTCTTTTCTTAAGATCGGTTTGGTTTACTGCTCGCTGAGTCACAAAGAGAGGAAAGAGATGTTGGATATCAATCTGTTTAGAGAAAAGAGGGGCAGTAACCCCGAAATCATTCGTGAGTCTCAACGTCGTCGTTTCAAAAACGTTGACCTCGTCGATCAGGTCATCCAGCTCGACGAAGACTGGCGTCAGCGTAAGTTCGAGCTCGACCATCTTCGCAAAGACTTGAACGGCATCAACAAGCGAGTTGCTCAACTGAGAATTGTCAGTGTTTCATCTCTCTATCTTTATCTTAGATTTTTCTTTGATTATATTCTTATTTCTGTTGGCCTTTATTGTCTGCTGCTAGTGGAAAATCTAAAACTTTCAAGTGTTCTCAAATCATCAATTTGAATAAATAGCAAGATTGAGAAAATTATTTAATGGGATTGTTTGTTTAATTGTTTTTATATGGAATTATTTTAGTCTTGGAATTGGAGTGAGTGAGTGGTGATTTTGTAGGCTTGCAGTGTGTAGAAACTTCAATTAATTTTTGGATCCTAACCCTACACAGATTATGTTTGAGTAAAACAGAGAATCTCAGGTCATTAGAAATTCCAGTAATATCATATTTCATTCCCTCCTGCTCTTACAAACTGAAACAGATTCTTTTCGTGCCACCAAATGCAGTTTCGATGAACCATTTTTGAATTAATTTGTACCTACATTTGTTTCTATATCGAAATCTTGGCTTCTTCTTGTTGTTGTTGTTGTTGTTTATATAACTGAATGTTTGAGTTGATTTATAGACGGGTGGCGATGCGACTGAGTTGATTAACAGCACAGAGGAAAATAGGAGGTTGGCGGCAGAGAAAGAAGCTGAAGTTGGAGAAGCTTTAGAATTGTTGAATACAAAGTTGGAAGAAATTGGAAACATTGTGCATGATTCAGTTCCCGTCAGCGATGATGAGGCAAACAATGCTGTGATTAGATCGTGGGGTGAGAAGCGATTGCAGGAGCCAACACTAAAAAATCATGTTGAGCTCGTTAAGCTTGCTGAGATTGCAGAGTTTGCAAGAGGTGCTGAAGTGGCTGGCAGCAGAGGTTTTTACCTGAAACATGTTGGCATGCTCCTGGATCGAGCTCTGACCCACTTTGCTGTCGATTTTCTTGTGGAAAGGGGATATGAGGGATTGCGGCCTCTACCATTTATGACAAAGGATATGATGGCAAAGTGTGCTCAGTTGCAAGAATTTGATGGGGAACTTTACTCTGTAGGGGAAGACAAATATCTGATTGCTACATCTGAACAGCCACTTTGTGCATATCATGCAGGTGAGTGGATCCATCCATCCCAGCTGCCAATGAGATACGTTGGACTTTCGGATTGCTTCCGTAAAGAAGCTGGTTCGCACGGTAGAGATACTTTGGGACTATTTAGGACCCACGTGTTTACGAAAGTTGAACAGTTTTGCATTACAAGCCCAGAGGGCAATGACTCTTGGGACAGGCATGAGGAAATGATCAAAAATTCGGAGGACTTCTATAAGGCGCTGAACCTCCCCTATCGTGTTGTGGGCATTGTTTCGGGTGCTTTGAATGGTGCAGCAGCAAAGAAGTATGATCTTGAAGGCTGGTTTCCTGCATCTCAGACATACAGAGAACTGGTCTCGTGTTCAAACTGTACAGACTACCAGTCGAGAAAACTAGAAATTCGATATGGTGAGCAGGGAAAGAGCGATGATCAGCTTCAGACAAAGCAATATGTTCACTTACTGAACTCCACTCTTACAGCCATTACAAGAACCATTTGCTGCATTGTTGAGAACTACCAGAGGGAAGATGGTGTTGAGATACCGAAAGCTTTACAAAATTATATGGGCGGGAAGACCTTCCTACCTTTCAAGAGCAAACAGGCCCCTGAAGTCAAACAGAAGAATTAAAAAGGGAAGAAAAGGCTTTTCTAATTTAAAGTTTAATATTTTCTTTTGTATAAATTTCAAAATTCAGATTCTTACTCAGTGTCACATGATATTTGACACATCAGCTATTATCATCTTTAAGTGCTCTTTACAAAACAACTCACTGTTTAAGGTAGAAAATGCCCCAATATATAACCAAGAAAACAGCAAAACCTACTCTTCATCGTGTACAAGCAAATCGTTTTTTTTTTCTTTTCAAAAGGTTCTGATGTAATCAGGTAAATCATGTATTTCGCGTTCGTGAAAAATCAAAATTAATATGTTTGCATTATAAATTTTGAAACAAATGATTGCCGGAAAGGAGAATTGAACTCAGGAATTTGGGTGTTGTAAGAAGTGAAGCTGCTCATCAACTGTTTGAATTCTTCAAACATTCACAAAAGCCTTATACATACAACACACCCCGAACACAAGAATGAACTAGGACTGGGAAAATGTCTAAACGGTCACATCACGATTCACAAGGAATGAAAAAGAACCAAAAAATTATCATAACATATGCATACTACAGTCTTTCCTTTTCTCCCCATGTTTTCTTCCTCTTTTCACACCTATTGAGCCCATTTTCTCCATTGCTGCAGCAAAAGCTTGAAAGAACTTTTGCTTATCTTTTGCCAACGCCTGGACAATCGGCTTGGTTCTTGGGTCCAAAGATAAAGCTTGGTCTGATGCTAGCAAGCCCAACTTAGCCTCTAGGTTCCCATAATAGGCATGGTCAAACACGAACGGTGTAGTGACATCAAATGGTGCAACAATGTCAGCATTTCCACCATAATGCGGGCACGACATTCTTAGGGCCCTTAGGAGTCTTGGGTCAATAACTGGGTCGGGCTGCTTGGATCCCCTGTAGTCATAGAGCCTGCTTACAAAGTTCTGGCAATGAGCAAAGCCGAATGTATGTGCACCAGAAAGAACAACCAGGTCTTCAAGTGTTAGGCCTTTTGAACTGAAGAGTTTGAGTAGCTGATCCACTGTGAAATTTGCTTGGGGAATATTTGAGGCCACTTTTGAGGCCATTGATATTTTCCCATCCCACCTCCCTTTCTTAACTTGATAGTATGGACCCCCTGCCTGCCCGCCCCCATTGAAATTTAAATTAGAAAAAAATGTCAACACGAATGTAAAATTAAAAGGGTAATGATTTTGACACTCCCATCCTCTCACTTTAGTTTCAGCACAATGTGTGTACATACAAATTATAAAATACTCAATTTGGAGGAGTGCCGGGAGCTAAATTGGGAGTGTCAAAATCATGGCATTATGTCATATCACAGAAGAGCTGGTAGCAACCACAGGTCCACATTGCAGCATTATAGATTAGAAGTCCAAGGCAGAGAATCTTTGGCACTTACCAAGTGGACATAATCTCTGGCTGAAATTGCAAGTATGTCTGCACAAGACACAACACCAGGACACTTGCTCTCCACAACAGCTTTGGCCTTCCTCACACTTTCAAAGCCTTCTTCTCTCAGGTCCTTGTTATCAGGTGCATCCTTCTCTGCCAACATTTTGTTCCCCTGCTGCTTTGAGCTTATGATTATCGATGCATCACAACCCTTCAATATATTCGAACCCAAAATTGTCAAAAGAGACAGAGTGACAAAAATTAATACATTAAAATGCACATGCATGCAGAAAATTTAAACCAAACCAATGTGCATTGTTGGATGGAGTTGTGATTACTTCAACAAAGCAGTCATGGAAGAAAAGGCGAATGGTCGCCGGGCCAGAAACAGGTGATTCTTTGAACTGTTGGGATGTGATGGAGCCGATGAGCTGCTCAACTTGAGGACATGATTTGGCATAGTAATTAACAGAGAGTTGGCGGTTTGGGTGAGTTATCTTGGTCCTGTTTGTAGCTGAACAAATGACAGTAGTGTTGCACAGAATGAGCAGCAAGAAAATGGACAAAGAAATGGATGTAAAAGAAGAAGAAGAAGAAGAAGAAGAAGAGGTAAGGACAGGCATGTTTTGTAACTTTGGATTATGGTGCAGCTTAGGACAAGGAAAGAACCAATGCCAATAGTGGAGCACAATATAAAAGTGAAGAAATTGGGAGAGGAAGTTTGTCTGGGACAAATTACCCTTCGGTTGAAAAATAAAAGAGAAACGGGACCCGTGAAGCCAAGTGAAGTGGAAACACATGAAGGTCTAATTTATAAAAAGCCAATAAGGAAGCAGCAGAGCAGCCCCTTTGAGACTTTCAAAGTTATAAAATTACACAAGTGGACTGGCTGTTAGTTATTTATGTCATTTGAATCAAAGTAAATATATATTTATAAGGAGGTCTAGATGCTTAAATGTCACGTTTATAGAGAATCAATCATTCACGGGTATGCCTATTTGTGATCCTCAATCATTTTTGACTGAACAACTAAGTAGCCAATTATTGTCTTACCTCCTCTTTTTTCTCTGTTGATTCTGTTTAGATAAGGTAACGTAATTATTTTGTAACAGCAGTGTTATTTGCGGTAGGTGTTTCAATGCGTGATTGGTTTGGAATACCGTCGCAGTGGCATCCCGATGTAGGTAAGTTATTCGGGAGAGGACCCCCAACCCACTGACCATCCAAACCTGATGAATTCTTTTATTGCAGAGCATGCGCAAGGAGGGACCTTATCAGATCATAAACTCCTTCTTACATACATTGCTTTTAAAGCTCTTTGGTCTGATCCATTTATTTTCATTTACAGTCTGAGAAGTTAACAGTAGCTTATTCAGTTGCCCATTTATGCTTGTCTCACTAAGTGTAAGCTTTTTGTTGTGAGTGCAGTAAAAGCTGTGGACCATCTGATGTATGGACCTGAAAAAGAGAAGAGAAAGCAGCCAAAGGCTAAATAAAAAGGTTAAATGGAAGGTGGGTGCCCAGGCCCCCTACCCCAAAAAGCAGATTAATGATGGTAAATTGGGTTTTACATAACAAATGCTTCTTAGTTATTATGTTATTGGATAAATATTATTACTTAATTTGTCAAATTGGCAGGAGCCCACAACCTAATGCTTATAATGCTTTGCATATTTTCATTCACTAGGTCCTCTGTTTTGTTTCAGCTTTTCAACAGAAAAATGATTTGCTTGAAACCTGCAAGCTCCTTTTTTTTTAGGCCAAAAAAGAGACAAAAAATGTGCAGCCTTTGAAGTCAAACTCTAAAACACATCAGTTTTCCAGTGAGGATCTTAAAATAAGGAACATGGTGTGGTGGGGAGCGGCTGGCAGAGACTCTGAGTTGCACATCAAGTACAAATTTATATAATCTGTTAAACAGAGGATTAAACAAAATGTGAAGCTTGTGATTTATGGAAGAAGACAATGGCAACTTAGTTATAGCAGCTTTTTTCCTCTGCATTTTTCATATGCCAATGTCACTTTTAAGAAAGGAATAAATAAAAATTATTTCTCCAAAGAATAACTTTTCCCATGTCATCTCTTTCTTTCTACTGCTTAAGAGACAAATAGCTCTAGCTTATGACCTGCTGGCCCACATGGTTGATGGTGAGTACTTTTCTATTGTTTAGTGATTTATGTTGCAAATATATTGAACCGACGAGGTGCCTTGCTTTATTTAGGGATGAGACTCATAAGGATTGATTTGGACTCAATTGCAATCAAGTCGAAGGCTAAAAGAGCCACAAATGAGACAAAAATGCTGATTGTTATTTTTATTATTATTTATTTCTTTTCTATTTTCAAATATATTTTTTTTTTTTTTTTTTTTTTTTTTTTTTTTTTGAGAAGAGAATTCATTCATAGAACCAAAGACGTACAATGAATGACATGATACAGTGGCCTCGTTGAAACCTTCTTAGGACAATCTCATGGGACAACCCCCATGGGTGGAAAAAGTACCACACATGTCATGAACTGACAAGAGAGTCCAATTCATGTCACTTTGGACCGTTACAATAAAAGAACAAATCAAAAACGAAAAGTAACACATAGACCTTTGACGAGAACCGCAATTATAGACCAACACAATAGACTCACATGAGAGGACCACAGAACATCCCAACCGTCAAAAGAAGCCTTTTATGAGCAAAATCATAGTCCTTTGACACCCACACAAACTGTAAGACATACTATAGAAGAAACCAGGAGAGAACACGCAAGAGAAACACATAAACAACCGTAAAAGGACCCCTGAGAAGCACTCAATTTCAACTTAGAATAGGACAAAGAAAACCTCCTATGACCAAGCGTAGTTATTTGATAGGCACATAATAGAGAAGAGCACCACATCCCAACAACTACCATCAGCGTCGCTGCTGCCGCTGCCGTTGAAACAGAGACAAAACATCAGACACTAGGTATCACAACTCTCCTTAGGAGAGACACAATCCAGCGTCACTACTGTAACTGCCGTCGAGATAAAGACAACACAAATCACCTAGAACACTGCAAAAACAATCAACAAAACAAAGAGACAAACATATCTAGACTATCTGGGGAGGGGAAGGGGAGGAGAAGAAGGGATAAAAGGAAGGGAAAAGATGGGAGAAAAAGAATGGGAGATGAGGAGAGGAAGAGGAAGATGGGCGGAAGGGTGGAGGGGTAGTGGCCACCTCCCCCCTTAGCTTCCTTGCAGTTGGTTGTTGGCGAAGAGAAAGGGGACCAGAGTGCGGTTAGGATTTTATGTCTAAATCCATCTCAATCTATTGACTTATTTCAGTTTGAGTTTTCACCTTCTTGAATGTTCGAAGTAGAGACTTGACCAATTTGAATAATAAATCATGGTTCTTGAATATACCTTTCATACAAAAAAGAAATACTCCCAACTAAATATCAAGGTCAACTTGGTACACACAGAAAGAATCTACCTATGAAATTCAACCATGCTAATAATTTTAAAAGGTTTAACTTGAAATCTGATCGGTGTGCGCTGGTGTTAAAAGGGAAGAAGAATACAAAACAAATGGTCAGCAATAGGGGCTACAGAATATGTTCATTCAATTTGACCAAAACAACACGTTCATTCAATAAGACTATAAGAGAGGCAACGTCTACATCCAAGTGTAATGTTGCACCACGGAACCTCCAATCTGAATACGCCAATATGAACAAGGCGTGATAAAAATGACGATGTTGAAAGCTGAAAAAGATGAGATGCACGGCATGTAGCTTACACAGCCTTAGATACTGCCTCCAACTCTGATCTGAGAATTGGTTCCTCAAATCACTAAATTGTAAGGCTTAAATTCTTATGTTTCTCTTAATCTTGCAGACCAAGTCACATTGATTGATCTCCCATTTCACTAGTCGGCTTTCATTGCACACCTAGTCAAGGATGAGAATCTAAACTCATTTTCCTGAAAATACGGCGTTTTCTTTTGCCACACAATCACAATCACAAATTTTACCTAGCATGTCATATATAAACAAGCTATGTGGGAAAGGTTCTGCCATCTACTTTACACAATCAAAGTTACAAAACCCAATGTCTTTTCCTTTCACCACAGCTAATACAGTCCATAGACTTTGGATCTTGTTTCCTGTGCTCATCATTCTCTCCTATGGTTTTGGAGTTGGAGCGCTCAATAGCAGCGATGTCACCAACGTTGGCGCAATCGTTAATTTCAACTCCCGTATTGGGAAAGAACAGAAAGCTGCCATGGAAGTTGCAGCTGAGGACTTCAACAACCGTTCAAAGACTCATAAGCTAATCCTTCATTTTCGAGACTCCGGCAGAGATCCCTTTCGTGCTGCTTCTGCTGGTTAGTAAACATATGATGGTAATTATAACAGTCATCACCATGTAATTAGCTTGAACATAAAGTACTTATGGAATTTTCTCTTTATTTAAATTTTTGTTGCAGCTGAAGAGCTGATAAAGGAAAAGAAGGTAGAAGCGATAGTTGGCATGGAGACTTGGCAGGAAGCAGCTCAAGTAGCTGATCGTGCAGGAAACCGATCTAAAGTTCCGGTGATTTCATTTGCAGCACCAACTATAACCCCGCCCCTCATGCAACGCCGCCGGCCGCATTTGATACGAATGGCAACAGATGCCTCTGTTCAAATGAAATGCATTGCTGATTTAGTTTCTGCCTACCATTGGAAAAGGGTTGTTGTAATATACGAAGACGATGGCTATGGTGGTGCTGTAGGGACGCTAGCTGTTTTATCTGAGGCTCTTCGAGACGTTGGTTCGAAGATTGAGCACCGTTTGATTCTCCCACGAGTTTCTTCTCTGTCTAACCCAAATTGGGTTGAGCTAGAAGAGCTATTGAAGCTTCCCCTCATACAGTCTCGGATATTTATTGTTCTTCAGTCATCTTTACCTACAGTTACTCATCTGTTCAGGGTGGCTAAGAAGATGGAACTTGTAGGAAGAGACTCAGCTTGGATAATCACAGAGAGTGTTGTTAGTTTGCTTGACTCTCTTGACAGCTCTGATATGTCCACTATGGAAGGCACTTTAGGAACCAAGACCTATTATGCCAAAAATACTAATTCTTATGCCAAGTTCCAGAATGAATTCCAAACAAAGTTTTCAGAAGAAGATAACTCCAAGCCAGGAATTTATGCTCTTCGAGCATTCGATACGATGACAATCATTACACAGGCCCTAAGAAGAATGACTAGTAACAGTTCTACTAGTAACCTTCAGGAGCTGTTAAACACATTGTTCAACAACTATACCGGTCTAAGTGGGAAAATGTACTTTAAAGAAGGTGGGGTGCTGTTGTATTCTCCTAAGTTCAGGATCATAAATATTGTGGATGGGAAGACAGACAAAGAATTAATCTCTTGGACACCAGAGGTTGGGTTCTCACCAAGCCTTGTCAACCAAGGCACAAACAGCAGTAACGGTGTTGGCATAATTTGGCCCGGGAACGTAACAAGTGCTCCCAAGGGCTGGGCTATGCCTACTGATGAGAAGAAAATGAGAATTCTGGTTCCAGGTATAACTCCCTTCTACAAATTTGTGAAGGTTGATTGGTCCAGGCAGGACTCAGATGAGAAGAAATTTGATGGTTTCTGCATTGCGCTTTTCAAAATGATAGTTAGTAATTTGAGTTACTATCTGCCATATGAAATTGAAGCAAGAAATGTCTCCTATGATAGTCTGATAAATCTGGTCCAAGATAAGGTAAGAGCTTTATTTCTATTTTTTTTTCTTTTCTAATTAGTCCATTTGCTCCATGCTGAAATTTCATATATACTTCCTGTTGCATTTGATTTGTTTCTGATAGAGAAAATGTATGTTTGTCTTGTTTCATCCAAATACTAATCAACGGAAGACTTATGATGCTGTGGTTGGTGATATAACCGTACTATCAGAACGACTGGAGAAAGTGGATTTCACTCAGCCATATCTGGAGTCTGGTTTGTCAATGATTGTTCCAGAAAACTATGAGGAGTCAACATGGTTATTTCTGAAGCCTTTTACTTGGCAAATGTGGGTGGTGACCGGTGGCATTTTGATCTACACAACGTTGATAGTGTGGTTCCTGGAGCGCCCATCCAATCCAGAATTTGGTGGCCCTTTTAAGGATCAAATTCGCACAGCAACTTGGTTCACCTTCTCGACTTTGTTCTTTGCTCACAGTAAGTAACCAATTTCAGACATTAGTATAAGCCTAAGTGCCTAACTATGAAAAGGGTTGGTCCAAAACTGTTAGAGAACTAATATAAATCCATGAATTATTCATCTTGCAGGAGAGAAAATCTACAGCAACTTGACTAGAGTAGTTGTTATAGAGTGGCTGTTTGTTGTATTGATCCTAAGCTCAAGCTACACTGCTAATCTGTCCTCAATGCTTACCATCAAAGGACTGAACCCGAATGTAACAGGCATTGAAATGCTGAAGAGAACCGACGCAAAAATTGGTTCTGATGCAGATTCTTTTATCCTGAACTACCTGGAGGTTGTTCTTGGATTCAAAAATAGCAACATCATCGAAGTAGGCCCCCAATACAATGTGGACGACTTCAAGAGCAAACGTATATCTGCTGCCTTTCTTGAACTCCCATATGCAGAAGTGTTCATCAACCAGAATTGCAAGGGGTATACTTCCACTGCACGAAACTACAGATTTGGAGGATTCAGCTTTGTGAGTAGTAATGTGACTACATATGCATAAAAGATGTCATCTTGGTATTCGAATGAATTCGATTTGCAAAACTAATCAAATTGTTTTCATGTTCACCATTCAATGCAGGCATTCCAGCAAGGCTCTCCAATAGCCAGGGATTTCACTAAGGCCATTCTAGAGCTATTGGAGAATGGAGAACTGAAGAAACTTCAAAGACATTGGCTGAGCACACCCAAGGGGGAGTGTTCAAACAATGCAACTTCAAACACACCAAAAAGCTTGAGCCTCAAGAATTTCTCCGGCCTCTTTATAATAACCAGCGTTACTTCCACCCTATGTTTGCTCCTATCTCTTGTTATCTTGATGAGGAAGTGTCAGCAGCAAGAAGCAGACCAAGGCAATGCAAGTCCAAGTCCAAGTGATGAAAGTCTTTGGAACAGAACTGTTAGAATAGCAGGATTTATTAATCAAAGGCTTAGCATTCCAAAGGGAGCTCCACCTTTTGCTAATGTAGAGGAATGGAGTTCTCCATTAAGGTGGGATTATACCTCCACTTCCAACAATCCTGAGCATCCACAGGCCTTTATGGAGCCAGCACAAATTGAATTCATTCCACAGGAATCTATAGAACAAAGGCAATAGTACATGTATATTAGTGAAAATTAACTCCATACCAGATTTTGTTTTTATTCTTTTATTTTAATTTGGTTTTGATAAATACCCTCAGGCCAGATTTGGCTCTGTCAATTGTATGAAATTAATGTTATATTAACAAAGAGTGCAAGGAGGTAAACAATCTTGTTTACAAAGTATTTTGAAACATTAACAAAGAATTACTAAATTGTTATGAATAAAAATAAAATAAAGAACTTTTTTGGCTTGGTAAAAATTCCGCTTTTTTAACAAATAGTCCATCGTAACATGTTCCTTCACTTTTCCTAATCTTTGGGTTTCTCGTTCGGAAGGTGTTTGATAAAATTCCTGAAAGTCCTCCTCCCTCCTTAGCAGCTAGCTTTGCAGCAGCGAGTCACAATCCCAATTACCAACTTACTTCTTCAAACACGCCAATATTTTCCAAAATGCGAAGAGCCTCAAGGATCATTTCACTACCAGCTTCGAATTTCATCGCCCATGCTTCTTCTTCTACTTGCGCTGTAAACAAACACTCCTTCACTACGTTGACTGCGCAACAAAATCATCACAACCTGCACCAGCAATCGTTTCCGGGAGATTTTCTGAAATGGGGTTCGCTTGGTTTCTTTAGGACGTCGAGCTTTGCTACTGGGTTCGCGCCCTTGAAGCCTAAGCCGTTGGGGTCCATTATTGATGTTGAGAGGGTTAAGGATCGCTCAGCCGAGGACATCGCTTCAGCTTGGGACGATGTAAGCCTCAGTTCCTTACTTCTCTACGCCTCTAAATGTACATTTCACTGCGCAAGTTTATCCCTTTGTCATGTTTTGAAATGGTTTTTGGTAGATTGGTTCGATTTTGTTTTGAATTATAAGATTTTTGCAGAAGCTTGTTTCATTTGCTACAGTCTTTTATCCATCTTGTCAATATAAGGTCTAATTTTGTTATAGCTTTAAGTTTCACATTTCGAAGATTTCAAGCTCACACTTTCTGCTAGTTGAGCCAGTCTTGTATCCATCATGTCCCTTGATATTGATATGAATCGAATATGTATCAGAAAATGGAAGTTTGCTTTGGTAATGAGCTTTTGCATAATTCTTGATGCTTCCTTGCCTATGACATTTATGTGCCAATTTTAGCTGTCTGCTGCTTGAGGCCTCAGTGTTGTTCTTCCCCAATTTTCATGATCTCAAGAACTAAAATTTACTATTACCATACTGAGAAAGTAAGAATACTTTCCTTTATTTATCCACGGCATGTGTATGTATGAGCCTCTTTAACTCCACTGGCCACAGTTTGAAACGTGTTTTGTAAACTGAGGCAAATATTTCTGAACAGCAGATTGAATAAGCACCATGTGTAGAAAATTTCATTGCCAGTCTCTCATACCTTTGAATATCTTTTGCCTGAACTGTGCATTTAAACTGAAAAGTTGTATCTTTAGCTATTTTGCATGTGGATTTAGGAATGGTCTCGCTTATCGTTTCGTTAGTGTGTTACTCAGTAAATTGACTTCCTTCGTGAGACCATACTAATTCTTGTCTAGTGTTATTTACTTTTGGGATGGGTTGTGTTATATCAGTTTCACCTGGGAAGAGGTCATATTGGTGCATCCATGAAAGCAAACCTATATCACCTGCTGGAGCATAGAGCAGTAGAATGGTAATCTGTTTACATGACGCTTGTTTTCAGTTGTTTTCTTTCCTCTTTTTGTTATATTAACTTTAAACTTGCCTATCCTGGCAGCCGGTATTTTGTCATTCCCTTGTGGAGAGGAGGTGGTTATACCACAATGTTTGCTCAAGGTTTGGTCTCTAGTCGCTTTCTTTTATCACTGTATGTACTACTCTTTGTAGTTGGCGCATCTTGCATTTACTACTGAACAGTGTAAATTTTGTGTAGAAGCTCAAATGTGGGGTAAACTTGCTTTTCTTAGTTTATGCGATTAATATGTCAGAGTTATCTATGATCTTCTTTGATTTTGTCAAAGAGCGGGTAAAGGCCAGCTGATGGGACCCCTCAGGATGAGGGGCATTTTGCAATGTTGCAAATCAGTAGAGAATTTTCTCATTAGAGTACAAAACTAAAGAGTCTGAACAAACTTTTCTGACTGTAAGAATTAAAAAAATGGATTATGCCCCTTATTGTGTCTACATGAATTCAATTTTTCATTCAAAACTTTTTTGCAGTGCAGACGCCACACATGCTTTTCACTGGTCTTGAAGATTACAAGGCAAGGGGAACTCAAGCTGCTCCCTACTTCGCTGTAACTTACTATAATGAATTTGCAGAAAGCAAAGACATGGTGCTTATCCGTGGCGATGTCGTAATGCCCAGCAAACTCAGTGACTCAGAGGCAAAATGGCTTCTGGAGACCACCCAATCATTTTATGTGAACGATACGAGGTATAAGCTGGTTGAACGGTTCAACAGACAAACACACGATTTTGAGTTCAAGGATGTCTTGCAAGCATTGGAAATACCCAATCTGTGATTTCTCCAACAGAAAGGAATTCATCTTAGTAGCAGTGATAGAAGCAGCTTTGTCAATAAAGGAGAATTAACTTCATTAGTTTTGCAAGGGGGCGTTGTACTTGTAAGAGTGTCATCATCCTACACCATGTTTAATGCACACAGCAAATGAAATGCAGGAGGAGAGAGTCTCATACGAGGTAGCATATTTCATACTGACTTGTGCCCTGAAGTTTCTGAGTGTCCATTTTTATTTTCTTGTTGACCAATTCTTTAGTGTTATAAAGAGTAAGCTTGAGACGATGATGAGTTCTTTCATCCCTATTTTAGATTTAAGTTATCGGTCGGAGTTGCATGCTCCATTTCTTAATGGGAACCTCTTTGGCAATATAACTCGCTGTGCTAATTTTGGATCATACATTAAGCAGGATCATGATCCAACGTTAATATAATTTCAACTAAAATATATGTGGTCTAACTCCTCGAGATTCAGAGAAGAAAAGAAAATCTGATATTTCAACTCTTAAAAGCGAATCGGGATTTAACTATTCCTTGGGATAAAACACACTACTCTGACTCCGTGACCTTCAACCCAAGATTTCGAGATTTCCAGACCCGGTGTTCGGGGCCCTGGTGCCCAAGAACTGGATCCGAAATACTGAAATCAAACACAAATAGCATTATTTTTAACCCTATGTCATTGTTATGCATTGAAATTATTGCATTCAATGTAGTGTAGTCCAGTCTAATTCAATCCCTTAACAACAATGCAATCCTGAATCCTGGCGTCCAAGATAGAATTCAGAATCCCAAAATCCAACTCAAAATAGCATATGTTATGCCAAATATTATATGTTATTAATTTTCTCTTATCCAATCCAATCTAGTGCATTCCTAACATTAAGGCATCTATTATATGATAAATTCATGTCATGACTGACTTTCTTGTTGAAATAATTTGATAGTTATCATGTAATAAATTGACACGATCGTTTGTGGAATATTTGTTGAATTATTGGGTCATTAGGAACAGGTGTAATATAATTATCTTTACTGGATCTTGATTGACGAGCCCAAACACGGTGTGTTTTAAAGTCGAAGAGAAACGTGTCTCGGTTTCTTCGTAAAGACTTAAGACAAAGCCCAAAGGCCCGACGACACGTCGTCGTTAAAGAAGACATGATAAAGTATAGGCGTATCCGTAGAGAAGCTTCCACTTCTTTTTTTCGATCAAACCCTCTCTCGGCTTCTTCTTGTTCTTCAGTAACACTCTCTCTCTCTCCTTCACACTCCTAAAGCCAAAAAGCCTGTAAGTAAATAAAACCTGTACGCCCACCGAAACCCTAGTTTCAATTTCCAAAAATAATAACTATGAAATATTTTCGAATGCCTTTGTATAATAATAATTCAATTTTTTGTTCCAAATTTCGCTCAGCTTCAGAGCCAGAAGAGCCCCAATGACAGACCCCTCCGACGAGGCCAAGAACATCGAGAAGCTCTACGAGTTCGGCGAGCGACTCAATGAGTCCAAGGACAAGTCCCAGGTCCCCCGCCCATTCTCTCATATTTGGGGTATTTTTTTGTCGAAATTTTATTTCTAGGGTTTTGGGTTTTAATAGTTTGGGATTTTTCTTTGCCCTTTCAGAATGTGGCTGACTACCAGGGGATTATTGATGCGGCCAAGACGAGCATCAAGGCCAAACAGCTGGCTGCGCAGCTTATTCCTAGGTTCTTCAAGTTCTTCCCCGACCTTTCGGAGTCTGCCATCTATACCCACATTGATTTGATTGAAGAAGAAGAGCTCGGGGTCAGTTCATATTTGCATACCCACTCATAAATACATGTGTAGTTCAATCATTTGGATTCTTCTCTTCATAGTAAATAATAGGGGATGCGGAGCAATAGGTTGAATTACTATATACAGAAGAGTTGTAAACTATAGGACTTCTTGTTTGAGTAGGAAGATTTCGGAAAATATGAGGCATTTCTTACTTTTCGTGGAGGATTAGATCCAGTAACTGGAGGTCTATGCATTTATTGCATCTTATGCTATATTTGGTAACTGGAAAATTGAGGGATTTTTTCTAAAATAAAAATTGATTCCTATACAAAATTTTTTAGTTTGATTTGACATAGTCAAAGCAATGTACAGCGGTAGCTCTATGTTATTCTTGTCTGGGGGTTTTGTTACTCAGCTCAAAGATTTAATTTTCATCATTTATGAAATGTGTAGGTTCGAGTTCAAGCCATTCGGGGCCTTCCCCTTTTCTGCAAGGATACACCTGAGCAGATTGCAAAAATTGTAGACATTCTTGTGCAACTCCTTGCTGCTGGTAAATTATTATTATTTGTCATTGTTTTTGCGATTCTGATTTTGGGAGTCTATTGAATGTGTTATATGAGTCTGATGTTGGGATTTGTTGATGCTTTTAGAGGAATTTGTGGAGCGTGATGCTGTGCATAAAGCACTTATGTCCCTTTTGAGGCAAGATGTGAAAGGTAAATGTGTGGACTTATAAACTGAAAGGCTGTGATTAAGATTACAAATTATTTTATGAAAGGATTTTGGTATAAGCTATATTCTTTCTAGCTTTCATTTCAGCACCTGATACATCTCGGATCCATGTAAAATCTAACTCTTTCATAATATACATTATCTTCTTGTATGTGTAGTTTCTTTGACAGCCTTATTCAAGCACATTGGGAGTGTTGATGAACCAAGCACAGATGAGTTTATTCGTGAGAAGGTTTTAACCTTTATTCGAGAGAAGGTAAAACCATTATGTGTAATCCCCAATACGGTTATTATCATGACTCTCTTTATCGTAACTGGAGTTTAAATGATTGCCGTTGCAGGTGTTTCCAATTAAATCTGAACTTTTGAAGCCTCAGGAGGAAATGGAAAGGCATATTACTGACTTGATAAAAAAGGTGTGGTTATAAGTGATGTTTCAACTGTTTTCATGTGTATGTTTAGAGGCTTAAACCCGTCCTTAAAGTACCTCTATAAGTATTCTTTTGGAGTGTGGTATGCTCTGCTAGTCTTCTGTGTTGCTTCGTTATCTCTATTGTTGATTGATATGCGGTCCTCTTCCCCTCATGCTACAGTTAGTTTTAAAAAAAAATTGGAAGTTATGATCTCTTCAGTTTTATTTTACTATTCTGTTGTAAGGTAGCAAGATGTATCACTGATATGATTGAGTCCAATTGCAGAGTTTAGAAGATGTAACTGGGGCAGAATTTAGAATGTTTATGGACTTCTTAAAAAGTTTGAGCATATTTGGGGAGAAAGCTCCTCCTGAACGCATGAAAGAACTAATTGGTATTATTGAAGGACAAGCTGATTTAGATGCCCAATTCAATGTAAGTGTTTGTTTTATTGTGTTGATTTTAAGGATACTGAAATAGCAGCTTTGAGCAAGTATACTATTCAAAATATGCTGGAAATGAATATGGAATTATTCCTTTGTGATATTACTGCTTAAGAATGTAGGTGGGTATCAAATATATTATTTTTAATCACTATGGTGCTTTTAATAACTTTTCTGCGAAATGGTTGGAATGCAGGTTTCAGATGCAGATCATATTGACAGGTTGATATCTTGCTTGTTCATGGCTCTGCCATTTGTTGTGGTATGCCCTCTCACATTATAGCTTTATTCCTTGCATTTTTGCTGTGTAATTTTTTTTTGGGCAATCAAGTAGCAGCCCTGTTTATTCATATTATTATTTTTTTATACAGAGGGGTGCGTCAAGCAGCAAATTCCTCAACTATTTGAACAAACACATCCTTCCTGTTTCAGATAAGGTAACATCTATTCTTTTAATGTTCTGGTATACTCTTCCAGTATGGGCGCCAAGTTTCTTGGTAATTTAGAGAGTGTTATTTCTATATTCTTGTTTTCATAAATTGAGTCAGTATTGCCCCAAATAAAATTGAGCAAGGACAGCCTTAAAAAAAGTGGTATTTATAATTGAAATTTGGGATAGAATAACTATTTCTCTGACTTTATTGATTCATGTGTGAAATGTGTTATCTCTTACCCAAAATAAATAAATAAATTTGCTATCAGAATTTGGGATGATATATCATATTTACTAGTGATTATGTTCTTCCATCAACTAGGTATAAGAATGAGAGCTTGTATTACTCGTGTTAAAAAAACAAAAGAAGTGGGGAAGAACTGGCATTGGTCTTCTAATCTTGTTTTGCCATCTTTTATTTGACTTTTTCTTGAATCAAATACTCAATAACTTAAGTAGCGTTTAGACCAAATAGTTGATTCCTTTGTTGTCCATATTATGCGAGAATTTTTAATAGATATATAAGTACTCATGCTGTCTTCTTACTCGTCTATACTATTAGTTACGAGGACCCTGAGAAATGATGACTAGATTCTGATATGAAAACAAGGGACAGTAGGGAAAATAGCATTAGGAAAATTACATGGGAATATGGTACTTGCTAGCATTTTAGTGATATAAAAAAAAGTGAAAATACATCTCAATGTTAAATAGTATCTTTACTAGAATATTTGAAAATATTTCTTTGATGATGACGATGCTGTCTTTATGGTGTTTTGTTCAAATGGGAAACCTTGTAAAATATATTTATTCAAACAATATTTTATCTGTCAGCTTCCTGACGAACGAAGGCTAGATTTGCTCAAAGCCCTTGCAGAAGTTTCACCTTACACAACTCCACAAGATTCACGTCAGATTCTTCCTTCTGTTGTTCAGCTGTTAAAGGTACCATTCCATATACTCAGAATTATTAGGAAATGGACTATGTAGTGTGAAGATCCAACCTTTAGACCACTCTCCACAATTGGAATCAATGTTTTCAAAGCTAATGCATACCACAAGGCATTTTATTACCCGAAAGACAAGGCACAAGCCTTTTGGGATTCAAATTATTACGATCAGAATAAATTTAAAATAGGTACTCTTGTATTAGTTATAGCTCAACCATAATAAACAATCTCAGAATAATATCCAATTATTAGCAGAGAGCGCCTCAAGGTGATCCTCTGCTGCTCTGCTATCAGGTGTGCCTCAATTGCGCCTCCAAAACACTCCTTAGGATTGATATATTTGCATTCACTCTTTGGATATCAGTATCAATATAATTTTTTAATTGGTTCCAGGGCTGGATAACAATACCATTTCCTGAATCATTTTTTGTATATTGTCTTGTCGCAAAATAATTATCATCTATTTCTTTTTTCTTTTACAGAAAAACATGCCTCGGAGAAAGACTGGAGAGGAGTTTAACTTCACTTATGTAGAATGCTTGTTGTACACATTTCATCATCTTTCTCACAAGGTTTGTTTGGCTTCTAATCAACCTCCCTTGTTAATACTACTGTGAATCAACATTGTGTAGTGCTTACTTGACTGCTTTATGAAATAGGTTCCAAATGCTACTAACAGTCTATGCGGTTACAAGATAGTGACTGGACAACCATCAGATAGGCTTGGGGAGGACTTTTCAGAGCAGTATAAGGAATTTACTGAGAGGTGGTTTTTCTTCTTCATCTATCTTTTATTGCTTATTATAGTTTATATTATTTCTTTGTCATTTTGCATCCAATATAATTGGGCCCTAGCTCAGGTGGTGGTGAATTATGGTTTTTTTTTCCCCCTGGTGGGTGGGTGTCCTTTTCTGTTTTGGGGAGTGAGGGGGTAGTAGGGGGAGGCATGCCTGTTTGCACGCGATAAGATTGGGTCAAGTTTTCAGGTTCAGTCTTACCCTTTTTTATTCCGAAAAAGGAACAAATGGAAACTGCTTTCAATTGAAAAGGCCCAGCCTATCCTCACAATAGGAAGTTTTAGTCTTTTTATTATTATTTATGATGAAGGTAGTTGCCCCCAATTGAGGAGAATCCCGTGGTTGAAAGTTTGGGGGCTATGCAAGTTACTGATATCTTACATGGAGGATTATCAAGTTGCTGCACCTTTATAACTGAAAGTGTTTTGATTGATTGCCGCAGGTTGAGTTATGTTGAGGAGTTAACTAGGGCCACCATGAAGAAATTAACCCAGGGAATGGCTGAAAAGAACAAAGCTATGGCAGCTGCAAAATCTGACGAAGCGAAGGATAGCATTGTGAGTTGATTCTATTTAGATTTCACATTATCTTGTGGACCTTTTCTGATCTTAAAAACAATATTTTTATGATGTGCAGAAAACGGAAAAGCAGAATACTACAACTGGGTTGCGAACCTGCAATAACATATTGGCAATGACAAAGGTAAATGAATTGTTTGAGAATTATGAATGCACGATAATTAATTCATGAGCTTTAACTAATCTTTAAATGATTCTTAACAAATGTAGACTCTACATTCAAAAACACCCTCATTTATTGGAGACAAGAGCATCAACCTGTCTTGGAAAGAAGTGACAAAACCTGTTGTGCCCTCTAGCACACCTGCCACAGGGTAATATAAATTTTCTTGCGACTATCTAATGAGCATGTGGAAACAAGATTTTTAATCCTAATGAAATTATGCATACTTGAAAAGATCCAGTTTTATTTTGTTTAAACGTATTGGTGCAGAACAAAACGACCTGCTAATCCTGCCAATGGACCTGGGAATATGACTTCAAAGAAAGGCCGTGGAGGTGGCGGTTTACAAAATCAGCTTGTCAATAGAGCATTTGAAGGTTTATCTCATGGTGGAAGAAGCGGGGGTGGGGGAAGGAGCAGAGGCAGGGGATGGGGTGGACGTGGAAGGGGAAGGGGTTACAGGTAGCTTCGCTGTGAGAAAATTCTTGGAAATCAGGATGGTGAGAGATGCGCCACAGGAATACGTATATGAGTACGTGATGTATTGAATTCTTCTCTTAGGAACAAGTTTTGTTTCATTGAGGAAGCTGATTAGTTATAGATTCATTGTGGATTAACAGTACTTATTGTGTTCCTCTGGAGCCCTGTCCAAGAAGAACGGCTACCGGATTAGTGCCTCTGAGTTGTCAATCCCCTAAGAAAAAAATTATGCAGCAGCCCGTGACTATTCCAGGAATCTGTCCATACTTTTAAGTGCATCCATGTTGTGTTTGTTCCAGTGAAGATTGCTTTCAGGGGAATACTTATAATACTGATAATTAGTGTATCACTTTGTTATTATGGCTTTCAGATTATGACAGAGACCTCAGACTGATAGATATTGCTTTGTTCTCATCTGTATGTTTAATCAAAGACCCCCTAACTGGTGCAAAACCTTGTACTGTTGCACATTATTTATCAACGGTCCTTAACCGAGAGGGGACAGAAAGTGGTAAGGGCCAGATGGGCAGGCCTGGTTGCATCTTAACTTTTAAGTTTCAATCCTGGCAGCTGGGGTCTCGTGTTGAGGAATTAAGGACATGGCCATTTTTTAAGCTACTTGGCGGGAACTTTTTGGAAGCATTTGGCCATGGCCGTCCCTTTTGCTTTTGAATGTGTTTTTGGCAGTTGTGGTGTGGATGGGATGAAAATGTTGGAAACTTGGAATGAAAGAAATTTGAGGAGGACGTCATATGCCATGCCGCTTAAAGTTTGTAAACTAAGAAAGGGGGTTCTTCTACCATAGCATTCAGTAAATTATGTTTACAATACAACTTACATGTACAAAAAATGTGATGGATTTGTAACACTCGAGCTCTTGTGTTCCAATTTTGTTTGTGTCAAAAAATAAAGAGTGATGGATTCATAACATGTTTTGGATGGTTTGTGGGTACACCATTGGAATTTCCGTACTAAAAAATCATACTCTAAACTAGGTAAAGCTTAAAGGGGTTATGTCCTATGTGGAAAAGAAATTGTGGACCAACTTTTCGTACTGATTAAAGAAATGTTAATTGTCATTATGACTTAATCATCTTCATCAGAGCCTCATGTCCATGAATTATTAAACCTTTGATTTTCTCTACCTCTTTTGTCTTTCTTTTCATTTTTGTTTGTTTATTGGAACCTTGATTAAGAAAACAAATAAATATTTCTTTTATCTTTTCCTATTTACATAAAGGAAAAAAACAAACACGCTTCGTTTGTCCCGCGGGTATGTCAACTCCGTCGTCATAAGTAGGCCTCCAGTGTTTCTTCTTCTTTACGAGGATCCGAACTTCGCCAAATTTTCTCGTCCAATTCTCCGATCAAACCATCCCTGAAATCTCACCCTTTCAATCCCCACTCTCAAACCCAAAATTCGATTCCTTTCAGACCCAAATCAACACATCTTTACTTCATCCAAATCAAATGTACAAACCCCAAAGCAATTAGCTTTTCAAACAATAATTCAAAACACAAAAAGAAAAAGATGTTGGGCTCAAACCTCCAACCCCCATCTTCCTCCGATGCCGCATCACCACTTCTAAGCCACCCGATCGCCGACAACCTCGTGCGGAGCAGGCGGCTCATCCGGCGCCCGCCGAGGCCTCTCCGCGGAGCAGCTCGCTTCCTACGGCGAGCCAGCAGCCGCCGTATGATGCTGCGCGAGCCGTCGGTCCGAGTCCGCGAGGCAGCGGCGGAGCAGCTGGAGGAGCGACAAAGCGACTGGGCCTACTCGCGGCCCATTATCGTATTGGACCTCTTGTGGAACGCTGGGCTTCTGGGGATTGCCATTGGGGTGCTGTGGCTGAGCCGTGAAGAGAGCCCCTTGGTGCCTTTGAGGACTTGGATTGTTGGATACGCGTTTCAGTGCCTGGTCCACATGGCCTGCGTTGGCGTGGAGTGCATGCGGCGGAGGCGCGTGGGTGATGTTGCGGTGGCGGAAGAGAGTCCTCGTTGGGAAAATTCTTCTGGGTCTGGGAGTGATGATGGTGAGGACTATGGAATTGAACAGAGCGTGGACTATGCTGGCACCAGGTCTTTTTCTTTTTCTTCTAATGTTTTAAAAGTTTTAATTTTTGGGTTTAGCTTCTGAGAGAGGCTTATACAAAAACTCACTTTTCATTTCTGTTTTTATCAAAATTTGAACCGGGTCTTAACTCTTACGTCTTACAGTTACTGTTTGTTGTAATTTAGCTGTTGCAATATTGTTTTTGGGCAAAAGATGTATACTTTGAATAATTTTGAGTTTTTGGGTTGGATTTGAACCTCCATTTCTCAAATAAATATTGTGACCGAGCTTGAGGAGTAGAGCAACAATCCTTTTGTAGAATTCTAGCTCATGGTGTATGTGTATGTATGGAAGAATCTTCTGACTGTTTGATGTGGCAGTGTTGCAAAACATTTGGAGTCAGCAAATACGGTGTTTTCGTTCATCTGGTGGATCCTTGGGTTCTACTGGGTGACTGCTGGTGGTGAAAGTTTGATAAGAGACTCCCCTCAATTGTACTGGTTCGTTTGAGCTAACTGGCCCTTTTATATCTGTTTTCTTTCAAGCCATTTGTGTGCATGCTGTTATCTTGTCCTTATAAAATGTGGGTTATTTTGCAGGATTTGTATCACTTTTCTTGCTTTGGATGTGGTTTTTGTTGTGATCTGCATTGCCGTTGCATCTCTCATTGGCATTGCTGTTTGCTTCTGTCTCCCCTGCATCATTGCTATCTTGTATGTTGTGACAGATCAGGTAGGTGCTCATAGGAAATGTTTGAGTTGATTCCAGATATTACATTGAGGTGCTTGATACTATTCAGGGATATTCTGGTGCACTTGAAACTAATGAATTTGTTATTTGTTGCTTGTATTATGGACATAAGCTCTAGTTTGATTGGTCAACATGACTATTTTGCAGTATAAAGCAACTGATCTTCTCTAGGCTATGTATACAGCAAATTAATATTATATTGTGCAGTAAAAACTTTTGGATAGAAAATTATGTCGAATTGTTACTAGGATTCTGAAATAAGGTCTAAACATGCCATGCTAAGATATCGTGCTGGATGCATTTGAGGATATTTTTGTAGGGAGTTCACTCTTCCTTGTCAAATTTTGATCATGGTCTCTGTGCATGGACTATTTACATCACTAGTGCACTTTTAGGTTCTTTAATGAATTTCATCAACAAACCTGTGTGAGTTTCTACTCATTCCACTTATATGCTGTTAAATATTTGTCTGTGCCTAATGTCCTGGTCACGTTTTATTTCCGAACAGGAAGGAGCAACAAAGGAAGAGATCGACCATTTGCCAAAGTACAAGTTCCGCATGATATCTGATTTTGAGAAAGTTAATGGTGAGATCCAAGAATCTTTTGGAGGAATAATGACTGAATGTGATACTACTACGCCCACTGAACATGTTCTCTCCCAAGAGGATGCTGTAAGTTTCATGATACATTCTTTACACTAAAAAGTCTCATAACATAGTCTTTTTTCTTTTCTTTAAGTGACATGGTGAAATCAGTTATCGTATTACCACCTGGAATTCATACCATGTACATGATCGACAATTGAGTCTGTCAATTGCCCATCTATTTCCCAGGGCTTCGCCTTTCCATTTGCAAGTCATGTGTATGAAGTCTAGGACACTAGACTGGTTTTAAATTTTTCATTGCCAAGTAACCTTACACAAAGGAGAATTCTATAAATAGATGTGCTCATAACGTGAACCGTTGTGGTAAATCTTAGGAATGTTGCATCTGCCTTTGTGCCTATGATGATGGAACTGAACTACGTGAACTTCCTTGCCATCACCATTTCCACTGCACCTGCATAGACAAATGGCTACAGATCAATGCCACCTGTCCACTCTGCAAGTTCAACATTTTGAAGTCTGTCAGCCAAAGTGGCAGTGAAGAGGTATAAAAAGCGAGTTCTGTGTAACAGTTGTGACCAAATTATATGTCCTGCTCCTATGTACATAGAGTGTACACCACGAAGATTTCTCCAGCTGCTGGTTTCCATTACACGAGAATCCAGATGCGGCTTCATGGTCGGCTTTGTTGATGCTTCATCTTCACTGCCTAGAGTGTTAGCATGTATTCCGACAAAAAAAAAACGTGTTAGCATGTATATTGAGTTCTTTATGTTGGAAGGCATTTATGTAATATCTAATAAAGAAAGTTTTTAATGTAATATAGCCCTCCCCTTTAACTTAAATTTACAAAAATTAGTTAAGCTTCCATCAATGGCTAGGCTATCCAAGTGACACGATACATATAAGCCAGTTGAATGTGTACCAACCAGAGAAAGTAATAAAAAAAAAAAAAAAAAAAAAAAAAAAAAAAAAAAAAAAAAAAAAAAAAAAAAAAAACACAATAAAGAAAAAAAAAAAAAAAACAAGTTACGTGAATTAGTGAAATCTAAAAAAATTTGCACCAGCCGGGAATCGAACCCGGGTCTGTACCGTGGCAGGGTACTATTCTACCACTAGACCACTGGTGCTTGTTTGATAATCTGTCTTACGTTTTTATTCTTATTTCTTCTGTAATAAGGATATCATTTGTTCTTCGCGCCTTGTAGAAGTAACAGACATTTAACGGTTTCAGTTTGTCTTTGCGTTTTGAATAAATAAAGACAAAAGGTGTTAATCCTGATTAAAAATATTATTTGTGTCTAATAGGGTTTCATCAATGATTAAGAAGGATTGGATGTCCAAGGAATTTAAATTGCAATTTGAATGGAATATATATTCAGTATATCATTCCACAATTTGGACTTTGACTAAAGTAGTTAAGCCAAACATTCTACTGTGGCTCTATGTTGAATGGTTTTCTTGTCTTCTAGGCCAAGACAGAATTTAATCCTACATTTCTTCCTTTTGGGCCCTAAAGTCAGTTTTAATATTCGCAAACAAAAGATTCCTTTGTTTTTGGGGTAACAACTGCTGCCAAGCCGAGAGTCATTTGACTTTCCTTTCTTGTGGAGCCACCATTTCATGCACTTATCTTTGTAAGCAGACAGATTTTTAGACCTTTCTTGAATGACTTACTTGTCTTTGGATATTGAATTATTCAAAGCCTTCAACAATGTCAACAAATCCCATCATAATCATCACCGTCATCATCATGTAACGTGTATGGTGTATGTATTTTATTCATCTCTCAAGGAGCTATATTGTATACAGAGTTCATGAATTAGTCAACTGTATAAAAAATAAAAAAATATAGACAAATGCCTAAACATTAGTCTAACTATGTGCAATTAATCAGCAGTATACAATTAGCAAAAATGTAACAAATGTACTAAAATGTATGATCTAACACTTGGCTTCGAAATGCCATAAAATTCCGGATTGGTCGGTTTAGGCGGATTGGATTTGGTTTTAGATATCCAAATGCCATTCTTTGTATTTATTCTTGTTGAATGCATTCGATTTCTGTTGGCCTTATGGTCCTTGGATGCTCAGGAGTATTTGAAGCAGTGGAGTAATCCCACCTTGGAGAATGCCATTCTTCTGCGTAATTAGCAGAAGTTGGAGCTCTGGTTGGGATATTAAGCTCTCTGCTGTAGAAGAATCTTGCTATTCTAACTGTCTTGTTCCAAAGAGTTTCTTCACTTGGACTTGGGCTTGCATTGCCTTGGTGTGCTTCTTGCTGCTGAAACCTCCTCCCCCAGACAGCAAGAGATAGTAGAAAACAAAAGCTGGAAGTAACACCAGATATCACATAGAGGCCTGTAAAACTGTTGAGGCTCAAGCTTTCTGGTCCATTGGAAGTTACATTTTTTGGACACTCATTCTTGGGGGTCAACCAGTCATTTTGAAGTTTCTTCAGCTCTCCATTCTCCAATAGCTCTAGAATTGCCTTGGTGAAATCCCTGGCTATTGGAGAGCCTCTTTGGAATATCTGCAAGGAGACACATAAAAACAATTTTATTAGTTTCACTTTCAGAGATGGTTCCTTCTATCACAAGAAATATTTGGTCACTACTCACAAAGCTCAAGCCTCCAAATCTGTAGGTAGGCGCCGTGGACGTATATCCCTCACAGTACTCGTTCATGAACACTTGGGCATATGGGAGTTCAAGAAAGGCAGCAGATATGGTTTTGCTTTTGAATTTTTTCGTGTATTTGTATTCGCTGCTTACTTTGACGATGTTCTCTATTTTGAACCCAAGAACAGTCTGCAGGTAGTCCATGACAAACGAGTCCCCATCGCAACCAATTTTCGAGTTGGTTCTCTTCAGAATTTCGATATCTGTCACATTTGGTTTGAGCCGTTGGATGGTAAGCATGGAAGACAGATTAGCAGTGTAGCTTGAGGTTAGGATCAATACAACAAAGAGCCACACCACAACAACCAGTCGAGTTAAGTTGCTGTAAATTTTCTCTCCTGCAAAATCAAATGAAACCAAACCAAGGTTTATAATTTTGAACCGAGCCTTTTAGATTATCATTGGCTATCTAAGATGTATGGAAATTGGTACTCTACTTACTGTGAGAAAAGAACAGAGAGGAGAAGGTAAACCAGGTTGCTGTGCCAATCTGGTTCTTCAATGGGCCACCAAATTCTGGATTGGATGGGCGCTCCAGGAACCATACTACAAACATTGTGTAGATTAAAATGGCACCACTCACCACCCACATTTGCCATGTGAAAGGTTTCATGAACATCCATGTTGACTTCTCAGGTTTTGCTGGAACAATCATGGACAAACCAGACTCCATATATGGCTGAGTGAACTCCACTTTCTCCAGTCGGCCAGCTAGTACTGTTATATCGCCAACCGCAGCGTCATAAACCTTCCGTTGATACAAGCATATATACAAACGTTGTCATCAGAATCAAATCAAATAGAAATTAGTCAAGTCAACTTAATTGAAAAAAGAAAAACAAATGAGGTTGCTACCTTGTTATGGACTCGTTCTACCAGATCATCATAGAGGCCATCAAAGGCTTCAAATTCGTATGGCAAAGAGTAATTCAATCTCTCTATCACCATATCGAAAATTGCAATGCAGAAACCGACATATTTCTTCTTATCTGAATTGTCCAGGGACGGATCAACCTTCACAAATTTGCTGAAGGATGTTTTACCAGGTACCCCAATTTTCATTGGCTTCGCAGCAGTAGGCATTGCCCAGCCTTTGGGGACATGCGTGAGGTTACCGGGCCAAATTACTCCACCAGCATCACCATCTCTGATCTTGCCTGTTTCTTCTAATGAGAAACCAACATCTGGTGTCCAAAAGTTGAGTTCTTTGAATCTCTTCCCATCCACAATATTTATGATCCTGAGTACCGGAGAGTACAATATCTCACCTGCTTCGAACCGCATTTTCCCACTTAAACCGGTATAATTGCTAAATAATGTATTTAACAACAGCTGAAGACTAGTAGAGTTATTACTAGTCATTCTTCCTATGGCCTGTGCAATGATTCTAATAGCATCATATGCTCGAAGAGCGTAAATTCCTGGCTCGGGGTTGCCTTCTTCTGGATACTTTGTTTGGAATTGCTTCTGGAACGTGGCAAAAGAATTAGTATTTTTGGCATAGTAGGTCTTGATTCCCAGAGTGCCTTTCATGGTGGATGATATATCAGAGGTTTCATGAGGGTCAAGCAAACTAGTGATACTCTCTGTGATTATCCAAGCTGATTCTTTTCCTACAAGTCCCATCTTCTCAGCCACTCTGAATAGATGAGCCACTGTTGGTAAAGATGACTGGAACACAATATATACCCGAGACTGCATGGTGGGAAGCTTCAACAGCTCTTCCAGCTCAACCCAATTCGGATTAGACAGAGACGAAACTCGTGGAAGAACCAAACGGTGCTCAATCTTTGAACCAACATCTTGAAGAACCTCAGATAAAAGAGCTAGCATCCCAACATCACCGCCATACCCATCATCTTCGTATATCACAACCACCCTTTTCCAATGGTAGGCAGAAACAATATCTGCAATGCATTTCATTTGAGCAGAACCGTCAGCTGCCATTCGTATCAAAAATGGCCAATGGTGTTGCATTAGTGGCGGGGTTATAGAGGGTGCTGCAAATGAGATCACTGGAATTTGAGCTTGGTTTCCCACAAGATCAGCTACCTGAGCTGCTTCCTGCCAAGTCTCCATGCCAACTATGGCTTCTACTTTTTTTTCCTTTATCAACTCTTCAGCTGCAGCAACAAATTCAGAACATAAAAAGAAAAACTTAATGAGTACTTTTATATATCATAGAGTTATAAATAGCATCATGGGTTTAGTTACCACTTACCAGCAGAAGCAGCAAGAAAGGGGTCTGTGCCGGAGTCTCGAAAATGAAGGATGAGCTTATGAGTCTTTGAACGGTTGTTGAAGGTTTCAGCTGCAATTTCCATGGCAGTTTTCTGTTCTTTCCCAATACGAGAATTACCGTTAATGATTGCTCCAACGTTGGTGATATTGCTACTGTTTTGAGCTCCAACTCCATACGAGAGAATGATTAGAAAGTAGATGATGAGCGCAGGAAACAAAAGCCAGAGCCTTTGGACAGTATTAGCTGTGGCAAGAGAAAGAGACATTGCGTTTTGATATTGTAGAACAAATGACACAATCTTAACCACACTTGTTTATATAAGAACACTGTTTTGATTTATTCAAGGATACGTATATGCTACGGAAATTTTGTGATTGTGTGTTAGAGAAAACACGCTATTTCCAGGCAATTCAGTGTGGACTTATTATCCTTGACTTGGTCTGGTATTAAGAAATACTGATATGGAGGCAGAGTTACCTGAGGCAATACCATATAAAAAAGTGACCTGGTCTTCTATGAAGCAAAATTTTACTTGGGGATTAAGAGAACCATAGTTTGTAAGTTTCTCTAAGCTACATACGCATACGCCTTTTTTTTTTTTTTTTTTTTTTTACTTTCTACAAGAACACTTTCTTTTTTACCCAGAGTTAGGAAGGGAAGGAGGGTCTCCAACACACTACTATCAAGGTGCAATGATATAGTTCCAACCTGAGACCACCGGTTTACAAGTCAAGTCAATGCCGTTTTTCACTTGACTAGATCGGTTGACATCATATGAATCTCCTTTTTCTGCCTCTTAAATTGCCTAATGCGAACAATACAGTTGGATGTTGATGTACCTCTCTGATAGTCTAATTGTGTTCTGTAGCCCCCATTGCTGACCATTGTCTGTTTTCACTCCTCTCTAATTCCAAGTTAAACCCTTGAGAAAGAAAGTACAGTACTAGCATGGATGAATTTGCCAGGGTTGGGTAAAACTTTTACTAGGAAATATTTGACATAACTGACCTTGCTATTTAAATTTTGCTTTTGGGTATGAAAGGTATATAATTCATCAATCTTCAATAATCTGGGTCCAGTCTCTTACTTGAAACATTCGAAAAGGGGAGAACATTGATTCAAGTTACAAAAGTCAACTGTCATGGATGAAAGAAAAGATACGTCAGAGTTTCTCCTATCTAGAGGGAAGAGGAAAAGTAGTGATCTCAGCCAATATAGCAGTCGCAGAGACGTCAATAACTTTGGAGGCAACATCTCTGCTGCTATTTAAATATGCATAAAACTAAACTACTTAATCTGTACTTTGAAGCAATATTAAGGAACTACACTACATTACCATCTGGCCATATATATCCTATGTGTGGTGTGGGAACTGATTTCCAGGGAAAAACCAGTTTGATTTGAAATCAAATGAAAACGTAACTACATAAGTTGTATACTACCAATTGATTGGAGAAGAAAAAAGAAATTAAAAAGGCTTATGTTCGACATTGGTAGGTCAACCCCTTGCCTTTTTTATACTCATTTGATCGTGATAATTGTCTTTGTAGTTCTTCTTGTAAAGAAATTCATCAAATATCAATCATATAATTAATCATATTGTTTGTTTATGTGAATTAATAATAGCACAGGTGCAGATGTAGATTATGTCAATTGATTAAGACAGTATGCTCGGCCTTTGCATCCAAATTCGAATTCACTTCTGGTAATTTAAAATATAATTTTTGTTCTAAAATAAAATAATAGCACTTGACGGTGTTATCTTTAAAATTTAGTGAATTCCCCTAATAGCCCTACCAAAGGCAAAAACAACCAAACGGGTACACGACAGGTCCCGGGTGTTCGACTGCCCTGCGCGCCTAGCACTTGCAGCTGTGAAGCTCTAAAACCCAACAACGCAAGCAATCGCTGACGAAAATCAAGAAGAGCACTACAGCAAGAGCCACAACAATGTCGCAGTTCTGGAAACCAGGGGCCGAGAAGCCTCGCCTAGTCGACGACGAAGAGGGAGGCGTCCTTTTCTTCTCTTCCCCTTCTGGGTATGCAAATATTGAGAGGCAGAGGCAGAGGCTTCCCGTGTACAAGTACCGCACATCCATTCTCTATTTGGTGGAGACTCACGCCACTACTATCATAGTTGGCGAAACGGGCAGCGGAAAAAACCACTCAAATTCCTCAGGTTCGCTTCTTTTGCTGTGTGCTTAAATGGGCCGGTTTTTTTTTGTGGGAAAAAAAAAGCCAAGAACTTGTTTCATACCTTTCAACAACCCAAATGAATTTTCAATCTTTCCTGTGGGTTTTGAAATCTAAATTTCTATGAAATTCATTGAAGTTAGTTAATTGATTTGAGTTCAAAATGTTTATTTTGTCTGCTGAAATTGCAGTACCTCAAAGAAGCAGGTTGGGCTGATGGTGGGCGTGTAATAGCATGCACCCAGCCAAGAAGACTGGCTGTCCAGGTTATTCATTGATTTTATTTATGTGCCATTTTATTAAGTATTACTTGTATATTATGTTTCTTTAATTACATCAGTTAGCTATTCCAAACTTTACTAAAGTGTTCTAAATCATCTGAAAGTTGTGGTATGAGTGACGCATATACAAACCATGCTTGAAAATTTTCTCTTGATGATCGCTCATTGCTTGTGGATTGGAATTGAATGTTGCACTGAACTCTCTTTATGTTTCTTGTTATGTGGCTTTTAGATTGTAAATGCTTTTTTCCAAAATGGAATAAGAGATGTCCCCTAGCAGCTCTATCTAATAATATTGGTTCATTAGAAAGCGATTCCTCTCTCCTAAAGAAAAAGGAGAACTTTTGGCCCCTTTATGTGCTTATTTATTTGTACTTTTTAACCCGGCAGACATTGCTATAAAGATGAAAACTTTCTAGGAATATACAGAAATGGTAGTTTGTTTTTTGATGAAATGTTATAGACTAATCTTGGTGGCCTACATTGATGGCTGATTCCTGTTGGTTTCATTTGAAAAATACATTATCTTTTTATAAATAAATGGTGGCACTGCTCTGCAGTCAGTTGCTTCAAGGGTGGCTGAAGAGATGGGGGTCAAGCTTGGAGAGGAAGTTGGCTACACTATACGATTCGAAGATGTTACAAATACAGTGAGACCCATTTATTCATCATTTTAAGATCTGAACTTTCTCTTATTTGATTATCTTTTCCCTTCCATAAGGGCATATCTATATGCATCTGCTGATATCTGCATTCACATACCATAGTATCATTTGGAAAATCCTAGATGATAAGAATGGATCTTTTTGTTCAATGTTAATGTGTTTGTAGTTCCATGTCATGAATGACGGTTTTCCTGTTCTGGCAGCACAGGGTGTTACTATGATAAAGTTTTTGACTGATGGTGTGTTACTCAGGGAAATGATGAATGATCCTCTTTTGACAAAATATAGGTACTAGCTATGATTTCAGTAAATTTTTTGCTGCTTTCCTCCTTTTTGAAGCATACCATCTAACTCTATGTACTTCCAAAGTTTCGAGCTTTCTAGAATTGATCCTGTTTAAAAACACATGTTCCTTTTAATAAAGAGATATGACATACTTTCTGGTCAGTGTTTCTGCATACAAAATAACCTTGCATGTCTTTTTGCATGGACAGGTTGTGGTTGGTCCACAATTAACTAGGATTTCTTTCTTGCTTTTTTCTGTTTTTAGAAGAGGAGAAGAGAGGGGGGGGGAAGGGTTATATAATGCATGAAAAGAATTGTTCTTATTACTATCTCTCTATTGACCTTCATTTCTGCACTTTCTGTTTTTTTCCTCACAATCTCTTTTGATGTGATTTCCAGTGTCATAATGATAGATGAGGCTCATGAAAGGTCTATCTCAACTGACATTTTATTGGGTCTCCTAAAAAAGGTATCGGCTTTACATCATATGATGATACTTTACAAAACAAAAAAGAGTTTGGGTCTTTATTCTTGTCTTTTGGGGTTTATATGATATATCTGTTGAATTCTACAATTCTAGATCCAACGACGCCGACCTGAGCTGCGTCTGATCATCTCATCCGCCACAATTCAAGCAAAATCAATGTCTGCTTTCTTTCAGACCAGGTATGTTTTTAGCATTTTATCAGTTTCTGTCTGCTTTCTTGTGATTACTTAGTTTTCCTTGAAAAGTGTTATTCAAGGCATGAGAGTTGCAATCACTGCCCTGAAAAATTGGCAAACTTGTGTTTGTACTGTTCTTTTCAGTAATAATAATGAATGATAGATTGGTTTATTGTAGGGGCAAAAAACATCTATACACGTCTTTAGAGAAATAGACAAGAATTGTTTTTTTACCATGTCCACATTTGGCACTTTGAAATTATAAAAATCATAAATGTTTACAAGGTTTTGGTTCCATTTAAGCCAGAGAATAAGATAAACAACTTCCACAGATTTCCACCATTACATTTGCCTCTGTATATCGAGAGCATTTGTGTACTGTTGATAATACTGTTATCTAAGAAATATGAAGTGGAATGTTAATGTTGATATCTAATTTTGTTTTATTATAAACCAGCAAAAGGCGTCGCAGACCGGAAGGAGAGGAGCTTGGACCAAATATGGAGCCTGCTGTCCTATCAGTTGAGGTAAGTTCCCCTAAAAAATGGTTCTCTCTCTCGTATCTTAGAAGAAACATTGAGGCATCAGTAAATCTTCTTGATTTTCAGGGTAGAGGGTTTAATGTACAAATTCATTATGTGGAGGAGCCTGTCCCGGACTATCTTCGGGCTGCTGTTTCAACAGTATTATTGATTCATGAGAAGGTAAATGATATTTGGACGATGCTTGGTTTTCCTTGTATAACGAGTGACCAAACATATGTCAGGTTTTCTATTTTATTATTCATAGAAAATCTGCATGCGCACATGCAGATATTTTCATTTCTACCAGTTATACAAAACCTTACTGATTTTGTTTTATAGGAACCAATGGGAGATATTCTGGTATTTCTTACTGGTCAAGATGATATTGATGCTGCTGTCCAGCTGATTACTGAAGAAGATCAAAACCGTGGAAGAAAGTCATCAGGTGCAGAAGATGTTGCAGCTTTACCAATACTAAAAGAAAATATTTGTTTTAATAATAAAGTTCCAAACTATTGCAATTTGGAAGAGTTTATGCATTTGTTCATGCTATTGTTCTGTGTGTGTATGTAGTGTGTTCTAGAACTTCTAGTATTAGGGGTACAGAGTCCATAGATGATTTCACATAGCTAATCCATTATTTTTTTCAGTTCAAGTACAGAATTCTTCAAGAGTCACCTTAAAATGACTCGCATTATCTAGAATATAGCAGTTATTGTGTTGTTCCGGATTGAAGTTTTTTTTACAGTGGAATTTTAAAGATTCTTTTACATGTTAGTTTTTATATGGTTATATCTTCATGTTTCAGGATTGATGGTATTGCCCCTCTACTCAGGACTTCCACGTTCTGAGCAGGTTTGTTTTGCTTTCTGTGTACCACTATTTTGGCCAGCTTCTGAATTTTCATTCACGAGCTGATTTTGGACTCTATTTTCTGCTTTTAAGGAGTTGGTGTTCACTCCTACTCCTAGAGGGAAGAGGAAAGTTGTGATATCGACCAATATAGCAGAGACATCCATAACTTTGGAGGTAACCCTATGCTAGTAATATTCATAAGACTTAAGTTTGCACTTTGAAGCAATAAGGCACTGCATCATCATTGAGCCATATTCCTTTGATTCGTACAGGGTGTTGTCTATGTTGTTGACAGTGGGTTCTCAAAGCAACGTTTCTACAACCCGGTATATTCATTCTCTTTCTCTCACTCAGTCACATACACGTGTACACACACACACACACACACAAACATTTGTTAAACTGAGTATGTTCATTGCTTGGTTTAATGAGAATCTTTGACCTTGTGATTCTTGCTGATATTGGAGCCAAAAGTTTCTATCGAATAATATCATCTTAGTTTACTGACTATCTGTCTTCTTATTTTGCGCACTCTGTATCTACTTTACATAGATAACAGATATTGAAAATCTGGTAGTGGCGCCAATATCCAAGGCATCTGCTCGACAAAGGACCGGTAGGGCTGGAAGAGTTCGGCCTGGGAAATGTTACAGGTCTGCAATTCTTTGTGGTTATTTACTTCACTTTTCACTTCCCTGAACTTGTGGCATCTTTATTGTGACAAAGATCTTCAGTTAGTGGTAAGGAATTCTGCAGTCAGACCACCTTCATTACTGTTAGAAGATAATAAAATTCACTTGTGTGAGTTAAGGACAAGTGATCAAACAAATGTACCTACAAGGTATATAGGCTGATAGAGATATACTTCCAATAAGAAGCTATTATGTAACAGAATAAGTTGTGATGAGACTTTTTATGATGGATACTTTATATACTAATGCCCATTGCTCTTCAAGCTAATTCTGAGTTCAAATAAGTTTACTTAATTGCCTGAAATTCCATGGCTGCGACCAGGCTATATACCGAAGAGTATTTTGCAAAGGAAATGTCTGCTGAGGGGATCCCAGAGATACAAAGGTCAAATCTTGTTCCCTGTGTGATTCAGGTATGATATTATATTGCAACGCAGTGCTTTCCATGGCTAATAGGCCTCCATCTGGAGCTCCCATTGTATGTCTCAAATATGGCATACTTCCATCCCACTAGTTTTCAGGAGTTACATGATAGTAACTATGAACATAATGTCAGACTGCCAGTATCAAATCAATCAAATTTTCCATGAGCATCTCATGCATATCATCAATAACATTGTAAATTCCTTAGCAACATAAGTCTGTATATTTCCATGCAGGCTTTGTGATTCTTCGTGTGCAATAATTTGATGTTTAAAGATGAGATATATTTTTCTGGTGTGTAGATGCTAATAATGTGTTCTTACTTTCTAGTTAAAAGCCTTGGGAATAGATAATATCTTGGGCTTTGATTGGCCAGCATCTCCATCTTCTGAAGCAATGGTTCGAGCACTTGAAGTGCTTTATTCACTTGGAGTCCTAGATGATGATGCCAAACTTACTTCACCGACTGGATTTCAAATTGCTGAGATTCCATTGGTATGTTGCGGATGAAATTTTTTGTCATCGGTGTATTTCTGGCTTGTATCTATTCCCTAAAGTATTTATGTTTTCCTTATCTGCTACAAAATTAATTGGTTGCTTTGGGACTACAGTCCTTGTCGTTCTGCACTAGATATTTAGTTTGTTGCTGTATTGGATTTGTATGTAGAATCAGTAGAATGCAGCAGTACAGTTACATTTGTACATTTGTTTTCTATACCGTGCACTAATGTGTTTATTAGAGCTAGCAACCCCCCCCCTTCTCCTGAAAACATTGTTTTCAAGTAATTGTGAAAGTACTTTCCTGTTGTGTCAATATGTCGTTTTTGTCTTTAGAAATTGTTTATATTCTTTAACATTTTGTCATGGTGTATAATTTAGAAGCTAGACTCATTTGTTGAAGTTTATTGATTTGTAGGATCCAATGATCTCAAAATGATCTTAGCGTCAGGTCAACTGGGGTGTTCAGAAGAGATGATTACTATTGCTGCCACTCTCTCCATTCAAGTAAATCCTATTAATTCTCTTACTGTTAATAAATACTTGTATAATTTTCTCTCTCCCACTTTCCATTGGAAATCTTGGAATCTGAATATTAAAGAACAACCTAAATATACATATATGTATTTAGGTTGTATATTTAGTACAATAAGCCTTTTTTATATTTATAGAAGATATCTCAATTTCTAGAAAAAAAGAAACTCCTTGAATAGAAATCTTCCGTTGATTAATTCACAATTAAGATGTTGGTCTTGCAGTCTATCTGGGTTTCTGGTTGGGGATCACAGAAGGAACTGGATGAAGCCAAGTTGAATTTTGCTGCTGCTGAGGTACCAAATTTGAATTTTCAATGGTATGCATATATCTTTCCCCTATCTTTCTAGGCTCACTAACCTAATGGGCTGTGCTGTTTGATTTTCTTGATTCCATTCAGGGTGACCATGTGAGTTTCTTAAATGTCTACAAAGGATTTCTTCAGTCTGGTAAATCTTCGCAGTGGTGTCATAAGAACTTTGTAAACTACCAAGCCATGGTGTGTATCAGTAATTAGCTAGTTTGATCTATTTAACGGATGGTGTCTTTGCACCTTTTTGAGTGAGTTGATTGTTGTGCAGAAAAAGGTTCTGGAAATTAGAGAACAACTCAGAAGAACGGCTCAGAGAATAGGCATTGTCTTGAAATCTTGTGAAAGAGACACGGTGGTAAGTTTATGCATGCTGTATCAAATTTGTATCTCTGAGATATAAAATAATCTCCCACTTTTCTTCTTCTCTACCAATAATTATGACTTTTAAAAAATGGAGGAAAAGTTTTGAAGAATAAGAAGTTGATACATTTCACATATAGAATGTGCATTTTTTAGTGGCATTATAGGGAGTTGGGATCAAAATCAAATCTCACCTTCATTGAGGGATGAAGGAGGAGGGGGATGCATAGGATGAGAGGGGAACACATCCTAGTCTGTAGGTCTTGTGGGTCTCAAGTCTCCAAGATTCGGACCATAACATTTTTGTATGTATGTAAACAAAATCAAAAGGCAAAAACAAAAAGAAAAAAGGTTTGTCTTACAATCCAAATGGCTGCAAGCTAGAACCTTCCTCAGAAAGCATAAAAATGCTTCCATCAGTTTTCTTTGGGATCTAAACATACTTTTCTAGAAACCTGGAGTTTTTGTTAAATTCTTGGGGTTGATAAAGCCCTTCTTTTCTCTTTTTTGTATTCTGAATGCTGCTACTCTTTAAATCTTGCAGGTAGTAAGGAAGGCAATTACTAATGGGTTTTTTGCTAATGCATGTCGTTTAGAAGTGAGTTTCGTAGTTACTTTTGTGTATTTCTAATTACCAAATCTTTACTATTGGCGGGAATTGTTACCGAATCATTTATTGTTCATCTTCTCTCTTGTTATTAGAGAAACTTCATTCATTTATACTCCTAATGGTTTGTAGGCATCAAGTCACGATGGGAAGTACAAGACTATTAGAGGTTCTCAAGCAGTTTATATTCACCCATCATCTGTGTTATTCAGGTTAGTAAAGATTTCTTTTCTCAGGGACTGCTTACTGTTAATATTCGTCATTTGATTCCCGCCTCCCACGTCCTTTTTTGTTGGTTTTATTAGAATGGATTTGTTTGAACTGAGTTGTAAACAATCGTAATCCGTGTTAATTCATTTTTCTCGCAGAGTTAATCCCAAGTGGGTATTATACCATTCTCTTGTCTCAACTGATAAGCAATACATGCGGAATGTGATTTCCATAGATCCTTCTTGGCTCACAGAGGCAGCTCCACATTTTTACCAACACCAGCGACTCAAGTCAATGGTTCACTAGCCCTGCCTTCAGCATTGCTTATAAGAACATATATGGAACAAAAGAGGAAAGCAATCACCGTGGCCTTGATAACTTGGTTCTCGACTTGTGAATATATTAATTATAATCTAACTATCCAGAAGATGTTTTTTCTTCTTCTTCTGCCTAATGATTGTTATTAAAAATGGCTGGTTGCTTAATTCTTCAGTTTATTTGTCCTCTCCTCAACATAAAACGTGGGTATGTTCTTATTAGTAAACTTTATCGAAAAACGTCGCTAGTATATGACCTAATTTATTCAAAAGTTTGTCTATTGATATCATCTTTTACAAGTTTCACCCATTTGAATCAAACCCATTGACTAATGGATTAGGTTGAAGTGGAGTGATATATAACCCCCGCTTGCATCGTCGGGGTCAGGGTTAGGTTCCATTCTTTCTTTTTTTAATTTTTATTTTCAATATTGTACTTGTTATAACTATTATCTGGGGAAGAGAAATTTGCTTTCTTTTTACAAAATGTCTCAATACGTTTTAATTTAAATATCTCAGTTGACAATGGTATGAAAAAATAACCAGGGCCAAATGCTTTAGACTAAGTCAAACTCGGACTCTAGATAAGCACTAGTTGGCCCCAAGACTCTGGCTCACTGTTCTATTCCAATGGGGCTCCTGGTAAGGAGAGAATTTTCACGTCACGAATGAAATCCATGTTTCTCTCTCTCTCATGCTCACGTGAGACTAATTACGTGACGAGAGATAAAGAGAAAGTTGCATTGCACTCACGGCAGGATCTCGGAGTAGATGAAATGATTCTACCCCTTGTCATGCATGGAATAGAAAGAAGAAGAGAGGGGAAAAAAACCAGCAAGGTTTTGCTTCACTAACAAACAAACAACCCACCTGTACTGCAGCCCACGTTTGGATCTTTAAGCATTTTTCAGAAGAAAAAAATTTGTATTAAAAAGCCTCTGTTCTTTCAATAATTCAGATCCCAGATTATAATAAGATAATGAAGGAGACCTGTAAATGTTAGTATATACTGTACAGCTCATTGATGAATCTATACCTATACTGCCTCTATATCATATGCATTGAATCATGACATGTTGGCATGCTAGTCTTCTTCTCGGGGAGAGGGTTGTTATGCTTCATCTTCAATCCAAATTAATGTCATCAATTTAAAATCCTTTAGTGCTTGCTTGATCACTTGCATTATTCAAAGTTCAGAGGCTGCTTACTATTAGAAAATGTTACCAATAATTCGATGACTATCCGATGTGTCTTTGTCCAAGTATTTTTCATTATTTATATCCAAAACTATGCAATGGATTTGTGGAGCAAGTATAGAGGAATAGATTCAGTCAAATTAGTAATCCAAATAGGTAGGTAGCTTTGCTGCAAGTGCAACCTGCCTCGTTCTATTATATGACTAGCTTTTGTTCTTACTTTTTCAAAAATCTAGCACGGGGCTAAGCAGGGAAGGGATTGCTAATGTCACCACAACTTGCTTGATTTTATTCATTTTAAACCTCAACTTGCATGATCTTGTCCATTTAAACCTCAAAAAGCGCCAAGTTAATTGCTTCCCATTCTCATTTTTGCACCCACAAGCTAAGACTAAGAGTCTCTGGATATGTCAAGACCAGCTTTGCTTACCATTTTACTGATCCTCCAATTAGTCCATTTTGGAAGCAGCCGGTTTGTTAGAGATTCTGATCTTATATCCAATGGCGGCATAATAGACAACAAAATAAGCCAACCTTCAATCCTAGAAGTAGTGGATCTTCAAGCAGATACTGTGACTTGTGAACCAGTTTATGGCTTCTTGCCCTGTGCAACTTCAGTGTGGGGGCTGCTTTTCCTGATAATCGTGTACGAGGTCTTGCTGTCCCTTGCAGATCAGTATGTTTCAGCAGGGTCAGAACTCTTCTTTGAATTGTTTGGGACTGGTATCTTTGGTGCTAGTGCTTTCCACATGCTTGGCATGATACCACAAGTAGGATTGGTACTTGGTAAGCTCCTTTCGATCTTCTTCTCAGGCCTCAGCATTTATGTATGTATGTATGTTTATAATTAGATATATGGTCCATGAGATTTTGGTCTAGTTCTTCTTCTTCTCTTCTGTTGCATTCATTATGCTATTGGTTGGTTGTATATGGACTTCTCATTCAATGTGGCCTACATTATTAAGCTATTGGTTGGTTGAAGAGCAGGTAGAAAGGAGAGAATTAAAAAAAGTTAGCCATAATCTCCCTAGATTATTAGAAGTCATGTCTTTTTTGGGATTACACATGCAGATGGATGTGAGATGTCTTGTAAATTCCTTACAAAATTCACATTTTTTTCCCAGTAACTGGAGTGACAGGAAGTACAGAAACGGCAGAGGCAATGGCAGAAATGAGCATGGGCCTACTTGCAGGATCAGCAATCATGCTTCTGACACTAGTTTGGGGTTCTGTTGTTGCTTTTGGAAGCCATCACCTCTCGGTGTCTCAAACTTCATCAAATACAGAAAATAAGAAATCCTTCAGTTTAACTGGTTTACTTCTTCTCTTATCTTCATAAACACTAAACAACACACTCTCAGTGAGAGAGAGGTCTAAAAATATGATAATTTAGATGTTTTAGTATGCATGCCCTTTCAGGTTATGGTGTAACAACTGATGTTGAAACCAAAGCTACTGCAAGAATCATGATGGTCTCATTGATCCCCTTTCTTGTTCTTCAAGTGGCAAAAATGCTCAGTTCTTCTTCGGGGATTCGAGTTGTGATATTAGTCTCTCTACTTATTGCATTTGCATTCCTTGTCATTTACTGCATCTATCAGGTAACAAAAAAAAGTTCAAGAAGAGCACAGAATCTGCTTCCCAAATGATTAGATACATGCAAGTAAAAATCCAATTTATTTTGTGTATGAAAAGAGGAAATAACAAGCTGCATATATAAGATTCAAAAGAAGACTTGAATATTTAAGCAAATCTGAGCTTTGTAGAAGTTGAAATATGAGAATCAAATGAGGATGTTTGTAGTCGTGCAATTAGGATGATCTTCATTATAAGCAGCACTATAATTGCAGATACTGTTATGTACTTCTTAACTGAAAAAAAGATAAACAACAATGCAGATCATGCAACCATGGATTCAGAAAAGAAGACTTGATTTTTTGATGCGTAAATATGCACACAAAAACTTACTACAAAGTCTTCTGACAGTTGGAGGCAACCCCAATGTATCCATTATACAAGGGTAAGTTCCAGGTTTCCATCTTTAGTCTAGTCTGCCTGAATTGTTGAAATTTGCCATGATCTCATTATTTAGTCGTTTCCTGATTTTATTTGCAGGCTGTTTCATAGATTAGACCAGAATAATAACACATACATATCATCACATGAGCTGAGAGCATTGATCCTAGGAATACAAATAGAAGAAGTAGGTCTGGATGACGATGATTATGCTGCAAAAGTGATGGAGGAATTTGATATCTCTGGTGATTCTCAAATAGTTGAGACAGAGTTTGTCAATGGAATCTCAAAATGGATTAATCCAGCTAAGCCCTCTGCCAACGATAACAGTCATGAACATAAATGGTTTTTTAGAAGAAATCCCAAGGTATAAACTCAGCCATATATGGTAGGGATATATTCCAATGCTAAAAGAAAACTAGAGTCTCATCAAGATCATTAAATTTCAATTGCAGAATGAGAAAACTGAGGAAGACCAGAAGAGGCTAGTGGCGAAGAAAAAGAAGGCTAAGGGTGCTGATAAATCTTGGAAAAATCTCGTGAAGGCTGCTTATCTATTGATTCTAGGTACTGGCATTACAGTTTTGCTTGCAGTGCCCCTCATGGAAACTATGCAAGAATTCTCTACTGCTGCAAGCATCCCTTCATTCTTAACCTCGTACATTTTGATACCCTGGTCCACAAACTACAGACTAGCACTGAGATCAGTAACTTCTGCCAGAGAGAAGACAGATAATGCCATATCTTTAACACTTTCTGAGGTCTGTTTCTCTCATAAGCTAAAATCTATCTTCTTACTCAAGAAAGCCTTGATGATTGGTTTTTTTATGTAGCAATGACATGAGTTTACTAATGTTTGATGAAATGTTGTCTGCAGATTTACAATGGAGTGTTCATGAACAACATCATGGGTTTGATCATCTTCTTGGCACTTGTTTACATACGAAATTTATCGTGGGAAGTCTCTGCAGAATGTTTAGTTGTCTTGATTATTTGCACAGTCATGGGACTTTCTACCAGCTTCAGCAGAAAATTCCCATTTTGGACAAGTATCATAGCCTACATTCTGTACCCTGTATCACTGCTGCTGGTTTATGTCCTCACTACCTTTTTTGGATGGTCTTAACTTAAGCCAGCAGTTTTGTTTTGTGGTTAATCCATTACCCCAATATTGAGTTGCAAAGTCCAAGAACCAAGATGAAAGAGGGGTTATAATTTGCTGAAGTAGATGAAAACGGTGTATTTGAATCCCAGAAGGATGAAAATCTGCTTCTCACTATAAGCAATATCTGAATATTACAGAAGGATAAAACATGGAAGGTATTGAGATAGCTTTGACTGCAAATCAAATATTTAAACATAATTGTATCATTATAAGTTGAACTTTGTGACACAATAGAACAGCTGTTAATGAATAAATTATTAGCAATAATTTATACTAAATATGAATAATAAAAATTAAGCAAACAACTGGTCCCGTAGCTCAGTTGGTTAGAGCGCTGGTCTTATGAGCCGGAGGTCGCGAGTTCGAGCCTCGCCGGGACCAGTTAATCTGAACTTTTATTTTTTTAATATTCTCTCCTCTTAATCAACGTAATCCCATATTGTATGTGCATACAACGTGATCCCTTTCTAAACTATCCCCCCCTCCCCGCAACTCAAGCTCTTCTAGTTTTACTTCTGTCTCTCTCTTTAATTTCTCCACATCACCAAACACCTTCTTTATGTCACCTTCAAGGATCATTCAACTAAAATGGAAGATAATCCATGGATTTTGTAATAAATGATTTACACACAGAGAAAAGGTCAACAAGAGAAGTACAGAAACTCAGATTCCAAATTAATGACATGAACTAATTATCTCCTATATATATACGCATTCAAGTTAACTCTTCCATTATAAAATAAGTCTATCATTTCAGGCAGTACTAGTACTAGCCATTCAGCATTGTCTTGTCTCTAATTGAAGTGCGCCATGGCAGAAAGAATTAGCCCTTTCTTTCTCTGCCCACTCTCAACCTTGTTAATAGCAGCACCATCATGTGGTGGCTTGACCATTGAGCTCATCCATAGACATTCTCCAGAGTCACCTTTCTACCAACCAAACCTCACCCACAAACAGAGAATCCAAACTCTTGCTTACCAGTCCATCACTCGAGCTCAATAAATCAAAAACATGACAAAAAATCAAACATTTTCCTATACTCCTGAAACAGTTCGTGTTCTCGTCGTGAACACTATGCTAGGCCTCGCACTCTATAGAGTTAAAATCGGGCTCGGCACCATCCCAACCTCCTCTCCACCATACAAATCTTACAACCTTGTTTTCGACACTGGCAGCGATCTCACTTGGCTCCAATGTGAATATTGTAGAAGGCACCACTGCTTTGCCGTGGAAGATGAACCATTTCCATGTACTAGTTCAACTTTTTACAAGCTTCTGCCATGTAATGGACATCCTCTTTGCGAGGGCCCTCGCATTGAAGGCTCGTGTGCTTTTGAGAGAGGCTATGCAGACCAGAGCTATGTGGCTGGCTTTCTTGCATCTGAAACTTTCAGTTTCGATAGCAGTACTGGCCCCGGTAGGGAGTCTCTTGAAGGCTTGGTATTTGGTTGCACCATTGACAGCAAAGAGGTACGTACGTGACTTGTTGGTAAAGTTTGCTGTCCAAAAAAAATTGAAACTTAAAATAAGCCTATGTGAGACTAGTGATCGCCACTTGTTAGCTCTAATATATATTGTTGGGCTCATTTTGTGACACTTTAATATTTTGGGTAATAATTATCTAGCATGTTATAATTAATATCGAAATTTTTTTGCACGTTATATGGTTCTTCACTTAATCGTAGACAAATTGTAATTCCTCTTTCATACTTATTACGTGGGGTCTCGATCTATTTAGGGTAAACCTACACACTTGGTCACTTCGGTACTATATTGAATATTTCATCCTAAAAGTTGAAGCTATTAGTTATACAATATGGGGATTAATTTTGTATTCTTTGATTTCAGGTGTCCTTTTCTGCATGGGTCTTGGATTTGGTCCCAAAACGTTTGTTAACCGAATAGACTCTCAAGGTCAAAGCAATGGTCGTTTCTCGTACTGCCTCAGACGAGAAAGAACAATGGGGGCCACCAGTTCATTCATTCGATTTGGTGCAGATATAGAGCAAAGGCCCGACCTGAGCGTGACAGCATTAAGGAGAAACAACAACATTGTACTCTACTACATAAACTTAATAGGAATAAGTGTCAATGGCTACAGGCTCAACATACCAGAGCAAGAATTTGAAATCCAAAAAGATGGATGCGGAGGCAGCATAATTGACTCTGGTGCTGCATTTAGTCACCTTAGAAGGGCAGCACATGACAGTTTATTCAGAGCTTTAGAAGCCGTCTTTGCAGGATATATATGGGGCACAGTGAAAAGGGTGCCAAGTGGGGATGTACCTTTTGAGCTTTGCAATGAGGTGTTGAAGCAAGAAGTCTTTCAAGGCTTCCCAGTGATCACATTTCATCTCCAAAACAATGCTGACATTATCTTGGATGCTGAATCTGCTTTTCTTATTAGACAAGTCAATGGCTTTCTTAATAAATTTCAAATGTGTTGTTAAAGAAATATATATATATATATATATATGATTTTGGAATAAATGATTTATTCATCCAGATAAAATACAGATCATGTTTTAAATAGTGGAATTGCTGTTAAGGCACAATGATGATTCCGTGTATTGATATGCTTACATGCATTATTGCACTTATAATTCTTTTAATCATTTGGAGATATATGTTTTTTTCCCTTTTGGAGTAAAACTTACATTTGGAATTCATTCAACCCACATCTGGACTGACTTTACAATATAATTACCAAATTACCAACACTTTTAAGAGGTGAAAAACGTGTGTAATTATGCGTTGGATAGGTTTGAAGTCTTGTGCAAGGGGATAACACTTTTTTGTTATCCCGGCCAATCACACTATCTCACTCGTGATAACTTTTTCACTTGACATAGCATGATTGGTTAGGAATAGTTAAATAGTGATACTCCCGTTTCATATAAATTTTTTTGCTTGTAGAGGGATTTGATTAATTAAAGTACTTAATTTTTAATTAAAAAAGTAAGTTGTTTTTCTAACTTACAAAATTATTGAAGCAAGACAAAGGATTTGATTGAATATGTAGAAATCTGCAAAAACAAGATTCAGATAAATAGAAAGGCAACCCATCTGCATCAGACAGTGATATTGATTTGTTCTGCTATCGCTGTAGCCTGCTTTTGTTGATTTCTCAAAATGACAGAAACCCAACCACCAAATGACCACCACCTCAACCACACGTACACAAACACGTTAACCTTTCATGAGTTGTATTAGCGTTGGTTGAGCCTATGATTAAGGAGAGAGAACTAAAAAAAACCAAAAAGAAAGATTTCTATATGATATTATATGACAAAATAATTATAAATTCCACAAATGTATATTTTTTATTTTTTATTTGGTGAGAAAAAGGCTGGTGATGAGGGGCCATGGCAATCTACACCACACCCACCTTTTATTCTCTCCCACCTTCTCAGGGGCTTTGCTTCTTCCTTACTGCTTCTATTACAATTGCCACAACCTTTTTCCTCCAAAATCTTGAGTACCTATTTCCTAAAACGAGTGTCTTCTGGGACTTTTTCAAGCTGCTTCTCTGGTATGTGAGTCTTACCCAGATGCTGTTTTGTTTGGTTTTGCATTGTTTGCCTTCCTTTGGGAGTTGGCAAGTGGGATTTGGGGATACCCATTTGTGCATTTGGGAGACGTGGGTGGGATCTGGTTGCTAAATATATAAGGAATTTACAGAAAGCATATTGGTATGGAAGTCAGTTTACAATGTTTGTGACAAATTCTTTGAAAGATTTTATCTTGCATTTGACTTCAATTGGTTTTCTTTGGTCAACAGTTTAGTTTACTTTGATTCGTATCTGTTTGTTAACTGTTGGATTGATTTCCAAGGAAAGAGAAAATAAAAGTACCATTTTTGCATGCTTAAAGTTAATTCATTGTTAGTTGCTTAATGCTGATGGTGATCATATTTAACTCTCAGGGTTATGTTAAATTGGAGACAGACTCTCACTATCAGGTATGGGTTCTGGATATTGGTTTAAGGCATTAATCGGCTTAAAGAAATCCAAGGATGGCAGTTCAAAACGATTGAAGGTATAGAGCCTTCAAATTGTTATACATGGTTTAGCTTTTGTTAAGGAAAATGCAATTTGAAACTTAAATTTTACTCTAATTATCATTATTCTTTATTTTTAATCCAAAATTGAAATGTTGTTCTTGAGCACGTCCATCTTACATATCACTCAGCAAGTCCATGAAGGTTTAGGTTTCTAATTTATGCTATAACTATCTTGCAATTATTGCTTTTCTAACACATACTTGAAAGTATTACATTCTCTGTTGCTGTCACAATACGCACGAGTTATATAACCAGTTTGCATCATGAATAAAAACTTTTTAAACTAAACCTAGTCATATAAGTGAATGCATGGTTTATGATTTAGTGGTATGGTTGCTACTAGGAATTTATATGTAATATCTCAAAATTGATGTTGGTATGTAATTGTAATTTCTCACCCGTCATTACATTTTTCTGACAGGGACCTTCAGTTAATGGAAAATCAAATTCCATAAAATTGAAAAAGTCTAGTTTTGCAAATGGTAAAAATCTTGGATTGCCAGATGAGGAAATAGCTGCAATTCGAATTCAGACTGCTTTCCGTGCATATGTGGTATGTTTAATTACAGGTTATGTAATTAAAAAAGTCAACACCGGTTATGTTTGTTCCCTGGAATTTTGTTTTTATGTCTCTAGTTTGGCTCTGCTTATTTGGTGAACAGTTTCTGGTTTCTTGTTTCATCAATAATGAGGATTTGGAAATTTTGTTGAATTATGTAGCAGTTTGGTCCTTTCTTGCTTCAGACGAAAATTCAAACTTATCTGAAGGCATTTATGCATGAAGGAGCACTTTTTGTTATGCTGGATTTTGTTTTCCTAAGACTTTCTCTCACCCATTGCAGGCTAGGAAAGCTTTACGCCGCTTGAAAGGGATTGTTCGATTGCAAATACTGACCCAAGCTTATCCTGTTACAAAGCAAGCCACAACTACATTGAGCTATCTTCATTCATGGAGCAGAATACAGGATGAGATTAGAGCTCGTCGACTCTATATGGTAACGGAAGGACGGATCAAACAGAAGAAATTAGAGAATCAACATAAACTTGAGGCGAAGCTTCATGACATAGAGGTGAGACCACCAGCTCCCACATCTAAGAACATGTCAGATTTAAAATGTACAATAAGATTCTGCAAGTTTCTTCATTAATTGTGGTGCACTTGTGCACAGAATCATCACCTCATAATCTGCCTCAAGCCCTAATGATCACACTCACACAGCATTTGCACAACATTATTTTTCATTATTAAAAGTCTATCATCATTTAATTACTTAGTTGCCTTAAGGTTATTTCAGTCTAGTCCATCTATTTGTAAAGTTGATTGCTTAATAACTGACTTTTTTCATGAAATGCATCAGATAGTACATAATACAAGATGACAAGCTTTTGGCATTTGTGCTTTGTTATTCCAAATCTCTGCATATGTTGCCTGAGATCTGTTATGTGGTTTTCTCTTAAAGATCAGATGCATGAGAACAACCATATGAGGATTGTTTTTTATACCTTGTTGTCCTTAGATAAATTCACTTTATGACTGCTTTTTGAACTCAATTAACGCTTCTGAGTAATTGTCTCAATGGATGACAGGCAGAATGGTGTGGTGGATCTGAAACAATGGATGAAATTCTTGCAAGGATATATCAAAGAGAAGAAGCAGCAGTTAAGCGTGAGCGGGCTATGGCATATGCCTTTTCTCATCAGGTATACTGTTTTCTTGTATGCACTTTATCCTTTGGGTTGACCCCAGAATCAATTGAGAATGAAAACACATTTCCATGATTTGTAGTGGAGGGCCAACTGTAGTCAGAGCCAAGGATTGGGTAATTATGAACTTGGCAAAGCTAATTGGGGTTGGAGCTGGAAAGAACGATGGATTGCTGCTCGTCCATGGGAAAGCCGTGTGCAGTCACCTAGCCCAAAGAAAGTACCGAGTAAGCAAGCTAGCAAGGTTGGTAAAAACACAAATTCACCAACGCCAAAAACTCCAGTTTCAGTCAAGCCCCCTTCATCAAATGGTAAGGGAACTACAAGGGCTCGGAGATTGTCTTACACAGCAGATGAAGTAAAACCGGTTGCACGTGCAGAGGGCATTAAAACTGAAGAGAGGAACACTCAGAAATAAACATTGACTTGCTGGTTCTGGGCCAACGGTAGAGACTAAATAAGAATGTCTTCCGTATGTTATCAGTTCAAACTGCAGAAATTTGAGGGAGGATCCATTTTTTAATATAGGCGGTCATTTCTGATTCTTGTACATGGAGTGGTGTGGAAGTTATATGCTTGGGCGTGCAGTAAAGGATTATCGAACAGGACCTGGATTTGGGACTGACCAGAGCATCCTTCTATGATGTTTTTCTCCCTATTCTTCATTTTGATGTATATTGTTAAAGAAGGAAAATATTATATTTATGGTGTAAATAGACAATCTATTTGTTGATGGGTGATTATACTGTGCTTTTGCGCATTGTAATTAGTAATTACTACGGTTGTTCTTCACATTTTCCACCAGCAGGCTGAAGTGATTTATGCTGCTGCAAGTGTTGATCTTTGAATTACTGTGTTACATCATTATTCAATTGATTGACTATTGAATTCAGTATCATATATGATTTAGCTTTTTATTCAATCAACCAGATTTTGTGTGAAGGGTAAAATTCGAAGAAAAAAAAGATGAGCATCGAGTCCACAAGAACGATCATTAAATCAAAGTCTAAGCTTTTAGGTGCTCTGCACAAACGAGATAGGTTCAAAAGGGTAGCTGTATGTATGTGTACATCAAACTCTTCGTCCTACACCTACAAAAGAGGATGAACTTAATAATGCTTGCCTAGTTGACATGACATGACTATCTCTATCCACTAAGAAAATGGATAACACAATTTTTAAAAGAGGCTTTTCATGGTCTTATAATTGCAACTTTAATCTCCTTTTGTTTTTGCAGGACTAGCTGACTTTTTGCCTTGTTGGCACCTAAAACACATGAGAGGTTTTCTCACCAGCATTATGATATGGGATCGAATAGTTTTGACAGAGACACATAACAGGAAAATTTAGTAGCAGATGGGAAACAATTTTGTAAGACTGAAAACACAATCAAAAGACTTGTTAGATCAAGTAACCAGATTCTTCTAGTACATTCTGAACATGTAATCTACCCGAGGCAAAGTCCTATGCAGGAGTAGAACTAATGTGAGAAAGGAACTGGATTTGGCTAAGAAATATGGCTATTGCAGATATACATGGGATGAATTGAAAGGACAGCCTTCTCCTCCATCACCTGCATTATAATTCCAAGCCATCAAACTTTGAAACCAAGCCACCTCCATTTTGGAATCTGTTAAACTTGAGGCAGAATTGAGGGCTTCTTCAGCATAGTTCATTGAACTTAACTGGTGGTGATCAAGAACTGGTTCTTTAAAACTGTTCACATTGTTCAGTTTTTCTGGTTCACCACCATAGCTTCTCTGGTGATGCTGAAACTGACGCATACTCTCTTCTCCAATGTCTTGCTCTGTCTGTTGAGCAGAGTTGCTGACATTAGTACAGTCATACGCTTTTCCAGGTAGTTCAGGCTCAGAGAGAGCCTCAATTGCTGCCTTGGCCTTCTCAATGAGCCAATCAATGGCCTTACTTGGCCGGTCGTAGCCAAGGCGGTCTTGGACATCATAGAACTGTATAGCAGTCGGAGCTGACAGCCGGAACCTCCGGTCTCTAGGACCTTTGGAAGTGTACACCTTGCTGTGCCTTTCTTTTCTTGCAGTGGATCGGACAATGTGGCCTCCATGAACTTTTACAATCTTCCCATATCTCGCATTGTTGATTTCCGCTTGTTCAGATGCCAAATGTGAAGAAGAAGAAGAAGACATTGAGTAACAACTTTTCCTGGAGGATTTTGCTATGTGGGTATTCAACATCTTGCCATTTAATGGTCCATAGTTTGGTGGTTCTTGAACATGCTGATATTGACCAATTAGTCTCTTCTGTGATTGTTGTTCTTCTTCTTGAACATCTTCTGGTTGATCTTGATCTTCATTCTTTGATCCTCTCTGTTGTAACATTTGCAGACGCAGAATGTCTTGCAGGTGACTCATGGATTCTCTCTCCTCTCTCTCTTCCTCTCAAGTTTATGGAAGATAGTGGTGCAAATAGTCTAGCAATATAGTTAATGATAGAATTAGAAACGGGGACAAAAGCTATGAATTCTGATCAGAGCTGACTGGAACTCAAGGAAATGAGAGGTATCTTTGACAGAGATGGCATGACAAAATCTGCTCAAGCAGAAGAGATCATAAAGATCACCTGTTATAAGCTAAGCACAGGCTGCATGGCATTAATGCAGAAAAAGCAGGCTTCTTTCTTCAGCCCCTTCTTCCTTGTATCAAACGGGAATTGCGCCAACTCTAGTTTACTTGTAAAGTCTCTTTTTCTTGTTGGTTTTGAGTCACAGAGCCAAAACCCAAAACCCAAAACCCAACAGTGATATGTTTGGTGCTAAGGCAGACTATATAGTAAAGATTCCTCAAACGACAGGGACACTTTCAATCATATGTGTTGGTGAGTCTGGTTTTCTTGGAAGGAGTTCATGTACATTCTAATCAGCTAGCTCTTGTCCTCAAAAGCTAGTCAACTGGACACGTTACCTTTTTTCTTGGGGACCCTCCTAGACTTTAGAGGCTTAATTTTGAAAAGATGGCAAGGACAATTTTATGGTAAGAACTAAGAAGAAGAGCATATAATTTCAATAATATCAATGCACCCTATTAAACTTATGGCATATTTACTACTTCATAATCGGAATCAAATAAGGAGTTGAATTCCTATTACGGATTACTTCTGTGTTCAACATCCTCATCCGATTACGGATTAGTAATCCTGTGTTCAATTCATTCTCATCCGATTACGGATAGTAAACATGTCATTAAGCTCTTTTGATCTAACTGAGGTTTCAAACTACAAAATGTTAACAGTTTGTTTGTTGGGCTGATACCTTCTTCCCGTGCCAAAGGAGGACAGCATGCGCAGCTGCGCAGAGAATCGTTGTAAAGAAAAAGAAAACAACTTGTGTAACCATATGGTACTCTGTCTGTCTTACAACTTAAGAAGACGATATAATGGCATGTCACATGTGCCACGACCCCACTTGATATTATTGCACTTTAAAGCCTACTCGTCCAATCCACTTATTAATATGTACTTGACAAAATTAAATAATTAATATCCTACAAATTTCAAAGAAAATACATTACAAGAAAAATTAAACGTTGTTCACTCTTTTTGCTAAGCAAGCACTGCCAAAAACGACTACGTAAATACCACAAATCAACCGAATTAGCTGTGTTATTAAAAATGAATTGCAACATGTATTTTGAGGATTGTAATTCTTAATTTTATTTTATCTATTACTATGGAATATAGAGGAGAGGATGCTCTATGAGGGATAAGGGTTCTTCCGGTCATTTTGTGAGAGGAGAGTAGGCTATTTAGCTAGTCCGATGTTCAGGCCTCATATGTAAATAATAAATATATTAGACTAGTCCTTCTTGTTTTTTTTTTTTTTTTTTTTTGTTTGTTCAAAAGTCCTCTTGATCTTGGTTCGAATCTTTGAATGTACTTAAAAAAATAATAATATAATATCGATTTTCTTAAATAAATAATAATAATAATAATAATAATAATAATTTAGGGTTCAACCGTAAATAATAATCAACCGTAATGTGCAAGTGTTTCCATGACCATTGCTGAATTTGCTGAGTGAAACAACCAACAAGCCCCAATAACTAGTCTTTGTCTTCTACTACTATTTACTATGCAAAGCTACAGCCCATGATCTCACTCCTGAGAAGGCTATCAACATCACCTCCACTACTCATGGAGCCGGCCAATTCTTGTGTAGGGTCACAGAGACTTTCGGCCTTGGCCCAACAGCTCCGTCTCTACAAGCCACCTCCTTTCTCCTCCGACGATGATATTGAGGAGCAGAGAATCGAAGAAATTACTCACAAGGTTGTGTCGCAGGTGGGTTTTGCTGAATCTAATACCCCAGTTGCACAAGACCCAGAAAGGTTCAGACCCAAGAGAGCCGCTGTTTTGCTCTGTCTCTTTGAAGGGGATGCTGGGGATCTGCGTGTCATTCTCACTAAGAGGTCATCAAAGCTGTCCACTCACTCGGGTTTGTGGAGTTTTGGGTACCCTTTGTTTGGTTCCTGAGAAAACTGAAAGATTGGTTTTTGGGGTTCATTTTTTTGTTTTTGTTTTTGTTTTTTGGCAGGTGAAGTTGCTTTGCCAGGCGGGAAAAGAGAGGAGGGAGACAAAGATGATGGGGACACGGCAACAAGGGAGGCAAAAGAAGAGATTGGTTTGGATCCTTCGCTTGTCAATGTTGTTACTGTTCTCGAACCGTTCTTGTCTAAGGTATCAAGTTTTTCTTTTTTGATTGTTCGATTGTTAATTTCATTATTGTTATGTGGTTATTATTTGTTATGAATTTTCGCTTCATTGAACTGAAATTTGTACAATTGAGACTCTGTTGTTTGGGAAATTACAAATTAATGCCTGAGTTTCTCTATAGTGGAAGTTGAAAGTTGGGAACTTCAGTTGAGACTAGAAAGAAAGGCCCGACATATCTTATACTTTGTGTTTGCAACTGAAATGAGTTTGAATGTAAGGCTTAGGGTCTTAAATTCCAGAAAAATGAGCAGTTGGTAGATTGGAGGAGCTCTAAGAATTCGTCTAGCTGAGACAGCTATTTAATTTTGGCATTCGAAAATTTACATACAAAGATGAAGGTATTCGAAAATTTTGGAGGTTAGTCTGGGGGAAGAGCAGGGTGGTTAGTGTGATTTGTTGGTTAAATGCTTTGGATTGACTTACAAAGATAGGGTACCTAGAGGAAGAGCAGGATGACCATATTGGCATTATGACCTGTCCTCATATGAGGCACTGCAAATTTCGGTGTAAGGTTTGCAACTTGGAAAAGCTTTCTGGATATATGAGGAACTTGATTTAGCTACCATTGGCTTTCTGCGCAGCACCTACTGAGAGTTGTCCCCGTTATTGGCATACTCAATGAAAAGGAAGCATTCAAGGCTGCTCCAAATCCTGCTGAAGTGGAAGCCGTATTCGATGCTCCATTGGAAATGTTCATCAAGGTTGTCTCTTTAGTTTCATTGCTCTCCGAGTTAAAGCAATACAATTTTCTGTTATTTCTGTTTAAAGGATCATTTTGTATACATTTGCTTCAGGATGAAAACCGGAGGTCAGAGGAGAGGGAGTGGATGGGAAACAAGTATCTGATTCATTTCTTTGACTATGAAGCCAAGAACAAGAAGTACATAATATGGGGCTTAACTGCTGGTATCTTGATTAGGGCTGCATCAATTGTATACAAACGCTCACCACCTTTTGTGGAGCAGAATCCCATTTACAAGGTTCCTAGAGTTGTAGACATAAATACCACGATTCCGTAAATTTTTTTAACAAAATGTGTATTGGGTTGTATTTGAAATGATCATCTTTCCTGCAATAATATTTACCTCAATATGCACTATCTGTTCAATAATAGGAACATTTAAGTCAGGGCAGGCATTTTTCTTTCCCTCTAAGCTTTGTTTTCATATTGTGGTGATGCGAAATGGCCTTATGATTCTCAAATTTTCAGCCTCATCAATCTGAACTCTTCTTATAGTTCTGATTGAAGCACATACCTTTCTACAAGATCAATAATATACAAAACAAATGTAGTCGTGCCTTCAGTAGTAGGTAGGTTGGCCAATTTAGCCAACGTTGATCCAGTCGGCCGGTTTTCTGGCACAGTCGGCAGTCCAATTTGCAGGACCAGTTCACCCCGATTTGGTGCGGTTTCCTGCCGCCACACCCACCCTATTAGTAGGGAAGGTAAACGCTATTCCCACCGTATTTGTCTCGGAGAGACTGAGGACCTAGAAAATTGGTGGCATGCAGCGTTGAACAAAGACTCCAAACTTCAGCCCAACATTTCAGACTCGAGAAATCAGTCATCGGGGCCTTAACGGCTGGCGTTCTGATAACCGTTGCTTCAAGCGGAGGCCAAAATTCTGGATTGGATGGCACCACACCAAGCCATAGGTTTAACGACTTTACTCATCTATCAACTTTGAGCTGAGACTTTAATATTGTTCAGCTGCGCCTCGGCCTTACTTTAAAGGATCCTTCCAAATAACTTTTTATGCACTGTTATTTATTAATTTATTTATTATTATTTGTTGAAGATAAATGTTTAAAAGCGAAGCAAAGTGCTATACATACCCCACCCCACGTCGTTTCAGAAAGAGATAGCATAGAAAAGTAAATGGATTCAGGCAGCGTTGAACGAAGGCTCCACACTTTAGCACAACATTTTATCGCCGAGAAAGCAGTCAAACCGGGTCCAGAAGCTACTGCCAGCACCGCCTGTTCGAGCCAACGAGCGGCGGTTCTGGTGTGTTTGTTTAAAGGGGAAGAGGGCGACCTGCACGTCATTCTCACAAAGCGAGCCTCAACTCTCTCTTCTAACCCTGGTGAGTGGTCAAATGGTCATGAATCATGATCAGCCTCACCTACCAACCTACCAGCAGAAGCATGAAATAGGGTGTGTTTGGTTGCAGGCGACGTTGCGCTCCCCGGTGGGAAAAGAGAGGAAGGGGATGCTGATGACGTGGACACTGCCCTCCGGGAGGCCAAGGAGGAGATCGGCTTGGACCCGTCCCTAGTCAGGGTTATCACCGTTTTTCAACCCAGTTTAACCAAGGTTAGCTCATAACTCATCATAGCTGTACAATTGTACATTACTGTACATAAATATAATTTTTGATAACTGTAACTAGTTATTTTAATCTACCATTACTGTATGCATGCATTGAACAAAAAATAAATTAATAAAAGAAATTGAAAAAAAAATTAATAAAAGAAATTACAACTTATGCATCTTTAAATGGGAGCTTCTATTTGCATTGCACCAAAAATACAGTGAAAAAATATTTAAGATTTTCAATTTTTCTTGGTGGTTGACAGATTGTGAAAATAGAAACTCTTTTAGTTGTATTTTTCTTCTCCCTCTTTGGGAAGTAAAGCTAGCTTTGTGTTTGCTATGTATGTGCAGAATGGTATGACTGTGGTTCCTGTAATTGGCCTACTTTCAGACATAAAAGCATTTAGTCCAGCTCCAAATGCTGCAGAAGTTGAAGCAATTTTTTATGCTCCCTTAGAAATGTTTCACAAGGATGAGAACAGAAGAGCAGAGGAGAAAGAATGGTTGGGACACAAGTATCTGTTACATTACTTTAACTATGAAGCAGATGGTAAAGAGTATGTCATCTGGGCTTTCACTGCTGGCATTCTGATAAGGGTTGCTTCAATTGTGTACCAAAGGCAGCCGGCATTTCTCGAACAGAGGCCCAAATTCTGGAATTAGGTTTTTATGTCAACCGGCATTGCTTGAGTCAATATTTATCAACTTTGAGCTTAGACAATCCAATTTGTGCATAGTTCATAGTATTAGTCTTCGCAAATATTGCCATGCCATGAACCCAAAGATCAGTGCAACACATAAAGCAATAATCTATTAGACACAAGATAACTGCACATTTCAATCAAAATAATTAGGAGAATCCATAGGCAACGAAATTGCATCCATATATGATAGTTCAACCGAGCTTCAAGCTTCTTCAAAATTGTGTGGGAGCGAAAATTACTCCCCAAGAAATTAATCCACTAGCACCTTAAACTTGGGGAAGTGGAGATACAATTAAGCAACATGTTTGATTGTCTATCCATGATCACACATGAGTAAAATCATGAGATTAGTGGGACTTGATGGTCATAGCCTACCAAGACAAACATGTCATATGCCCATGATAAAAAGCTAGCATGTTTCATATCACATGGCAAAGCCCACAATATCACCCACTACCATGCCCATGATGGAGTGATTGTGGATCATGGAGAGACCATGGAACTTGGAGCTCAAGACTCTACTGCTTATAAAAAGTCAATTAATCCGGCATCCAAGAAGGGAGTACAATTTTACTCTAACTCTCTTGCGATTATACTTCTACTGACTTGAGCGTCCAAATGTTTTCTTGCAAGTACCCCCCATTGTTGGCAATTGAAGATGGTCCCGAACTTTTATGCTCCAACAATAGACCATAGAGCTTTTAGTGTAATAAAAGCAGTATGGGATTAATAGCCGAGAAAATAAAAATTAAACAAAACAACAATCTTGCCAACAAAAATTAGGACACTCTCGTATCTCCTTCAGCTAAACACCTCGTAGAATTTCGTAAGAGCTTCCGAATGTTTTAAGTAGTTAGGGTAGGGATGAACCGAAGGGGATGATGTCGTGGGTGGAGGGGGAGATAAGCGATGAACCATTTGTTAAATTTGTTTTCAATTTTTCATTCTTTTAGGAATTTTTAGTATTTATTTAATTTCTACATAGATATTAAATGTCAAGAAAATTAAAAACGATCCCATATTTTACAGAAAATTTAACAGAAGCTGATGGAGGTGTTAGAATAGCACTAAAAGTAAAGTTTAGGTGGTAAATAATTAAATTCTTTTTATTGGTGGTAAAAGCACACACCCGTAATGGTCAAGTCTAAGTGATAATTACGCAAATTTCCCAAATAAAAATAGGGTTGGTGCCTGCCATAAGTACTTGGGAAGCGAAGCCAAGTGCTATACATAGCCCCACGTTGTTTTTGTCTTAGAAAGAGAAAGCATAGAAAGTAATGGATTCAGGCAGCGTTGAACAAAGGCTCCAAGCCTTAGCACAAAATTTTATTGCCGAGAAAGCAGTGAAACTGGGTTCAGCAGCTCCTGCCAGCACCGCCGCCGGTTCGAGCAAACGAGCAGCGGTTCTGGTGTGTTTGTTCAAAGGGGAAGATGGCGATCTGCACGTCATTCTCACAAAGCGAGCCTCAACTCTCTCTTCTAACCCCGGTGAGTGGTCAAATGGTCATGATCGGCCTCACCTACCCACCTACCAGTATAAGACTAATTAGAGATAGGGTGTGTTTGGTTGCAAACTTGCAGGCGATGTTGCGCTCCCCGGCGGGAAAAGAGAGGAAGGGGATGCTGATGACGTGGACACTGCCCTTCGGGAGGCCAAGGAGGAGATCGGCTTGGACCCTTCCCTAGTCAACGTTATCACCGTTCTTCAACCCATTGTAACCAAGGTTAGCTCATGACTTTTTAACAAATGTAATTAGTTTTTTAAATCTACAATTGATGCATTTGAATAAATAAATAAAAATTACAAATCATGCATCGTTAAATGCGAGCTTCTTGAATGATCATATTAAAGATTTTCAAATTTTCGTGGTAAGCTTTGTGTTTGCTACATATATGCAGCGTGGGATGGCTGTGGTTCCTGTAATTGGCCTACTTTCAGACATAAAAGCATTTAGTCCAGCTCCAAATGCTGCAGAAGTGGAAGCAATGTTCTACGCTCCCTTAGAAATGTTTCTCAAGGATGAGAATAGGAGAGCAGAGGAGAGAGAATGGATGGGAACCAAGTATCTGTTACATTATTTTAACTATGAAGCAGATGGTAAAGAGTATGTCATCTGGGCTTTAACTGCTGGCATTCTGATAAGGACGGCATCAATTGTCTACCAAAGGCAGCCACCATTTTCCGAGCAAAGGCCGAAATTTTGGAGTGATGTTGCTCAGAACACCGCCATGCCATAGGTTTTTATGTCATCGTATTCACAACCAGCATTGCTCGAGTCAATATCTATCAACTTTGAGCTTAGACTTCAAAGTGTTAATGCAGAGTGTTAAGAGATTTTCCTATGCATATCTCCGGCAGAGACCGAAAACCTTCTCTATAACTCTTCACTACTTTCTCACATGTTATAATGACAAAGTAATGATCAAGTTTATGCATAGTTCTTAGTCTTGGAAATATTGCCATGCCATGGACCCAAAGATCAGTGTCACCCTCAAAGCAAGAATTTATTGTACACAAGAAAACAGCACATTTCAATCAATAAATTGGGAGAAACCATTGGCAACGAAATTGGATCCATATAGATAGTTCAACCGAGCTTCAAGCTTCGCAAAATTATAGACCATAAAGCTTTTTAGTTATATAACATAGTGTTCAGAACATATGGATGGCCAAAAATCTAAATGTCCCCATGTAAAAGCAGTATGGGATTAATAGCCCAGAAAAAAAAATAAACAAAACAACAATCTTACAACAAAAAATAAAAGAACACTTTCAGTACCTCCTTCAGCTAAACACCTCGTAGAACTTCTCAATGACAAGTAAACCTGAGTCAATTGACTCTAAAGGGTCCTTCCGAAGACGATGTCTTAAGCAGTTAGGGATGACGGTAGCAATATCCTCTGGAGTCACCTTATCTCTTCCCTTTAGAGCAGCCAAAGCTTTTGCAGCCCTGTTAGTCACTATGTCTCCTCTCAATCCATCGACATTCAACTCTGCACAAACCTTAGAGATTTTCACCTTGAGATCCTGATCAATCTGAACAGATGGAAGGTAACTTCTAGCTGAGCCAATTTGTTGTTGAAGCTTTTCTTGCTCAGCTTGGTAAGAACCCCGAAATTCTTTGGGGTTTTTGTCAAACCGAGCTCTCTCCTCCACAATCTTCACTCTGAGCTCTGCATCCCTTACAGTCCCAACTTGTGCATGCATACCAAAACGGTCAAGCAACTGTGGCCTCAGCTCCCCTTCTTCTGGATTGCCAGAGCCAATCAAAATAAACCGGGCAGGATGTGAAATTGAAATACCCTCTCTCTCCACTGTGTTCCATCCAGAGGCAGCAGAATCCAATAAAACATCCACTAAATGATCATCCAAGAGATTAACTTCGTCCACATAAAGAATTCCTCTGTTAGCTTTTGCAAGAAGGCCAGGCTCAAATGCCTTGACACCCTCAGTTAGAGCTTTCTCAATATCAATTGTCCCACAGACTCTATCTTCTGTAGCACCCAAGGGTAAATCAACCATGTTGATCTTAGTCATGGTGACAGGAAGTTGATCCCCTTTCACAATGCTCTCTCTAACTTCTGCTCCCATGGACTCTGGATCTTCAGGATCCGAATTGTAAGGGTCACCATAAACTACCTTGATTTCAGGGAGCAAGTCAACCAAGGACCTAACAGTTGTGGATTTTCCAGTTCCCCTATCCCCCATGATCATGACACCCCCAATCTTGGGATCAATCACATTCAGCAGAAGGCACAGTTTCATCTCATCTTGCCCCACTATAGCAGCGAATGGATATACTGGCCTCTGGTTTTCCTTAGCAGCAGCCCTCTGTGCCTGAATATGATCAGGCTGACCAGAATTAATCACACGTATATTGAACAACCTAATCTTTATATAGCATGTGAATTCCCAAAAATAAACTTCAAAACTTTTTCTTGAAATTGAAACTTATCTTTGATTATTTACTCAGTTAAGGAAAGAAATTTTGGGTTCAACAAAATCTTTCTCCCATTACAGAAAATTTCAACATCCAAATTTAACTATAACCTATGCACTTCAGCCAATAATATTAACAATGAAATTTTTTAATCAAAATTTGTTGTCAAATAGAGTGAGGGAAGACAATTAGATAAAAAGTGTTCAGACCTGCTCAGCAGGGCTGATTTCAGTGGCAACATTGGTCACTGCCACATGAAATTGAGGCCTCTTCTTTCCATGAATCCCAATCCCTCCATAAAACTTATTCCCATAACTCTTCCCTGCAATGCAAAAAATCAAAGTCATTCACAGTAATAACAATCCACTAGCCAGCCAGCTAAACCCACATCTTATATCCCTTTAAAACACAAACAAACACCAAATATGAACTGGGTTTTTCATATCTTCTACCAAATTACAGAAAACAAGCCTCAATCATGGTTCTGTTGCCGGAAAAAGAAGTGGGTTTTTCTTTTATCTAGCGGGAAATGTACCTGGGCTTAAAGAGAGGGAGGGAATTGAAGCCCTGGAAGTGCGAGATGAGAGAGGTCGAGAGGCCAAGGCTGCCGTTGAGCAGCTTCCGAGTATGGATGCCATGTAAAAGTGTTTATGGAAAGCGGTCTGTGTTCGAGTGTGAGTATATTTCTTGAGCTTGAGAGCTTGACATAGTTTCTAACTTTCTATTGGTTTGTGAGGCTGAGGATAAGTGGATAGATTTTCAGTCGTATCTTGTATTGTATGTTACTTGCTCTGCTTTGTCGTATACCAAAAAGAAGAAGAGAAAAAAGTGGTGGCCATTAATACATTTTATTATTAATTAATTTTTGAAAAGTTTCTTAAATAATTTAAAAGGAAGTAATAATAACTCTAAGTGCTGTTTAACGTTGCTTATTTAGAGTAATAAATAATTTTTTTAAAATTTTGGAAAGCTCATCCGTTTGACAAATTTTGAGGTGATGTGACATATTGAATCCACATTTGAGAAATAATTTGCACTGTCTTTATCTCTCCTCCGAATTTGTATACAACACGTTGCACTTGAACGGGAGCCTCTCTCCTAAATTTGGTGCAATTTCGTGTCACTAGCATTAATATATGACTTCAAGTGACAAAAGTTTTGGATGAAACTAATTCTTCCGCTTTCTCATGACAAAATAAACGGGGAAACCAATCATATGATGCAATAGATAATGCGTAAATTACATTCCATTATTATACTTAGACATACAAGTAATGTGGTCTTGCAAAACATCAAGGCAATCCAAATTCGTGGCAGCTAAACTTCTCCATCTCCTCTCTAAAAGCAGACATAGCACTCTGCCTCAGATTCACCAAAACCCTGAACCCATCTTTCTTCCCTTCTCTCGCAGACGAAGGAGGAGGCAAGAAAAAGCAAGGCTCAACGCTGCCAAGCAAGTTCCTTGAGAGGGGCAAAACGGTCACAGGACCTCCCCAGCCAAAATCAACTGTGGAGTGGCGCAGGTGCCTCCAATCTGTGAACCCACTCACCTCTTTTCCTGCCGTGATCCCTTCCTCATAATGAAGCTCCTGAAAATCGATGAAGGACCGCACGTACTCATCCGTGGTGTTGCTTTTGCTCTTCTTAATCTGCTCGGCCACTGCCCAAATGGGTTTCTCTGTTAAGTCTTCGGCGCTCAGCTTCACGTACATTGCAACGCATCCGTTGCCCCAATGCCCAGCTGGTAATGGAGGGCTCACTAGTTTTCGTACGTTGATTGAGTATGCAAATGTCACCTTCTCATTACCTGGAAGCTTCAAGGCTTTAATCCTGTTTCATCCCATCATTTCAACGACAAAAAAAAGAGTAAATTTCAATTTTGCAAATAAGTTTTTGACGTTGTGACACTTGTTTATAACTTCAAAACATGACGGCTCAAATAATAGTATTCATAATTACAATCAAATTTGTTATCAACTAAAAACCTGAATTGGAGGTCTAATCCCACCATGCTTAAATGTTCAATTTTATTAAAGAATTAAAGAATTAAAGAATGGCGCAAATTATTTTATTTTATTAACAGCAACTTACTTGGCGCGCCATATAAAAGCTCCTAAAGCTTCAAAAGTGGTGAAGCTCAGCCCGGACTGCTCCAACAGCTCGCTCTTGAATCGCTCCAGAGACTCGTCCCTCACATGAAAGCACTCCCTCGCAACTGGGCCCACCATCTTTGCCTGTCCGTACGGTGAGAACCCCCTCTCCAAACTCAAGCACTCATGCAGTACCGGTGCCCCAATTCGGGGAGGGTCTCTGGGTCCCAGCAAGCTCGCCCGGTCCCATACGGGCTCAACCGACACCCGGGTCGCTCCGCGAGCCAACTCAGCCACGGCATTGAAAAACTGGGTGGCTCCCATTCCGTCGCACAGCGCGTGGTTAATGGCGGCTCCGAGGGTGAACCCGCCGCACTCGAACACCGTGACTTGCAGCACGCACGGGTGGACCATGGCCTCGTCGGGGTTCGGGTCGGGCACCAACTGTTCGATGAAATCCGCAGCCGGGTCATCGAGGTAGCTGACGGAGTCAAGAGTGGCGTCCGAAGAGGCAAAAATAAGGGGGACGCCCTGGCCGTTGGAGCAGAATAGCTCGAAGCGGTGGTCGGGGCGGCGGCGGAGAGTGGCGGCGAGAGGGTAGTAATGGACGAGAGCGGCGGAGAGGGCTGCGGAGATGACGTGGCGGGGGTTGGAGGAGGGAGTGGATGGGTTGGTGTTGTGGTAGGCGCGGACATAACGGAAGCTGACGCGGAGGTTGGGGTCGTTGTCGAGGTGGGAGAGAGAGAGGACGTGATCGTCGTTAAATGGAGGTGCAGATGGAACGATGACAGCGGTTTCTATGATTTTAACGTGCATATTTGGTCACTTGGTTTGGTAGTTGGTTGGATGATGCTTTGGATTCTTCATTCTTTTGTTTTACAGTGTGGAGGTTTATAATAGAGACTGAGTGAAAACTTTGATAACAGTGTGGAGCGACGTGGAGCATGCGGCACCGCCAAATGGCCTCATGCATTATTGCATGCCTTTTCTGAGTGAAAAGACCTTCCAACCACAGACCATTAAAAAAGTAATAATAATAATAAAACAAAAAAAGAGACTTTCCATTCCCAACAACCCCCGCCGAAGTTGAGCTGGGGCTCCCAATTCTCTGACTTATTGTATGGCCCTTTTAATTGGGCCGAAATCCTTGAAGCCCTTTTAGTTGGGCCCAATGGGCTGAAGCCTTACACTTGGAAAATAAACCTGGTTTATTTATAGCCTTCCAAGTTGAAAGAGCGCGCTAATCTGTCATTAACGTCCTCCCCCCGCCTCTTCAATAATATTCAAATACGGAGTGTGCCTCGGACCACTGTACCAAGCGACGAGCCCTCTCACAACTCGCTCGCACCTCTGCAATCTCTCTCGCTCTCTCATATACGACTTTGAAATCTGTGAGTTCTCAATCCCTGATCGTGCTCTCGTTTCTTATAGGCTTTCGGATTCACGAGCTGTTCCTTTCGCGCATTTCTTGATCAATTCGAGATTTTCCTGGAAAGTAGAATTTATCAATTCCCTTGTTTGTTTGTTGAGCTTGCTTTAGATCGTAGGATTGAGTCTGCAATTTCTCCCTTTAACCTCTAAATTTCATGTTTTCGTTCCTATGGCTAACCGTTTTTTAAAGTCAAATTAGAGGAGAGTTTATGTTTTGGTTGGTTCCATCGGTCATTGTTTTGATTTTGCCCTTAATGATCAAGTTTTCGCTGCTTAAGAAAAATGTACAGCATTTAACATTTTCTTACACTAATTTGAGGCAGATTTAATTCTGTCTTTATTAGCTTTGATTTGTGCTATGCTGATAAGTAAAATTTTTTGTAAACTGAGGTTCATAGTTTTCTTTTTCTTATCTTATAATTGTTATTTTAACAACTTTGGGTGGGTCGCATGAAAATTTTGTAATGTGGACAAGGACTGAAATTTGTAATGTTGACAGTTACTGTCTGTTTGCAGAGAGTATAATAAGATCTACAAGTCTGTTCATATGGCAGAATCAAAGAAGGCCACATCTTCTTCTGTTAATCCAAAAGAAAAAAGTTCACTTCTAGGTATTCTCTTGGTTTCCCTTACCTTTATCTTTTCTGTACAAGTCATCAGATCAGATGCCACAAGAATGTCGAAGTAAGAGTTTTCAGCTTGGAATTTTTCATTTGACTTGAACAATGTAATCAAATTGTGTGTTCCTTTTATAACAGATGAGGAAATTGGTAATGAATTTCTCAGCTCCTGGAAATCAATGTCAGTAATGGAAGACGATGGAATGGATTTTAGCTTTGATACGGTTTCCAAAGGCAAGAAGAAAGTGTTTGATTTTGAGAAGCTGTAAGTACTGCCAAAAAAGTTTGTTACTAAATTATAGAACCATCTTTGCTAAATATTTAACCGGCTCCTTTATTTAGTTCTTAAATATTTGCGTTACAGTTACTTTTTATCACTTCTGTGTGCTATTATGAGTAAATTGGCTACCATTATGCGTTTAGTTGGTGTATCTGGTATTTGTGTAATGTGCGAAAAATTGTTTTGAAAAGGAGGATAGAATTTGGGATTCAAAGGAATCAAGTCATTCCAGAAATGCTTATTCCAGTTTTACAGATATAGCTCCAATATACGTAAGTCAGTGTGAGTCTACAAATTCCAGGCCACTTATAAAGCTCTTTTTCCCCTATCCTGTTCAGGGATATGGATTTCAATCTAGATGGTGACTTTAACAAGTTATCATCTTTCAAAATGGACATGCCAGACCTTGATTTCTCAAGCCCGCCCAAGAAAGCTGCAAAAACCAAGGAGAGATCTGAAGAAGAACCTTCCAGAGGAAATCGTCAAGGGAAACAAGACCGTTTCAAATTCTCTTTTGATTTCAATGAGTGAGCTCTGTATCTTCTTGTTGTGCTGATATTTTGAATTACATAGGCAATGCAAGTGTACTTGTACTCTGAATTTTACAACTGGTTACCTGACATTCTTTCTTGGAAGTAGGTTGGATAATTTCGATTTTGATTCAAGCTTAAAGAAAAGTGAAAATAGTTCTAATAAGAATCGAGATAGCAGCAAAGAGGTTGTTTCTGATAGAAGTGGGTCTCAAAACTCTAAAATTGACCTGGCTGAAGAGATTAGCACACTTGATGGTGATTCTGAGAGAGTGGCCACTTCAAAGGTTGATACTACATTACTTGTTTCAGGCAACGGTAATTCTATGAATGATGATTGTGCATCAAAATCTGAGACCTCAGAAAATCTGGAACTGCCATATAGTCCAACGTCTCCTGAAAAAGTAATGACTAAGAGGGTAGAAGAATCAGATCAAGAAATTCATTTATCTGAGAAGGCAATGCCAACTGAACCATGTGCTAATCAGGCAACACATGAGTTGCCTCATCAACTTGTAGGAGGAGTTGATTCAAATGGAGATACTGTTTTTGAAGGAAAAAATGATGACTATTCTCATATCACAAACGTAAATACCTTTTCAAGTGGAAAAGAGGATGTTAATGAGAAAATGCCAACAAGAGACGGTCCTGATCATGAAGACTCGCCTTTGAAGGATTCATCTCCAATGAATATCACTGGTTCGTGGAGTAATAACGGTGGTAGGAGCAAGTCAGGCAGTGATGTCTTGACAGAAAACTTTGAACCAGCTATAGATGATTCAGATCTTGAAGACAATTCCAATACATTGGTCTCAAAGGAGACACCACATAACATCAAAAGTATGAAGGAAGACCAAAATTCAACTGGAAAGCTTCCCTTATCCATGCAGGGCAGGTCAGGAAATCTGTGAACATCTTCTTAGCTGCTACCTTTGTTTATTTGATTCCATCCTTCCATCCATGACTTAATTTTGAACTATAAGAACTAGAAACTGATGTCATAGTCAAGATGGTTTTGAATATAGAAACTGACAATAATCAGAAAACATTCAGGTGCATCTGTTATTAAAACTATAAAAAAATGAGTAGAACCATTTAATGTTTGAGTTGATGCATGTGTCGTGGTCTAATTATCATTAAAATGCTTATGATGAACAGACTGTATACTCTGTTTTGCATGTATGTTCTTGAATTGAGTAGATAGCTCTGATAGGGGAGCAAACACGTGAGCTTCAGTATCAAAGTGTTATTTATCTTTTCCCCTTTTTGCTTGACAGTGAATCTGCAGTTGATGAAGTTACACTGACAAATGAAATAAAAACCGGACACTTCCACTCAAATGTTTCTAAGAGATTGGAGGAAGCTGGATCTCAATTGTGTCAGCCATCATTAAAAGGAGCAAAATCTCTCTCGTCTGGAATCAAAAGAATTGGTAGCATGCATCTACATCCTGCAATTGAGCAAGGGTGAGTCATAGTTTTCCATAACAATTGCATAGTTGGCATTTAAGTTTATAAACTGTTTCATATAATCTTCAACAGGGTGGGTGGTATTGCTAATGATGCACAAATTGGAAGCAAATTGCTCGCTGCTCCTATATTAGTTGATAGAGAAACCAAAGTCAAACAAGTAATACCTGGAAGGTAAAGAATGCTAACATTCAGTAATATCAGTATAGGACACGAGGTAGAATCTTCCTATAATCTGCTTTTCTTTTCTTTTCGAAAAAAAAAAAAAAAAAAAAAAAAAAAAAAAAAAAAAAAAAATTCTAGAGAAGCTAACTACGTTGACATTATATACTTTGAATTGAATCACTCAAAATTGGATGACATCATTTTATTAAATAGAAAATACAATAAAGCTGTTGTTAATGTTAATAGAAGTGTCCCTTGTAATCATTGATAGGGAGGACTTCAATTCTGCTGGTGTACCAAATAAGGCCAAACTGGTTGGGAATTCACTCTTGTGTAATAAAGAAGTAACAGAAAGGGAGCCTGTCCTAGGAAGTGGACAGAGAAAAAATCTTAATGATCTCAGGTAGGTAACGCATCTCTAAATGACCTTGTTCTATCTTAAAATTTACTTTGACTGTTTGAAGTTCGACTTTTCTATATGCAGGGTTTTCACTATGATCTCTTCTTTGATAGATTTAAATTTAATTGTTCACCAATGTACCCAACCAAGTCTTCACTTTTTTAGAATGTTTAATAATATGGATTGTCTATGTTTCCCATTATTGTGGTGTTCCTTCAATATTTCAATCTTCGTTGCCAGATTTTGTGAGATTTTTTTATTTTTTTGCATTTCTTGCCTTGAAGAATGGCGCTTTGACTGACGTTATCATTCACATATTTAATTGTGCTCGTTTCTCAGGCACATGGAAACCTATTTTATATACTGTTCTGCACCATTATTTTTGGTCTGCATGACCTTCTAGTGAAATTTCTGATTGCCAGTATAAGTTTTTCTAGGCATGTGGAAATTTCTTCCAGTCAGGCTAGTCCTTCCAGCTCAAGTGAGAAGACAAGTAAACCTAGTACCCAGACATGTGTCAATTCAAAATTCATGCTGTCGAGCCTGGAGTCTATGAGGAACACTAAGATCATTACAGCTGAAGGGAATAAAGTTTTTACTGATAAACCTGCCAAGAAGAAAACTGAACTTTCTACCTTGAACATTTCAAAGTATGATGCAGGTGTAATTATTCCTCTTCTTCAGTTCTTTCCTTTGCAGAAATGTTTTGATTGTCATTTTGAATGTTTTGATATCTCTAAATGTAGGAATATTGGTGGCAATAAAGTTTCATTTAATGCTGCATCTCGAAAAGAAGTAAAATCCCTGAGTTCAGAGAAACACATGGAAGTACAAGGCAATGTGGAATTGAAGACTGCCCAGATTGTTGATCGCAGTGAGAAACAAATGCCACCAAACCTTTCCTTGAAGCGAAAAAAATTTGAGGTCTTATCCATTTAACTCCTGAAGTTCTCTTCAAAATGATATCATGACTATGACATTCTATTTGTAGCTTTGGTCTATTCTGTCCAAAAGCTTTAAGAAAACTTTATTGCATTTTCCCAATTTCTTACACGAAGCTTTTTTTCAGGGATCAGACTCAGGTTTAGCATCTTTAAAGCCTATAAAACGCTTCTCTCAGTCACCAAGTGAAATCAGGTACTCTTGTACTAGTCTAGTAGATATGCGCTTAACTTAATATACTGAATTTTTTTTTTTCCAGCCTCTCACATTTATCATCCTCAGACCAAGAATTTGTGATCCCAAATAACCGCATAAGCACTATTACTATTTATGTATTCTAAAATGATTTACTGGGATTCTGCTGACATACCACATTCTTTATCCCAAAACACCTGCAGAAATGTCACAGAACCTTCAAAAAGAGTTGTTGAAGAACAGGTTCCGTCTCAACAAACTCTATAGAATTAATTATTCATAATGACTGCTAAATGTATATAAGTAAAATAGGTGGAAGCCTGATATTGGATAAATTACCTGCTACAATATTCTTTGTGTTTTCCCTAGGTTTACATTCATGAGAGTCATTTGGAGACAAAGACTAAGACCACTTTAGATGACCATCCAACCTCTGGGCTTGGTAGTCCTTGCTCGAATGCAATGGAGCTTGAAATTCATTCAATAATGGAAAATGATGGAAATGTTGAAAAGGCTGAAGCATACACTAAGGAGCTTGAAGATGTGAGTAAACTATTACTTCTTTTACATCGGCTTGCATGTGCATTATAATTAAGAGATTCAAACACTTAAAAATGAATTCAGTTAAATTTATACATACATCATGGGCTATAATATAATGATCTCTCTCTGTCTCCCTCTCCCTCTCCCTCTCCCTCCCCCTCCCCCTTGCAGATATGTAACATGATGAAAAAGAAACACGAGCAAGCTAAAGAACTGCTCGTCAGAGCTGTTGTGAACAACAATAATCTGCTGATGCTTAACCATCCCATCTACGAAGTGAAGATATCCTTCAGACTGTCTTAGATGTTAATTTGTTATTATTCCTGTTTTCCATTTTTTTTTAACAGAAATAAAGTTGCATATTCCTTCATAATTGACTACATTCATAAAGTTCAGAAATTCGCCGCACAACTGGTGTCCAAGGAGCTTCAGACATGTTCAAGAGCACCGACAGTTGTTATATAGGTTTGTTTTTCCTTATTTTTCTTTTACACATTTAAAGTTGTGCATGTAAAACTTCGGTAATAATGATGACTTACTATGTTACTTGAATATCAGGATCATGTTGCACTTTCTCTTCCGTGCTTTTGTTCGGACTTCAAGGGCCTGATACTCCAAGCAATCTAGCAATGCCAACATTGTTGAAAACTAAATGTCATGCTTCATAGTTGAATCAGGCGTTGCGCTTGCAACTTTCCACTTGCATGTCAATTTTCAGACTCTTAAGATCATAGGAGGTGAAAATAATGATGACGGCGATGTAAATGATTATTCAATAGCCTCGTTCGTGTTCTATGTAGTTGAGCATCTCCTTTTCATATTTTTCCTGGGCTCTGTTCTTACCAGGATGCAAACAGGGTAGAATCGATTGTGTATATAACTTGTACCCTTCATGTGTGGATGTGTGTACATGCCCACGAAACAGTTATGCTTAAAGATCATATGATGTTCTGGTTTTTGAATGATATAGTTATATACACAAGTGATATACCTAGATCATCTTCATTTTTTTTATATAAATGCATGAAGGCACTGTTGGCCGGCAAATGAGTCCAGGCTCGAGTAGGTGGTATGTAATTTGTTCAATTTATTAAAGTAAAACGGAGGTTGGAAGTTTGTTAGCCGCGTAGATAATATATGATAAAAGGAGAAGGTGGTGTTGTTCAAACCCAATATGAAAACCATAGCTTTCCTTCTAATTAAATCCTCACGTGATTAATAGATAAGGGCATCTATGAATTGCGATTTGCTTAACACTTATAAGCACCATGGGGGGGACTCTGTTTATTTGAATTAGTCCGGCGGCGGCCACACATGTCTTAGTTTTTAGCCGACTAAGCCGGCCGGACCAAGGGAAAGATTATGAAAGCAACCCAAACCTACTCAATCTCCTTTGATTTCCAAAAGGTTTTGGAAGCTTGTCATTATAGAAAGGCTAGACCAGCCGAAGGCAAATGATCACTAGCTAAAAAGCAGAGAGATTCAAGACCTAAACAAAGAGATGAAATTTTATTCTATCTGCGGCTGATAGACTTGAATAGATGCTGGTCGGTAATAGTTATTTCCGATGGGCACAAACAACACAAGGTAAAAGAACTCCATTACAAATTTACAATCACAATGTGGCTTTTTGGAGGCCCCACTATTTCCCACCCACTTTTAATATTTATTTATGATAACAAAAATTTAATTAACACCTTGATGCTCTATATATATCAAACCCTCTTACACTGGAGTCCCTACAAGCCTAGCATTTTTGTGAAAGAAACCATTAGAGAAAAATGTATATTAGGTGGAGATTTTGTGTCTGGTTTGCCCTAATGCTGCTGCTTTTGTTTTCTACTTCTGAAACTCGCCCTCTTAATCCAAGATTGGAGAAGAAGAACAACTTAACCAGTTCCGGTCACACATTGGCTGGAAGTGCCAGGGAATTACTCAACGTTTGGTTGCGAAAACAAGAAGCAAACCAAACTCATTACAAACCCAAGCGAATGAGTCCGGGAGGTCCTGATCCACGGCATCACTCCAAAGTTCAGTAGTATACAACTTCAATGAGAGAGCTAAAGTGTTGTAAATTACCAATAACTTAGCATAAATGAAAGGTGTGTTAGTGTATTTGCTGAAAATCTGAACTCTGTCGAAACTTGGAGGAACTTGTTACGATCGTTGATCATCGATCATGGCAGAGACAAGTATCATGTGTTGCAGAACTCATGTTCTTTTTCTTTTTTCGAAATAAAAATTAATGTACTACTGCTGATGGCTCAGCAGCTGAATAATATATATATAATCCATCTTTGTTTGTTTTTAATGTTGTTCCTTTTTCAAGTATATTATATATATATATATGATGGTAGGGACTAGGGAGTAGAGTAAAGAAGTATCACTTTCTGAAAATCATGAGATGATGGGAAAGAAGTCTGAAGAACAGAAAGTTTCTGTTTCATATATGATGAGGTTGAAAAGTACTACAAGGATATTTGATTGGCCCAAAACATGCACTTTTAAGTTTTATAATTAGCAGCCGAAAACGATAGCTAACGCCCATTTACAAGTGATTAAGGATTAAAGAAAATATGTCCTAACTGTATTCAGTTCCAAATGGTATCTTATCTTGCTTTTTCCAACTCGGATTATTTCTATGGAATAACTCATCACATCACAATCATAATAAGTCAAACCCTGATCATAATAAGTCAAACCCCTGTTCAGGGTTTGATCAATGATCAAAGTCTTCTTCTATTATCCACATACAAAGCTTCAACTTGTAGTTTACAGAAGCTATACAAAATAACATTTACAGGGTTTATCTGTTCTTCTTCTCTCTCTCTTTTTTCAGTCAATATGAAGTTTGCATTGCAAGTAGGTACCCTTTATGTTATCCTGTTCGTGTAATCATTTTAATTTGTGTTTATGCTTGAAGCACCTTCAATATTCAATTTAGCTGCTTTTCAAAGTGGGGAAAAGGCAACCATCATCGCTAAATTAACAAAGTCAAACACTCTTTTGTACTTTTGAACTATATAATAACAGCACAAAAACAAAAAAGAAGCAGCACATCTGTTTGAGTTTTGAAGCCATGATAAGTAGTTCCATTTCCATATATAAATACACTATAACACTTGTGGCTGAGATGTTTTCTGCTCCTTTTTAAAGCTTATGTCCAAAGTATATGCATAAGACAGAGGCATGGAGAAGGAGATGAATTAAGAGGAGCTAGGAAGAAACCAAAACTAAGTCTCCATCATGCCGCATGATGACAAACAGGAAATGCATTAAGAGGAGCAAGCTTTTATATGGCCAAACCAAAATCACCTGACAAGACTAGTTTAATGTTTTTATGTGCACGAGGCTTAGTATAACCACACACCACTGAGAATCACAACACCATGCACTAAAACTGAAGCCCACAAACAATGCTTCTATTTTTTTTCTTTTTTGTCGTTTGATAAAAGGACAACGTTGTTAAATGGAAACCAATGAGATATCCATATGTATGTATATAAGTTATAAAAGTCACACAACGTAAGAAAAACATGAAATATTATATTGGATTTTGCTGCTTGAGCCTTACGTTTCCCATTATTTTGATTCAGAACCCTTGAGGTTTTGCTCATCTTTGGTTCTCACTTATTCTCAACTCGAGGCCATCTTACCTCTTAATCATCTTAAGTAGGCAAATGGCAGCAATCGCCAAATAAAAAACCAATATGAATGAAGAAACAGAACCAAACTGAAGTCAACTACTCAAAACAACCAAATTCCCTGTTGAGTTTAAGCCCAAATTCTGTGAACCTTAAGCCCAAATTAAGTGCGGGTTAAAGTTAATGGAAACTTAAAAATTAGGGAAGTTGCCAAAGTTTTGAGACACAAACACTGGTGAAGCTAATATTTTAACCTTTTCAGAACCATCAGTGCGAGCAAAATGCCAAATTTCATTGCTAGCTAGCACGCCTGCATGGTAAGCGCACACTAACACTAGCATTATAAGCTAGACTTCAAAATAAGTAATCCACTAATTAAACCTTCATCGGCTTTACAGTATGTATGTTAAATTGTCAAATTACAATCGAAGATTGTACACATTCAAATATAATTCTAATAACTGATGATTCTATTTACAATTTTGACAACATAACATGCTAGATGATTGAAAAAAATTGATTGAAAGTAATCAAGCTTTTTGGGTTATAATCATTATCCAACCTCTCGTAGATTGATCCCCCATTTTGGTTTAGGGATTCGGAAACGAGTTTAATTGGTAGGCATACAAAAGAAAAGATTAGGCAAAAATTAACATTTCTCAATAACTTTATTGCCTTGCTACTCTCTTTTTTTCCTTTTCTTGTAATGGCAATCTTAGATGAGTGCATGAGGCCAACTACACAAATGACCCACTCACTCCACGTAAGACAACAACTTCAAGCACTAAAAATAATACCAAATTAGGAGGACTAAGAAAATCTATAAATACCACAACCTTCATACTTTAACCCTACCTTAAGCTTAATTGGGTAAACAATATTCCAATCACCTTCCCTAACTATGGGTTTTCTTTTCTTTCCATCTGCAAGGATTGGGCCAATTCAATCCAATTTTGGAAAGAAGGAAACTAGTTAATTGCAGCATATATGTAGGTAGGTGTTGCTCCAACTTGAAAGCGTTCAGGGAAGCAAGTGGTTTCTAGAGGTTGACAAAATCCAGTATGACCCTCAACTTAAAATTTCTATCTCGTAATTCTCTTTTCTTAATTTGGGTAAGGGCAGGGGCATAGAGGTTATAATGAGAGGTTTCTTAATAGACGTTCGATCTAGTGTAGAGCTCCAGAAAAGGCCCTGCCTACTTTGTATCGCATCTTGTGGCCTTTGTGCCGAGAAAAACTTCCCTGCACGGCACGGGAATGTCAGAGTAAGCAATCCAGCTAAGTATTCCCACCCAACGACCTCTCGACAGCTGTCACCCACTAACATTTAAAAAATAATAAGTTGTTACCTGTGATCCTCCATTCTATGTGAACTCTGCAAATTCCGTTGAGTGTTTTGCTTTGTTGGGCTTAGGCCCACCATATATATCAAGTTTGTTTTTGGTAATCAAAATATTCAGTTATAGAAAGCCCAATGACCCCATCACTGACTGATTTGAGCTTCGCCCAATCCCACCTTGGTTGTTTACACTCCACAAAAATAGGCTGCCGTAATAAGCCGTTTCTTGCCTCTTGGCATGGCGAAAAGCAGTGAAGGAGCTGACAAGAGGCCGTGGTGGTTGCAGCCACGACACAACAGAACAAATCCTGCTCTGATACTGATATCATACCAAGTAAGATGCTTTGAATCTCGTTCTTATGACTAGTTCCATCTATATATAATATACACACTCCCCTATAAAATCAGTCAAAAACCAAAATATACACACTCCTCTACATTGTCTAAATTAAAGATTGAAATTGAATCAAATCAAAGTGTATGAACAAGACAGCACACCTCTTCCTACACCAGAGTCCTTCAAAAACTTTGTCTTGATTTTGTTGAGCGTGGCTACAGTTTCTTCCACACTTATCCTCTCTTCTGGTGATTTTGCACAGCAAATAATAACTAATCTCATAATAGTTGATATGCAATCCCTCTTCCTCACATGATCGTCATTTTCCTGCTCTGTCCCAATCCCAAGCAAATTGGCATCTACAACTTCATCTATGATTCCATCTGGTAATAATAGTGAGTCTGCAATTCATTACTTTAAATTTATTTCCCCAACAAACATCTCATCTGTTAGCTTCCTTTTTGTGTATGTTTCCATGAGCACAATACCAAAACTATACACATCCCCTCTTATTGAAACTATTCCTTCCATTCCATACTCTGCAATATGAATTATATTTGAGTTGTACTTATATATATCTAAATTATATTCATATCATATGTATGATGAAAATACTATTTTAAGTTATGTTGTTCGTAATTGAAAGATGTTAAATTCGCAAGTACATACGTGGAGCCATATATCCAACTGTGGCTAGGGTCATGGTTTGGATAATAGAATCTCCTCCAACTCAAGAGAATTGCAATTCCAAAATCAGCAACATGTGCAACCATATCATCATCTAGTAGTAAATTGTTGGGCTTCATGTCATAGTGCACAATAGGTATTGAATAACCATGGTGTAGGTATTCCACTGCCGCCGACGTCTATCATTATGTTCAACCTCTATAAGATATTAAACAAACTAATTTTGTATAAATAAAAAACACTAAGTCCACAAAATAATTTGAAATAATTAATTAATGTTTATTTAGTAATTTATGAAAATTTTAAAATATTTAAATACTAATTATTGACTAAAGAAATAATAATTAAAACATAATTACTAATTAAAGTAATTTTAAAAGGCTAAGATATTACTTAATTACCAAAAAAAAAACATTTTGTGAAGTGTAGCCGCTCGGCTATACGTTTAGAATACTCCTAATGTATTTCAAGAGTATAGTTTTAAATATTAATATATTTTAACAGTATCGCCGCGCGGCTATACTTTGAGAATATTCTTATATATTAAAGACGTACAGCCGTGCGGCTATACGTTTAGAATATATTTCAAACGTCTAGCCGGGCGGCTATACTATTTAAATATTAATATAGCTCAAGCGTATAGCCGAGCGGATATACTCTTAGAATATTTTTATATATTAAAAGCATATTACCGTGCGGCTATACTCTTAGAATAATCCTATATATTCAAAGAGTATATCCGCTCTTAGAATATTACTTAATTGTAAATACTAAACTAAGCAAACTAATTTTGTATAAAATAAAAAATAAAAAAACAAAGTCCACAGAATAATTTTAAATAATTTATTACTGTTTACTAAGTAATTTATGAAAATTTTAAAATGTTTAAATACTAATTATTATAATAATTAAAACATAATGACTAATTAAAGTGATTTTAAAATGCTAAGATTTTACTTAATTACAACAACAACAAAACCATTTTGTGAAGTATAGCCGCGCGGCTATACGTTTAGAACACTCCTAATGTATTTCGAGAGTATATACCTCTCCTGTTTTTACTTTTCTCCTAAGAAAAGCAAAGGCTCTTAACAACTCTAACTATGTTCCTCAAAAGCTGTAGTTTTAAGATATCAATAAATTACAAGTTTACAACAATGTGCCCACATTTTGGAGCTGATACTTTCCACGACATGGCCCAAGCTCTAAAATCGTTTGTCATCATTTATCATTTTTATAATTTAAAAAAAAATAAAATCTAAAGAAAAAGAGGTTAGGTCGTGTGGGGTATTTGGGCTTCAAAGGATTTCATTGCTTTTTTAATCTGTTTTTTGAGCAAGGGCAGAGGCACTTGCATGATATTTTTCTTCAAGAAAATGATTGTAAGGGTGTTCTTTTTGTTAACAAAGACGACACCAGGAGTGATATTGATGAGTATCTGAGATTTCAAACTGGAGAAAACTATATATGGTATAATGATAATGAGATCCTCGTGAAGCCTCTCAATGAACAAACAATCCCCTCCTTTATGAGCATCCATGGATTAACACTCAAGGCAAACAGTTCTTCTGGGTTCACTACATGCACCTTAAATTGTCCCAAAAAGAAAAAGAAAAAAGGAATGCACCTTAAATTAACCTCAACTAAACCTGATAAAAAAAAGCACAGGAGATGAACTGAAAGAGACTTGTATAAAACTAACAGAACTGAAAGAGAGAGTGATATTAATTAGACAATAGAGTTTTTTACACCAAAAGAACCAGATATGGAACAACCAGCGCCAAAATGAACCGAAAATCAACGTCTTACAGCTTACGGTCCCTAATCAGTTTATTTATAACCCCATATGGTAGCAAAATAACCCTCAAAAGAGAATACCCTATCCATGATACACAACTTTATTCTTTTTCAATTTTGAAAAGCCTTAAGAGGGTCTTTAGGGTCTATGTTATTTATAAGTGGGAGATCAACTGGCAAAGATTCTAGACTCAAGCCTTCGTTCTTCAGCTTCAGAACCACCTCCTCAATCACAACCATGTTCCCCTGCGGAGTAAGGTGCAAGCCATCCCTGCAATTCCAATCAACAACACAATATCACATGCTTATGTCTTTTGCCTACATAGGCAGAAAACAAGGTGGCTCAAGAGGTACAGAAACCCCAAAACTTAAAGCCAGTGCAAAAGGCACCGTCCAGCAAAAAGGCTCATGGAACCAAATTCTTATAGTACAACTTCTTAAAGGTTTACCAAACATTTTTGAAGCCGGAATTGACTTAAAAAGCGAGCCTGCAGACATATTCAACAGCCCGTTGATATGCCCCAGTCCAAAGTTAATTTATAATTAACCAATTAACAGAACAAGAAGATTCAGAATTAGAAAATGTGCAAGTTCTTGATAGAATCATGCATGCTAGCTACAGACATACAAGTTCATTCATGTACATAAACAAGTAAGATCAGATTATCAGATGAGCTGAGTTGGCATATTAAATGTTAGAGAGATCATAGGTAATGCGAGGCGAACATATATATGAAATTGGTGCATGCCAATGCTTAGTAAAACTGCAAGTAGACAAATATTACATGCTGAGAGACAGAGAGACCTTAGATGAGCTTTTTCCCAGTCAGGAAACTGCTGCATTTTAGTCCAAAGATCTATTACTGGGTTCCCACTTTCTCGAGCTACAGCAACACATGCCTCTGAATAAGCACCAGCAGCTTTATTTGTCCTCTCAGGCAGATTGGATGGATTATCAATATAGGGATGTCTGAATCAAAGACATAAATAACTAAAATCAAACTCTTTTGTTGTCAATTGATGTAAATATCTTAACTAAAATAAGCAAGATATTTACATTATGGTTCAAGAATCAAAGATAATTAATACGAAATCCAAAAATGAAACATAGATGATATAATGGGACTAAAAAAATTATAAATAGTAAAACCATACTGAAGGCGCCCATCTTCATTGATTGGAGGAGGGGTGATAAGGAGAATGCGAGTCGTAGGCCATCGCTTCTGAAAGCCAATAGAAAAGAAGAAAACGTAAACATGTAGAAAGTTGAAATGAAAATCGAAACATAACTTGAACAAAAAGTTAATTTTATATGCAGACACCTATTGAAAACAATTTTTATTTCACATAAAAGCGAATGCATAAATTTTTATTGTTTGGTTAAGTACAAATGACCGGTGGTACGTATGTAAGAAATGTCTGCTTTTGGTGTAACAGAGATGTAAGCTTATTGACGGGCTCAAATGCACTACAAACAAACGCAAACCACACTTAGCAAATTGATTCCACCATCACTATCAACCATTTTTAAGTTGCCTTGTACAACAGGAAATCAAAAGATGCCTAAATTGATATGGATATTAGGTTCATTATTTGTGACTTAGAAAGAAACCTAAACAGAAGGACCAGATTCACCCTAATGCTGTTGCTTTATCAGCTCTATATCTGTCCACACTGTAGAACTTAACGTACACGAGATCTCCATAAATCACAGGCTCTGCAGCTTTCATTTCTGCCACCATTTCCACTTTATGATGGCAATCACCACCATTGTTCCCCACATGCATGATGCATCATATATTAAACAAGACCTGTTTATACCATATCTAACTGGACAATCAAAGAACAACACGTGGAACAAGGGACCCACGAGGAGGACCCGCTAAACGGGTAACCAATTGCGCCCCACAAAGTACCATCGGCAAGATGCGAGCCTTTGGCACCTTGGACTGCCTATCGTATCAAAAGACCACATTTCATTAGAGATTTCTTACAAGGACATGTGACACCTCCTCATGCAATGTCCACATTCCCACATCGAAATTCCACTCAAGATGCACATCTCCCAACATTTATAAAAAGGGGCACAAGTCCCCAAAACAAGCTAACTAGACCTTCGGCTACTTAACCATCACTATGTTTGGATCACTGTTCACTCCATACTTGATACTAACTTAAGCACCGGAAAGCCTTTGGCCGGTACCAAAGGTCTTACCACTCGTCTTTTGTCTTGCAGAATATCCACACTGCAAAGACCACGCAGGGTCGAAAGTGATGTCATTATGAAGTTGGGCCCAAAAGTGCCTGACTATTTTTGAGCATCAACAAGACCTATTGGCTTGAAAGATGGAAATAGAACCCTAATAATAACTTTTCTTTCCCTCCTTTTTTTCTCGTGTTTCAGATAAATTAAAGTTCCAATGCAAAAGCAATACCTACTAGCAGGACTTCTGCAAAAGTTATACCTATTGGGCATCAGATTCAAATGAACGACATGCAAGAACCAATATGAATCAGCGAATCTGAAATATCTCCTGGACCATATATTTTTACCTAGAAGAGTCTTAGCATGTGAAACATACGTCTTACAAATGTCCACTGTCACAGACTGACACGTCTTTATCCAAACATTATCCAAACAAAAGGTTAAAACAACCCATGATTCTAAGAACTTTCATCATTTCATTTTCATGGAAGTGAAGTGACCACCAGAAGTGCGGTCAAAGAATTGAGACATCAAGGCACGAGAATTGAGAAGCAAACAAATAAGAAACTAACAAGGGGAACGCAAAGACACGCAAAACCCAACTGACAACCACGTAACTTGTGAAGTCGTGGGCCTTAGAGTAACAAAAAAATCCCATCGATAGCCATATAAACCAACTTTTAGGTCCCAAACCTGACTATAAATTAAGAGTGCTGCGAAACGAACTTTAAAATTAACTGAGTACACCATACTACCAAATTATTTATTGAATTACTAATTTACCCTAATATAAAATGACCAAAAAGGATATACTGAATTGTGAAACAAATAAAATTTTAATAAGTAAACCTTACTCACTATATTCAACCCTTATCAGACATAGAAAAGTCTTCATATTGCTTGGTGCTCACGAATAATGCAACAAGTACTAGTTTAGGATTGGTATTACGAAATTAAAGATTTTGATGAAACCCAAAATCTGAAAAGATGGCACATATTCATATAAAAAGAGAAACTTGGTTTAGGATTGGTATTAGAGTGTTGTACTAGGGCTATTTTTGGTAGTTAAATAGGGTGTACTTAGTTAATTTTACATTTTAATTAAAATATTATGGTTAACTTAGATTATAGGGTGTACTCAATTAATTTTAGGGTTCGTTTAGCAGCATTCAAAATTAATTAGTCTATATATATAAATCAAAAGGCAGAGAATGATGAAACATTTAAAATACCATAAAATGCCCTTGGTTAATTCAAACATTAAAAATTGAAATTATTAATTAAATGAGAATAATATGGTAACTTCACATTTTTTTCATATTAAAAAAATTAAAATTAAAAACAAAATCATATAATAGGTTTTACTTTTATGAAACATAACTACCCATGTTATCTTTTCTTAATTATAAAAATAAAATAAAAAATCAAACTAATTGGCATATGCGTGAGCATGTGCCAAGGGGCTAGTAAATAAGAAAAGGTAGACTTTTAGACTTTTAAGGGTCCTCCCCACTTCCAATTTATGGAAAGATATACTTGCCCAAATACTATACAATACGTATACATTTATAGGCGTGTCAGAAATTAAGCAGAAGGCCACCATTGCTCTACTCCTAGTGGCAATGGCCTCCTCCTTTTTAGGGATGGGCGAGACCAGGAAATCGGAACACCGAGACTAGATAGAAAAAATCGGAAAAAAATCGTTTTGACTAAAAAGTCAACAAATTAGCACCGGAACGGTTTAAATTGGTTTTGATGCACGTTTCACACCCTACAAAACTGGACCGAACCAGCTGCGTATTTTGTAATATTTATTTTTTAATTATTTAAGTCCAATGCTTAATTTCTAATTCCATAACTAATATTTTTATAAGCCCAACTTCAAAGCACCTTTTTTTTTTAGGCCAAATCATCTCTCTATTTGCATAGAATTGAATTATTTGTGAATTTTTAAGCCCAAAATTTAAAATTTTAGTTAGAATTTGTAAAAATAAATAAAAAATTTCCGGTTTGAAACCAAAAAAACCAAAAACTGCAGTAGAATCAATTTAAACTGGACCAAGTACCAAAATTGAATCAAACCGCGACGTAAAAACCGAACCGAACCATACTGCACCCAACCCCGCTCTTTTAGTCAAATGAGAAGACTATCCTGAGAAAGATGGATGGTTGATTAGCTGCGCTTCCCAGCACACTTGAGCAGCAAAAGAGCAAACATATCATCTCTCAAACCCATTAATATTTGGTTCTGTGCACAGTTGGCCTTTCGATTCTGCTTGATTTTGCAAATATAATCTTAAGGCTTGATTTTGCAAGTATAATCATATCTGAACAACCCACATCTTTAATCCTAAAAAATGAAACTTTTATTGTCTAATACGGTGATTTCAGCTTCAAAGTAGAGTGTTGTCTAAGAAATTATGAACCTTGGTTATATGTGTAATTGTTTACCTTGAGAAAGGAGACAATGGAGTGGAGATTTTGCTTGTACTCGTTGACAGGCACGTGTTGAAAAGCAGAGCACCTATCGGGGAGGCAAGCGTCATTAGCGCCAAAGAAGACGGTGACAGCTAGTGGGGCATCTTCTCTGTTTTCACTGCTCATCGGAAAGACCCTCTCCAAAACTTGCAGAGCCCACCTCGTGTTGTAGCCACTGTACCCTCTTAGCACCACGTCAACCTGGTCAAGTCCGTTATGCACCAACCCATCAAAAATCAAAACCCAGAATCACAAATCGCACAAAGATGACCAAAGACTCTGACTTTATTTCATACCGTGCGAGAGAAATGATGGGCAAGAGAGGCACCCCAGCCACCATCACCGAAAGACTCCTCGGTGATTGAGTCACCAAAAAGGTAAATCTTTGGCCTCATCTTTTGATTTGATGAGGGAGAGAGAGAGAGAGAGAGAGAGAGAGAGAGAGTCTACGGCTGGCTGTGTGTGTTGTTGGTCTCGTTTCAGGGACTGCGATTTTATTTGAGCGAGTGAGTGGCTGACCAATTCTGAACTTTGTTTGTTTCTCCTTCCAATGGGATCTTATAATATAAATATACAATATAATAGCTATTATTACTTCTCAAGTTTCGTACCAAAAAAATAAAAACTTCTCGTCAAGTTTCACGTGGCATGAGATGCGACACCTCAAGTCAAACCGCGCTATGCTGCCTTTGCTTTCTGGTCTCCTGCCTATATTTAGAGATCTCAAGTAGACTCCTTACTTCGATTAAGAAGAAGGAAAATCTCTTTCTTCTAGCAGACTTTCTACTTGACTCTCTACATCTAGCAAGGAAGAGAGAGAAATAGAGGCTCGCCAAACTAATCAATGTGCCTACACAAAATGACTTCATTTGGACGTAATGTAGAATATTTATGATACATACAACACTTGAGAAAAAATAAACAATAATGCATATATGCATGCCCTCGCAAGCATGGGTTGGGGTTGGGCCCTTGAGGCACTTTGTTAATTATGATGGATGGTGAAAGAAAGAGAAAGCCTAACCATTTGTTGAACGTGTGGAGATCAACAACCCTTTTGCAAAGAGTGTAAAGTCTCCTTTCCTCTTAAGCATTTCTCATCATACCTAACAATAATATATAATTAAGGAATGCCTATTGTCTACTTCAGGATTTACTATTTGCACTCCCTCATAGCCACTTTAATGGGATCGCATCATTCACATCTATCAACCAAGTCAAGTATGATTATAGGTTGTATTCATTTCTTGCCTATAACTCAGTCATTAAAACACACATGAAATGGTTGTGATGCATTACTAAGTAAATGTATAGAATGTATCGCAATCGCCCATATTCAGAGTCCATTTGAGAGTGTGTGAAAATCAAATGAGTTTTATTTTTTCGTGAAGTTCAACTCTCATACGTTGATTAGAAGAAATATTTCTCTATTCACGTTTCATTGAGCAGAGATAGAGACAAAAACGAGACAATGATACAAGAATGGGAAAGTTTCTCTCCCTAAACATGAGAAGTGCTTCACATATGCAGGTCTGTTGAATTCTTTCATAATTAATCACAGCTGGGTTAATGGTTTAATAGCTTTGTGTTTAATATTATATTAAGTCGATCTTGTGGCTTTCGTTTTCATGGTAGGCAACAAAATTTTGTTAGGTTTTGATGAAAGAAAGCCCACCACTAAAGCAATTATTTACTCAAAAAATCATCAGAGAAGCTATAATTATTGATTTGTGCAATCCCAAAAAGTTGGATTTGCAAAGCAAATGCCACCAATTAGTTTGTAATTTACGTAGCTTTGCAATGCAACGTTATTACATTATAATTTTCTAACAAAATGTGGTGACCACTCAATGAAGAGGAAAGCAAGAGGTATTTGAATTCCACCAATCCACTCAATGAGGGGTTGTGTGTGTGTGAAGGCTTTGTAAAATCATTTGGAAGGTGTTTTCCTATCCCCACAATGAAGAAAAGTTCGTCATGCGTACTTTTTTTTTTTTTTTTTTTTTTTTTTTTATTTTTTATAAACGTAGTCACTTTTCTTAAAATAATAACCAAAGCTAAATATTTTTCATAAATGGATATACATATATAAAGGTAGAGGTCTAAGGGTAAAATATTCATAATATCAAAATTGTTATTAATTAATAAAAATATTAAGATATGAAATTATTTTATTTATTTTTGTTAAAGTTAAGAAGGGTGATGGGGGAAAACTCGCACACAGTATCATAGGGGTTTGAACTTAGCAGCTAGCACCAATTGGGAGCACACCAATAAGTAAAGACTTGGGGCAATCCAACCCCATTAATAAGAAATGAAACTATTCATTAAATGAGAATAATACAGTAAATTAACAAAATTCCATATTAAAATTTTTTTAAATAAAAAACAAAACGAGAACACGAGTCCTATGGGATAAATTTTTATCTTTTTAAAATGCACTTATGAAATACTTAATGGGCATCAATCTTGGGCCTAGTGCAAAAATTGAGCTGCGCCTTATTATGACACTGGGTTTTGGCCCAAACAAAACTGGAGGGTCGAATCCTTCCCAATTTTTTTTTGCAGTGCCTTCTATGCTTAATTTAAGACTTGAACAGCTGGTATCAGATCCAAAGGGTGAAAATGAAGAATGGGAAAGTACTCACAATCAGACCGTCCATGTTCTTCTCACCCCAAAACCATACGACGCTTGTCCCACCAAATCCAGTTTTCCCGCTAAGCTATGTCGCTTCCCCAATTGCCACCACTCTAGCCTCTTCTCTACAGCACTACATCAATTCAGAAAACCCTTCCCATGGCCAAAAGATTCATACCCATATTCTCAAAACTGGATTCAGACCTAATATCAATGTTTCCATTAAACTGCTTATATTGCACCTGAAATGCGGTTCAATGAAATATGCGCGCCAAGTGTTTGATGAATCGCCTGCACAAACTCTGTCTGCTTATAATTATTTGATTGGTGGATACCTCAAACGCGGGAAAGTTGAAGAATCGCTTAACTTGGTTCGTAGACTTGTTTTATCTGGTGAAAAGCCTGATGGGTATACGTTTTCTATGGTCTTGAAAGCCTCTACTTGTGCTGGCAATGCAGCATTTCCATGGAGTTTAGGAGTGGTGCATGCCCAGATAATAAAATCAGATGTTGAGCCTGATGATGTTCTTTATACTGTGCTTGTTGACTCTTACATTAAGAATGGGAAGGTCGGCTATGCGAGGACTGTGTATGATACGATGTTGGAAAAGAATGTTGTATGTTCAACATCGATGATTTCCGGGTATATGAATCAAGGCTCTGTGGAAGATGCTGAAGATATATTCAGGAGAACGGTTGAAAAAGATGTTGTGGTATTTAACGCAATGATTGAAGGTTACAGCAAATCAACTGAATATGCTTGGAGATCACTTGAAGTTTACGTTGACATGCAACGGTTGAATTTCCGACCTAATATCTCCACGTTTGCTAGTGTTATTGGAGCTTGCTCGGTGTTGGCAGCATTTGAAGTTGGCCAGCAAGTCCAAAGTCAACTTATGAAGACCGAATTATTTTGGGATATAAAGATGGGAAGTGCTCTTATAGACATGTATTCAAAATGTGGAAGAATTGAGGATGCACGGAGAATTTTTGACCACATGCCTCAAAAAAATGTATTTTCGTGGACTTCAATGATCGATGGCTATGGGAAGAATGGATTTCCTGATGAAGCACTTGAGCTCTTTAGTATAATGCAAAGAGAACACCAAATTGAACCCAATTTTGTCACATTCCTCAGTGCTCTATCAGCTTGTGGACATGCTGGTCTGGTTGACAAAGGCCATGAGATATTTGAAAGCATGAATAGGGACTACTCACTAAAACCAAGAATGGAGCATTATGCTTGCATGGTTGATCTCTTGGGGCGCGCAGGAAGTTTGCATCAAGCATGGGAGCTGGCAATGGGGATGCCTGAGAAGCCCAACTCCGATGTTTGGGCTGCTCTTCTTAGTTCAAGTACTCTACATGGTGACGTTGAGATGGCAAGTATAGCTGCCAAAGAACTTTTTAAGTTGAATCCGGATGGTCGGCCAGGTGCATATGTTGCATTCTCTAATACTTTGGCAGCCGCTGGGAAATGGGACAATGTAAGTGAGCTCAGAGAGAAAATGAAGGTAAGAGGAATATCTAAAGACATCGCCTGCAGTTGGGTTGGTACTGACAGTGGTTGATGATCAGCCCTTTCCCCTGTTTTTGTAGCTCCAAATGCTAAAATTGAATTGGTTCACTGAAAACAAAATAAAAGGTTGACAGTTGAGGACTTTAAAGCCAATATATGCCAACTGGTAGAGCACGAGATGTTGAAGCTACAGGGAGCCTCAAGGAAAGTCTATTAGTGTTTAAACCTAGTGAACAAATAAAGGGAGCTGCTGCATACTGCAAACTCAGCCAGTGGTTAATCCAGTTCAGGCAATCGGACTCACTCAGCTTTTTGGGGAGAACGGAAAGCTGCTTAATTTGGCAAACCGTAACTAAGCTCGGACTCAGAGGTAATTAAAGCTGTTCTAATCTTTGACAAGGAGATATTTGTTCTGGTGCAGCAAGAATCGGATTAAGTGTACTGTTTATTATACCAGTCAATAGTTGAAGCCTTTTCACTGTCAAAGTTAAACCATCAACCACAGTATGATAAGATTTGTTGATCAATAATTAAATATTTATCTGGTACATAAAAAGGCATAGGCATTGTGGCCATCACAGCTACATCTTCAGAATGTCAAATTAAATTACCTACTACTGATCTACTACAACTGAATTCACCAAAAGACATAAAAATAAGAAGAAGAAGAAGTTGAGAAGCTATTGAATTGCATAAAGAAAATTATATTAAATATTAAATTGCATAAAGAAAATTATATTAAATATTAAATTGCAAGTTCGTATTGTAATTGGATTGTAGAAAGGAGGTTTGTTGGTCAAGGAAAGTGGGAGGAAGACGTGGAAATCTATTATTGGTTTGGTTGATCCTCCGGTCTTTTCAATGATTGTTAATTTTGGTTCAATTACGTATCACAAAAAAAAGGAGTTTGGACTTTTGGGTTTGGCCCGTAAAGGCGGCAGCAGAGAACAGATCTCTCTCTGTTTGTCTCTGTCATCAATTAATATTATATACTCCGTCCAGAACGAGGAAACCAAAAACCAAAGAAGCTGCCTATAGTCTTCTACAATCAACTACTACACAGAAGAAGAAACCAAAGAAGAAGACCAAAGCAAGAAGAAGAAGAAGAAGCCATGAGCTGCTGTTGCGGAGATGATTGCGAATGCAGGCCTTTGGGGTTTTTAATTGGCCTGCCCTTTGCCTTCATCTCTCTTCTCCTCTCCGTTGTGGGTGTGTTCATCTGGATTGTTGGGTTAGTTTCACTCTCTCTCTTCCTTTTCATCAGAATTTCAAGGATTTTTCTTTCTTCATGTCAAGATAGTGAAATTCTTTATATGGTAGTGCTACCACTAACTAAATTGATATTTTTTTTTGGGTGTGTGTGATGATTGCAGATTGGCGTTGACTTGCATATGTCCATGCTGCTTGTGCGTGACGATCGTAGTTGAGCTTGCACTGGGGTTGATCAAGGCTCCCTTTTCGGTCATGAAGTGGTTCACATCTAAGATTCCTTGTTAGATTTCACTATTTGATAGTATTTTTTGTTCATTGGTTGTTGACCTTCAAAAGGCATGGGGTCCTTTTGTTCCCCAGCCCATCTTTGTTCATTCATAGTTTCTTTCAATCTTTCCTCTTTCTATTCATTTTTGTTGAATATTTATTCATTGAATTTATGGGGTAATATATCAAAATTTGTGTTCCAGTTAGAAAATATTATTGGTTTACTAGATGCAATTCTGCGCAAGAGTAGAATTTCACTACACTGGATTTTTATTTTTTAATACAAGCGATATTGGGGGGCTTTCTCACACACTATCAAAACGACATGAGAATTCGAACCTGAAATCACTGGTTGGCAAATTAATGCCCTTTATCATTGAGACCCCATTGCCATGAATTTTGAATTTTTGATCGAGGAGCGAGCCCTGCAAAACTAAAAAAAATGGTGCCTAACCTCACATGGAGTTGCTAAACATGCACGATCCTTGATTTAGGGACATAGCCACTCCCTTTTATTAAATATGAGTGTGTAGGGGGATACCTTATGGGAGAGAAATTACTACCCGTTGATGTGGTTTATGCTCTTTTGTGCATGTCTCTCTCCTTCACAAAATCAAAGGAGTGTAACCCTTGTGACATGTTAGTTCCAACGCCTAGTGATGACATGGCATTTTACAGTGAGCGTGACAATGTAATAAGGCAATCAAACGATTAATCTAAAAGAATCAAGCTTGGAATCCAAATATGATAAAACCTCTCGTTTATTGAATTCAGAATGATAACATACTACTTTAGTCATGGGCTAAAGTTGGTTTAAATACTCCTGAAAACCCTAGAAAACAAAAGGGAATTAAAAAGAGAAATTAGCAAAAGTTTCCAAAAGCTTGCAAAATATTAAAATTCCCATTTGGGCTGCTAAATGATCTTGAACGCCCGAAAAAGCCCATACGTCATGGCAAAGCAATGCGTTTTACTCGTGGTGCTGTTCCCTTCAAAACGGTGAGTCATGGGCCCAAATCGGAGTTTGGGGCCAAACTTGCAACTTGTTGGTTTTGCCTTTATGCGTGCGACGTTCCAACTCTTCTTCTATCGCGTCAACCATCTGTTCTATATTGAGATATCTATGCAAAATTTCCATGAAGAGGATTTTAGTTCACACTTCAACATGAGTTACCAAGCAACAAACACATACGAGAAGAATTCAAATTTAGAACTTCTAACAAGATTGCGCACAATATCACGCCCAATAAGTAGTTGGTAACGAATAAACTCTTTGCAGAATCTCTTCCACATTTCAATATGTGAAAAGAGAGAATTCGATTAGTTGTAATTGGTAAGAAAGAAAACACTTTCAGAAAAACGCCTTGGCAAGTCTTTTGGAATTTGGCAAAGGCTAATGGAAAGAGTAAACCCAAAACAAAAACAAACCAAACCATAATAAACAAAGACGTCGGAATTGAAAGTGAAAAAACCAGCAATCAGCTTTGGTTTTGTGGTCTTCCCAAACGATGGTCTGGTCTTTTGCCTTCCTTTTTTCCTATTCAAAATCCAAAAATCCAAGATTCCCATCTCATAGTGATTAGAATAATCAAACCTATGGCCCAAAACCACAGCCACCCCTCGAAACCCAACAAAACCGCCAATGACCAACAAGACCTGCCTTCCAAATTCCACCTTCAAACATATAAAATAAAACCAACCACATTTCTTTGCTTCTTTCTTTAATTAATATTTCAACATTTTTTCCATTTAGAAGTGTTAATATTTTAACATTTTGTCCTTTTAAAAGTGACATTGAAAAAGAGAATCGAACATAAAACCTCAAACTATGAGTCGTTTTACCACTTTAATTACAACTATCATTTTTAATAACTCGCCCATAGATAGTTTACAAAACCAGCACTAACCCGAGTGTATAAAATACTTAACCACCAAAACCTCTCTGAAAATCCACAGGTAATTAATCATCACTCAAACTTCATTATACCCAAAAATATACACATGGAAGGGTTCCGACCCGCCAACTCAACCGGCACCCTGGGCCGCCACCTGGCTCGGCGGCTTGTCGAGATCGGCGTCCACGACGTCTTCTCCGTCCCCGGCGACTTCAACTTAACCCTCCTTGACCACCTACTTGCCGAGCCCGGCCTCAACCTCATCGGCTGCTGCAACGAGCTCAACGCCGGCTACGCCGCCGACGGCTACGCGCGTGCAAGGGGCGTCGGCGCGTGCGTCGTCACCTTTACAGTCGGTGGGCTCAGCGTCTTGAACGCCATCGCTGGTGCGTGCAGTGAGAACTTGCCGGTCATTTGCATAGTCGGTGGGCCGAACTCCAACGACTACGGCACGAATCGGATCCTCCACCACACAATCGGGTTACCCGATTTCTCTCAGGAGCTTCGCTGCTTTCAAACCGTCACCTGCCACCAGGTAAGCTCATATTGTTCTTCCTTTTCTCTTAAAGTTTACATTTTTACTTTTTTTTTGTGTTACCAAATTTGTTGAATTTGGTGTAATTGTAATGGATAGGCCGTGGTGAACAATTTGGAAGATGCACATGAGCTAATTGACACAGCAATCTCAACAGCATTGAAAGAGAGCAAGCCTGTATATATCAGCATAGGCTGTAATTTGTCCGCAATTCCTCACCCCACATTTGCTAGAGACCCAGTCCCCTTCTTCCTTGCTCCAAAAGTAAGCAACCAGCTAGGGTTAGAGGCAGCAGTTGAAGCCACTGCTGCTTTTCTAAACAAGGCTGTGAAGCCTGTGATTATAGGTGGACCCAAATTAAGAGTAAAAAAGGCACAGCAGGCCTTTGTGGAGCTTGCAGATGCTAGTGACTACCCAATTGCTGTTATGCCATCTGGTAAGGGGCTGGTGCCTGAGCACCACCCACATTTCATTGGGACCTATTGGGGTGCTGTGAGCTCTAGCTTCTGTGGTGAGATTGTGGAGTCTGCTGATGCTTATGTTTTTGTGGGTCCTATTTTCAATGATTATAGCTCTGTTGGGTACTCCTTGCTCATCAAGAAGGAGAAAGCGATTATTGTGGAGCCGAACCGTGTGACCATTGGTGATGGTCCATCGTTTGGCTGGGTTTTCATGGCTGACTTTTTAAGTGCATTGGCCAAGAAGCTGAAGAAAAACAGTACTGCTGTTGAAAATTACCATCGGATCTTCGTTCCCCCGGGCATCCCTCTAAGGAGTGAGAGGGATGAACCTCTGAGAGTCAATATTCTCTTTAAGCACATTCAGGTAAAGCAATGTTCTTTCTTGTGTTTTGGTCCATGTTCTGTTTGTGGTTCTTGTATTGAGATTTATAATTTTTATTTGAAAATTGTAACAGGAGATTATCACTGGAGACTCTGCTATAATTGCGGAAACTGGAGACTCATGGTTCAATTGTCAGAAGCTCCGCCTCCCTGAGAATTGTGGGTAAGACACAATTTCCTTACACGACTCATTTATGTAGTTCTTAAGCACAACCATGTGTCACTATGTATATTAAGCAACAGGCTGGCAACCGGTTCTTTCCATTTTATTCAGGTATGAATTCCAGATGCAATATGGATCTATTGGATGGTCAGTGGGCGCCACTCTTGGCTATGCTCAGGGCGCCAAAGATAAACGTGTCATTGCTTTCATTGGTGATGGGAGTTTCCAGGTTAGTTGTTTGATATATCAGATTAATATAACAACACAGAACTGCAATGTAGAAACAAACAATAAATAAGTACAAATAATGCAGGATAAGATTGATAAGCAACAGTTTGTACCAACACTCCACTTTTCTGTGGAGCTTTTTTCTCGAAATAGTTTACGTATGTTCGAGAGATATGTGGCACATGGATAATGGTATTTGTTTTCAGGTAACTGCCCAGGACATTTCAACAATGATCCGATGTGGGCAAAACACCATTATATTTCTTATCAACAATGGAGGCTATACAATCGAAGTAGAGATTCATGACGGTCCATACAATGTGATTAAGAACTGGAACTACACTGGTCTTGTTGATGCCATCCACAATGGCGAAGGCAAATGCTGGACTACCAAGGTTAGCTTAAAAGAATCAACTTTACTTGCTTGAATTACCTTATTTTTGTCGTAAACATTTTCCGCTCTTGAATCGAGAAATGACAGTCGGTGTAAATACAGGTACGCACAGAGGAGGATTTAACTGAAGCAATCGCGAAAGCAACAGGGGAGCACAAGGATAGTTTATGCTTCATTGAAGTTTTTGTGCACAAGGACGACACTAGCAAAGAGCTGCTGGAATGGGGATCCCGAGTTTCAGCCGCCAACAGTCGGCCACCAAATCCTCAGTAGCAGCTTGGGAGTTGAACGAGTCAAAACTCGGAACATCTGAGACTGAAAGAGTTTTAAGGATCCAACAGCCCACCTGAGAGAAGATAAAAAAATGACTGTATTTAGAAATAAGAGAGAGGAACAGGGTAGGTATCTGGGTTGGCCAATGTTGTAACAATGTAATTTTTGCTGGCTTGATTATGTGTATACCTTGTTGAATATGTACGAGTTTGAAATATTCTAAATCCAACCGGAATTTACTCCAGTTTTTTATTTTTTATTTCGTAAAAAAAACCATAAATAAATAAATATGAAAGAAAATTCCATTACATACGGATTCAAATTTCAGTTAGGAAGAGGTTGAAACCGTTAAAAAGTAGAGTGAAAGTATCCGGTGAATCGGAAAAATGAGTGCCACTGTGAGCATGTTGAGGTCTGCTCCCAGAACAGCCGTCCGATCGTACTCGTCATCATCTCAGCCGCAGCGCAAAGTCACCATTTTGGGAGCCGCCGGAGGCATAGGCCAGCCACTGTCGCTCCTCATGAAGCTCAATCCTCTCGTCTCCTCCCTCTCCCTGTACGACATAGCCGGCACTCTCGGCGTCGCTGCCGACGTCAGCCACGTCAACACCCTCGCTCAGGTCTCGGGGTTCGCCGGTGAAGAGCAGCTCGGGAAAGCGCTTGAGGGATCCGACCTCGTCATCATCCCGGCCGGCGTTCCCAGAAAGCCCGGAATGACGCGCGATGATCTATTCAACATCAATGCCGGTATCGTCAAGTCTTTGAGCGCTGCCATTGCCAAGTTCTGTCCCAATGTCAGTCGATGCCCTCATTCTCTTAACCTCTGAAATTCATACATTTTTTTTAAAATTAAGATTTATTTAATCTTTTTTTGTAATTTTGAAATAGGCGTTGGTTAATATGATTAGCAATCCGGTGAATTCAACGGTCCCGATTGCGGCGGAGGTGTTCAAGAAGGCAGGGATGTTCGATGAGAAGAAGCTGTTTGGGGTGACAACGCTTGATGTCGTCAGGGCTAAAACTTTCTATGCGGGCAAAGCTAACGTTGAGGCCTCTGGTAAACTTTTCTTTCTCAGTTTTTCCCATTTTTCTGTATAAAATTTTGAAATGAGTTTATTCTGTTGTGCATTTCAGAAGTTGATGTTCCTGTAGTTGGTGGTCATGCTGGAATAACCATCCTTCCTCTGTTTTCTCAAGTATTCTTTCGTCTTTCTACCTGCTTTCGCTTCGTCCTTTGACCCGGCTGAATATTTTGTTTTCTTTCTAACGAGATTAAAGCTGATTTTTTTATGAATAATGTTCATAGGTGACCCTAAAGTCGAAGACTTGGTCGGATGAAGAGATCAAAGCTCTTACCAAGAGAACACAAGATGGAGGGACAGAGGTTGTTGAAGCAAAGGCTGGAAAAGGATCTGCTACTCTATCAATGGCGTAAGTTTGCGAGGTTCTTCCCTTAGTTTCTTGGGGAAGTTTGAATTTCACTAAGAAGATAGTTTTAGGTGGAAATTGTGGCTTTGATTATTGTTTCCAAATAATTTGATTAGGGTAGTAAGGACATGACATGTTTACTAGAGAATCACCTTTCTCTTTTTTATTCTTCCCATGTTCTTTGTGTTTGCCTTGGTTTTGTCTGTGTGCTTTCGGGAGCTGAGGGTTCAAGTCTTCCGCAGTTATGCCGGGGCAATTTTTGCCGATGCTTGCTTGAAGGGTCTAAACGGGGCTCCAGATGTTGTTGAATGCTCTTTTGTGCAATCAAGTGTTACAGAATTGCCTTTCTTTGCCTCTAAGGTAAGTGAACTAGTGGATTCGGACGCTTCTCTTAAGTTAATGTTTATGTTGTTAGATGGAATGCTTCTCTTAAGTTAAGCTCAATGTAACATGTGGTGCTGGTGCAGGTAAGGCTAGGAAAGAATGGCGTGGAGGAAGTTCTTGGATTGGGACCTTTGTCGGACTACGAGAAGCAAGGCCTACAAAGTCTAATACCTGAGCTTAAAGCCTCTATAGAGAAGGGAATAAAGTTTGCTAAAGAAAGTTAGTTAACCTGAATAACTGTGCAAGGTTTTAGTTCTATTTCTATAACATTTTGTTCCACCAAGCTATTTGGAGCTAAGCTTTGTTGCCTCCAAACATCAATTTAATAAATGTGAGCAGTATTTGTTCCTTTTGCAATCTGCAGTTGGAGGTTTTCATTGGTTTGGAAACTTACTTTTCGACATGGTGATAGATTTTAGACATGTTGGCAATCCCGTCCAGTATGATGCTAAATCATAAACTTCTTAACGATTTCAGTCGAAATCGGAATTTCCCATCCAACTTATGCTTTATACTCATATTATGTAGTATAAAGTCAAGCTAGCTTAAAGAAGCAGTTTTAATATAAAGATAGAGAGAGAGAGAGCTTTAAATATTAATTGCTATTTAGAGATAGAGGTAGACATTAAATTTTTATTTAAACCCAAACTTACATCGTACAATACTCAACTATGATCGAGGGCTCTCATTTTGCAGATCGATCGCTCTATCGAAGCCCAGAGCATCCCGAAGGCCCATACATCACTAAGTTGAGCCCAAAAAGTGTCGAACCACTTTTTCGCATCAACATTCTAAAAAGAAGTAGTTCGACTTTAGTTCAAGTACTAGCAGAAAAGCCCGCGCAATGCTGGGGGTTTTGAAATTACGTAGACAAAGTAAGATTGTTTATATATACAATGAGATTTAACTTGTAGCATTATGTTTAACTAAGGGAGTATAAGTTGCAAAAAAGGAAGTAATAACATATTTTACAGGCTACTTGTTATGTTAAAATAGTAGACTTGTTTGTATATACATTGAGATGTTAATAGTGGGAAGTAGCCATCAAAATAGCAAAATTTGGATTGTTTTGAGCAGCATCCTGTTTAATTGGGCGGGTTTCGTTTTGCAATTTCTTCATGATTTTTCTTCTCTTTGATGGAGGTCTTGACCCTGTTATAAAAAAGTGGGACAATAGTAAATGTTAATGTTGATGAATGGGGAAAATTGAGTTAGGACAATAATCATAAACATCTAATTATGTATAAACAGGAATAATATAATTTAACAATTTAATAAGAAAGTTATAAATGGTTTTCCAATCTAAGAAACACAAAGTAAAAAATTAAGAGAACTAATGAGCAAGCTGTAGATGGTTTTCTAATTGAAGTAACACAAATTAAACATATTTTAAATTCTGTGTTTATCTAAAGGAAAAGTTGAAGAGAGGTAAAATAATCATGGTTGGATATATTGAAGAAAAATTGAAAAAAAGGATGTAAATATAATGTTTAGGCTTTTAATTCTCTTATGTATTAGGAACATATGACTAAAATGTCTTTGCCCTTATTTGGAGTTAAAATTACTTAAGGGCTTGACATTTCTGTTGAAAAACGGGCAGAGCCTCTCTTGAAAAACGGGCAGAGCCTTCCCTGAAAAACGGACATTTCCAAAAAAAATTCACCTGTAAATATGACAATTTAATAGTATTTCCAAACATTTAGCACGCAAAATTTCATTTATACTTAATTCAATAGTGGTTAAATGGTTTTTAGACCTATATAATAAGTAGAGATAATCTTATAATATATTAAAACAAAGCATCAATCAGAATATGACAGAAGGTATGAATATTTGAATATTATGCATGTAGAAGAACAATTTTTGTTAATAGGTTCGAATCCAAATAATTAAATTGATAAAGCAAAAGTATTTAATTTTATACATCAATTAAAATCTCTGTTATTTTATCAAACAACCAACTTCGTTTAATAATGATTAAACAATATATATGTATTAATATAAAGCCTGTTAAACCGATATGTATAGCATCAAAACATATTCAGCTTATATCAATCAATAAAATAAAGATTACTTCTAAATAACTTGTATGCAAGCCCATCGACAAAAATAAAATATAAAATCTTATAAAATGATTAAAATCAATTGACTAACATGACTAATAATGCTCAATTTAAAAAAATAATGAATTAGAGGAGTTTTTATACCTCGAAAATGACAACAGAATGCAAATGTCTAGTCCCTTGCTTTTTAGTGTATCCAAGCTGTGAAATAAAAAAATGATTTTTAGAGAAATATATGTTATCACAGGATGAGAAAACTAAAGAGATAACAAAATTTTCATCACTTTCCGAAATCCTGCTCATATTTTTAACACAAACATAAATTTAGTTTTGTATAAACAACTTCACAATTACAAATATTTATTATCATATCAAGGAATTAACGGAATTCTATAACGATCAAACAATATGCATATATTAATGTCAAGCAAATCAATCAAGCCCACCAAGTCAAGAAATCAAGTGAAATGTTTTCCGAGAACCCCTGAGAAAACCAATAGAGGTTAAAATAAAATCATTCTCAATTTCTATTTTGTTGAAACCTGATTGGTTTTATTCAAGCATTTTATGGAATTTTAATGAGAGGAGGAAAAGGTGATTTTTGGCCACGACACAACACAACTAAAAAATAATGGTACAATGATTTAGACCCAAAAAAAAGTAAAAATCCCATGCTTTTCTTGGTTAACCGCCAAGCTACCCTCATTAGATTGTTGGTTTTGCTGAAGAGAAGCGTCTTAAAGCTGCCTAAACAAACAAATAGCCTAAAACTACCTAAACAAACAAACAAATAGTCTAAAGGAGAGCACAAAAGAAAAAAAAAGAAGAAGAATCTTTTCTACTTATCACCTCTTAACACGCCTCTCTCTCTCTCTCTCTCTCCTCTCTCTCTCTCTCTCTTTCTTTCTCGTGATGTCAGATCCAAAAGACAAATGCTTTCTCATGAAGATAATGATGTTTATCTTTTCAATCTCACCGAAACTGAACTGAAAATAGTTATAGCCCCCAATAGAGAGCCACCAGCTATACCAGTCTCTAGCTCAACACACGGTGCTTTGTTTAAGGATGTTAGTCGGTGAAACCCATTTGATCAGTGACGGTGGAAGAGGCTTCAAATTAGAGGTGTGTGCTTGATGGATTTCGTTTTCAGAAATAAATTCTCTGCTCTTGTTTTTGTGAAAAAACTTGGTTTTATGCTTTGACTGATCTGTTTGTGTCACCAATGTTAGCTGTAAGTTTGGTTTGTGTCACCAATTTAATGGGCTTTGCATCATCTCTCACAAACTACACTCTGTTCTTCTCAGACCAGTGGTGATATATTGCTTTGGTGGGAGAACAGAGAAGTCAGAAAAATTAATTGACAATTGAGTAAAAAAATTAAGAACAACAACGCTGGAAATACCTCAGCGAATCTGTAAGATTTAATCCCCTTCCTGATAAAACCCAAGGGAGCTGGAAAGTGAGCACTTTGGAAGAGCAGAGGAAGATGAGAGGAATGGAAACGAAGAAGGCAAGCAATTCGGTGGGAAAAAAGGTAGTTCTGTAAAACAGTGGAAGCCTCCAGATTTAAACAGTGAAGAACCAACAGCTCTCCCATTTTACCCCTGTAGCTCTCCAACCAGCTAGTTGAAATCCAACCAGACACCTCTCAGCCCTAAACAACAGCTAGTTACATCCCAAGGAAAGAGAGGGTAAAACGGGAAAAACACAGAACAATCAATCAAGCGCAAAATGGCAATTTAACTGTTCAAAAGGAGAGGAAAAGCTAGCTGTACGGTTTTAAATAGAGGCAGTTTCGTACTTTTACTGTGCTTAGCTACAGTGTTTAGTTGCATTGGGTTTTAGTATATATAGAATTTTGGATGTGTATATAATTTAACACACACACATACACACCATATCACAGAGAGAGAGAGAGAGAGAGAGAGGAGAGAGAGAGAGAGAGAGATGAGTTCAATGGGGTGGTCTTTTCAGGCATATTTGATGAACCTCATCCTCATCCTCATACCAGTTATCATCATCCCTCTTGTGCTTGGTTGCTACAATTCAATCATCAGCTTTGGAGATTCACTTACTGATACAGGCAACTTATACAACAGCTACCCTAACAAATCTCTCAACTTCTTCCACCCGCCATATGGAGAGACCTACTTTCATCATCCCACGGGACGATGCTCGGATGGTCGTTTAGTCATAGACTTCATTGGTACTCATTCACTTATATGTATATATCTGACTTTTTTCATCAGCTTTTCATGTTACTTTCACTTCATTTTTTGCAGCTGAGTTTCTGGGACTTCCACTAGTACCACCTTATCTTGAAAGCCAGAACAGTAATCAAAGTGTCCAGAACTTTGAAGCGGGTGTGAATTTTGCAGTAGCAGGAGCCACGGCGTTAGATGCTGCCTTTCTTGAAGAAATGGGGGATTCTACTCCATATACCAACTCTCTAAGCATTCAACTGGAGTGGTTCAAACAAATGCTGCCATCTCTATGCAACACATCTTCAGGTAATTAGTTCCCAATTTTGTTTTCTCATTATATTTTTGTGTTTCCTTTACTTGAAATTATTTCCTGTCCACCTGCTTATGTGGTTGGCTACAATTTCAATGCCTCCACCAAACCTAGATGATAACTTTAATAATGGACTTGGTGGACCTGAATTGACTTGGTTGATTGATCTGTTATTTGATTCTTATTTGGGAGATTCACTATTATACCCAATATGGGAGCCAAATTATGAAAAAACCATATACGAAATGGACTTTAGAAACACACTCAAAACTCATTTACAACATAACAACAAAGCTTTTAAATTCTTTTAAATTACAAAACTGCCATTGATTTCATAAAACAAACTCAAACCCAAAATCTCATAAAAAGACCCAAAACACTCAATATCAAAGTAATTTAATAATCAAAATTAAATTCAATAGGGCCAACTATCATTATTTGGGTTTTTTTTGGCTTTGCTTATAGAAATTAAATGGTATAGGGTTTATCTATATTATTAATGCTAAGAATTGGTATATTACTAAATATATCTTTTTATTTCTGATTAATTACAGACTGCAACAAACTCCTTTCAACTTCTCTAATTCTAATGGGAGAGATTGGAGGCAATGATTACAACAATCCATTGCTTGCAGGAAAAAGTATAGAAAAGGTTCAAGCGTATGTACCATTAGTGATAGAAACAATTGCTTCAACCATCAATGTAAGAGTTGGAACCATAGTTGCTACTAGGATAGTCTGCTTTCTTCAATGTTGGCTATGAATTACAGGCTTGCCTAATTTCCTATGGCCGCGTGGTCAGCAGGAGTTAATCGAGCTCGGGGCGGCAACACTTTTGGTACCAGGCAACTTTCCAATTGGTTGCCTTCCTGCTTATCTAACAAAATATGAGAGTTCAGATAAGAACCAATATGACCCTTCAACTGGCTGTCTAAACTGGTTAAACAAGTTTTCTGGGTATCACAATGATCAGCTTCAGATAGAACTAAGTCGGATTCGAAGGCTTCATCCTCAGGTCACTATCATTTATGCAGATTATTACAATGCCATGCTGCAATTATATCAGTCTCCAGACCAATTTGGTACGTGTCTATCTACCTATTTCACAATTTATGATAAATAAATAAAAAAGAGTAATACTAATAATAATGAAGATTAATGTGATTGCAGGATTTATTCGGGAGACTAGCAAAGCATGCTGTGGAGGAGGAGGGCCATACAACTACAACTCATCCGCACTATGCGGAGATGCAGGGGCAAGTGTTTGTGAGAACCCTGCACAGTTTATCAGCTGGGATGGCCTGCACTCCACTGAAGCAGCATACAGGTGGATAACCAAGGCTATATTACAAGGAAATTACACCGTTCCACGCGTTTCCACTTTATATGATTCACTAGTGTGACTGAGACAGACCAATAGCTAACTACTCAAAAAAGTTCTATTTAGAGTATCCACAATCATGTTCCTTATTTTCTTAGTTGACATATAGTTAAAAACACTAAAAAGCTATTCTAGGAGCTCCTTATAAAATTTCAACTCCAACAATCCTCTCAAATTTAGGGAATCATAAATGATTTATTTCTTTTTTTTTTTTAGTCTAGCATAAATGCTCATTCATCATATAAAATAATAATAATAAATAGTTAACATTAAATAAATACTTAAAATAGCATTAAAGTAAAGCAGTATTTAATTATAGGGAGCCATTAGGAGTTATTTCTCTCTCCTCGTATTTAGAGAACCTCCAGCACAAGCCCAAACCTGGGCAAATGGCAGCCCCATGCCCCAAACCCTCCCTCCAGGGCGCAAGGTCCAGCCCACGAGCAAGAATTGTATAGACTGTTGCTCGAAGGCTGCTGACGTCAACTGTTGATTTTCAATTTTTTTTTAATTGTTGGAGCATGGATTACACACGCAAACAGTAAAAAAAATTTGAAAATTAGCCACTGACCCACAGTTGCTAGAAACCAACGGCTACAAGCCACGTGGCTTCCCATGTAGCCTCCGATCCAAAAATCTTATCCAATCCAACGGCTCTCCAATTTTTGGCTTAAAAAAAATTGAAAAAAAATAGTAAAAAATATCAAAAAATTCTTGAAATTTTTTTTTTTATAAATACCTACAAATATTATTCACTTTCCACACCAAATCTTTATACAAATTCATCTCATTCCAATATTTTTCACTAGAGTAAGTTTGCGAGGTTCTTCCCTTAGTTTCTTGGGGAAGTTTGAATTTCACTAAGAAGATACTTTTAGGTGGAAATTGTGGCTTTGATTATTGTTTCCAAATAATTTGATTAGGGTAGAAAGGACATGACATGTTTACTAGAGAATCACCTTTCTCTTTTTTATTCTTCCCATGTTCTTTGTGTTTGCCATGGTTTTGTCTGTGTGCTTTCGGGAGCTGAGGGTTCAAGTCTTCTTCTGCAGCTATGCCCGGGCAATTTTCGCCGATGCTTGCTTGAAGGGTCTAAACGGGGCTCCAGATGTTGTTGAATGCTCTTTTGTGCAATCAAGTGTTACAGAATTGCCTTTCTTTGCCTCTAAGGTAAGTGAACTAGTTGATTCGGACGCTTCTCTTAAGTTAATGTTTATGTTGTTAGATGGAATGCTTCTCTTAAGTTAAGCTCAATGTAACATGTGGTGCTGGTGCAGGTAAGGCTAGGAAAGAATGGCGTGGAGGAAGTTCTTGGATTGGGACCTTTGTCGGACTACGAGAAGCAAGGCCTACAAAGTCTAATACCTGAGCTTAAAGCCTCCATAGAGAAGGGAATAAAGTTTGCTAAAGAAAGTTAGTTAACCTGAATAACTGCACAAGGTTTTAGTTCTATTTCTATAACATTTTTGTTCCACCAAGCTATTTGGAGCTAAGCTTTGTTGCCTCCAAACATCAATTTAATAAATGTGAGCAGTACTTGTTCCTTTTGCAATCTGCAGTTGGAGGTTCTCATTGGTTTGGAAATTTACTTTTTGACAGGGTGATAGATCCGTCCGGTATGATGTTAAATCATAAACTTTGAACGGTTTCGGTCGAAATCGGAATTTCCCATCCAACTTACGCTTTATACTCATATTATGTAGCATAAAGTCAGGCTAGCTTAAAGAAGCAGTTTTAATATAAGAGAGAGAGAGAGAGAGAGAGAGAGAGAGAGAGAGAGAGAGAGAGAGAGAGAGAGCTTTAAATATAAATTGCTCTTTAGAGATAGAGGTAGGCATTAAATTTTTATTTAAACCCAAACTTACATCGTACAATACTCAACTATGATCTGTTTCTTTCGTAGACTGTTAGGTTTTCTCGTGGGGGAGGTAGGCATGAAGGATGGTTTGATTGGTGGGTATAGAGCATTAAACAGCTGAAAGATTTTCCACCCCTTATTGTTGAAGGAATTACTACTGCCACCAATATATGCCAATCATATATCAAGCATACATATTCACAAGTCAATTTTACACTAGAGATCCTATATTCGAATTCCCCTCCCTCAATATCATTTGTATTACATAAAAACTTTGATGGCGTCACATTTGTTATTGCATGAGGTCAATTTTTATTTTCAAAAAAAAAAAAAAAAAAAAAAAAAAAAAAAAAATTAAGATTTTGCTGGGGTCAACTTTGATGGAAATACTGTAATTAAAAAGGACGGAACACAATTATTGCCATTGCTTGGTTTCACGAACGACAGGATTTTTGGCATCAGCTTCTGCTTCTCTCATATAACTTTCAGTCTTTGAGTTTATCTTTTGCAGCTGAGTTTTTGGAACCAATTGTTACAACTCTACAAAGTCGATCTGTTTTACTGTGGGACAAACACTAGATTAGGCATACTTGAAGTGCTAAAGATGCAGAGTTTCCAAATGCTGAAGCGGAACACACGATAAAACTTTTCGATTCATGTCATTGCAGGATTATCGGGGGAACTCCAAAAACATGCTGTGGAGGAGGAGGGCCATACAATTACAACTTATCGGCACAAAGTGGTTCTGCACAGGCAAGTGCCTGTGACGGCCCTTCACTATTTATAAATTGGGATGGTATACACTTCACTGAGGCAGCATATAGGTGGATAACCAATGCTTTGTTAAAAGGAAAATACACCATTCCCCCAATAGGCACCTTGTGTGTTTCAGAAGTGTGACCTCTGTTATTCCAACAACTACCAACCGGTCTACACAAATGGCAAAGATTTCCAGTGAACTTATTCATATCCTGTGTAGGTAGATTCTGTTTATGGCGCACATTTAATGGTGTCCACCGTACCTAACATTCTAAAAAGAAGTAGTTCGACTTTAGTTCAAGTATTTTGGATGTGTATAATTTAACACGCACTCACACACACCATATCAGAGAGAGAGAGAGAGAAAGAGAGAGATGAGTTCAATGGGGTGGTCTTTTCAGGCATATTTGATGAACCTCATCCTCATCCTCATCCTCATACCAGTTATCATCATCCCTCTTGTGCTTGGTTGCTACAATTCAATCATCGCCTTTGGAGATTCACTTACTGATACAGGCAACTTATACAACAGCTACCCTAACAAATCTCTCAACTTCTTCCACCCGCCATATGGAGAGACCTACTTTCATCATCCCACAGGACGATGCTCGGATGGTCGTCTAGTCATAGACTTCATTGGTACTCATTCACTTGTATGTATATATCTGAATTTTTTCATCAGCTTCTCATGTAACTTTCACTTCATTTTTTGCAGCTGAGTTTCTGGGACTTCCACTGGTACCACCTTATCTTGAAAGCCAGGACAGTAATCAAAGTGTCCAGAACTTTGAAGCGGGTGTGAATTTTGCAGTAGTAGGAGCCACGGCGTTAGATGCTGCCTTTCTTGCAGAAATGGGGGATTCTACTTCATTTACCAACAACTCTCTAAGCATTCAACTGGAGTGGTTCAAACAAATGCTGCCATCTCTATGCAACACATCTTCAGGTAATTAGTTCCCAATTTTGTTTTCTCATTATATTTTTGTGTTTCCTTACTTGAAATTATTTCCTGTCCACTTGCTTATGTGGTTGGCTACACTTTCAATGCCCCCACCAAATCTAGATGATAACTTTAATAATTGGACTTGGTGGACCTAAATTGACTTGGTTGATTGATCTGTTATTTGATTTTTATTTCTGATTAATTACAGACTGCAACAAACTCCTTTCAACTTCTCTAATTCTAATGGGAGAGATTGGAGGCAACGATTACAACAATGCATTGCTTGCAGGAAAAAGTATAGAAATGGTTCAAGCGTATGTACCATTAGTGATAGAAACAATTGCTTCAACCATCAATGTAAGAGTTGGAACCATAGTCGCTACTAGGGGTAGTCTGCTTTCTTCAATGTTGGCTATGAATTACAGGCTTGCCTAATTTCCTATGGCTGCATGGTCTGCAGGAGTTAATCGAGCTCGGGGTGGCAACACTTTTGGTACCAGGCAACCTTCCAATTGGTTGCGTTCCTGCTTATCTAACAGAATATGAGAGTTCAGATAAGGACCAATATGACCCTTCAACTGGTTGTCTAAACTGGTTAAACAAGTTTTCTGGGTATCACAATGATCAGCTTCAGATAGCACTAAGTCGGATTCGAAGGCTTCATCCTCAGGTCACTATCATTTATGCAGATTATTACAATGCCATGCTGCAATTATATCAGTCTCCGGACCAATTTGGTACTTGTCTATCTACCTATTTCACAATTTATGATAAATAAAAAAAAAAGAGTAATACTAATTATTATGAAGATTAATGTGATGATTGCAGGATTTACTGGGGAGACTAGCAAAGCATGCTGTGGAGGAGGAGGGCCATACAACTACAACTCATCCGCACTATGCGGAGATGCAGGGGCAAGTGTTTGTGAGAACCCTGCGCAGTTTATCAGCTGGGATGGCCTGCACTCCACTGAAGCAGCATACAGGTGGATAACCAAGGCTATATTACAAGGAAATTACACCGTTCCACGCGTTTCCACTTTGTGTGATTCACCAGTGTGATTGGGACAGACACCAATAGCTAACTACTCAAAAAATTCTATTTAGAGCATCCACAATCATGCTCCTTATTTTCTTAGTTAAAATTTAGTTAAAAACAATTTATGGAATCATAAATGATTTATTTAATTTTGTTATTTCTTAACAAAAAAAAAAAAAAAAAGAGCTTTAATTTACGGATTTAGGGCGTGGATGCTTCAAATTAGAGCGTGGAAGCTGCAATTTTTATATTGAAGGCTTTAACTTTCGACACTGAGGCTTGTGGTGTAGTAAGCAAATAGAGGGGTGTGCAAAGAATTCCAAGTTTAGTGGGAAGGTAGTTGTCTGGTGTGCAATGGGGTTAGACCTGTAAACGAGTCATATTCAGATCAGATATATCTCAATTTAAATTTGAATTCATTTATAGTCATATTATCGGATTCGAACTTTTGGATTTCTTATGAAGAGTTGTATCTCTTGACTATATGAGAAGTATCTTTTAGATATCAAAAGTTATATCTAAAAGATACAACTTCTCATATAGTCTCAGAAAATTAATAAATTCAGTTTATCTAAATGTAATTATGTAAAGGTGTAAATTTAATTATAAATAGCGAATGTTATAGGCTGATGTTGTATTGCAGAAAGTTAATAAAAATCAGTTTATTTTGGATGGGAGAGGGAGAGGGGGAGCGATAGAGAAAGAGGGAGAGGGAGAGGGAGAGGTAGATGTAGAAGAAGAGGTAGCTCAGGTGCGCAAAAATAAAAATTAGGTGGGAAGAACAGAAAAAAGAAGAAGATGCTTTTGATATTTTATTTATGGGGCAGTGCATTCCAAGTTACATCACACGCCAGCCAGACGATTTTTCATATATCTCACTCATATCTGTTTATGAATCTTCTTGGTTGGTATGAAATTGTTTCCTTATTTTTATAAGCTCCTCACATCACCACAATCCCAATATATTCACAATAGCATATGTAGATTTCTGAACCCACGTTTACCTAGTGGTGCTTATAAAATGGAGAATTACAAAAATAGATGCACGGAGGTGAGAGGACTGAGACAGGCTGTGAGATCTCCATATGCATGGGCTTTATTTAACAAGCTTTAATATTTTATTCGTACTTTTGTGTACCACCCACAGGTTTGGTTTGGTTTAACCGATGGTTCTCAATATCAAGCACCTAACACCGAATCATAGATATCGGTTTGGTTTGATTTCAAATCGATAACCAATGAAAAAAATATATGCTAGGCTGTTTGACCAGGTGCTCGGTGTGTATGCCCAGCCCTATAGTTGGTGTAATGAATCCTGTTTTTGCACACTAGATTAGGCATATTTGAAGTGTTAAAGATGCAGAGTTTAGAAATGCTGAAAATACGATAAAACCTTTTGATTCATGTGTCATTGCAGGATTTATCAGGTGAACTCCAAAAGCATGATGTGGAGGAGGAAGGCCATACAATTACAACTCATCAGCACAATGTGGTTCTGCACAGGCAAGTGCCTGTGACAACCCTTGGCAGTTTTTCAACTGGGATAACCAGTGATTTGTTAAAAGGAAATTACACCATTCCCCCAATTAGTACCTAGTCTGTGACCTCTGTTATTCCAACAACTACCAACCGGTCTACACAAATGGGAAAGATTTCCAGTGGATTTAGTTTCCCCATATTATCTACACATATCCTGTGTAGATTCTGCTTATGGCACACATTTAATGGTGTCCACTGTACCTAACGTTCTTAAAAGTAGTTCGACTTTAGTTCAGATGTGTATAAAATTTAACACACACACATACACATCATATCACACAGAGAGAGAGAGAGAGAGATGAGTTCAATGGGGTGGTCTTTTCAGGCATATTTGATGAACCTCATCCTCGTATCAGTTTTCATCATCCCGCATGTACTTGGTTGCTTCAATTCGGTCATCAGCTTTGGAGATTCACTTACTGATACAGGCAACTTATACAACAGCTCCCCTAACAGATCTCTCCACTACTTCCAACCGCCATATGGGGAGACCTACTTTCATCATCCCACGGGACGATGCTCGGATGGTCGTTTAATCATAGACTTCATTGGTACGTACGCATATATCAACTTATATGTATATCTATATATCGGACTTTTTTCATCTTCTCATTTAACTTTCAATTCATTTTTGCAGCTCAGTTTCTAGGGCTTCCTCTAGTACCACCTTTTCTTCAAAGCCTGAACAGTACTCAACCTGTCCAAAACTTTGAAGCGGGTGTGAATTTTGCAGTAATAGGAGCCACGGGGCTCGATGCATCCTTTCTTGCAACAATGGAAATTCATAGTCCAAGTACCAACAACTCTCTAAGAATTCAACTGGAGTGGTTCAAACAAATGCTGCCATCTTTATGCAACACATCTTTTGGTAATTATATCACTACGGAAAAAAGTAGTCATTTGCGGTAAATTTTTTCCAAGGGACCCCAAATGCCCTCGGAAAAAATACCATTTCCAAGAGCAAAACACCCTCCATCATCAATAATGCAACAATATGCTTACTATTTTCAACACCCAAAATGCCCTTGGATAAGCTCGCCATCGGAAATAGCTAATTTCTGACGGGAAATATTTGTGCCACATTTGTTTGCAATGAAACTTGCGCGCGTCGGTAATTGTTGTGTTTGCGAGGGCATCTTCACATTTTCAGAAATTATAGCCTATTTTCGAGGGCAAAAAATGACCGTTGGTAGTAAATTCTCTATTTTTTAGGGTAATTAGTTGTTAAAAGTGATTATGTACTTCTGTGAGCAATCATTAGTTTACACAAAAGGATGTTTATTTGTGAGAGCGTATAATTGCCGTCCGAAATAGATATCTATTACTGATGGCATATATTTGCTCTCAGAAAAAAAGTTTAGTGCTACATTTTTTCACCATAGAATTTTTTATTATTTTTTAATTTACAAAAGTCCAATATTGTTGTTGTTAATAGTGTTCCTTTGCATTACATTTGTGAATATAGGCATTCCTAAACTAAAGTAATATGTGGGCACACTTCACAATATGGAAAGAGAACATTACTTTATATATAGAAATCAACTTTACACATTATTTCCTTGGAATTGTTTCCTGTCCACTTGTATATATGTGGTTGGCTAGTACACTTTGGATCCACCACCAAAACTATATATGACAAATTGAACAGTTGGACTTGGTAATGTAAAGCTTTTTAATTAATTTCTATACATATCAACTTTACTAATTTTCATCTTGGTCGATCGATCAGTTGTTTAATTTTTATTTCTGATTAATTACAGACTGCAAGAAATTCCTTTCAACTTCTCTAATTCTAATGGGATCGATTGGATGCAACGATTACAACGATGGATTGCTTGGAGGAAAAAGTATAGAACTGGTTCGATCATATTTACCATTAGTGATAGAAGCAATTGCTTCAACCATCAATGTAAGACTTGGGGAATCTCTTTTTGTGTTTGCAATATTGGCTATGAACTTAATTTTCTACGGCTGCATGGTTTGCAGGAGTTAATCGAGCTCGGGGCAGCAACAATTTTGGTACCAGGCAACAATCCAATTGGTTGCCTTCCTACTTATCTATCAAAATTTGAGAGTTCAGATAAGAGCCAATATGACCCTTCGACTGGCTGCCTAAAATGGTTGAACGAGTTTGCTCAGTACCACAATGAGCAGCTTCAGATAGAACTAAGTCGGATTCGAAGGCTTCATCCTCAGGTCACTATCGTTTATGCAGATTATTACAATGCCCTGCTGCAATTATATCAATCTCCACGCCAGTTTGGTACTTCTTCTTCAACCCCTTTAATATTTCTATATCCACCTATTTCACAATTTATGATAAATAAAAAATGTGTAATAATAATTCCAGGATTTACTGGGGAGACTAGCAAAGCATGCTGTGGAGGAGGAGGGCCATACAACTTCAACTCATCCGTACAATGTGGGAATGCAGGGGCAACTGTTTGTGAGAACCCTTCACAGTTTATCAACTGGGATGGCATGCACTCTACTGAAGCAGCATACAGGTTGATGACCAAGGCTTTACTACAAGGAAATTACACCTTTCCACGCCTTGCCTCCTTGTGTGTTTCACAAATGTGACTGAGAGACAGGAGAAATACTTGTGTGCAACGGAGTCGAGAGACAGTTACCAATAATAGCTAGCTACTGAAAAAGTCTTGTCTATTTTTGGTTTTATCATTTAATATTTTAAATAATAAGCTCTGACTAGTAGACTAGTGTTCTTAAGTTCGAATCTTCTTGGTACATTGACAGTGTGTGTGATAGAATAAAACTCATCTCCTTCAATATTGCTTGTATCAAAAAATATATTACAAAAAATATTATCTAATTCTGTTTCTTTCGGAAACGAATCCTAAGGGGCCCAAACTTCAGCTTCCAAAATCTGACCTCTCCCCAGATTCGCAACAAACCCATTCACCCAATCCCCATTAGAAGCTCGAATAGCCCCCACCAGCTCCAATACAGCCAGAGAGACCCCTTCTAGAGCCATCTTTGTTTATCACCAATCGTGACAAATTTGGTTGACTCCAATTGCTACAAAAGCACGGTGGGGCCCTTAGCATATCTAATAAACATTTTTGTTTTTGCCATGATATCCAATCAACTTTAGTCAATTACTTACATTTTATTACTTTTATTTGTTGGAATATTTTATTACTTTTTCATAGGGACCGGTCAAACTCGATCGATTCTGAGGATTTGGTTTAGTTTTTTAATTAAAAAAACAAAAAATGGGAAAAATAACTGGCTGAACCGGCATTGAACTGGTTTCAAGCCAGTTTAATTTATCAGTTCTCTAGCTCGCTCTCTCTCTCTCTCTCTCTCTCTCGTGCCAAAACTGCACCGCACCGGATTGAAACTCCAAGATTTTCTTTGCTCCCAATGTAACCAAAAAAACAAAAGCGGTGCCCCTTTAAGTTTAGTTGAAATGTAGCTGTCCTTGATTGTGGAAACTTGTGGTCTTGCTCACTAGGACCACCATCACTAGTATTTAGTTCAATCAGTTTATTGGGTAAAGACCAATATCTAGTTGAAACGTGCCCAAAATATTTAAAGCTCAACTAAACTGCTAAACCACGACATAAAATTACAAATAAGTACACAGCCTATGCTAAAAGTTATTTAACCAATAATATGTAACGAGACACAAACAAAAGCCATATTGCCAAACATTATTTGTATTTTGTACCACCCATATCCCTCTTGCATTACTTTACAAAATGAAGCTGTTTATTCTTGTAGCCTCTCTATGCCTGACTTTGAGCACAGTCTCCTCAAGTCTTCAACCATACGAGGCAATTTTCAACTTCGGCGACTCCCTTAGTGACACCGGAAATTTCCTCCTCTCTGGTGCCCTTGCATTCCCAGTCATCGGAAAGCTCCCTTATGGAGAGACCTTTTTTCGACATGCAACCGGCCGGTGTTCCGATGGACGACTTGTCGTTGATTTCATTGGTAAGCCCCTCCTCCTCCCCTCCTTCTCTTTTTTTATTTTATATAATATTTGGATAATCTAAACCATTCTAAATTAATCTAATTTACGAGGAGAGAATTCAAACTTAATTGTAAGAGGGCGAGCTCACTGTCCTAACTCACATCTGTAATATAATGTGAATTGAATGAACTTTGATAATGTTGTAGCTGAGGCACTTGGGTTGCCACATTTGCCACCCTACCTGGCACTAAGCAAAGGCCAAGATGTGAAGCATGGAGTGAACTTTGCTGTTGCTGGAGCCACTGCGCTTGACCCACAATTCTTCTACCAAAGAAAAATCGGATCCGTTCTGTGGACAAACGATTCCTTGAGCACTCAGCTTGGTTGGTTCAAGAAGCTTAAGCCCTCACTTTGCACCACCAAACAAGGTGATCACAAAGTCCAGAGATCAAACTAACCCACAAACCTAGTTTCTTAACTTAATTCACATTTTTAATTTGATTTTTCCACAGAGTGTGACAACTACTTCAAAAAGGCTCTGTTTCTGGTGGGGGAGATAGGTGGAAACGATTACAACTATGCCTTCTTTGTTGGTGGAAACATTAAACAGCTCAAAGCCTCTGTCCCATTTGTTGTTGAAGCAATTACTCAAGCCACCAGTGTATGTAATATACACAAATATTTATATTACTTAAATAATAAGGTTTTTTTTTATATACAAGCGATAGTCTAAATTAATCTAATTTAGAGAAAGGAGACTCGAACTTGATAAGGAGGCGGGTCCAACTCGCCTAAACCGTGTCTGCAGTTAAATAATAGTAATTTTACACAAAAATGGTCGCATAATAAATGAGTGTGGCAGGCATTGATAGAGGAAGGAGCAGTGGAGTTGGTGGTGCCCGGAAACTTGCCGATTGGGTGCTCAGCTGTGTATCTGACTCTGTTTCGAAGCCCCAACGAAGCTGTTTATGATAAACGAAATGGGTGTTTGAAGGCGTTCAATGGTTTCTCCAAGTACCATAACAGTGAGCTCAAGCGTGCCCTGGGGGCACTTAGACTAAAATACCCTCATGCAAGGATTATATATGCTGACTACTATGGTGCAGCCATGCCTTTTTACCATGCCCCTCAGCATTATGGTAAGTTTTATAAATTGGAACTTCCGTTCCTTCTGTATTTCATTTATAAATTATGGTCAATTGGACTAACCCACACGTCTATTAAAATCATGATATTATTTGTTTTTTAAGGGTTTAAAAGTGGGACATTAAGGGCTTGTTGTGGAGGGGGAGGGCCATACAACTTCAATAATTCAGCAAGGTGTGGGCACATTGGATCAACAGCCTGTAAAGATCCATCTTCCTTTGCAAACTGGGATGGAATTCACTTAACAGAAGCAGCTTATGGGCACATTGCCAAGGGCTTGATCCATGGCCGTTTTGCCACACCCCTCTAGACTCTAGCTTTATAATACATTAGCTACTTTGCCTTTGTCTTACAATTGGTTCCTTCTATAGATTGCCATTGTTGGTGTGTGTGCTCGCGCGTGTAATATATTACCGTGAAGAAATAAGTTTACCATTTTGTTCAAAATATATGCTTAAGATCTTACTTGTGAAGCAAACAAGGTGACAATGGCCATCCGTACAATTCAATCCACACTGGCAACTATTACTTGAGAAAGGCAAGGGTTTCTCGTGGGGGAGGCAGGCATGGAAGACAAGATGATTTGATTACGCCTTCTTTGCTGGTGGGTAGATCATTAAATAGCTAAGAGATTTCGCACCCCCCTAGTTGTTGAAGCAATTACTAAGACCACCAATGTATGCTAACATCAATCATATTCATGACATGAGGCGGTTAATACTACCTAACCCCTACATAAAAATTTGATGACATCATATTTGTTATTTATTGCATGGGGTCTAGTGGCCAGAAACATTTATAATAATAATAATAATAATAATAATAATAATAATAATAATAATAATAATATGCTTAAGAAAGGAGGTTAGGCTTCCGGCAGTCAACTGGTGAGAGACCAATGCAATGGCCATTGCTTGGTTCCGCGAACGAGAGGATTTTAGATGTCGTTCAGTCTAGCTCAAGGAAGAAAAAATAAAAAAGATAAAGGTGGAGATGCGGGGTATCGATCCCCGTACCTCTCGCATGCTAAGCGAGCGCTCTACCATCTGAGCTACATCCCCTTTGTTGTTCAAAGCTTCGGATATGTCATATATAACTACTACTAAATTGAGTGTTTCAAAGAAGTAGTGTCTGTGACCTCTATATATTATTATATTCCAACAACTACACAAACCAACCGCGTCTGCTAGCTTTTGTTTCAACCTTACTGTTTGTGTAATTTATCATTTAATATATATCACAGTAAAAAAATTAGGTTTAGTTGGAATGCAGTTGTCCCCGAATCCAGTTCAAGAAACTTATGGTATTGGTTCATCAAGTCTCCATTTCATATACATACCGTATCCTCTTCTACTTTTCATATACATATAAATAGCATGACATTACTATACTAAGAGCACTTCCATCAGTTTGCCTTTACCATGGTAGGGGGGCTAGGAGCAGCTACTATTCACGTGAATAGTGGCTGCCCTTGCAAAAGGTTGTGGTGTTTCCATCCATTGCCATAGCAACAACTATTCACATGAGATATGATGAGAGAAATTTGTATAGAGTTTGGTGTGGGAAGTGAAAACTATGACTAAGTATTTATTTATTTTTTTAAAAATCTGAAATTTTTTTAGATTTTTTATAAAAAAATTTTGTTGTTGCTGACATCAGCAAACCCGGGCTTGAACTCGGGCTCATTTTGCCTGAGGGCTGCCCTGGTTTCGTGGGCCCCAGCAGTTGCCCTGGCCAGCTCTTGTTGCTAGAAACGGTTTTTGGGCCTAAACCTCTCCCCTCCCCCAAGCCCTTGTTGCTGGAAGTGCTCTAATAAGATGAGAGATTCTTCAATAAGTATTTTATGTTAAGTATTAATTGGTTACATATTTCTAATTTTGACTGTTGGATTGCATATATGTTGTATATTAAATTTACTAACATATCTAATGAATGCAATCCAATGACCAAAATTAAAAATGTACAACAAATTCTTAACTTAAATACTCATTGGAGAACCTCCCCTAATAAGATTATAGAAACAATATGGCACCTCAAAATTAGATATGATTGTAGCTGAGGTATTTGGGCTAGCACTATGAGGTTGTAAATTGAGCTTTGTGTTGATATATGGGCAGAACCACAAAAACCTAAAACCCATATATATCATGGTATTTGGGTTTCATACAACACAACCCAAATTTCAACGTACGGAATTTTCACTTTTCTTTTCTTATAATGTCGCACAACTGAAACACAGACTGATGCATAATCAACCTAAAACCTATGGACAGAACCACAAAAACAGAAATCATCTTCTAAATACATGATCAAACGTAACCCAACAAAAGAAGAAAAACAATCAAGATTAAAAATCAGCATCATCATCATCCTCATGGTCTCTCAGCACCCAAGAACCGTCGTCCAGCTGAGTCATGCACTTGTTCTTCTCACACCGCCAAGACGCCGGTATAAGATACTCCTCCTTCAAATCATCAGCACTCTTATTTACCAGGGCTATGTCACGCTTAACTTCCAACTTGAACCCTCCTTTGCTCCCTTGTGTTCCTGCAACTCCATGCAAGTACCCTTCCAAGTTATGCCAACTTGCCAGCCCTCCAGGGCTCTTCAGGTACTTGGATTTTCGAGTGTCGATGGCCAGCTCTTCTCCCACGTTCGAGTAACCCAATGGAATTGGGTAGTTGGGGACAACATCCAAAGCATTACGAACGCGTAAGGCTCGAACATCTTTGTGCCCGGAGAAGACCTTCTCAAAGTTTGAGTCTCCAACTCGAGGGCTGGCAAAGACAATGGCTGTTACTGGACAGGCTTTGTTTGGCTGCTCCTTTGGCCTGTTTACGCCATTGGCAACAATGTCAACTGCGTTCAGTGTGGCAATTGCTGCACCCAAACTATGCCCTGTTATTGTGATGCTAATTTCCTCATCCTTGAATTGCTCTACTAGTCTCCTAACTTCTTCAATAACCTGGATATATATAAATGCAAAAAGTCAGAAAACATTACATTTGCATGTAGCGTTCTTTCGTCAAGTCTTGCATGTTAAGTTAACAGACTGTCAATATGATTATACCTGATATCTGGCACTGGTTTTGTTGAAAGGCGAACGCGAATCATCTGAAGTATAGATAGAGTACCAACCTTCGTGCACCTTAGGATCACCGTCCTCACCAAGTAATTTTGAGGCAGAAACCAAATTAAATTGCAAGTCATTAACCCACTCCAATGATTGCACAGTGCCTCTCCAAGCAATCACAATGTCCCTCCTGCCTAACGCAGCCTTCCCTTCATCTGTAGCCACAGCAACGTACCCCATCCAATTGGATTCCTTGCACCAAGACTCCCTTGATAGAGACTTAATGAGAAAGGCCTCAGGGACTTGAATTTGTGAGGTTGCATACACAAATTTGGTCACTTTGTACTTAAAAGCATTGCCTTTCTCTAAACAAACTCTAGAGAAAAAATTCTTTCTGGCATATCTGCTGCTTCCAGCATACTTTGATGCCTTCTCTGTGTTGAAGGCATCATAAGTAGCTTGAGCCATTTCTCCGTAGTGAATTATGTAGCGACGGAGATCAATGTCAAGAGGATCCAACAGGCCCTGCCAGTTGTTCTGGCCACTTAGATGCCTCCATTTTTTGGCTATGCTATGACTGCTATCCATTTTTTTCTTCAAACCAAACATCCTCGTGAGGAGGACGAGTCTTATTGCCTTCTTTATATAGACTCCAAGAAAAATTCTAGAATGCATTTAGAAACAAAAGATATTCAATGCATCACCTTGACTTTCGTAGCTTTCTTCCTCCCTGTGAAATCATGGCTGGAAGAAAACATTGTGATTGGTGACAGCAATTTAGAAGTTTTGAAATCTTAGACAAATTGAGATGCTAATGTTTGATCCGTGTGGCCAGAGATTGGTCTCGTAGTCTCATAGTATAAAAGGAATGAGGAAAACAAGTTCAACCCAAGAATAGGAAACTTTGAAGTAAATTCTGTTAATTTTGTTGCTGCAAGCAATGTGATTGCATATCTTGGACATTAGGCATATGCCAAATCCGATGAAATCCCATTTCTCTAAGGCAGGTTAGATTCCCCTATTCTTGGCTTGGAAAGTACAAGCAATGAAGCAAAATCAGCTTACTCCTCGACAGAGAATTTGGTGGTTGGCAACTTTATTATGTTCAAAACTTTGTCTTCATCTAGTTCTAAAATTGAAGCATATCTTTTGCCAATGTACATGCTGCATGGGATGGGCTAAAACTCCTTCAAGATGGTTTTCTACTTTCTTAACGATTGGTCCACTTAACAATTGACAATAAGAAGGAGATGGATGGAGATGGATGGAGATGGATCATCTTTTTTGGTTACAGAAAGAGAGATGATGGTGATGGCCTTTGCGTTTGCTTTTGCTACAAGGGAAAACATACATCTTTGGTAAAAGTATGATGTTGGCAAGTTAAACAAGGCAAGCCTTGTACATTTTGGTTATATATATATATAGTCATATTGGATTATATATAAGAAGAAGAATAAGCATGATGTAACCAATGGCGTACGTCTCCTAGGAATAGATAATTTAGTTGGCAGCTTTCTACTAAAAAGCCTTAGCTTTTGACTCTTCACTTTGCAATGTCCCCATACCTAGATTTGGACAAGCTTATGGTACGTAATGTACTCACTCACATCTCGATGATATGGCCCCCGAAGGTATACATTGTTGAAGGTATACATTGTTGAAGCCCATTGGGTTGAATCGCAGTTTTAGACACACTGTGTTTTCTTTTACTTTCTTCAATAAAGTAAAAACTAAGTGTCATTAGACTAAATCATCGATTCATTGCGTTTTGTGGTTTTTTTTTCTCTTCGATCATGGTGTTTAACATGATACATGGACTGAATTATCATGGGTTTTCAATTTTATGTAAGGCTAAGGAGATCAAGATAAGATTGAAGGATGAAAGTTTGGGCCTGGAGAAGCACGGGTCTATTAATTCAAACAGTGACCCAACTCATCCCAAACCATCCACCAAGTTGGTAATTTCAAAATTCGACATTTAAAAATAATAATGGTGGTGACTAGTGGTGATGCTCTCTGTCAGCTCTCACTTAGTTTGTTTTTTTTGTTTGGCAGTAGTTTAAAAGGAGGGAGTATTCTCACGTGTACATATCATGGAAGATCGAACCGGAGACTACCTATCACTCAGATAAGACCCCATTGGCCGGTTCTCACTAGTTTTACTTGGACCGGTCAGAGAACAGAGTCCTTTTAACTTTTTTCTCTTTTCTTTTGGAAGAGGGGGTGACCTTTTCGAACTCAAATCTTATTATGGGGATATTATTCTCCTGCACATAATACAGTTACATGAGAAAGAAATGGTCAAGTCCCACCACCAACGTCCTATCCCATCACACCCCGTGACCAGCTTCCATCTTCACGAGACTTGTTCCCTTTGCGACAAATTGTCTATCATCTCTATGCATATTTGCCGTGCCCATTATGTTTCAAGCTCTCTCTTCTTTTTAATTTATAATTTATAATTTATATTTATGAATTTTTTTTTTTTTTTTTTTTTTTTTTTTTTTTTGTCTTTTTTTTTTTTTTTTTTTTTTTTTTTTTAACTGGTAGTGTGAAAGTTTTGTTTTTAATTTATAATATATAATCTCACATCGAAAAATTAACCATATAAATTACGACATTTAATGAGTAGTGTATGAGCGATTTTTGTCCCACAAGAATATTCATCTAAGATCCCTCTTTTCTCTTCGTCATCTCTTTCTCCTTGTAAAATAAATTGGAATAAGAGGACCATACCCAGAGGGTGTTGGCCAAAAATCTTTCAATGCCTAAGTTAGTTCAATTGATTCGTAGAGAAACAATAACTAAAAATAGTACAGAGATGTATGTATGGTATAAACCGAGTGGACGGAGCCGTGTATGAGAGAGGGGGAATTATGGCGGCTAGGGTTTGTGAGAGGAATTTCTACAGAGTTTCAAATAGGATTTTAGACGTACCTCAACCATTGTGCGTAGCCATCTATTTATAGGATTCCATATAGGAATTATTATTCCCTGATTTGGCGAGATTTGTGTACTTAGGAATTTGATTTAAATCAAATCCCTACTTAAGGTAAGAATCAAAGAAATTTCAATTAAATCAGGTAACTCTCAATTAAATTGAGTAACTTCCAATTAAGTGAAATAATTCATAAATTAATTGGCTTAATTATTTGACCTATGATCTAAGATATTTTGCTTCCACAAGTAGTGTTGAGATCTTTTGTGATAAAACTTATCACTTACTAAATTTTATAAATAATTAAATTAGAGAAAATACTGATGTTACTAGTAGACCACAGTTTCGTCTCTTTGAAATCACTTACAATCAGATAATTGTATTTGGATTTACGAATTTCCTAACATAATATCAGACTGCAGCACCGCTTCAACTTAACTGGCTTTAACAATTTGGACCCAAAATTGATGGTGGTCATTGCTATATGCGCCTATGACTTCATTTGACGCTGGTCGTTGACCAACTCTTTCCTTGATGCATTCAATTGAATCTGGAGATCCCAACTCCCAAGCAACTATATCCCGCCTTTTCTAATCACTCCCAAACTAACCAATTAATTGGTCACTAACTAAGTAGTCTGTTTAATTGTGAAATTACTTTTTAGTTGCCGTAGTCCTTAAACTTAGATCCAATTTACATTTTGATCTTCGAATTCACAAAATGTATTTCCTTCAACTTCGCTTTCATTAAGATGATTAAATTTAGATGAGTTCGAGGAGATGCAAATGCATTATTAATTCGTGCTTCGTTGGCTTTTGCAACGTCTTCCTTATGTTGATGGGAAACTGTTAAGATGATTAAATTTGAAGCATATGCTCGTGGTTGGAGGACCACTTTGGATCACGTTACATTTACTCCCGGGGCATGTTACATTACTTTCACATATGGTTTCTTACACAACCCGTTCCTCACATTTATTTGTCTCATTCACAATACAAGATAGATTTGCAATTCTTCTGTTCTTCAAACAAACTAGCGGTGCCACCCCAGAATTCATGTGAGATAATATCCAAATTCAAGTTTCGGATAATTATTTTTTCTTTTACAAATTTGACGCTCTTAGAAATTATTATGAATATTTTTTTCATTTTAAATTGTATCTATTTATAATTTTGGCCCAAATATTTGTACTTTAAGCTGAAGTATAATTAGTCACACGCACACTCATACGCAAATTGAACAAAAATGGGAAAGCAAGGCATGGATATTGACAAGCTACAAATCTCTTTATTGGTTGGGATAGCAAAATAGTGTTATTCTTCCGTTTCATAAAAGTCTTTCTTCTTTATAAGGGAAAAACTTAGTTGCAACGGGAATACCACTATTTTGCTATCCTCAACCAATAATTCTATGTCATGTGGAAGTGTTATCATGCATGTCATGGCTCCATCTCCATATTTCATGGAAATCTTTCTCCATTTTCTTTTTTGGGAGATTCACTATTATACCCAATATATGGGTCCGAATTATAAAAATACCCTATATGAAATGGACTTTAGAAACAAACCAAAAACTCATTTACAACATAACAAAGAGGCTTTTAAACAAAACTGTCATCAATTTCTTAAAACAAGCCAAACTCCAAAATCTCATAAAAATACCCAAAACACTAAATAAGGCATCAAAGTAATTTAATAATAAATATTAAATTCAATAATGCCAGTTGTCATTTTTTGGGTTTTTATTTATAGAAATTCAATGGTATAGAGTTTATTTATAATATTAGTTCTAAGAATAGATATATCACTAAATATCTCTTTTTGTTGGTAAAGTCTTTCTCCCTTGATTCACATTCTCATGTCATCCTCAAAGCAGCTGTACAGCTACCAACAAAATCCCACAGCTACCAATTCAAATGAACATGAACATCCATGCTCTCTCTCTCTCTCTCTCTCTCTCTAATAATGTAGCAAAAACATGGTGCGGAAATTACCAAAAGAAGGGGGATGAATTTCCCAATTCAACACTCAGCACAAAAATAAAGGAGTCTCAAGATTGCAGAGATTCTTACATACAACCGGGAATGTTATTCCTGTATCTGAGTGCTCGTGATGAGAGATGTAAATATACAACCGGGAATGTTATTCCTTAAAAAAAAATAAAAAAATACAATGATATATAAATAGGATTACACAACATAATCTTTCCTCAAATTATGATTTATATGTTCCAACACTTGAGCCTTTGAAGTTAAGACAAGTGGTCGGTTTAGAGAGCAATGCTCCAGGGGAGATTAATAATGATGTAGGGTTTACTATGATTAACAACAATCTGATACATTAATTAATACTAATTATAATTCAACACTTGCCAAAGACCCACATTGACTTCTCATGGCAAACAAACCAGTCAAAGCACAGATTCAAGCGAGATCTCGCGATATTATCGCGACAAATAGTGTACCAAGCCGACCGTTAGAATGACCTTTCTAGCTTCCAAAACTTCCCACTCTTTCTAAATCAATTTCATTGCACTCTCATCATCCTTCAACTACAGCCCCAAAGCCATATCACCCACCGCCCTAATCCCACGCGCCCCAATAACTCATCAGATTTTTCAAAATCTTACCCACCAAATCCCTCTTCGCGCGTGGACTACTGCTTCGTCAATTTTTTTTTCTAAAAAAATTGGATCCGAGAAAAGAAGACCGTTCCTCGGTAACGGCGCCTTCTGCTTTTTTTCCCTCTATCTTTAATTAATTTATCTATAAATTGAACTACTTATTTGTTTTATTTTTTTCAATTATTATTTAATTTCAGTCGCAAACTTCAAGCTCGACAGAGAGAGCTTCACTCACTTTCTCCAACACAGAGACAGACGCACACAGACAGGGACGTCTTTGTAAGCCTTCGCTCTATAGAGGATTGCAAACAAGAGGACTTGAGAATCACAGACCCCAATCCCAGAGGAGAGAGAGACCCGAGGTTAGTGAGAGAGAGAGAGAGAGAATTTTGCAATGGTAGCTGGGAAGGTGAGGGCGGCAATGGGGCTGCAAAAATCGCCATCAAATGCGAAACCGGAGACACCTTCGAAGTCGCCGTCGCCGTCGCCGTCGGTAAGCTCCGGTAAGGTCTCGCAGAAGGCGGTGTTCTCGCGCTCATTTGGCGTGTACTTCCCACGCTCCTCCGCACAGGTCCAGCCTAAGCCGCCGGACGTGACGGAGCTTCTCCGCCTGGTCGAAGAGCTCCGGGAGCGAGAGTCGAGGTTGAAGACGGAGCTTCTCGAGAACAAGCTCTTGAGAGAGTCCGTCGCCATTGTCCCTGTTTTGGAAAACGAGATCCTCAACAAGAGCGAAGACATTGAGCGAGCTTCGAAGCAAATGGAGGCCTTGGAGGCCGAGAACGAGAGGTTGAGAAATCAAATGGAGGAAGTGAAGTTGATGTTAGAGGAAGAGAGGAGGGAGAGCGAGAAAAAAGTGAAGGCAATGGAGGCTGAGATTTCGGAGTTGAAGAAAACGGTGTCGGATCGTAGCAAAGCGGAGATAAACTTGGAGAGCGACGAGCTTTCGTCGTCGCAGAGATTCCAGGGGCTCATGGAGGTCACCGGAAGGTCCAATCTCATAAAAAACTTAAAGAAGGGAGCCAAATGCGCGGACATTCATGCAAATCAGGAGAGTCAGAAGCTCGAGCGCTCAGATTCGAAGAGGGAGGAAGCAGAAACGGAGAGACCGAGACACTCGAGGTGTAACTCGGAGGAACTTGCCGAGTCGACCCTGTCTACTATCAGATCTCGCATTCCTAGGGTTCCTAAACCGCCTCCAAGACCATCCACATCCAACGGCGAAAACAAGGCCTCAACAGAACAAGCGGTTACATTTCCACCACCTCCGCCACCGCCAACGAGCCAGGCGAAGTCGGTACCTCCACCGCCACCTCCGCCTTCAAGAGCGGCGCCTCCTCCGCCTCCCCCGCCTCCTAAAGGGAGAAGGCCGGCCCCTGCGAAGGTGAGGCGAGTGCCGGAGGTTGTGGAGTTTTACCACTCTCTGATGAGAAGAGACTCTCGCAGAGACTCCGGCAGTGGAGGCTCCGACGTGCTGGCAACCGCAAATGCCCGTGATATGATCGGCGAGATCGAGAACCGTTCGGCTTACTTGCTCGCGGTAAGTTCCGGCATCGTGTTTGCTTATTAAAATTACGACTTTGCCACTGGCTTTTTCGTAGTGTCAGTTGTCAGTGACAAGTGGCCGTCTTATTTGTCTTTATTGTTTAGGTCTAAGCTTTTTATTTGCTTGTTAGATACGACAGTGCGTAGATTCGAATGGAATTGCTTTTGTTTAAATAGAAAAGGTGTAATTCTGGTGAAAGTAGAGTGGCAATTTTGTATTTGACTTTAGTCGATGAAATGATGTGTTTCTGTATCTACAGATAAAAACGGATGTAGAAACGCAAGGAGATTTCATAAGGTTTTTAATAAAGGAAGTTGAGAACGCAGCGTTTACAGACATCAAGGATGTGGTGCCTTTTGTCAAATGGCTGGACGATGAGCTCTCATATTTGGTACCATTCTATTTTCCAAATCAACAAATTATTACATGATTTATGTTGACTTTCACAAAATCTCTAATTGAGGATTGACTTTGATTTTCTTTTTGTTTAGGTGGATGAAAGAGCTGTGCTGAAGCACTTCGACTGGCCAGAGCAGAAAGCCGATGCTCTGCGCGAGGCTGCATTTGGGTACTGTGATCTCAAGAAGCTTGAAACCGAGGCCTCGTCGTTTCCCGACGATTCTCGCCAGCCCTGTGGTCCAACCCTCAAGAAGATGCAGGCTTTGCTGGAAAAGTAAGCGACTTTTTGGTCGTCTCTTTGCAAACTAATGCCATAATTTATTCTAGTGTTATAATGTTTTCGGTAAATTTGGAACAGATTGGAGCATGGTGTTTACAATCTTTCACGGATCAGAGAATCCGCCACTCAAAGATACAAGGTTTTCCAAATCCCTACCAATTGGATGCTCGATACTGAATTTGTAAGCCAGGTAATTCATTCCACAAATCCATCTTCTTCTTCTTTTTTTTTATCGGTTATGGATTTTAGGTATAAAGTGTAAGATAATTGAGAAATCTTTTTGACACGGTCTACCATGTAATCTAGCGTAGTAGGGGTCACAAGATGAAGAAAGTATAGCTAAGATTTCCATTCATTTTCTATTCCCACGCCTGCATGCGCACATGTGAATTCCCAGATTTCTGATATACAATATGTTTTGTCTTCTTCACTTTTTCATTTCGGAGTTTATAGAAGTAGGGAAGCAAGTAAGATTCTATGTTGACTTTATGTTTATAGGTGTAAAGAAGCAAATAAGACTCTCTCTCTCTCTCACCCATTTTCTACATATAATATGTTTTGTCTGGAGACTGTCCCCTGACCATTGAATTGAATTGGATTATATTGGATTGAATTAGTAGAATAATTGAACTGCAGCCAACTTCAGTACAATTAATTAATAAAATTATTACATTATATTGCTAGTGGTAGTAGTATCCTAAGTTCATGATATCTGAATTACAACTTTTTCTTTTCGGGTTGTTCTAGCTTATGCAGCATAAATGTTGTGTTAGGTAGTATAATGGACATAGTAAGTGGGGATGCAAAATTGTTTAAGGCTCTTAAATCCAGAAGGGTGTAATTTATAGCACCAACAATGCTAGTTAGTTAGCTTGTTATTGTACTGACAATAGTGTATGGACGTGAAAAATTCATAGATCAAGCTGGCATCCGTGAAATTGGCAATGAAGTACATGAAAAGAGTCTCTGCTGAGCTTGAAATAGTAGGAGGTGGCCCCGAAGAAGAAGAGCTGATAGTTCAAGGTGTTCGATTTGCCTTCCGCGTACATCAGGTAAAAATACTCATTACTTCAACAGCATCCTTTTACCATGTCCAGACATTTCACATTTTTTCGAGTAGTGACGTGATTATTCGCTGCAGTTTGCCGGGGGTTTCGATGCAGAAACAATGAGAGCATTCCAGGTGTTGAGAGATAAAGTCAGGTCATGCCATGTACAATGCCAAAACCAGCAACAGCAAAAAATTGTATGCAGGTCTACACCATGCTAACAATCATCCATCTGTAGCAAGCTCAGCTTCAGAAAATTTCTCTGAGGGTTTTTGTTGTAAAGGAAGGACAGAAACATTGTATTTGTGAATACAATGGCGGTAGCGCCCGCACGCACATTCATAATTTTATTCATATTATTGTTACTCTTCTTCTACGCCTGCTCGGATAGATTTTGGGTATCGATTTTAATGTTCCTACCCAGAACTAACATGTATAATATAGCTTATAAAAGAATGTAGTATGTATGCTGTATGCTACAACTTCGTGACTCTCTCCTTCAATCACCAATAAGATCAACCTTACTTTTCTTATCACGTTATCAATCTTTGTCATGTTGGTTGAAAGGTTTGGCATCATATCATCTAGTAACAGTAAGCTTAAGGTTATAAGTTTGCGTTCCAAAATGCCCCCTAAAGACCGATTAGTCTTTCTCGGTTTCAAATTTCAAGCTCATTCACTTGTCAAGATTAGTATCATTTAGGTCTAGCATCTTTGATACTTTCTTACTAAAAATATGTAGGGATATTCACATATTTGATGCAACCAATTCAATAATTTCTTTTCAAAGTTCGTTCATGCCAGTAGTGTAATGTACTTATCAATTAATCTTTGGTCAAGTGGTAGTTGTCCTTATTAGATTGAATGAGGTCTCAAATTGCAACAACAATATAATTTATGATGATGTAGATACCTAATTGTTACTAGCCTATTATAGTTTCGAACACTATACATCGTGGGCACTAAAAATTACTTTTATTGCCTGTTTGGGAGTGCTTTTGGAAGAGCCAAAAGCGCTTTCTGATAACTAAAAGTGCTTTTGATAGCGTTTGGCAGAAAAGTTTAGAAGCGCTTTTGGGTCATAAAAGCGCTTGCTATGTGCTTCTTCAGGAAGCACTCTCAAGTGCTTTTCCACGAAGTACTTTAATTTTTTATGAAAATTCTAAATTTTTATAATAAAAACGCTTTTGTTAGAAGCGCTTATGAGTAGAAGTACTTCCTAGAGAAGCAGTCCCAAACGAATCAGTTGAGCTACAAGCCCATTGCATAAAAAAGAGAAAATGCTATTATTTTATTTTATTTTTAATTTTTAATTTATTATTATTATTATTATTATTATTATTTACATTTGGTAAAACGTTCACCATCTTATTATCGGATAATCTGTCCTGCTTGAAAAAGAAAAAAAGAAAAAGAAAAAAAAGAAAGGGCCGGCTTTGTCCGTTGAGAGAGGCGGTGCTAATCATGTCGGGGCGACGAAAATTAGTTTGCTCTGGGCAAAGAAGATGACGGCCTGCTTGTTTCTAAATCTGCCACTTTCTTCTTCATCTGCCGCGTTTACTTATCATACTAATAAGAATTACCCATCACTAGCTTCACACCTACTTCTCACTCTAACCCCAAACCAGTCCTCTCTTCGAGCCTCTCGGTTCTTACGCCAAATCAAAGCCTCATCAGCTTCCATGGAAGCCCAGCAAAGTGAGACCGGCGTCTCAACCCCACCTATGAAGCTCTTGTTCGTGGAGATGGGCGTGGGCTACGACCAACATGGGTCAGCTTCCTTTGCCCCTTTGACTCTCTTCTCGCTCTTTTTGCCCCTTTGACTCTCTTCTCGCTCTTTTTGCCACATTTGATGATTTGCCCATTTGAGAATTTCATGCGTTGAAGTATCAAAATTTTGAGCTTTTAATTAAAGGAAGTAGCTTGGTTAATATGAAGTTTGATGAAATTTTGTGTTACAGCCAAGACGTTACCGCTGCAGCAATGCGGGCTTGCAGAGATGCCATCACCTCTAATTCAATCCCTGCGTTTCGAAGAGGTAATATGATCATATGCCTTTTAAAATTTTAGTGGCAAGACAAATAAATTATTAGCATACTGGCTGTTTCTTTTATGCTGTATTTGCTAGCCTAAATACTGTTGAATTTTGTTTTGTGAATACATGTTATGTGTTGGTAAATGAGCACTGCGGTTTTGACAAATTTGAGTTGATGCTATAGGAACCCTTATGTGATGATTTATTTTATTACATTATCTTGTGTTGGATTTAGTGGCATTAATAGGATTCTTATGGAGTTTGTTTCATTAGTAGTCATAAAGTTAAATTGCTGCAGGATCAATACCTGGTGTTACGTTTGAGGAGATGAAACTAGAGATCAAGCTGGGTGTGCCTCATTTACTCCAACCATTACTGGATGTCGAGAGGGTCAAATCAGTCTTTCCTTAGTGAGTATTTGCACTTTTTGAATCTGGATGCGTGAACTTTCATTCGCTGAAACTTTGCCAAATCTCTTATACTAAGCTGTTCACTGCCAAATTCATTGACAATGTGGCAGCATTCATAGGTAACCATATCTTTAGCTTATATGGAATCAATCAATCTTACCGGTGTTTACCATTGTGCCTGTTAGTGAAATCTAATGTTCGAATTTTTAAGTGGCTATAATCATATTGCATTAAGACCTTTGCTGGTGCTAATCCTTGTTCAACAGGAATTATATCAAGGAGCTTTGAAATGGCTCCATTAGTTTAGTATGATGTTGAATTAGTATGGTGAACTTTCTTCCTTGGAAGAAGCTATCAAATCTATTTCAATACTGTCCAGTAGGATTATTCCCCCCGAAATGTGGGAAACTTCTCTTTACTGTACAGCTTCTACTCCAATTTGCATTGAGCATAGCTTACAGACTATAGATTAAGGGATGAGCCCAAGTGCTTGTTGGTTGTGAAATTTGACTTGGTCTAATCACGGCATGTACATTTCTGCTTGCAAAAACTTTAATTGTTAGTAACTTGTGAGTGCTTCTTGACAACATCCTAGGGATGCACTGAGCTAGCAAACCAGTTTCTTCGGGTTTATCCACTGCGTAGATATGCAAATGCTCTCTTTTACAATGCAGTGCTATGATGTTGAAACCACAGTCCACACATTATTTTTTGACATTGTTTTTGCCTTATCTTCCCCCTAAAACTTAATCGCAGTGGAAAAATTGTGAAAGTTGAAGTTGTGGATGGCGGACTGATATGCTCAAGTGGTGTGTGCGTGGAAGAAATGGGAGATAAGAATGACGACTGTTATATAGTGAATGCAGCAGTCTACATTGGTTACTAGCTTCTTCTTTCCTCCAATCCCCCACCAGAGTGTTTTTAAGGTTTGTTTTCACTTTTCTTTTCCACATAAGATGCGGATAGTTTATTTTTGTTTTTTCCCAACCTGCACCGGGATTTTGTTTATTCTATGGTGAATTGCCATTCAACTGAGAGCCGAAGTTCAATATCTCTTATTGTTGCAGAACCCTCTTAGGAGGACCATGGCTGGTGCTTCACAGTCTTCAACAGTGAGAGGAATGCCTGCGTCCATCAACGTATCTTTGATTTTTTTGTTTGTACCAAGAGCTGTCTTCCTAACATCTTTTGTGGCTGATGATTATTTTGACAATCATGGTGTCTCTATATGCTAGGTCTTCTATGCTTATTGAATAATTGGAATTCAAGGTAATGCTATAGACAATTGCTTCCAGCATAAATTTCTAATGATATGAACCATCATAATTTGCTTGTCATCTCGTTTCATTCTGTTTTCTATTCTCCATTTGAAACATAGTTACCTATCTTCTTATCCAAAAGGAAAAATAGTGAACTTTCTTGAAATCCTTTGACTGAAATTGCGGACCAATAATATAATGCTCTTATATCATTATTGGAAGCATCTTCACACATTCAAGAGCTTAAAAGAAAAGACCAATGTTGACCACAACGCTGGAAATCTCCACATGTACATTTCTTTAATTAGATCACAGAGCAAATTAACAGGAAAGTTCAAACTAGCCAATGACTTTAAGTTACTCTAGACGAGTGTTTTTGCTTTTTGTAATCGCACGTACACTCTCACTTCTCCATCTCTTCTGTCTATCTACGAATCCAAACCATTTTTCTGGTCAATTAAACCAATCAATTTACAACTGATTTTGGCACCTTATTGTCGTTTACTAATCGAAGTGAATCTGAAATTCTAAACCCCTGACTATGCAAGCAATGTATAGAAAGAAAGGAAACTAAAATGGTTGCTACTGTTGCTCAGTATGGTTGACCTTCACATGATGAGAGCTGCATATAGGAGTTGGTTCCAAGTATCCGGCAACCCAGGTAGGCACCAGTGGCTGCAGTCGTTGCCGGAGTGGTCGCCGCTATAAGTTGAGGGATGAGCATCTTTTCTTAATTGTGAGAGTGTCGTAATGTCGAGCAAGTAAACCGGATTCTTAATCGTGCTTAACACCTTATTTACAACAGCATAAGCTGGAGGTGGCCCTGCTGGGTATGTTGCTCCAGATAGAGGTCCAAGTTCTCCATAGCAATTCTTCTTCGGAGAATTCCATTCCTGCCCCCTGGTTCAATGCAACAACGAGGTTGTTAATTATAAGTCTCACAAAGTAGTGTGATCAAATCTACCACTTTGATTTACACTTACTGATAATGGGTTGGAGAAATCCCTTGGAAGAAGACTCTGGTCTTTGAAGGATCAACATTTGAGTCAACCCATTTAGCCCATGTGGAGAGCCCCTTATAAAATGCTGTCAAACGATCCATATCTTTGTACAAGTTTGTCCCATCCCGAACATAGTCCCATCTGCACAACACAGCCATCCAAAAAATGAAACTCATAATGCATCAACGGTAGTTTATGATCATGCACACTAGAGAAGACAGCCTAGCATTCCTCAATTGAAAAATTGAAAAGAAAAGATCAAGGGTTAGAATCGTACGGCTGAGATTTGCCTGTATGGGTCCACCAATGCCAGGAATTGAAGATCAACACGTCCATGTCTTTCCATGAATTTCCAGCGTTGATGGAGCCCAGGTTTAACACACGGCCAACGTTTTCCCTGACTATATCTACCAGGTATGGTGTGCGGAACATAAACAAAGTCACTCCATAGTCCTGCATATAACATAACCCGTCTTCCTTTTAGATTCAATCAACAAGACCTCCAAATAATATGGCAACAATGAAATGGCTGGTTGTATGCAAAAAGCACTGTCGCCAAAAGCACTTATTGTCTCCATCATTATATATTTTCCAGAGTATATCATCACAAAGAAACTAAATAAATACTACAAGCAACCACATGCATGCTTTAAATTTAGTTTATGAGCAATTATTTTCAATAAAGTTCGATAAAATGCATAATTCAACATGGAGCAGTTTGTGAATTGAATTATTGTAACCCCCGATTAGAGGATAAATGATTGAAGAAGGCGGCCCACAAATGATTACAAGAGACTACAGGTTGGCTGGTAGCTGATCACAGCCTGTAAAACGTTCATGGCTTTAAAAGATCTACGTTGAAACTAATAATGTAGGACATGAACATAAATAAATAAATAAATTGAGGCCTTATATGATTTCTCTTTTTCTTTGTTGGGTAAGAGCAGCCTCATCTTTCTGACTTTCTATTTGCCAAGTCAATTAAAGGGTAAGGTGAGCCGACGTGGTCTAGCCCAATGGAAAAAGACCTTAATTTATAGACTAGAAGTCTCAAGTTTAAATCAATTAAAGGGTAAGGTGAGTCAACGGGGTCTAGCCTAATGGAAAAAGACCTTAACTTGTAGACTAAAAGTCTCATATTTAAACCCCCATGAAATCTTGATTGTGCGTGTGTGTGAGAAACACCCCCTCTCTAGTAATTTAGACTATTGATCGATTGTAAGGGGTAGGATGAGCTATGAATTTTGGCTCTAATGACTAATTGGTTAAGTTCATGAAGATCATATAAGCTTTCACCCATACTTTTCTAAGCTAGACATCACCAACATGGTAGGCTTTCTAAATAAATGTTTTCTTCATTGGTATTTCTCCTACCAGAAAAAGGAAGACAATAAATGAATAAAATCTCAAGAGGGAACATGAATTTTTATGCCTGCAGTTTCTAATTAGCTGCTTTGATTGATTTCTACATATTTTTCTTTTTCTTTACCACCTACTAAACAAAAGGCAAAAAGAGTATGGAATAACTTAAAGAGGGAAAAAAATAGGACAAAGCTTGGCTTTAAACTTTATTTATTTTTCCCCCCCAGTTCACCAAAAAAAAAAATATATATTTATTTTTCTCATTCCCCACCAACCCCACAACTGGAACCTTCTGCTAAGACACATCATTTTTTTACACAATGATGGGTTTATCATTTACATTTAGCTAGCTCCAGGCTTTCCTTCGAGTATAAAAAAAGCAATGTAAACTAATTAAATTCAACAAATAATTGAAGCAATTATCAACATTATTATATAGTTTCCAAGTTTGGCATAACTTAACAGAAAATCAAATTTGACAGAAAATAGATTAATATAACAGTGGAGAACAGCATAGTATGGAGGGCTTGAACTTCCAAAAACTTTATAAAAACGTAAAAGAAAAGAACATGTTGGGAAAAGAGACAAAAGAGAACAAGATAAAATATAATATAAGGTAAGAAAATAATTACATAGAGACAGACAAATATGCAGACAGTCATGCAGTGAGAGAAATGGAATTTTGAAACAAAAGAAAAAAAAGCCAGTCTGACTCTGTCCTTCTCTCTCCTCTCTCTCTCACTCACCTGAAAGTTCACAGAATAGCCCTTTTTAAAGGTGGTCTTGGCATTAGGCACCGACGCATGGATCATACAAGACAACGATTCCCACATGTTGAGACTCAGTGAGTCACCCACAAACATTATTTTCTTCCCCTTCCATCTCCTCAGAAAATCCAACCCATCAAACCTTTTACAATAAACAGATTAATTAGTTTACTAATTATAAATTAAGCAAGACACATTTTATAATTAAATGTAGCATTATAGCTTATGATAGGGTACCTGGGCAAGTCACAAGAGTCAGGCTTCCAAGCATACTTGAGGAACTGCTTGTCAGGTCTGCCGTACTTGATGCAGTCAAACTCAGGATCTATGAAGGGACAGCTGGAAGAATCATAGAGGGGGTAAGAAGCATCAAAAGCCCAATTGCCTTGGAACAGATTGCAGCCAGTCGCTTGCTTTCTTTGTCTGGAAATTCTGGTGCCATGTCCATGTCCTGCAGAGCTTGCTTCATCTGAAAACAAGACCAGAACTTGAAGAGCTACAAGGCATGACAGAGCTTGGAGCCTAAAAGCCATTTTGGATTTTACACATGCATTCACGAGCTGTGAAGAAGAAGAGTGTGAGAGAAAGATGTATGTGGTATGTGGGTTTTTATAGTAGCTCTCTAGCTTTAAAGTATTTGGAATTTAGGAAGGAGAGGTTTGGCTTCGGCGGTTCACATGACTTTGTTTGAGCCAGAGGATATGAAAATTAATTGATATAAATATTTCTTTTTTCCTGATGTGAGTTGGAAAAACTTGGAAGGATTCGGAAATAGTGCAATTGGGAAGGTGAATCAAGTGAAGGGGTTGAAATTCTGAGGTTTTTTTTAATGGGGAAATTATTATTATTATTATTATTATTATTATTATTATTATTTCAAGAAAAGAGAAAAAGTTTCTCTTACATTCCCATAGGTCTGCATGTCACGGACTCACAGGCATAAAAACCTGTGTTGTGCTGTTCGTACTCTCAAATTGCAATTTGACATCACATGATAAAATCATGTGTTGTTTGCATTGCACCAATTATAAATTTCAATTGTCAATGTACATGCATGATGCATCTATACATACGCTTTTTCCAATACATAAAATAGACAGATACATCTGATGTGCCTGCTGCTTTTAGGTCCATTTTATCCTTTACAAATAATACAAAAATAGCATCTTGATAATAGATAAATAAAAACAAACATTTCTAGATGAAGATATTTGGGCATGTGGGAGTGGGAGTTCTTCTGGAATGGCTAAAAACGTTTAGTGATAACTAAAAGCGCTTCTAATAGTGTTTGACTGAAAAATTTATAAGTGCTTCTAGGTCACAAAAGTGTTTTTTTTAAGTACTTCTTAAAGAATCACTTAGATTTTCAATAATTTTTTTTACTTTCTTATGATAGAAGCACTTCTGAGAAAATACTTATGAACATAAGTGATTTCTACATAAACATTCCCAAACAAGCCACTCTTTGGTGGGAAAACATGTGACTAAAATAAAGCATTAAATTAAAAGTTCTTGTTTGCCAACCATTTGTAGCCTTATGTTTCCTTCTTTGGTTGTAGGCAAAAATACAATTCAGTTTGATAGGGAACTGAACCCATGGTATGACTTTTCCCTTTCTGGTTATATTTGTGGACAATATTCCATTAAATTGAAAGAAAACAAATTTAAGACAAGTTAAAAAATCAGGAAAAGTGCTTCTGATGCCAAATTATGTGGCCTCTTCTGAGGTTAGGATTGTGTTCTGTGTCTGTGTGGTTCATGTGTCAATGAGATAAGACTTCTTTCATGCAAAAATAAAAATCTATAAAGGATTGACAAAGCCATCTGCTACACTGAAACCACAACAAAATAAAAATCAAAAGCCAAAAATAATTCATAAGCAGGACATTGAAAATTTTGAAACCAAGAGGGGAGTGAACCAAAAGGGTGGGTTCCACAGGCTGTCCAGGTCACTTTCATTTCCTTACAGTGGGTTTGATTTATCTATTTTGGACATTTCATCTAACTTTGTCCCCAAGCCCCAAAGATTTAGAAAACTAAAAACCCTAAAGTAAAAAATATCAGGCTGGTCTTCCCAGTCAGGCCCGCCACCACACTTTACTTCTGAGTTTCTTTAGGGCCAGAGTTCAAAACATTCTCTGTTCAGAGAGGCTTAGTCCCATTCCTCAAGTTGGGCCCACCTTGGGTTAGTCCCATGACTACCTCTCCAAACTCAGTTCTCAAGCTATTGCATGGGGTAGGTAAAAAGTCCATTGTGGAATGGTTAGTAGTGGAGTCTCTGTTGAAGGTTACCAAAAGCAGTCTTCATTTAGGTGCTGGTGCTTTAAGTTAACCACGGGAGGCGTTTTGCACATTTGGTAAGTGCTTTTGCAAAAGCTCTATCTAAACCTCCATTTTAGAGTGTTTGAAAAGCTAAAAGTCTTCATTCGTTGAATCTCATCACTCAAATAAATCATAACCACTAAAATATTTTTGGAGTTTTCTTGGTAAGGTAGCTGCTGTTGAAGGGTTTCTATCTTTCTTTCTTTGGATTTTTTTTTCAAAAACCCTGTCTTGTTTCCAGTTGATGGGAATCTTCATATTTTAAAATGAGTGAAGGAACAAACACTAAAGATGATATGATGATGATGAAAGAGTTGGTCATGGTGATGTCCTGATCTCTTTGCCGACATTAAAATGGATTTATTTGTGAAATCCTCTTAACGTTATCATGAGGAGCAATAGTGACCAATAGCACTAACAGATGCCATTACATTCCATTCAACACTAACCAATAAAAAAAAAATGGGAGAAAAGAAATGACACTCACCATAACACATGTGGATCAAAACTGGTTGCTTTTGGAAGCTGAAAGAAGTCTACCTTTTCCAGGCACAGACAAAGCCAATGTGGTGGGTTCCTATACGTTGAGAGAGTTGAAGATGAAATGAATCAAAAAAATTGGGAAATGGACTTTCCAACCCTTCATTGTCATCGGCCTTTCTAGTTGGTCTTCTCTAGTTCCCTCAATCTCATGCTCACCCTTCAAAAGAGGTCCCCAAACACATAAACACATATATTTAATATCAAAACTGTTATAGGTTGCAGCTTCTTGCCTCTTTCTACTTTCATTTGTTCCTTTTTTTTTATAATTTTTTTTTTATACCAAGTATATCTCAAAATAGTAAACCCTCCAACAACTTGGTCATTAATTAGTCTTGGAAAAAGAGGGTTACCAGATTAATTAGCCTCTTTGATGAGTCACTCTTGAATTGGGACTTCATAGAATTGAGTGAGAGAGAAGGGGAGAGAGAGAGACATGAAATCGTAAGTGGCTTTGTACAGTTGGCTTGCACAACTTGTCTAGGGACCCCTACTAGCAGCCTTTCAGGACCAGATGTGTTGCTTGCAAAGCTCAAAGAGATACACTTTACATGATTAACACATTTCTTTTGTAAAATGCTAGTACTTTCGTAATAATTAAATAAGTGAATTAATAACATCACGTGACAATATTACATAGACAATTCATAATTAAGTAAGTAAATTAGTAACATCATATGACAATATTACGTCGACAATTTCATGATGATGATTACATGATTGAATTTTATAGTAGTGCAGAATTAAGTGGGTGGAAACTTTGGTGACGATGTTTGTATCCAATATGCGGAAGGTGTTGGGTGGGCAACAGGTTGGGGGAATGAACAGTCTGGATGTGGCAGAGGTCCACCTGATTTCCTTATCATAGTTTGCTTTTGCCCATTCAACTGACATGGAATTGGGGCATGCACATTTTGGCCAACCTCACACCACAACCCTACAAAATTGTTATTAATGGTGAATTGGCTGCATTTGCTTTCAAGTCGTGCAAAAATATGCAGAGCACTGGTTTGGTTTGTGTCTTAGTTGGAAAACTAGTGGTTACCCACATTGGGAACCACAACCACCAAGCGTTTAGCCAACAACACTTGTATCATAATTAGTTTGCATTTCATGTCCAACTGGGTTCAAGTTGGTCCATTTTCAATCACTTGAACCTTGACCTCTCTCCTCTCACACTCTTTCACCAAAGCAATAATTGAGTACCAAATGTTACATGCTCATGCACCCAAATCTTGTAGTTAGGTGAATAAGCTGATCTAGTTTTCCTTGAACAATTAGCAATATTTCATCTTTTTCCCTTTTGACCTGCTGCTTTCTCATCAAGTGTTACGTCTTGTTGACTTTGCTAAACAATATCTATTCAAGGCCGACATGTTCTAACCCAGTGGAAAAGTGCCTTAACTTGCAAACAAGATGTCACTATCGCTTGTACTAAAAAAAACATTTAAGTTTCAATTTTTGGAGTTTTGAGATGCAATATGTGATTAGAATTTTACGGCATCTGCTAGTCCATATGTGACATAAATTAAATTCCCCATCCAAAGTGCGTTTGTAGTTGCTGTGGGAAAAGTTCTGCAGGCCAGGAATGGTCTTGGCCTAGCTTGGGCTTCAAACTTGAAAATGTCAAAAAACAAAAGCAGAAAAAATGTTGTTAATTGCAATGATACAAAAAGGATGAGGTGGAGATGCAGGGTATCGAACCCTGTACCTCTCGCATGCAATACACAAAATGTTCTTCTTTGCTTCACTGCTCCTTCGTCCCTTCATCCTCTCTCTCTTTCCCTTCCTCGTTTTCAGGTAAGAAAGTTTGGTGCTTGAATTACTTGGTGTCTCTTTTTGCCCAAGATTGTGAATTGATGCAAATTTTGTTGAAATTTGTCTCTTAAGTTCAAATTGTGGGATTTTGTGTGGCCTAACTTGTGATTGGTCTTCTTAGTTTATGAATTTGGACAAACATTGGTATTCCTTTGTTTGTTTGAAATTTTGTTGATTTTTGGTTTGGTGAGCAGTTTTGCTTAGTAAAGCAACATAAGTACTTCAATTTCCAATCAAAAGATGCTTTGCTTAGTGAATTAGAGAAAGGAATGGTTAGATATTTTGGTAGGTTTTTCTAGATGAATATATGAGTACTTTGTTGGTGTCTCAGGATACCAATATTGCACTTGTAATGTAGTGATTATAAATGATAATACTATGTCATTTTCCTCCTAGGAAAGGCCTTGATCTAAAATTGATTTTTTTCAACTTGAAGGTTTATCTCTTGGGTTGGATTTGAGTTCTACTATTGGGGTTGGAAGAAGAAGAGGCTCTGGCTTAGTGGTGAGGGCTGGGAAGGCTGCTCTGTGTCTAACCAAGAGAAATAGGTCCCGGAAATCTTTGGCTCGAACTCATGGCTTCCGCAGACGCATGAGAACCACTGGTGGTAGAGCAATGTTGAAGCGCCGACGTGCTAAGGGACGGAAGATCCTCTGCACGAAGACCAATCCCAACAGTGGAAAACGTGCCTGATTGTGTCTTTTTCGCATTTAGTTTATCAGGTAAATGAAATGAAATGAAATGTAATGATGTCTACTAGCTGGTTCTTGTGAACGTTGGCAGAATTTCAAACTTATTTCACATGATATCCCTTCTGTATTGTTTCAATCAGAAAGGCTTTTGTTTGTCCGAGCCCATTTTGCATATTCACTGTGTCCTGTTAATTTTGTTGTCTGAATTCATTCTTAGTTATGCCAATAAATGTATCAGAACCCAAATGGAAGGCTCACTCTTAATAGGGCTCCAAAAACCTGGTGATTGCTTGTAATGCCATATTGTTTTGTTGTTACACTTCACACGTATGTGCAGATCTTGTCAAGAGTACATTAGCTAGTACAAGATGGGGCATTTTCACAACCAATAATAGTAATTCTGCATAAATATGAAAAAGGAGAATCTGGTAGTCTTGGGTTCGGTCTACAGCTATAGGTGAAGTCGACAAGATTTTATAGTTACATGACAATAAGCATATAATTCAGAAAGCCTTGTTGATGGAAAGCTTTCTGAGCAAGGCCACAAACACCTTCTGGGGCATCCTCATGCCGAGAGGCTTCTCCTGTGGCGGCAATGGCAACGGAAACTGCAGGTTGTGCGGATACAGCCTTGAGTAGGTCGATTTCGCTATTGGGAGGCACCTCTCTTCATGACCAGAAGTTCCATCCGGGCTCTGGTATGGGTCACTGTCTTCAGTGCATTGCTAGGTGGATTCAGTCGAGCCATACTTTTCCATATTAGCCTTCTTTATCCTTTGTTTTTCTTAGTTATTTTCAACAAGAAAAAAGCCGTACCTACCAACATATGCAACATCATCGTACAAAAAAATTGTCATCAAACATTGAATAATGACATGACAGTAAGCTCACATACATAATTCACAAAGCCTGGCTGGTCTGGCCCTGGCCCTAGTCCCGGTCCCTCCTACTACTTATTCGAGATAATTAAGGACGACTATAGTCTTCTAAGCCGAGTGAGCATGTTAAGGCAAAGAAGTCTTAACCTAGAATATTACTTAGATGAGTCAAATCAAACAGCAAATAATAAAACAAAATTATACAGTATTTGTCCACATGTGATGCTCACTTAGATGACCAATAATATATATACAGGGCTGTTTTTTTTTTTTTTTTTTTTTTTTTTTTTTTTGACTTCTTTTCTGTTTGTTCACTTGTGATGCTTCTGTGTAAGTTAATATGCGAAGGGCACACACAAACACTTTTAACAGGGGCTCCAGAGAAACCTGGCGATTAATTTCATGTATAGTAAATTTGGCTTACACCCTTCAAATTCAATTTGTCGTACGTAAAACCCTTCACTTTTTGTTCCTATAAATAATACCCAATTTGTATAAGTGAAAACCCATGACTAGGATCTAACTCAGCAAGTTACCTAATTAAGCATAAAATCTGATTTATTGTACTTTTCATATTCCAAAAATACCCCCAACTAAGCCATTATTGCATTTTGTATATTAATGTAGGAATCAATATGGAAATAGTTTTTAATTGGATTGTATATAATGACAGATGTTGAATTTGGAAAGATCTCCAAATGGTTGTAATGGATGTAAGAATTAATTTTGAAACATTTTTAAAAAAATTTTAACAATAAATTCAAATTTGGGTAATCGGTTTGTTTAATAAAATGTTTATGTTATTTTCTTTTTATGAATTATACATGACTAATAATCCACTTTATAATTGTTTATGAATAAAACTGTACATACTGATTATGTTGAAAAAATAATGTACCTATTACTTGTTTGTTTTATGAAAAATATAATTTACCTAGTATGAAAAGTGTACATAATTATCTATTCCAATATACCTACATTATACGACATCCAATATACCTACATTAATTTTAATGTACTTACAATTAGGATTTAGGTATTATATGTCATCCAATGTACCTACCATTTGGATAATATACCTACTACGAATAAAGTACGTATTATTTATCTAATTAATGTACCTATTTTTTTCTATAAATAATATAGCCTTTTTTTCTCTGAATAAAGTACCTATTATTTGTTTTATTAAAAGCAATTTTTTTAAATGAACCTATTTTCTCTCTCCAAATAACGTACCTATTTTTCCTCTCCAAATAATGTACCTATACACATTTACAGGTATATTGTAAAATAATTTACATGTGGGTAAATAATGTACCTATATTTAATATAAATTATTGTGTACCTATTTTTAATTATGAAAAATATATGCAATTACAAAGTAACTGACTTTGTTTTTTTTTTGGTAAATAATATACCTATATTTTATATGTATATTTTTATATTATATTTTTCATAGGTACATTATTGGATATGTAATTTACAGATTTTTTTTTGTTTGCAATTTTAGTGGGCGAGATGTGAGAGGGAATGACAACTAAAAGAAATGGGGTGATTGATATGCTATTAATAGGGAGTATATTAATTACAATTATGGCAGTTAATGAAATGCTTGAAATAAATTATAAATAAAATATGAAGTTTAGTGGCAACGATGTAAAAACATAGAAATACTACGACCTCTTATATCATACTGGTCATTTAAATTTGAAATTGGGTTTTACCCAAAGATTTATAGAGTGATGGGTATATGTCTAGGAAATAGAAAATGTAGGGGTCTATATTGGACAAGCCCTTTCATGTATTAATGCCATTTCCATATAATATTGTTGGTTTGTGATAAACTGCACACGAAAACACACTTGTTGTATGCATATGTGGTTTATAATATCTTGCACATGAGATATTGAAAGTTTTATTTGATAGAATATATTAGCCAGCTAGCTCCTAACACCTAGCAAATACAGGCATTTTCACGGCCAATGAATGATATGTACAGTTGCAACTTGCATATATGGATTCTATAGCCTATATCTACTATATAGGTGAAGTTGAGAAGATTACATCTCCTCCTTTGCTTTGATCAATATATAGATTATGCTGTCGGATAGGAACCAGGCCACAAACACCTTCTGGGGGACCAGCATTCGTAAGAATTTTCATATAGCCATTCACCCCCCAGCTCTCACCCCATTGATTCTTGAGTAACCAATACTTGGTGCTGTCCTCAGTCGTCCCATTCCCATACCCAACGATGGTAATAGCGTGGTCCAGTGTTGTCCCACAACCCGTGGCTGAGAACACCACACTTTGGTAATGCATAAACTGTTGGCGTGAGTCAACGTTCTTATTAGGAATATAATTTATATTTTATTGTAATTATCTAATTTGTGTAGAATTATGAGATTTTGTACATATTTCCTATTTGTACCCACTTTGTATGTAGTATGTATATTCCTCCTTGAGAGAAGAATAAACATATCAATTTAAACCATAATTATTTTGAGTTGGTATCAGAGCGGGTTCCGATCCGTCTTTACAACATTAAAACCTCAATCCTAAAAATACATATTTCCGCTGCACCTAGCCTATACACCTAAGCCTGTGCCATCTTATATCTTTTACTGTCGTCGTCGCCACCTAATCTTTTGTTGTTGCTGCCATCTATCACCATGTTAGATGTCACTGAATCTTCTTCTTCTACTCCTATTGTGACGGTTCATGCCGAATCGTCCACCAACCTATCTATGGGATTCAAATTGAATGGATCCAACTATGAGATATGGGCTTCGATGATTGAACTCCATGCTACTACACAAGGCAAATTGGGTTACCTGACTGGCGACACTGATGCCTCCGATTCCCAAGACTGAAAATTTGGGAAGTGGAAAATTACTGATGCTGTTGTGAAAAGTTGGATGCTATGAACTATGGAACCCAGTTTATTGAATATGTTTCATACTCTACCTACTACTAAGGAAATTTGGGATGCTGTTAATCAGATGTTATATGATGGCTCTGATATATTCCAACTCTATGAACTGTGGTGCCAAGCTACCCGTCTCAAGCAAGAGGGTCGTCTTGTCTCTACCTATTTTGCTGAACTTAAGGCAATCTGACTTGAATTGGACAAGAGACGTCCTTTTTAGATGAAGTGTGCTGATGATATGAAGACTTTTCAGGCTGCTGTTATGGCAGATCGCGTGTATGATTTTTTGGCTGGCCTTGATGATACTTATGACAAGGTCCGTAGTGATATTCTACGGAGTGATAAAGTTCCAAGTATCGAAAATTTATTTTTTGTGGTTCGTCGAGAGGCTCAACGCCAGATAACTATGCTTAGATCTGGCACCTAAATTAGGGAACCTGCTAACACTGCTTTGGTTTCTTGGCCTACAGTGCCTGGCTCTTTTGCTGTTTCGTCTCGTTGCCTGACTTCTGCAGAAAAAGACAAACTGAAGTATGATCATTGTGGTGAAAAGAGACATATTATCGACACCTGCTGGGCATTGCATGGGGTACCAGATTGGGAGAAGAAGTGAAGGCGTTTAAAAAGGGAACAATTGAACAGCAAAGCTTATGTGGCTGTTGCCCCCACTTCTGTGGCTGATATCACTACTGGGCACGACCACCTTACTGTTACTCTTCCTCCAACCTTGACCGCGATCTCAAGCACTCCAACACCTCCACCTCCAGCTAACTTTGGCAAGGCTTTCCATGCCCATGATACACACGATACATGTTGGATTATTGATTCAGGAGCTACTGACCATATGATGTATAATAATGCTGCTGCTCCTATCATGGGGGCTGGTTCTGTACTCTTAACACCTTCTTTACCATTGGATAAAGTGTTACTGGTTCCATCTTTGTCTAGTAATTTATTATATGTACCGCAAGTTTCTGAGCAGTTAAACTGCGTTGTATTGATGTATTCGTTTTTTGTCTTACTACAAGATATCCATACTCGGGAGATCTTTGGTCATGATACTAAAAATGGGGGGGTTTTATTATGTGGATGATGTGGCAACTAATCGGGTTATTCGTGCTGGTAGCACCGAAACTTCTCAACATCGTTGGATTTGGTCGCTACATTGCAGATTTGGTCATGCTTCCTTTGGATATTTACAGCATTTTGTTTCTTGCATTATTTAGTGGTGTCAACGAGTCTGCTTTCCAATGTCAGACTTATATTTTAGCTAAGAGTCATTGGGTATCCTACCATCCAAGTTGTAATAAACAACTTATGCCATTTGATTTAGTTCATTCTAATGTTTGGGGACCTTCCGTTGCTTCTATAGGCTTGAGTGTTCGCTGGTTTGTGTTATTTGTGGATGATTGCACTAGTATGATGTGGTTATATGAGATGAAAAATAAAAGTTATGTGGTCGAAATTTTTCAGCGCTTCTATCATATGATTCATACTCAATTTATGCTTTCTATCAAGGTTTTTCGATATGATAACGATGGATAATTTGTTAATTCGGCGTTATCCCATTTTTTGCACACTAAAGGTGTACTCCATGAGACTAATTGCCCTCAAACACCATAATAGAATGGGGTTGCTGAATGTAAAAATGGGCAAATCCTTGCTGCTACCCGTGCTCTGCTGCTTGGTGTGTCAGTTCCAAAGCGGTTCTGGCTAGATGCTGTTACCTATGCAGTCTATCTCTTGAATCGTCTACCTTCATGAGTTTTGGAGTTTCAAAGTCCTATGCAAGTACTTACCTATCATATCTCTGCCCTTTCTATGCTGACTTTGTCAATAGAGGTTTGGTTGTGTCGTATATGTTTTGGTTGTGTCGTCTATGTTCACCTTCATCAGAATCAGAGGAGTAAGCTAAACCCATGTGCTCTCCGCTGTGTCTTTCTGGATTTCTCTCTTCATCAAAAAGGCTACCAATGCTATCATCTTGCAACCCGATGTCTATATGTCTATATGGATGTTATCTTTATTGAGGATGAAATGTTCTTCTCTAATACACTCGAACATGTTATTCAGGGGGAGACTAGTAGTGAATGACATAACTGGCTAGATTTACAAGGGGGAGTAGTATTAGATAGTTTGATACAAAAGGAAGAACCGACCGAACCGGCTAAACCTGCTATACCGGCTGAACCTACTACACCAGTTGAACCTGTTATTTTAACTTATGTCACTACTGTCATTGAACCGATTACCCCCCATGAAGCTTCTCTAATATTGCCCGATCAAGCTCCCATGGATATTCCAGAGGTAAGTGCTTCTATTCAGCATTTATGACCAGAATGGATAGTATTAAAATTTCAACCCGTGTTGAGGAGACATTTAATGATCCAAAGTGGGCTGAAGCCATGAATATTGAAATGGAGGCGTTGCAGAAAAATAATACATGGGACATTGTTGATCTACCAAAGGGAACGAAGCCTGTAGGATGCAGATGCGTGTTATAGTTAAATATAATGCAAATGGTACTGTGGAGATGTACAAATCAAAATTAGTAGCTAAAGGGTTCACTCAGACATATGGAGTTGATTATCATGATACTTTTGCACCTGTGGCTAAGATGAATACTGTTAGAGTTTTGTTGTCTTTAGCAGTAAACTTGGATTGGACCCTGAGGCAATTTGATGTAAAAAATGCATTCTTACATGGTGAACTAGAAGAAGAAGTATACATGAGTCTTCCACCAGGGTATAGGGTTACCGATGAAATGGGGAACGTGTGCAAATTAAAAAATGCGTTGTACGAGTTAAAGCAGTTTCCTCGGGTATGGTTTGGTAGATTTCCTATAGCTAAGAAGAAGTTTGGTTACCAACAGGCTAATACTGATCACACTCTATTCATTAAACATAGGACTGGTAAGGTGACTTTGTTGATTATTTATGTTGATGATATGATTGTTACTGGTGATGATACTGTAGAAATCGAGGAACTGCATAAGCGTTTAGCATCTGAATTTGAGATGAAAGATTTGGGCAGTCTAAAATATTTTTTAGGAGTGGAATGGAAGTCACTTGATCTAAACATGACTTATTTCTTTCACAAAGTTAGTATGTCATGGACCTGCTAGCATATACTGGAATGTTTGACTGTAAACCAGCTGATACACCTATTGTTGAGAATCATAAACTTGGTGTTTATGTGGATCATGTTCCAACTAACAAAGAAAGATACCAAAGGTTGGTTGGGAGATTGATTTATTTATCATTGACATGCCATGAATATTGCTTATGTTGTAAGCGTTGCTATCCAATTTATGCATTCACTTAGTGAGGATCATATGGCTGCTGTAATGCGTATTCTGAGTTACTTAAAGTCTGCTCCTGGGAGAGGTTTATTATTTAAGGAAAATGACCACTTGGATCTAGAAGGTTACATTGACGCAAATTATGAAGGGAATATTACAGATAGACGTTCTACATCAAGTTACTTCACCTTTGGTGGTAACCTAGTTACGTGGCATAACAAGAAGCAAAACGTTGTGTCTCGATTCTCTGTAGAGTTTGAGTACAGAAGGATTGGCCAAGGGGTTTGTGAAATACTGTGGTTGAGGTGGTTACTTGCTGAAATTGGATTTAGACTGAATGCTGCTACAAAGCTCCACTGTAATAATCAGTCTGCATTTGAAATTGCTAACAATTTGGTTCAACATGATCGAACTAAGCATGTAGAAGTTGATTGGCATTTCATTAAGGAGAAGTTGGAACATAAGTTAATTTTTATACCTTTTGTGCATTCTTCAGAGCAGCTTGCAGATATGTTGACCCATGCCGTGTCAAAGCACCGATTTGAAGACTTACTTGACAAGTTGGGCATTACCGATATCTATACACCAATTTGAATGGGAGTGTTGGCGTGAGTCAACGTTCCTATTAGAAATAGAATTTGTTCATATTAGGAATAAAATTTACATTTTATTGTAATAATTATCTAATTTGAATAGAATTAAGAGATTTTGTACATATTTCCTACTTGTACCTACTCTGTATGTAGTATATATATATTCCTCATTGAGAAAAGAATAAACATATCAATTTAAACCCTAATTATTTTGAGTTAAACTCCTGGCAGCCTCGATGCCTATTGAGACTTGCAGCATGGACACAGCCTTGAGCAGGTCGTCTTCACTATTGGCAGGCACCTCTTGATTTAGACAGCAGGCTGATTTGCCCTGTCAGCGTCACATGTTCCCTCCACAGCCTGGTACGGGTAATTTGCTTCACTTGCGATTTCCTCCGTTTTTTTGGATGTATTCAAAGGAAGTGACCATCAAACCAACACCGCAGCCTTGGTTGCCATAGCCTCTGTGCAGGATGATGTGGCTTGAGATGCCGAAGTACCCAAGATGATGAATACGGCAAACACCACAAGGTTTTTCACAAAAGCCATTGTTCACAAAGTAGTGACTGGAAAGCTAGCTGTGAAGGGAATGCTAAATCGTTGCAGTTGCTGTCTAACTCAGATTTGCAAAACTAGTGGTGGTGCAATGCAAGCTTCCAACGTTCCTTTTATTGCAAATGGTAGACTCTATGATGTGTGTATTTGTGGTTGAGCAACTTTTTGATGCCTCCCCTGCCAAAAAAAAAAAAAAAAAAAAAAAAAGAAAAAAGAGACTTGATTTGTTATTTTTTTCTGTTCGGCAAAGACCAATGAGACTTTTGAGGTCGTCGGTCCTGTAATCCATCAAAATCAACACAGCTCACGTCTACAAGTACTAACCCATGTTATTAGTTCTTGCGTGTCAATTTCATCAAATACAAGAACTATATAAAACATTAAACCATATCACTTCTTGGGTTGTTGATTTAAAAATGTATGTACGGGAAAATGCAGTAGTGTTTTATTTATCGCATTACAAATTACGTATTCTATCAATCTAATGCACTACATACATAGTTTACTACGTAAAAGGATATAAACATATTTGCTAGCTCCTGCCTTTGCCGATACAGGCATTTTCACAGCCAATCATTAATAATAATACACTCACTTAGATATGGATTCTATAGCCTATATAAATATACATAGATTATGCAGTCGGATAGTAAGCGTCCCGAGCAAGGCCACAGACACCTTCTGGGGGACCAGCATCCCTAAGAATTTTCATATAGCCATTTTCACCCCAGCTCTCACCCCATTGATTCTTGAGTAACCAATACTTAGTGCCGTCCTCAGTCGTCCCGTACCCAACGACGGTAACAGCATGGTCCAGTCTCGTCCCACAATCTGTGGCCGAGAAGACCCCACTTTGGTAATTCCTAAACTCGTTCCCGGAACCAACGATGGCTATTGAGACTGGCTGCATGGACACAGCCTTGAGTAGGTCTTCTTCACTATTTTCAGGCACCTTTTCATAACCAGTGATCTGGACAGCAGGCTGATTAGCGTTACATGTTCCCTGCACAGCATGGTATGGGTAGTTTCCTTCGCTGGCAATTCCTCCGCTTTGTCGGATGTATTCAAAGGTAGAAGGAATGAAACCACCATTGCAGCCTTGGTTGTCATAGCCGCTGGTACAGTCCAGAAGTTGTTGCTCGGACAGTGAGATCAGATTCCCAGTTTTGATTTGGATAATCCCTTCCACTGCTGCCACTGCAGAAAATGCCCAGCAACAGCCTACATATAATACAAAAACAAAAACATCAATACTTAGTAAAGAATATGGATGAGTTATTAATATAAGGAAGGTGGATCTCTTACCACAGCTTCCTTGATCCTTTATAGGGGCGACAGCTCCTTTCTCCCTCCAGTCAATGCTAGGCGGAACATCAGTCGGGCTGAGGTCTTCGTACCTGAAAGATATGTTTGCAGATGAGGTTAATTCAGTGGCCCTTTTGTATCCAGTACGCTGCCGGAGGAATTCTTCATCGCTCAAATCAGAATGTTCATTCAGTCCTAACTTGTAAGTCTTGTTCCCTTCAGTGTTGAACTTCTCCACAAACTGCACGTTCTTCTTGAATATGGCGAAACGCCTTTCCTTCTCTGCGTTGTACGCATAAACACGGCCATACTTTGTCATCCATTGATCATGTTTTGCAGCAATGGAAGCTTCGGACAGTGTGCGGGATATGGCTTGAGATGCCAAAGTCCCCAAGACGATGAATATGGCAATGATCACAAGGTTTTTCTCAAAACCCATTGTTCGCAAAGTAATATTGGCTTAGGTTTCAAGTAGTGACATTCGAAAGCTTATTAGTCGAATTGGGATATGGCTGTGTTTGCATGTGAAAACATTGTTCATGTTATTATTAGTCGAATTGGGAAGACAGCGAAATTTCCAGGCACGTACGTAGCCGGGGATACTGTTAAGTTGATATTTTGTTTAATTTTGTTTTGTTTTGTTTTGCACGTGAACAGTGTTCAATGTAGACCCTTACAACTATTATATTCTAGATATAAACCCACATACTTTTAAACATTTACTTAAAACTCAAATTTAAGCCCACGTGATTAACTTAGTAGAAAATGGCCTTCATTTGTAGACAAGCAGACATCTCAAGTTTGAATTCTCAGGATATCTTGATTATGTGTGTGTGTGTGAGAAATCCTTCTCTTAAGATAGATTTGTCCTACCCTAAATTACATATCCAATAAATAATGTACCTATAAAAAAAAATATCTATATATAAACCCTATACATTATTTACAAAAAATAAAAAATAAAAAACAGTTACTTTTGTAATTGAAATTTCTATACATTTTTCAAAAATGAAAATTAGGTACATAATAATTTATATAAAATATAGATACGTACATTATTTACAAAATAAAAATAAAATATAGGTACTATTTCTAGGTCACAAAACATTCCCAAACGAGCCACTCTTTGGTAGGAGAACAAGTGACCAAAACAAACCATTAAATTAAAGGTTCTTGTTTGCCAACCATTGTAGCCTTATTTTTCCTTCTTTGGTTGTAGGCAAAAATACAATTCAGTGTGATAGGGAACTGAACCCATGGTATGACTTTTCCTTTCTGGTTATATTGTGGACAATATCCCATTAAATTGAAAACAAATTTAAGACAAGTTAAAAAATCAGGAAAAGTGCTTCTGAGGTTAAGATTGTATTCTGTGTCAATGAGATAAGATTTATTTCATGCAAAAATAAAAATCTGTAAAGGATTGACAAAGCCATGTGCTACACTGAAACCACAACAAATCAAAAATCAAAAGCCAAAAATAATTCATAAGCAATAGTGACCAATAGCTAGCACTAACAAATGCCATTACATTCCATTCAGCAATAACCAATAAAACAAAAAAGGGAGAAAAGAAATGGCACTCACCATAGCACAAGTGGATCAAAACTGGTTGCTTTTGGAAGCTGAAAGAAGTCTACCTTTTCCAGGCTCAAACAATGTGGTGGGTTCCTATACGTTGAGAGAGTTGAAGATGAAATGAAACAAAACAATTGGGAAATGGAGTTTCCAACCCTTCATTGTCATCGGCCTTTCTAGTTGGTCTTCTCTTCTAGTTCCTTCAATCTCACGCTCACCCTTCAAAAGAGGTCCCCAAACACATATATTTAATATCAAAAGTTCAAAACTTTTATAGGTTGGCGCTTCTTGCCTCTTTCTACTTTCATTTGTTCGTTTGTGCTTTTTTTTTACCGAGAAGTTTCTAATGTCTATATCTCAAAATGGTAAACCCTCCAACAACTTGGTAATTAATTAGCAATCTTTACATGGCACAGGCTTGGTTACCAGATTAATTAGTCTCTTTGATAAGTCACTCTTGAATTGGGACTTCGTAGAATTGACTGAGAGAGAAGGGGAGAGAGAGAGACATGAAATCGTAAGTGGCTTTGTACAGTTGGCTTGCACAACTTGTCTTAGGGGACCCCTACTAGCAGCCTTTCAGGACCAAATGTGTTGCTTGCAAAGCTCAAAGAGATACACTTTACATGATTAACACATTTCTTTTGTCAAATGCTAGTACTTTCGTAATAATTAAATAAGTGAATTAATAACATCACGTGATAATATTACGTAGACAATTTATAATTAAGTAAGTGAATTAGTAACATCATATGACAATATTACGTCGACAATTTCATGATGATGATGATATGATTGAATTTTTATAGTAGTGCATAATTAAGTGGGTGGAAACTTTGGTGACGATGTTTGTATCCAATATGTAGAAGGTGTTGGGTGGGCAACAGGTTGGGGGATGAACAGTCCGTATGGCAGAGGTCCGCCTGATTTCCTTAACATAGTTTGCTTTTGCCCATTCAACTGACGTGGAATTGGGGCATGCACATTTTGGCCAACCTCACACCACAACCCTACAAAATTGTTATTAATGGTGAATTGGCTGCATTTGCTTTCAAGTCGTGCAAAAATATGCAGAGCACTGGTTTGGTTTGTGTCTTAGTTGGAAAACTAGTGGATACCCACATTGGGAACCACAACTACCAATCGTTTAGCCAACAACACTTGTATCATAATTAGAATCTTAATTAGTTTGCATTTCATGTCCAACCGGGTTCAAGGTGGTCCATTTTCAATCACTTGAACCTTGACCTCTCTCCTCTCACACTCTTTCACCAAAGAAATAATTGAGTACCAAATGTTACATGCTGTAGTTTTCCTTGAGCAATTAGCAATATTTCCTCTTTTTGCTTTTTGACCTGCTGCTTTCTCTTCAAGTGTTACGCCTTGTTGATTTTGTTAAACAATATCTATTCAAGGCCAACATGGTCTAACTTGCAAACAAGAGGTCACTATCGCTTGCACTGAAAAAAAACAATACCTATTTAAGTTTCAACTTTTGGAGTTTTGAGATCCAATCTGCGATTAGAATTTTACTGCATCTGCTAGTTATCCAAAGTGCGGTTT